GCCAAGGGGCATTTCCAGATATGATAGATATCCTCCTTCTCGAGCTCGCATCGTCGGCATACGCATGTTGGGTACAAGTTGGGCTTGCGAGCCTGCATGGAGTTCAGAGTGGGTAGCATTCCATGCAGCCTTTTGATGTGATGTGTGCGTTGATGGGAGTCCTTGCTGTTGCTGTAAAAGGTGAAGACTGCGTGCCTGTCGTGGACATAAGCCAAGATCGAGTTCCATTCCACGTCATCGATGTCAGGGATCGCCCTCTTGACCCGCCTCTGTGACGTCCAGGCCTGATGGTGACGGATTGTCGATTGTTGTTTGAGGAGCTGACGTAGATCGATTTCAACAATCCCGCCGTAACAATGTGCAAAGGTCGTGATATCCGTCTGTTGGGTGGGATCCACCATCAAGGGCACCGAACCACTCTGTGCTGCCACCTTCGCCGCCTGATCCACAAGCTCGTTTCCAACTGTTGTTGCCATGTCGATGTAAAAAAATAGAATGAAAATGAAATGCGAGAGAACACTACATTTTTCAGGTGGTATAAAGAACTCGCAACAAAGGTGATTTGTGCCTCTGCATATTGAGTTCATGTATTTTTTTCACTTAATGTGTTGTGCCTCATTACTAGGTGAGAGGACAAGCTCGCATTTTTTTTTTATCAACATGACTTTTTCTTTCGGATTAAAAAAAGTTGCAGCTGAATATGAAGAGGATACCCAGGAGAAAAAAAGAACGTTGCTGCTTAAGATATTTGTGTCATGCTGTTTATCGATACAATATCGTAGATGGACGCGTGCTAGTTGATGGCGTGTGGGCAGAGCGAAGGACGATAGTGTGATTTTGTGCGCTTATTTGATCACTTTTGACCACTCTTGATTCCTCTCACGAGGCTGGGTGAAATACAAAAGGATACACGACACCCCCACGCAACGCACGCGCACACTTCTTTTTCCCTTTCTCACTTCCCCCCTCTCTCTCTCTCCACTCAACAAACTACCACCGGACAACACTGTTACAACGATGAGCGAGCCAAAGTCGGCCCAGGACTACGGCTCAACCCTCAGCTTCAGCATCCTCTGCTCAACCTTCGACGTCTCAGAGGCTGCACCCAACACCCAAACAACAACCCGCATTTTCGACAAGATCTCTGCCAATCTCAGTCAGTACGGTTGCTGGCACTGCGTCCTCACCGAAACCAAGCGAAAAAAACAGGACTGCATCGAGCTCAACCTCTCCCTCACATGGCAATCCTACCAGGACCCCGTGTCTTCGCCTAGCTCTCCCACCTCATTCAACCAACAGGAGACGGCAAAAGGCCAGCAGGGTGTCGCTTCCAACGCCCGAGAACTGATCAGCCGCATCCAAACCATCAAAATGCGATCCGACTCGACTCTTTCTGAATTCCTGGTCGACCGTCTCAATGGTCATCGCATCTTTGAGGGCGATACCATTCAAGGTACCATTGGTCCTTATTTCTGTTTCTGTTCACTGCCACCAAGCTCGTGCGCATGTCTAACCCAAATGTTTATTGTGAAAAAAATAGTCAAGGTGCAGCCGGAAAGGGTGACGAGGAACGGACGATACAAGTTCAGGATCGCATTTCACACACAGGACATCTCGAGATCTCGGTTCTTCGAGCATCCGAACTTCACTCCCTTTCTCGATATCTACACAGACTTTGAACCCGAGCAATACTGGAAGGACACCCCACCGGATGTTTGCTTTTACTTTCCTGCCTCGATGGCTGTTCGCGAGTCAATCTCCATTAACGCTCACTCTTCTGCTCTGGGCGAGAGCCAGTATTTTGTCCAACGGTTGACGGAGGTCACGGAAGGAAAGGCCACCCGAGGGAGCCCCTTCTACAGTGTCTTATACGACATCATCGAGTTCACCCCTCAGGTCTTTCGAGTCATGCTGCGGTACCTCTACACAGGACGGTTGCGACTCAAGAAGCGGGATGAAGAAGCTCAAAAGCGAACCACCTCTGGGGTCACCCAGAATGAGAACAAGTCGGCTGGTACTGCTGCTTCAGAGGTCTGTGCTTTTGGCGCCTTGGAGACAGGGGAGCGAAGAAAGAATCACCGAGATGAACCAGATGCTGTCTACTTTGAGGACCTTTACCGGATTTCAGAGCGCTATGAGATTCCGACGCTGAAAGCCTTGTCACTCAAGGCTATGCAGCGTTCTTTGGACATGTCAGTCGCCATATCTCTGTTGGCCAAGTGTCGACCTGAGGGCCGAGAGGAGGAAAGTGAGGAGAGGGACAAGGACGTGTCGCGTCGAGACCCCGAGGCCGTCTTGAATGGACTGCAGTGGGCCATGGCCAAAGACAGCGTCAAGGAGTATATTCAGTTTTTTGGTACCGAGGTCACTACCTCAGCGAACGACGCCGCCCCCCGGCAGGACCTCTCTGTCGAAGAGCGCAACGACATGGTCAACGTTCTCGGCGAGGATATCCTCAGCAACCTCCACCGCTTCTGGGAATAAGTTACTTCTCCCCATCCAATTAGCACACAGAAATAGAGTCGCGTACTTGCTCTATGATGTATGTTTGGTCACGTGTAAAATCTTGAGCGCGCTTGTTGGATTTCGTTTGTTTTCTTTTTTTCATCTCTGTTCACCATCCACGCGTTGACTTTACTCACATCACTCCACCTTTCAACAAAAAACCACAGGGTCACGGACGAGGACAAGGAATCCCACCTTTATCATACCCTCACCACACATCCTATCGCACACGATCTCACTCTCCTTACAATCAATGTTTGGCGCAAGAAACGGGACCGGCCATCCCGCCTCCAACGCCCAAAGGCCCTCTCACAACAGCAACTCTAATAAGAACAACACCAATGGCGACAGCACCCCTTCACTTCGTCGAAGACTGTCATCAGATTCTATAAGCTCGGTCGGCTCTGCTGGCTCTGCCCCTGTTACCAACCGGGCACTCACTCCTTCACTGCATCATCCACAGCAAATTCAGCAGCAACAACAACAACAACTACATCAGCTCGCCAAGTCCTTGGGACCTTCTGGTGCAATCGCAAACAAGGAGCTCAACATTCAAGTTGTTGTCAGAATCAGGTAACGAGAGGTCATCAAGTCTATCGCCAAAACGGTTTATATTACAAATAGCGAGTTGCCCGTACCAACACCACTGCCTTGATTTTTGCGACCGATAGGAATCGTTCTGAGCGAGAGGTCAAGGAAAACTCGCCCGTGGTAGTGCAGGCACAGAACAAGGAGATCACAGTCCCCTCAACTCTCGGAGACCGGGCGCCGTCAAAGTCTTACAGCTTCGACCGCGTCTTCATGTACTCGGACCAGCAGAGCATCTACAACGAGGTCGTCACGCCGATTCTGGAAGAGGTCTTGCTCGGCTACAACTGCACCATCTTTGCTTACGGACAGACAGGAACAGGAAAGACCTACACAATGGAGGGAGACCTCCGAGACAAGTTTGGAGACAGCTCACGCGAGGCCGGTATTATCCCTAGGACGCTCTATCGACTATTCGATGCTCTCAAGGCCCAGAACGAGTTTACAGTTCGCGTGTCGTTCCTTGAGTTGTACAACGAGGAGATCAAGGATTTGCTGGCGCCAGATGACGACCGCAAGGCCGTCAAGATCTTTGACAGTGTGAAAAAGCAGGGTCCCCTTGTCCAGGGTCTCGAGGAAGTTCCCGTCTTTGACGCACAGCAAGGTATCGAGGCTTTGAGACGAGGGAGCGCCAAGAGAACCGTCGCCGCGACAAAGAGCAACGACAAGTCGAGTCGATCCCACGGAGTGTTCTCAATCACAGTCCATGTCAAGGAGACATCTGATGACGGCGAGGAGTTGCTAAAGATTGGAAAGCTAAACCTAGTCGATTTGGCGGGATCTGAGAACATTGCGCGTTCTGGAGCAGAGGCAACACAGGCCAAGGAGGCCGGAAGGATTAACCAGAGTTTGCTCACTCTCGGAAGAGTCATCAACTCTCTTGTTGAACGTTCACAGCACATCCCATATAGGTAACGTGGAGTGCTTGTATTGTCATTTTGCATTGCAATTGATGCTTACTAGGTTGCTGACATTTACACTTTTCTCAATGGCACAATAGGGAGAGTAAGTTGACACGTTTGTTGGAGGATTCACTTGGAGGCAAGACAAAGACATGCATCATCGCCACTATCTCACCGGCTCGGTCGAGCCTGGAAGAGACATTCAGCACACTCAACTACGCTAACCGAGCCAAGAACATCAAGAACACGCCCGAGATCAACCAAAAGATGACTAAGAAGGCTCTTATCAAGGAGTATCTGGTGGAGATCGACCGTCTCAAGGCAGATCTCAGCGTAAGTTCAGCCAGCCATATGAGAGTGGTTCAGGAAATGATTCAAGAAAATAGTTTTGATTAACCTTGCTATTGCTTTTGCCTGACTACAATGTCATTAGGCCACCCGCGAGAAAAACGGCGTTTTTATGACACAAGAATCGTACCAGGCACTTTTAGATGAAGCTACTAGCAACAAGGATCTCGTGGGTGAAACTCAAAAGCAGGCGGAGAAGGTCGCACAGGAACTGCAATTGTTGGAGGAAAAGTTCAGGGAGAACATGAAGCTCCTGACCACGGCCGAATACAAGCTTGGAGTGTCTAACGCTGAACTCGAGACCAAACGTGCCGAGCTGGAGAAGAGCCTTGAAGAGCTGACCAAGACCAAGCAGATTCTGGAGGAGGAAACCATTTTGCGGCAGGCCCACGCCCACACCGAGACCAAGCTCAACTCCATCGCAGCAGGCATGCGTTCCACCCTCAGTACCAGCGTCAAGGATATCAAGGGTCTGCACGAGAAGCTGGAGAGAAAGACTATGATCGAGCGAGAGAACAGAGAGGCCCTTGCCGAGTTCCAGGAAAAACTATTGGCCCTCTCTGGTGAACTTGGTGATCGCATTGAACAGTTTGGCGTCAACCAAGGTGGACTCTTGACCTCGGTGACGCAGCGCATGGATGAGGCATTCAAGGAGGCGACCGAAGGCGCAGAAAGTGCCACGGCCTTTGTGACGGCCCAGCTGGAGCGTATGGACAAGGCTATGGCCTCATTCCAAGCCCTCGACGTCAGTGGCACGGAGGACGGTTTGGCCTTCAAGAAGGAGTTCGAGGCATTGCGCGCAGAGACTTGCGAGTTTTTGAACGCCAGCACCGAGAGCACCATATTGTCGGCGACTGAGGGATTCGGTTCTTTGAAGAAGGCCTTGGCAGCCTACACTGGGTATGTTGAAAAGCAACACGAGGGACTGACGTCCGGGATGCTTGGTCTTGTAGACGAGTCGGCGGCGTTTTCTAGAGATGGCGTCCGTCAGATCCAGGGTGCTCTGGACGCATATGCGAAATCAACTGCCAAGGAGATTGAGTTTTTGGCGCGCCAGAACCAGGCCCTCCGACAGCAGCTTCAGGAGCAGGAGGTACTGATGGAAGGACAAAAGGCAGCACTTCTCAAGGACATTGGTGGCTTGGTAGATGTTTTCATGAAGGACCAGACCAGCGCGTTGATGTGTCATATCACGAACAGCCGCGATGCGTTGGAGGAGTCGACAGGCCGCTTGAGTGCGGCTCACACCCAACAGCAGTCATGGACCCGAGAGTTTGGAGTGCAGGGAGCCAAGCGGATCGATCAGTTTGCTGAGTCGCGGAGGGCATTGGAGGCGGATGGTGTTGAGACCAAAGCCAGAGTCACCCGCGAGGGTGGTCTTTTGGTTGCAAAGGCAAGTATTTTGAGCGTTGGTCTGCAGGAAAGATTGGAGGCACAGCAGGCGGCAATGGAGTCTAAGATAGGCGATTGGAACGCAAAGGCTCTCCAGGGACACGAGCAGGCTCATTCCCAACAAGCTGCCATGGCCAAGTTGTACGACCAGACCTCCGACCACACCATTACTGCACTCAAGGATCTTTCGCTTCGCACGACGACTTCGGCTGCTGGAATCGAGGCTGTCTACCGCAAGACCTCTGAAGATGTAAGTTTCATTTCAAGTTTCGTGTCGATGTCAAGATTGATGTTTGCATCTCGCAGGTACGATTTTAACATTGTATGTTTATTCCAATAGGTCACTGCTGCCAGCGATCAGATGCGCCTGTTCAACGACGATGTTCAGCACAACTTGGGTGTGACGCGTGAGGAAACAGAGAGTCTTGTGCCGCACCGTCTCAAGGTCGATGACTCTACAGGAAGGACACCATCTCGCCGAAAGTACAAGTACCCTCACACCTGGGGTGTGACTCGACCATCGCAGGATCTGTTGAGGGAGTTCAGGGAGCTAGGACGTGTCAAGGTGTTCACCACTGAGCTCGCGATGGAGAGGGACCTGTCGAGAGAGTCATCCGATGCCGAAGAAGGCTCAAGACCATCATCTCCCCTGGACGAAAAATCTACTGGCGTGTTCTCTTCGCTCCCAGAACTGTGTATCGATTCTCGGCCGATGATGGAGGTGGAGCGAGCAAATGAGGAGGCTGCTCCTCTTGATCAAGAGTCGACGTCGGTTGAGATGCTGAGCCCAGTGTCGAATGAAGCGAGGTCATTGTCATCTTCTGCGCCCACTTCAAGGAGGGAGTCTCAGGCCTTTGTCCTAGAGGAGGTGGAAAAGGAGAAGGAGAACAGTGTCGAGACCAGGCCACCTGTCCCGAGTATGTCGCTCCATAATGGGAGCCACATCGCCAGACCCGTTCGACCAGGATTCGTCAAGAAGACTGTGCCAGGTTCAGGCGCCCAAACAGGATCGGTGTTGTCCAAGAGATCTGCCGCGGCGATGGAGGCGGGCGACAGAGATGCAGCCAGCCTTGCCGACATTAGCAGTAACGTCCATGGCACCCAGAACGACAACCCTTTTCAGGAGAGACACCAAAGTGGGACTGGTGCTGGCGCTTCAGCACTGACCGTAAAAGCCTCGTTGGGAAGGACGGCATTTGGAACGGGCAAGTCAGGACTGGTGAACAGCGCGGAGGGACCTCGCAAGGTGATCCGACCTACACTTGTCAAACCTGTTAGACGCCCCTTTGGGAGCAACAACAGGTCTTAGTTACCTTGTATCGCCACTCCGCAATCCTTTTTGTCTTCCTTTTCTTCACTTTGTATATCACCTTTGGCCCTTTCTGTCTCTGTACACATACCCCCTCCTCCTTTTCAGTCAGGACCCTTTTCTCTTCGACCACTCCCTACATCCAACATAATGCGACATTCTGATATCGCGCTCGTCTTTTATCGATTGTAGAACTATCATGTATCAAAGAACTTAAAATATAGCCTTTTCATTTGCGAGAGTTTATCCCTTGAGGACGGCGAGGCGCTGACGGGTGGATATGTTGATGGCTTCAAACTCGGGCGAGGTCATCCAGGCAGCGTAGCGGGGGTAGCTCTCGAGGTTGTGCTTCAGTTTGAACAAGTTGGGGGTCTTTTCTGGAGAAAACAGCTCCTTGCATCCGGGGATTGTTAGGAATCTGTCCAGGCAGACTGCTGAATGGATGTCTGCAATTGACAGCTACATTCAAGAAGAAGGAGGGAGGGGTGGTTGATGGTGAATGTGCTGCGCGCATGTTTTGGCGTACGAGAGCAAACACAAAAACGAAGAGAAAAAGTTACCTGGTTGCTGACATAGAATCCAGGCGTCTGACTCCTCCCCAACCACTTCTCATGTTGGACAATCCAAGCCGGAACCTCCTTCTCCACAAATTTTGCCAATTCTCTGGCTTTCGTATCCGAGAACGCCAGCAGGACCTTGTTGACATACAGGGACAGAACTGATTTTGAGGAACAGTAGAATACGTGGATGGCCGTCTCTTCCCAGGCGTCGCGGCCCCAGAATCCGAACTTGCGGGCGAGGTAGCGTTCGATGACTTCTGATTCTGGAATCTCGAGGGTTAGACCGGAGGAGGGGTGGGTCTCGTAGAGGATTGGCATCAGTCCGAAAGGCGTTTCGTGCTTCTCATTCGCCCAGTCCTATTGACAGGGACCACATTAGAAATGACAGAAAATTCATGGGTGTACAGAAGGTAACAAGTTGCCTTTAGTTTACCTGTGGGTAAATACTCTCCCAAAGAGCTCCAGAAAGCGCCAACATGATCCGAGTGGTCGCGGCCATGCCATGTAGCTTGAAATACAAGATCTTGTACACCACCTCCTTTGACGCTTCCTGGTGCTGGTCCTGCTTCTGTAGAGGAGCGGCGGCAGCGGCAGCAAGTTCTGGAGAGGACACGGATGTGAATGTCGAGACTGGAATGCTGGAGCTCGCGACCGAGACTTTGGCTGTAGCTGCTGATGGCGGTGTAGTGGTATCAGACATTGTTGGTACCCGAGGTGGAGGAGAGGGAAGGAGCGAGGAAGACGATCTCAAAAAGAAAAAAAGGTAAGACGTGAATGTGAAGGATCGAGGGCTTTCATTTATTGATTTTCCTTGTTTGCCCAAAATGTAAGTTGTGTCAGGGCTCAAGAAGAGCGTGGCGCTTTTTAATATACATTTTTCTGTCAGTCACCATGATTCACTTCCAACACATGCAGATCCGCATCAATTACCGGTAGACTCATACATAGATTCCGTATCGATTACCTGTAGACTGGATGAGAGCGACGAAAATGGATCAACTTTTTCCATTTTCTAGTTCTCGTTGTTCGTTCTTTGACCGAAAACAAGTTAACAAGCAAGTGCTGTACACTCTGACTCAAAAGAGAGGCATTCAAAGCTTGTTCAATCTTGAGTATGGTGATGATGCACCATTGCTTGTGTCCCTCACACATTGCAGACAAAGATGGTTTGTGGTTTGTGAACGCAATTTTTTTTACGCTTTAATAGTACAGATATGGATACAAAAAAAAAAAACAAGCATGAAAGAAAAAGACTACGAACAGGAGTAAAAGCTGCAGGTAGACTCTGAACGAAACAAAGAAAAAAAAAGAAGAAAAAAAGGGAACAGGGGGGTAAAGAAAGGATAAAGGGAGAAGGAAAGAAGAAAGGATAGATCAAGCGCCACGACCTCGTCCACGACCACGCCCTCGTGCACCACCACCACCAGATTTTCGCCATCCTCGCCAGCCGCCACGACCCTTCCAACCACCTTTGGCAGCGCCGCTCGTTCTCTTTTCGGTGGGCTTGCTTCGAACCGCCATACTTCCGTTGGCTGTCAAAGCATACCCTCCAGATGGCGCTCCAAACGGCGCCCCATCAGCTCCAAACAGATTGTTGTTGGTTCCGTTCGGACCAGACTGAATTCCAAGGTCGGTCAAAACAGCTTGTCCTGCTCCTCCGTTGACACCCATCGTAGTCGACATGCGTCCAATTCCTGGCCCAAAGCTCACACCGCTTCCTTCTCCTGACGATCTGCTAGCTGCCGAGGCGGCATTCTTTCCGCGACCTCGACCTCGTCCACGTCCGCGTCCACGACCCCCTGCCCGGCCACCAGTCGGGTAATCAGCACCGTCAGCCATGCCGAATTGCGCAAAGTACATAGCCATCTCTGGGTTATCCTGATGTTTCCGCAGATCCACAAAGTCGTTCAACGGGGACAAGCGTAGTTCATCATCCTCCTCCTCACCATGCTCACCATCTTCTTCGGCAGCCCGCTCGTCTCGCATACGACGATCAGGGTCGACAGCATCCCACAAATCCTGGCTATTCAGTCCGTAGTTCGGGTCGTCGTACTCGAATGAAGATGGACCGGCAAAAGGACTGTCGTCATAGTCCAAGTAGTTGTGTCCACCGTTCCTGTCAACAGCCTTTCCCTTCGACGAAGCAGAGGGGGTCGCTCTTTGACTGGCATTTTCTGCTGCGGCAGAAGCGACTTCAGTGGCATTCTTGGTAATCTTGGAGACATTCAGAGATCCTGCAACCGCGCCAATCCCGCCAATGACTCCCCCGAGACCAACACCTTTGACTTGACGTCGATCCAGCTGCTCCGAGTCAAAGAGGTCGTCTTCCTGGTTCCACAGCTTCTCCGCGATAGGTTGCTTCCGCCCAACCTCGATCTCATCATCGTCTACTTCTTCCGTAAGACCACCAGAGCGCCGACGTCGTGCATCCTTGATTTGTTCCTGACGCTGTTGTCTGACTCTTTCCGGAAGGAGATTGTCGAGGACGCTGGATCTGGCCTTGGATCCTCTGAGCGTTTTTGTGACCGGCTTGGACTCCACAATGATGTCGTCGTCCTCGGAATCATCAAGGTTGATAGGTTCTCTCGCCGTCTTTTTACTTGATGAGCCTGCTGGTTTGGTGAGAGACTTGCGCCTAAACGGACTCTTGCCTGTCGCAATGGTTTCCGCCGCCTTGTGCTTGGTCCTGAATGATCGGTTCAGCATCGATGCCGGCTCTGGTTGAAGTAAAAGGTCGTCCAGGTCATCGTCCGTAGGTTGTTCATTCACAACCGGGCGCCCAGCGGGGATGACGGTTGGCGATGGCGCTTTCTCACGTCTTGTTTTCTTGGTTGGCGTTCGCGATGAGGCTCCTGTGGCGGTCTTTCGAGTGTTGGATCGTATCGAGATGTAAGCTTCGGATGAGCTGTCGTCCCGCAGTTTCTGGCCTGGCTGGATGTAAAACGCGCTTTGACTAGACGTGCTGTCCATTCCAGAGAGGTCGTACGTGTTGGAGACATCATCGTCCTCAATGATAAATGAACGGTCCTCAGCGGCTCCTGAAAACGCGTCAGAAAAGCTGTCGTCGCGTGGATAGCCCTGGCCTGGTCGCTTCAACGCGGAGGCGGGCGACTCAAGCGACAGATGGCCCACTTTACGTGTCGGTGTTTCCAGAGATACAGCATTGTTCCGAGAGCTGCTGGATTTTTCGACGGCTCGTTTGTGTCGGTCGAGATGGGGCTTTGGTGGTGTCTGGGTCAATTGACCACCGCCTGATAGAGAGTCCAGAGCGACCACATCGCTTTGAGTACGGAAGGCCTGCGATGCCTCCCAGCCTTGTGCTGCTCCCTGGCCTGGCGCAATCTCCCAAACATCTGTCTCATCTTCACTCGGTATCGTCTCCCACACTCGTGTTGCCTCCCCGGTTTCTGTCAACTCCCGAGCCAAAGCCTCATCCTGTCTCCGCCTTGCTTCTTCCTCTTGCTGGTCGTGGGCGAGCAGTTCCTGATCGACGTGTGCCATCATCTCGTCGGCAGGGATCTTTTGTTGACAAATGGGGCAGATCTCCAGCATGTTCTGCGAGAGCGTCGGCGACATGTATCCGTCCAACATCTCCTCCATGACTTCTTCCCCTTGATGCTGGGCTGGGAGCGGTGGTGAGGGTGGACTGTCCACTGCTGCTTTGATGGGTTGGTTATTGATGTTGGTAGCGGCGGGTGCAGGGCGCGGAACCAGATTAAGGGAACCCATGACGCGAAACCCACCTGGACGCTGATGGCGGCCCTTGGTTGCCTGCTGCGTCCATGCGTCGTCAGAAATCTCTTCAAGATCGTCGACTTGGGACTTCACACGGGCAAGACTTGACTGGGTCGTCTGAGTTGGCTGAGAGTCCGAGAAGACTGAGATGGATTCGACAGTCTCTGTCCTTGTCGGGGGGTTGGGTGTTGTACGCGCTGCCCGTTCCTGCTGACGAGCATGGGCAGCTGCTTGCTTCAGGACAGACTCCATCACCGCCTTGTTGGGTATAATCTCTGAGAGTCGAGTCTTCTTGGAGGGTGATCGAAGGCCGTATTGTCCTGACCGCCGTCTCGCCCGTGGGTCATCCAGCTCTTCTTCCTCCTCTTCCGCGTTGTCTGCATTCTCGCCAAAATCCAAGGCATCGCTCCGCGATCTCTTCCCAGCAAACACCTCGCCCGCTTTCTGCAACAGTCGCATATCGTCCTCGGGCGGTTTCTTGTCCGATCCGGCAGGGGACTTCTTCTTGACCTGATCAAAGATCGCATAGTTGGAGAATGGGTTCTTCGCAATCCTGCCTCGTCGTGTCCCAGGCGGAGGTGACGGGGAACACTCCTCAATATCGTCCGTGAACATCAACGTCTCTCGTAATTTCTGATGCCCCTCCTGCACATGCTGCGGACTCTCCTTTGGCTGCGACAGTTCGCCCAGTACCAATGGACGAGGTTTTGTAAGTTGGATGCTAGTCGAGTCATCCGGGTTGTCGCTCATAACGTCAAAAGCTGGAGTTGAGGTAGAGAGATCAAAGCAATCCTGAGACATGACGGTAGCAAGAACCTTGTCCATCTCCGGATCGACCTCTTCTCGTGGAGGTTGTTGGGCAGCAGCAAGGTCGCCATCATAGTGTGTTGGTTCCATCGGGGCAGCAAGCGCAGGTTTCAGCATATCCTGTTCCTTCTCAGAGTCGGACACCAAATCGAGTAGTGCTGAGACCTCCTCAGTATCTGTCAAAATAGAGTTGATCTTTGGGAGCCTCAGGTGTTTGGCGCTTGCTGACCGCTGTCTCCTCTTCTCAGACCATTTGATAAGCGGGTCATCTTGATCGTCCGATACTTCATCCTCAGAATCCAGCACCATGTTGTAGTGCCGCGTCCTTTGCTTTGATGTGGGCGTCGACAGGACAATGTCCCGCTCGGCACCTTCGGCAATCGACCAGGGCATCTTGTTGGTTGATCCAGGCTGGGGAGACATGTCATGGACATCCTCTGCTGAGGGAGATACGGATATACTGTCATCTGAGATGGTGTGGCGGGGCAAATGTCTCATGTGGGTATCGAGTCTCAATGCGTTCTTTCCTGTGTCGCGCGAGAGTTCATCCTGGTCCTCATCACTTGTACTTGCGATGGTGACTCCCCTACCTCTATTGGGAGATATCGGTATGTGATGTGATTCGTCCTCGCTGCTGGAAATGACATTGACCGAGCGAACAGAACTTGCGCGTGCCTAGTGCAATGAGAACAGCATGACAATAACGACAACGGGTTAACAGGTGGAATTTACGGCAAGACAGCAGCTTCCTTAATCGATGTCATTTGTTGAAGTAGAATACCAATCGTTTCCTATTCGCCGATCCTGGAGAAAGAACAGGCCTATCCATTCCTTTGCCCTTGTCCTTGTTGTGGCGTGCACTGAGTCGTCTAGACTTGGGGGGCCTGATCACCTGAGTTACTTCGATCTCAGGCTCATCATTATCGGACCCAATGACTTCAATGACGTCGGGTTGCCGCCTGGGCGGAGCGAATCTGGGGGCAGGAGTAGCGTCACGGAGAGGAGTCATAGAGGTTGTCGACAACAGCACCATTGGCTCGTTTTCGTATTTTGACCGTCCCAGCGAGGTCCGCCGCGAGCTCTCATTCATTTGGCGGCGGTTGGGGAAGGGCTGGGGAGTGGCGTTTGAGTAAGGAGGTTGATTCTTGTCTTCGTCTGTGCCTGAGACATCGACTGACAGCCACGGGTCAATCAGCATTTGACCCTTTTTGCCACTAATTTTGCCCACTCCGCTTTTGACGCTTGTTGACTGAGTTGACGGGGGTGCTCGAGAGGTAGACTTTCTGGTGCTATTGGGGGCTTGTTGGGTGGTGTTGCTGGTACTTCCACTGTTGCTGCTGCCGCTGTTGTCTCCTTGTCCAAATACTGGTGTTCTGTTGTGGTCTTGAAGACTCTGTTGGATAGCGTGCCTGACAGCCTCCTCCTCGTTGTAATCCTCCGTGTCAAGCATATGCTGCCATTCGTCTTTGTCGGGAGCAAAGTCCGAGTCCGAAACGACTGTCTCTGAAGACTTATTACTAAGGAAAAATAAAACAGCGCATCTGGGTCAGCAAGCTATCGGCGTACACATTCAGGTCGAGCCAGGAGACATCTGAGCACTTCAGCAAGAAAGTCTAGCGAGAAGGTCTGTTTACATTTCAGCGCGCTCTTGAATCAGGATCAGAGCCTTTGGCCTCGCCATGATGGAAGTTGTTTGGCCAGGTTATGTGCTACTGGAGGGATAATGAAAGAAAGGGGTTGGGGAGAGGGAGAGAGGAAGGGAGGGAGGGAGGGAGTTGATTGCCCAAGGCAAGGGTAGGTGGTTGTAGTTGATGGGTGTCCGTCTGTCTCGTTTGGCTGTGGAGTGTGCAAAGAAGGGTCAAGCAGGCAAAGTTTCTTGACATGTCATGTATGATGTCGCTTGCCAGTCACACCACAATCACGTGTGCTTGCCACTAATTCGAGTCGCATGATGAATGAATAGAGAGCGCGTCGTAGGATATTCACGGAAGGCAAAAGGCAGCCACGACACCAAAAGAGATACATATGCTGTTTACGTGTAGTGTATCTGTACAACCCCCGTGCATGCATGTGAGATCCCTCCCCTTATACCCATCTCTCCGTTAAATCCGTCACTCTGCCATTCGTCTCCGAAATTGACCCTTTTCATCCTTTTGATGTTCGCAGAGTAGTGTTTTTTTGTCTTTTGGTTTCTTTGGAGAATAGAAGTTGCGTACACGAATCGTGGTACCGACAAACCGTGGATGAAACGAGTTAATGCAACCCCTCCTCTAAAATGCGTGACATCGTTCTTAGAATTGAGGAATTGAGGATGCTACCTTGCATGAAGTGCAAGGGGAGGGTAGGGAAAGATGTCGTTGTCAGCAAGCGCACACACCCACTTTAGTACCCAGGGTCTTGAAGAGGCTCTCAAAAGGACATAAATGAAATCTCCGTCATTTGTGTTCAAGTAAGCAGCAAGACGCCATTCTGTGCAGCTGCATGGATTATGTATTCAAATGGTCCAGTTGAAAATTTCAAATGATAACCACCGCCTCCTCCTTCTCTCTTTGTCGCTTCCTTCACGCAACTGACAATCATTCCCTAGTTGGCTTGCAGCCAAAGAGACGGACAAGCAACCATCTTTTGGCGACTTGTCAGGCCATGAGCAGCAATGCTCTTGATCTCGCTCGTGTCTTTCTAGTATGTGAATGGCTCTCCCCTCCTTTTTGACATGGTAGTAATGGCAACCCCCTTTCTCTATCCATCTCTTTCCTGGATCCTCCCCTCCCTTTTTCTCTTTCTTTTTTACTTTCCCTCTCCTATCCTTGAGTAGGTCTGGACTCCCTTAATCTTTGCCTTTTCTTGTCACCCCCTTTCGTTTACATCTCTCACACTCATTCTTTACTCTCCATCAATTCTTTGCCATTGATTCACCGTGAACCGGTTGTCAATGCGAACAGGGAGGATAAAGAGGAAGGAGACCGTGGCGTCTTGATCCCTTGGGTACCTTCTCTCGTATGGATGGGCAATGCAATTGCCTTTAACTACTGGCAGCACGAATGCATCTTTTTTGTTGCATATCAACTTTCGAGGATGACCTTTTGTCATTTATACCTTTTCGTCTTTTTCTTCTTCCCCTTTCCTCGTTTTCGTTTATTTTCTTAATCGCTTCATTTTTGACGCCTCCATTTTCCTCTTCTCCCTCCATTTTCTTTCTCGTCCATTCATTTGTCTTCCTTTCGCACCTGCACGTATTGCTCGCATCAATCCGCTCACGCCTTGCCACTCACCTTTTTCAGCATCCTCGACAGCCTTCAGCGATTCTCTCGGTCTCTGCCCTCTGTCCCTTCCATCTTCCACCCCTGCATTAGCATTTCTGTCCACCTCTTCCCTTTTCAACCCTAATCCCCATTCAAGAAACAAAGCACGGGCCATGGAGATTGCAGCACCGCCACCAGTCAACCCGACAGAATTCTGCGACTGGCGCGTTCAGTCCCAGGGCAACTGTGAGGGAGTCACCTATGTCTCGTTCCTCTACACCACACACATCATCTCCTCCTTCCTCTTCCTCTTCATCTCAATTGGCATCTTGATCCATAACATCTGGTGGAAGGGCCAAAAGATCTGGGAGTTCTCTCGTAACGACAAGGCATTCCGGCCTCGACCCACCGAAGGCTTTGTTCTCTGGTGTGCAGGCTATTTCTTCTGTACGGGCAATCCTCCTCCTCCTATTTTTTTCTAACCTCTTCTCAATGTGTATTGAGGACTTGTTTTCGAAATACTGACCTAGTTTTATTTTCTGTTCACACCAATGTAGTCCGTTGTCTGCTTTCTGTGCTGTTGCTCGCAGGTGTCAACGAAGGAAGACGTGGATACCTAGAAAATTTTGTAAGTTACCAATCGTCATTTTTCCTAGCAGCAAGGTCCAATGCATGCATCATTTTCGTCATAATACTAATGCATCTCTCTCCGTGTCTTGCATGTCCATGCACGGACACCAAACATTTTTAGGCCGACTTGCCATGGGTATTCGTCTCGGGTGCAATGGGTTTCTACCTCGTCGGCATCATCTACGCGACCCCAGCGTCATTCTCGACCACTAGCAAGAAACGTCGTGCCTCACACGAACTCGAGTCGCAGTCGCCCACAACACTGATAAACGAGAAGAACGTGGGACGACTTTCTTCTCTGATGGGCCCTAAACGGGTCTACCTTCCCACGCCGATGGTCCTGAATTTGACCTTGATGGGCTTGATCCTCCTACCGTTGATCAGCAACCAGATCTTGGCCTCTTTTGCCGGACGGGCCTTTGACCGTGGTGACTTTGACCTCTACAACTCTTTGATTGCCGCCATGTATGGTGTCTGGAGTTTCATTGTTGGCGTCATCTTTGTCCTCTACATCTTTTTCGGAAAGTATGTTAATCCGTCTCTGCGTAAATGGGCGTGCTGTCATTTGAAGGAGAGACCAATAAGGTCGCTTGATGTGGCCTTGTTTCCCCGTTCATCTATCTTATCCAGCTTCCTAACTTTTTTTTTCTTTTCCTTAGGCAACTGCTGACAATCATCTCATCCAACATGGAGACCATCAATGACAGCGTCGGTCGTATATCATCTCGGATCGGCAACAACTCAGAGTACGAGGATAATGAGCGACAGCTCAACACTCTCAAGTCGACTTACCAACGCATGCGTGCCATATTGATCCTCTGCGGCAGTCTTTCACCCCTGATGGGCCTCATGATGCTCTTCTTTGCCATCTTCCGGAGGCAGATCCTGAATAGCACTGTTGCCAGCGAGGCCTTTTCTCTCATTTGGATCCATGGGGCCAGGTACGATATGTTGTTGTTGTTGTTGTTGTTAGAAGATCAATAATTGCAGTAATGGTTCTCTTGGACGTGAACTAATGGCGGTACCTATTTTCATTTTCTTCCTCACCTTTGCCTGATAATAGTGTTGCACTAGGCTGCTCTTTGATCTTTATTCTCTTCAGAAAGGCGTAAAGTGACATATCTGTCTACTTGTACCTCGCCCTCAGCAGTCGTCGTTGGCGCTTTCTCCATCGCCTATTCGAATTCATTCTTTACTACCTGGATGAAATATTTAGTCACCGTTGCCCTTCGTATTTACTACTACATATCTCAATAATAATCTCAGACCTGGAACGTTTTTCAGAAACCGGTCAATATCATTTCCACTCTACCCCTGGGCTTTTAGTCCCTGAACCCCTCAGACTTCTGAGATGTGGTCCAATCAACGTTCTGGTCTCTTGGTGATCATGCTGGCCGCGATGGGATGAACTTGTTCCATCGCTCGCTGTATTGTATGTGATGGTTGTTGATGTTGTTTATTCCCGCCTGACGCTCCTGATGTCCCCTGATTCTCCTCATCCTCAATCCCCAAAAACCCTTGAAGTAGCTTATCTTCGACCCTCCCCCAAAACATCCACAGTCAAATCCTCCAACTCTGGCAACATCCTAATCCGTTGTCGAATCCTCCGAAACGCCCGCTCTTTTTTTTTCCTCCTCAGTTCTCGGTTCCTCCGCCGTGTAAAAAATCGACCAAGATCGACAATCACCTGCTCTCGAATATCCAAGCGCTTCAAAAGTTTTGTAACATGCCCATATCTTCTGCTCCACTTCTGTTGGTGGACGCGCGTTGGTGGTACTGTCTTCATCATCGTTAGCCATGACCACCCTAGCGATCTTAAGTTTGCGCAAGATGTTGAGAGGGATCAAGTGGTGGCAGCAGGAGAGTGCATCCTTCATTCCTATATCGGTGACACGGCCGTCCGACAAACAGATGGTGGTGAAGTCGAGAAGGGAGTCAGCTTGTGAAGTGGCAATATGGTGCAGAGCTTGGTCATTTAGTTTGCATCGGTCGAGGCATAGCTGTTCCAACCGCAGACGATGGTCCGTATCTGCAGCAGACTGGAAGAGGGCTGTGTAAGCTGAAGTAGGGATCGCATCTCAAGCTGTCATGGTAAGGCGCTTCAGCTCCGGGCAGATAATAGGGAAGGGTTTCCAGAAAGTTTCCTGTGAGTTGCATCGCCTCACTGAGAAGAAGTGTCACGAGGCGAGGGGTCATGTCGAGAAGCTGAGCCATGGTCCTGTCGTGCGTTTCGATCCCTTGGTCGGTAATTTCAACGGGCGGATATCCTGCAATGCCAGACCACGATGCTCCTCTTGCTCCTTCTCCGCCACCTCTAAAATACTCGACCAACTTCCTCCACAGATACCCTACATTCCTACAAAAGCAATCCTTCAAAACAAGTCTACAAAACGGCGTAACTTGATCCATTTGTGAGTCTCCGAGTCTCATAGCCTCCAATTACCGGGCATGGACTCCTTGACGACAGAAATTGGGAATGTTGGGAATGCGTCAGTCAATACAGACCTCGCGGCCAAAGGAGGGGCGTGTAGAGTGCGTTCCAGGATTTGCAGACGAGTGCGGCGTTGGCGAGTGATAGGAGGTAGTCATCGTCGGGGTCCTGGAGGTAAGGGGTGATGTTGTCGACGATGTCGAGGTGGGTTAATGGATCGATGGCAAGAGGTGGAGGAGGAGTCATGTCTTAAATGACTATTTGGCGAAGGGCTGAATGAGGAATGCAAGTTAATTCAGGAAGGGACAGGGAAGGAGAGAGAGAGAGAGAGAGAGAGAGAGAGAGAGAGAGCGTGGACAAGAAAAAAAGAAAGAGAGAGGGTGTTGAGCGTTACAAAAGAGAATATATGCGCTAAAAAAGGTCCAGAACCCTCGGTCCAAGTTCATTTTTGCCAGGATAAAAACGCGCTCGTCATAGGATGTTCGGATCAAACACAGTCTAGCTTGTCTCCATCAAAACGCGTCCTGTTTGTCTACGTCGCGTGGATTCTCAACTTACTTTCTTCTTCTTCTTCTCGGACCCGTGACTTTTTGGAGGATGTTCCATTGGCCATTGCGCGAACCACAGTAGTCGCGGTGTTCCCTCTGTCACCCACACAAGACCAAACAAAAGGCTCTTCTCACCAAGACAACGACAACGACAACGACAACGACAATAGCAAAAAAACGACAGATTTTCATAACTTTTCTCACTTTTCTTGACGGTCAATGAGTCACATTCACTGAAGGATGGGAGCGAAAACAAAAAAAAAAAAAAAAAAAAAAAAAAAAGGAAAAATCAACACTGACAATGTTACATCAATTTGCAAGGCAGAGAAAGAATAAAAGAGAAACGCAACAAAAAAAGGTCATATCAAAGAGCGTAACTCCATACACAATTAGAATTAATATATTTGATTTTACTTGTTGTCCTCTGTCTGTGGGATACTCATTCACTCAGAGAGGGCCTCAATTCCTGCTTCCCGTAACCGATCCACTGTCTCCTTGCTAAGAACGACTGTTGAAGTGTTCAATTCCCTCAGACCAGGATAGTTTCTCACGAACCGATCCAAATCGCTCCCAATAAATGTTTTGCCTTGTTGCCCCCAGATTGTGAGCGTCCGAAGTCGCGGCCCAACCAATGTCTTGGCCTCTTGATCATTGTGCTGGTGCGGGCGGTGGTGAGGTGATTCTGCACCTCCACCTGCTACACTGTCTGTTGTTGGTATTGGTACTGCCGCTGTTACCTCTGCGTCAGTTTGGTTTGCATTCTCATTCACAACCTCGCCTTCCCCGTTTTCTCCTATTGTCAATTGACGCGCCTGATGTCCTTGGTCCTTCTCCTCAACCCCCATGAACCCCTGAAGCAGTTCCTCATCAGCGTCCCAGACGCAGACCGCCAACTGCTCCAAGGCAGGCAACATCCGGATCCTCTGTCGAATCCGTCGAAACGCCCTATTTGGCGAGTCCTCCAAAAAAATTTCAGGAGGTTGAAGCCCAAGATTTCGAATGTCCAGATGCTTAAGAGTCTTGTAGCAGGCCCATTTTTGTCGTTCTTCCTGGTCTGTCGTCAAAAGCGTAGTGCCGAGGTCGGTGTTGTTGTTGTTGACGTCGGTGTCGTCCGTCATGATTGCCGGAGTGAGTCCAATGACATCCAGGAGCACGAGCGACTCTAGGCGATGGCACCGCTGCAGAACAGCCTTGAGTCCTGAATCGGTAACTACAGAACATTTCAAGATGCGTAGATGGAGGAGTGTGCTGGCTAGTGACGAGGCCAGATGCTCAAGAGATCGGTCCTCCAAATTGCATTCGCAGAGATGGAGCCGTTCCAATTGTAACGATGCGCGGCCCCGTTGCTGTTGCTGCTGCGGCTGGTTGTTGTGGCTGCCGACGGCAAGGGACTGGAAAAACCGCGAAAAGACTGATGGAGGAATCAAACCACAGTACACTATGGCAAGTTCCCTCACTCCAGGACAGAGCATGGGGAGGGCTACCAAGAAGTCGGTCTTGTTGTGAGCGATAGAAAAGGACGTGAGTTGAGGAGTCTTGCCAAGAAGATCAATCATCATTCTATCGTCCATTTCCACCCGTGAGAAATATAGGACCGTGATCGTAGTTGTTGTGTGTTGTTGATCCAAAGGGCGGGGGCTCCACAGCGCATGACAATGACTCGTGTCCTTGACCTCCCCTGTTATCGCACTTTGGTGGTCCTGGTCCTGGTCGTGGTTTTCCATGATGACCGGGTCAAAGACATGGATATTTTCCAGACGAAACTTGTCCAGATTCGCGTGAGCCTCCATCAGCCTCACTAGCGAGTCCCAACACAGACTCTTGGTATACCAAACACCCGGGTCAACCATCAACATCCACCTCTTCAGCTTTAAATACCCCCCCCCCCCCCCCCCCCCCCCCCCCCCCCCCCCCACCACCACCACCACCACCGCCTACATTATCAACAAGCGCCGACACGATGCCCTCCGGAGGAACTGTCATCTTCCCTAATTTGACCGTCGTCAGCGTTGCCTTCAAAGTGCTCAGATACAGAGCCAATCTCTCGACCGATACCTCAGGGCAGGAAAACGTCACGCTGTCGACAAAAGGACAAAGGGCCGTAATAATGTCGAACATGGCTTCGGTTAAACAGGACACCGTTAGCTGCCGAACATAAACCCCGTACCCTTGGAGTGACTCGGGGACAGTCGCAAAGTTGTTGTTGTCGATTTTGATGTTGCGCCAGAGGAAGGGCGTGTAGAGGGTGTTCCAGGATTTGCAGACTAGGGCGGCGCGGGCGAGGAATCGTGGGTTGTAGTCGATGAGGAGGAGGTAGGGGATGATGTTGTCGACGATGTCGGGGTGGATTAATGGGTCGAAGCGATGAGGTGGACGAGGCGACATGGTGTAAAGTGATGAGGTAGAAGGGGAAAAAAGGCGATGAGGGTGTAGGACATAGGGTGGTTGTAAAGAAAGAAGAGATATATATATATTTCACTCGACAGTTATCACAACACCAAAGGTCTCGAATCGGATCTAATCAGCAGACTTTTTATCATCTTTGAAGAACAAGGCCCTTCAGCTAATACCGATCAACAAGGGCCTTGACACCGACTCCCTCAAATCACCCCTTGGTAGATGAGAGCATAAAGATAAAGGAGGTCAGTTGTAGGCTTATTTTCGCCACCAGAAACCAGGCACAATCATAAAGTCGCCAGTGATCACTTTCACAACCATGTGCGTTGTTTAATAATATGAAGGGGGGGTATTTAGAGTATGTAGTAGATAAAAACGCGTGTAAAGGCGCGATGATGGAGAGACGTAATTTAGAGGGGCTACTTGTCCTCGGGAGCAGCCTGCTCCTTGGCAAACTCGATAAAGACCTGGGCAAGCGTGGTCTGACTGACAGAGTAATCCTCAATGCCCAACTCCTTGCGCTTTTGCTCGAAAAGAGTAAACAACTTGGCCAACATATCTGTCGTACGCTCGCCCTCCACACGCGTCAACTCGTACTCCAGACTGGATCCCAATGCCTGAATCAGAGTCACACGTCCAGCGCCAACTGTGCGTTCCATCTCGCCAGTCATCAGGTGAGGGTTGGCATATGTTTTAACAATGACCTTGTAGCCGGCGCCATAGGTGTTCTTCAACCGTTGCGAGGTGCCCAAGGCCTGAATGTGCCCGTTGGTAATGATCCCGATCCTGTCGCACAGAGCATCGGCCTCCTCCATCGAGTGGGTGGTCAAGATCACACACGACGTCTTCTTGAGCTTGCGGATCGAGTTCCAGATCGCCTGACGGATCGCAACATCGACTCCGGTGGTGGGCTCGTCCAGGAAGACAACCTTGGGGCATCCAATGACCGCCATCGCCAAACTGAGCCGGCGCTTATTTCCACCCGAGAATGTCTTGGCACGCTTGTTGCCCAAAGGCCTCAATCCCATCTCGTCCACCATCTGGTCGACCGCCGCGTTCATGTCCTCAGGAGCCACTCCCTTGATCTTGGCAAACAGCTCCAGGTGGTCGCGGACAGTCAACTTTGGCCAAATAATGTCAAATTGGGGGCAGATACCGATCATCGAGCGCAAGTCGTCATGGAAGGGCGCAATCGGAAGCCCTTCGATGGTGCCGCCGCCAGATGTGGGGGATTCGGCTCCTGTCAACATCTTGATGGTCGTGGTCTTTCCTGCTCCGTTGGGTCCCAGGTATCCAAAGCACTCGTTCTTCTTGAAGGCCAGGTAGACGTCGTCCAGGATGATGAGGTCACGCTTCTTACTCTTGATGTAGAACTTCTTGGAGAGACCTAGCAGACGGACGGCATCGTTTTCATCTTCGGAACCCTTGAGTCTCAATGTCTCTTCAACCACTTCAGCATCCCGTTCACGGTACTTGCCATCGAACGTGATGGTAGTGTCCTGACGCTTGAGTGCACCTCCAGCAAGGTGAGACGCCCCCTGAGATTCCTCGGCGTGCTTCTTGTTATTGTTGTTGTTTTTGCGGAAAAAGGAACGACGAGACTGAGTCCTGCTTTCGACATAGAAGATGACGCAAAAGTGGACAATGGTGATACCGACAAAAACAAGGATGGCACAGAAGACCGGCTTCTGGATGTCAAAAACCTCAGCAACGGTATAGGGGCTTCCGCTAGTCGCGGAAGTAGCAATTGACGAGATGGCACGCTCCATAGCAAAAGTGGGGGCAATGCATCCAACCAAGACAATCGCCAAGTTTGAGACTCCATTGAAGACAAACTCGACGAAAAAGTAAGGGACAAAGACGATCAAACTGAGACCAACACCAAGGACCTGACCGACCGACTGAGACTTTTGGAAAGGGAGCGAGAGGAGGTAGCCAAAGGAGATGACGGGGAAACCGGCAAAGAGGAGGACGATAAGATAGGGCACCCAAGAACCGCTTGTGATCATTTGAAGACGAGCTGCTCCAAGAATGACAAAGCAGGCGACGGTGGGGATCAAGAACGAGACCAAATCAATCACATAGCGGGCCAGGTAGTAGGTGATGGGCTTGATACCCATGTTCTGGAGATGTTGTTTTTGTCCGTGCTCCTTCTCTGCGACCAAGTTAGCTGCGACAAAGGTGGTGAAAAACGAGAATGCTAATAAAGAAGCGGGGCAAAATGGGTCATATGTTAGCAACAAGTAAACGCACTCGTGGTGCACAGACAATCCTGCGGGAAGTACTAAAAGACATTAATTAGTCTAAACTTACCAAAGGTCATGAACGAGGGGACAATAAAACTGGGGATGTCAACATTCTCAGAACCCTGGGCAGCAAACGTTTTGAGAGTCGACAAGAAACGCAATCCAGTTCCTGCAGCTCCTCCACTGGTTCCACTGGTCGCATCGACGTTTTGAGTGAATGCGTTGAGGGCACTCAGCAAGTAGGGGATAGAGTCGTTCTTGGCTGACAGTAACGTAAATCCAAGATCCAGGGCTCCTGAAGTCGATGTCGAGGCTGCGAGGGCGTCGAGTTCGAACCCAATTTGGGGCTTGTAGTCCTCCAAGGTCTTGTTCTTCAACATGGCCTCTCCATTAGCAAGTTCATAGCTGACAATGTCATCCATGCTTGAGAAGTTGGCAAAGTATGGATTGAATGGGCGATAGATCTGACCCAGGTTCTGGACGACCGAGTCGGTGAGGTTGGTGAGTCCAGGAATGGCCTGGACGACGGGAAAGTAGACGACAGGTTTGGTGACATAAGAGCTCTCCAGTCCAGCTTCTCCTGCAGTGAACACCCTCCTGTATTGTGTGTGATGAGAGAAAAGAGAGAGGAATGAATCAGTAAATGGCTATTTTTGTAAGAAGTCTATGGTCGAAACAGGACCCTGATATTGGGGCATGCCGACATCGTACTAATTGGCAGACGTAGGGAACACTGCACTTACGTATCGATGGTGCCAGTTTCAATTTTTGGAACGCCACTCTGGATACTGAGGGACTATAATTCGCAAGACGGGAACGAATTGGGATGGTTAAGTAAGTGAGGATGATGAATTCCGGTATGCTTTAAGATTTTCGGTATGTTGGCTTGGACCCTTTATGATTTGTCGAAACAAAAACTGAATGAAAAAGGAGAAAGGAACGGGAAGAGCCAGGAAGGATGGATATGTATGTAAACAAACAAAGGAAGTTTTACTTACGATAACAACGGCAGCACCGATCATGATGACGGGGATGACAGATCCAAAGATGTAGACAGTCGGGTCCCGGAGGGTAACTCTGAAGTTGTGAGCGACCAATGCGCGGAAGTGGTCCATCTTTGTGGGCTTGCGAGTGGCCTTGATGATATCGATCCCCTGGACATCATCGTGGTTGTGGCTGTGGTGGTTGCGAGAAGAAGGGAGGGGTGACGGAGTCTGTTTCCTGATGTCAGCCATCCTGTGTGTGATATGTGATGAGAGTAGTAAGGGAGGGGAGGGGAGGGGGAGGATGAATGGGCGAAGTGTGTGCTGACCAATGGGGCGTAATAATACAAAGAGAGAAAAAAGGGGGATGGAAGTTGGTGAGGGGGGAAAAGAGAGGAGAGGAGAATAAAGTGAAGAGAAAGAAAGAAGTGGAAAGAGGGTTTGTTGGTTGTTCGAAATCTTTAAGAGCGGATAAACAACAGGAAGCCAAAATAAAGAGAGAGGCAATTGAGAATAGAGAAGGAAAAGAAAAAAAACTAGTGGAGGATGCAAGCCTATTTAAGGTTGCCTGTTGGTTTGTGTTCTTTTGCAGTCTGTGGTTTTGGGCCGCTGGACTTGCTTGATGGGTCGAAGGGATATCTGCCATTATCTTCTTATCCACCTGGATATAGCCCCAACTCAGACAACAACACACACACCGACTGTTGGCATAAGGGCACGCCGCTTTCTTTTGCTATGTTTGCCTCTTCATCACCCCAGGTCGACTTTTCCCGTCTCTGGAATAGGCTAATTCTTCCACCTGGAAGGAGACAACAGCCAAGGAGAGGGAGTTTGTACTACCCGTCGACCTTGGCGAAGTTAACTTAACTTTCAAAGTACCATATCTATTTTGGTAGAGTGTGGGAAGGTGCAGAAGGAGTTTCACTTGTGAGCCAAGGGGACCTAATTTTACCCTCTTCCTTCCCTGTCACAGCCCGCTTGCTCATCACGCCAAGAGTCATCCATTACACAGAAAAGCACAATAAACAGCACCGCCTGCTCCCCTCCTTGGATCACTTTTCTCCGACGAACAACAGCCACAGAGACTGCTTTTAGTTCGCATGCCTTCTACCTTTGGACTCTATCGACTTTTGAATGAAATCGAGGTGGAGCTTTTCGCTGAGTTCTCAAACATGTGCTAAGCTAGCCTTATTGTTTTGTATTGTCCCCTGAACAAAAAAGTTACACTACGGCGCCTTTTTTATTATCTTGTTTTTGTTCTTTGTTGTGCCTGAAGCTGGAATGGAATGGACAGAGACAGACGAGGATGCTGTCGACTTTCTTCTTCTTCCATTATATCAGCCTTCTCAATTGCTCTACGGAGAAGGTGACAATCTACCGAAGACATGGACGCAATCGGCACCACTTTTCCTCGCTTCGGGAAAAAAAGCCTATAGTAGTTGGTATATTGTTATAGAGAAGACAACCTCCGCTCTGATCATTGCCAACAGATGAAGCCCTCTTGTTCTTCGATCCTCATCGATGGAAACAGAAAAAAAAACGAGGGGACACGCCGTACTTTTATGCAAACATCATAATACCCCTTCCACAAAACCGCAAGATTTTATTTTTCATAGGTCGACTGGGAAGGTGAGCGAGCAAAAAACAAAAATTTTATGCGCAGGTTTGATGTACGACGAGTCGGTCGATCTGCCCCTTTTCCTCTTTCTCTCTCCAGAACATGGTTTCTACTCTACTTTTCATCGATTTCTCGAATAACCAAGAAGAAAGTACATGCCTTTTGGTATTGTTTTCCCTATCATTCATCATGCTTACCATTTTGACAGACTACAAATTTCTCGCATATCAGAAAACCTTCCTTCTCATGTTCCCTTCTCCCATCCTAACCTCTATCAGCCTCTCAAGTCGAAAACAAACAACCGGTTCATGCTATTAACACTTCGATTGTTTATACATGTATTCTAGATAAAGAAATATTTCTAGGCATCGTGAGGGTGAGGAAGGCGCTCGCCCTTGATGCCGCTGAGGACATTTTCAATCGCAATCTCTGACATGGCGGTCCTAGTCTCGAGGGTACCGCTTCCGATATGAGGCAAGACAATGCAGTTGGGGAATGACAGCAGCTCTGAATCTGTGGGTAGGGGTTCGGGCACGGTTACATCCAATCCCACAGATCCCAGCTTTCCTTCCCTGAGTGCGCGGACTAGTCCGTCCTGTTCCACAATACCGCCACGCGCCGTGTTCACAAACACCTACATATGAGATTGACGAAAAAAAGAGTGAATTATTTAGCGTTAGCATTACACACCGGTCTAGTATTAGAACGCGTGCGACACGACAAAGAGACGCAACATAACTTACCACAGAGTCCTTCATTTTGGAGAAGGCCGCATAATCAAACATATTCTTGGTCTTGTCTGTCAAGGCACAGCATACACAGATCACATCCGACTCCTTCAACAACCTATCCATGTCCACAAACTCAATCTCTCCACCAACTTCCTTCTCAACGTCCTTCTTGGGACGCGTTCCCTGGTACACAAACTTTTGAACTCCAAACGCCTTCAGTCTTTTGGCGACCGCAACACCAATCCGTCCAAGCCCGACAATTCCGACAGTCTTGTCCGTCAGTTGAGACCCCAGCAACCAAGTAGGACTCCAGGTGCCCCACTTGCCCTGAATGACTGCATCGACACCCTCACGCAACCTCCGAGCTGCAGATAGGACGAGGAGGACAGTGGTATCCGCTGTTGCCTCAGTGAGGACTCCTGGGGTGATACCCAACGCGATCTTGCGTGCCTCCAATTCTGACACCGTGACGTGATCGTAGCCCACCGACATTGTCGACACCACCTTCAATTGGGGGCCTATTATTGCATGGCATTTTTTTTTTTTTTTGGTTAAAAACCAGTTGGCATAAGGATATATTTTAGAATGAAATCCAGTCAGGCTTGTTCGCGTTTGAACGATGAGGAACTGTACCTGCGGCGTCCAGCAATTCAGCATCAACCTTATCAGTCAAGAGACAAAGAATCCCGTCGGCACCCTTGGCGAGCTTGAGGAACTCTTGTCTAGGAATAGCGCGATCCTCCTTCCACTGCACAATATCCACCCTATTGCAATTGAACGATCGCAAGGTTGGGTGTCAGCTGTGGGAATATTTTTCGTATCAGAGGTAACCTTCGTCAAAAGACAGAGTAGAAAGGACTGAGAGAAATACACACCCGTCAAAGCCCTTGTCGAGGCGAGCCTGAGAGAGTTGAGGGAGTGTCCTGGTGACGAGGAGTTTTGAGCGCTGAAGGTCGGTCATGGAAGAGGAGAATGAACGCTTAAGGATGTGTGAAAAAATTGATGGGGTTGTGGTGGTGATTCTAGACTGAGTTAAAACACGATGAATCATTGGTTTTTAAGAGAGGCAGAAGGGCGAAAAGTGAAAAAATAGGAAAAAAAGGATAAAGAACAACGAAGAGGGAAAGAAAGAAGAAAAAGAGAAGGGTGGTTGGTTCCGGGTGGGTCCGTTGGTTGGGTTGGGGATGAGTCGTGTGAATGAGCGGGCACTGTCAAAGGACAAAAAAATGTGTCTTGTGTTCCCTTTCGGACAAATAAAATAAAGTACGCGTCGAACCCAAGGGACATCGAAGTCAATTTCTCAATTGTGTGCTCTACCTTGTTGGAGACGAGGGGCAAGGATAGGTAGTCATAGATAAGTTCCTAGGACGTGTTCAACAGGATCCGGTGTTAATTGTAAGTTACCTCCCAGGCACCAGGCCTTCATAGTAGGTGATCATGCTTTTGTTCGCGCTTTCTCATGCGGCCGCAGCACGCATCCAGTGACTGCCATTGGCTGATTAATAACAGATGTCTTTTTTCTTTTTTTCTCCTCTACACACTCTTCCTCCACACTTTACACAACCGCCTACTTACTACTACAACCATGGTTATCGTCCAGGTAGACCTCACCTCTGTGTCTTTCTTCATACTCAACTCTTCCCAGTTCTACCTACAAGTCTCAAGTGTCTAACCTCATTCACTCTTGTTTTGCGATGCATAGCCCAACACCCAGATTAAGTACGACATTCCACCCTTGCAAGATGTATATGGACAAAAGGAATGCAACAAACAGCAACAAGCAGGAAGACTAACAACTTAACACCTTTCAAACAAGAACAGGTTGACCAACGTCTCTATCGTTCGGTACCGCAAGGGCGGCAAGAGATTCGAGATTGCCTGCTACAAGAACAAGGTCATGGAATGGAGAAGTGGCGTGTAAGTTTGTCGTCTTACTCACCACTACGCTCGCCGGTCAGGCTTGCTGCTTCTTTTTCTTTCCTACATCTCATCGCATTACCACACAATTAACATGCTATCTTTTGATTGTTAATATGATAGTGAAAAGGATCTTGGAGAGGTGATGCAGATTGACAATGTGTTTCTGAACGTCTCAAAAGGGCAGGCGGCCAATAAGGAAGATCTTATGAAGTGTTTCAAGACAGAAGACCGCAACGCCATTATCCTTGAGGTACACATCACCCATTAGACACTTTCACCAACTGGAAATGACATCTCGATGTAAAAGGTGGTCAGATACAAGTACTTACTCCTCTCTTTCCACTGTTTTCATAACCATAGATCTTGAAGAAGGGAGAATTGCAGGTCGGAGAAAAGGAGCGCGCATCGATGTTGGAGGGCATGTACCGTGATATTGCCACAACCGTCGCCGAGAAGTGCGTCAACCCCGAGACCAAACGCCCCTATACCGTCACAATGATCGAAAAGGCCATGGCTGATCTTCACTTGTCCGTCAACCCCTCTCGTTCAGCGAAGTCCCAGGCATTGGATGTGATCAAGCAGTTGTTGGAGAAGAAGACTATCCCCATTGCCAGAGCTCAGATGCGAATCAGGATCGTGGTTCCCTCGAAGGATGGAAAGAGGATAAAGGACAAGTTGATGACCATGATTGCATCCAAGGAGGATGAGGATCTGGACGAGAACTACGAATGGGTAAGAACAAGAGAACTGTATCAGGTGGAAGGAGAAAGTACTGCGGACGAGATTTTAAAAGTCGGCATGAATACTAGCCCACAGTAACAAGATATGCTAACCCCTTTGCATTGTATATATATAGACGTGCTTGATTGACCCAGGACAGTTCAGACCCATCAACGAGTTGCTTCAGTCAGAGACAAAGGGCAAGGGACAGCTCGAGATGTTGAGTTTGACCGAGACCAAACAAGGAGACGAAGTGTTCTAAAGCAGGATCAACGCAGGCTAACAGGATACCGACACCCAGCGAAACAAATCACCATATAGACCCATGAAATAAAAACGCGTCAAAAAAGCCTTTTATATTGTTCTAGTTGTCAATATTTAAGATCTTCTTACACCTCGGGGCATGGTCGAACACCAAGTTCCCGCTGAACATCCTCAACAGGTTTCTCCATCCACTCCTCCCACCTCACGTTCATCAACAGCTTGCCCGTGCTCCCATTCTCCAACGCCCAGGGAACATAGACATTAAACAGTCTCTCCCGCTCTTCGGATGACAGTCTCAATGGTCCAAAAAAGGACGAGAGCATAGTCATGGGCAGGCCTGTCTGGGCCATTTCGAACCACTTGAGCGCAATCTCGCCATCAACCGTTACCGGCAATCCTGTCAGTGTGTGGTAGAAATCGTGTGTCTCGCGGTATCTTTGCATCACGTATGCCAATTCCTCTGAATCCACATAGTGCACCTATATATCAAGTGGTCATCAACGGATCGCGTGTCAGTTATTAAGATGTCAAGGTACAATCTATGTCTTACGATGAGAATGGTAGAGTTGTTGTTTTTGATTTTTACAGGCTCGCGGGTATCGGGAGAGACTTGTTGGTCGTCCAAAAAACGGACGTATTCACGTCCAAAGGTACCATCGGGGAGCTGACGAAGGGTATCGAGTTGCATGGTCTCAGAGGTGATGACAGGTCTCTCGCGGAGGATGCGGCGTCCCTCCGGGTCCTGAAGCATCTGATCCCTGATCCTGTTCAGAAAGATCCCGCTCGTCGTCTCTCCCAATGCTGCCACCATATCTGAACATGAAGGAGAAAACAAGAACGGGTTGGTTAAAAAAAAAAAGTCGTTTGCCGGTGTGTTAGAGTATGGATGTAATGATAGTGAGAAAGGGTATGATAATAATTACCTCCGCGCAAGGGATTGGCAAGGGCTGTGAATGCAGATCCGACAGCCAGGATGGTGCGCTGCAAGGGTGAGATGGGGATATGACCCTCATAGAGTTTGCCGGTTGGGGCTTCAACTAACAATTGAGAGGTTAATTGAGTTAGTTGAGGCGCTGATATGATCAACTGATGATAGTCGTGTAGGAAAAATCGGGGACGCGTCGTGACTTGACATACGCGGTGAACGACAGGTGAAGAGGCTAGCACAAGGAACTGCGGACCTTGCGAGAGAAGGGGTGGCTCCTGTGCGGGTGAGGCATTGCTTCAAGACTGATGAGTTGGTCCGTGTGAAAATACGTGCCGACATGGTGAATGGGTGATTTGGGGGGGAGTATGAAAAGGTGCGATGGAGGTGTGATGAAGGAAGAGAAACGAAACGAAACGAAAAAGGAACGGAAAGGAGAATACAAGAGCACAGCTTGCGCCCACGCTGAATGGAAAGTTTGTTCCTTCGCGGTGGTGGGACTGTTAATTAGTTGACGCTGTTTACAAACAGAGGTCGGTCAAAGCTCATGGTACTTTTTTTTTTTCTTTTTCTCTTGATCACCTTAATCAACCAACGACCAACAGCAAACCAGACAACATGGCCAAGAACTACATCGTCGAACATATGGAAGAAGGTGCGAGGAAAAACACAATACAGGATATATCAGGAAGAAGCAGGCACTACTTTGAGCGAACAACACCAATACAGTATCGGAGAGGCTGACTATGTACTTTCAACTGTCTCACTTTACTGGACTTGGATAATTAGGCATGCACGACTGGTGCACGCTGGAGTACGAGCACATGGTCTCTGTCTGCGGCGCCGAGCACATCTACTTCACTGCTCTCACCCCCAAGACTCTCGCCGATATGCCTGCCTCGCTCAGAAAAGCCCACTGCCACACCGAGGATATCCTGACCATGGGTGACCGTATCCCCCACGAGAAGGTCTGTCTCCTCGACCCTTCTTCGCCTTACCCCCTCGCCCCCGAAGATGCTGACACTTATGACTTTTTCCTTTTTGGAGGTATCTTGGGTGATGACCCACCAAGAGGTAAGGCTTTGTCTGCCTTGAGTTCATGTATACGACGTTCAATTGAGTCAAGGGGAAACAAAAAGGCTGACTAGTTGGGCCAATGAATCATTTTGATTGCGATAGATCGTACTGGAGAGTTGAGAAAGTTGGGATTCGCTACTCGTCACTTGGGACCTGTTCAAATGACCACCGATACCGCCGTCAATGTTTCTCGTCGTGTTGTCGAGGGCAAGAGTAAGTCTTTCATAGGTTACCTAATTGCCTCCACAAGTAGCGAATACATCATACAAGAGTCATGGAGCAGGACAGTAATTGCAGGAAAGAAAAGGCTGTTGTATACTCACCCATCTAAACCTATCCTTAAATGTAACATTTAGCCCCATTGGATCAGATCCAATTCATCGACCACCCAGAGATCAAGTTGCGCAAGAAGGAGACCGTAACGATGCCCTTCCGTTACATTGCCCTCCCTCCCAAGGAATCTACAGAAGTCGCCGTTGAGGGTGAGGAGTCAACGAAAAAGTCAAAGAAGGCCAAGAAGCTGGAACCATTGCTCCCTCCTGGCATGCTTGAGCTGTTGAAGAAGGATAACGACACCGCCCTCGATCTGTTCTAGGTCTCAGATGGGCAGAAATGGAACATATCATATGCGTACTCTACATCAACAAGGAGAATCAGCCATAATAAAGGAAGAAACAATTGCATCCATATCGCCGCGGGGACATGCTGGCGCGTACACTTTTTTTTTCGTAGGTGGAATGAAAAAAGTGGGTGGGTGATGAGCCATGAAAGTCGACTTTAGGACTGCTATGTTGGAGCTACTTTGACATCTTGATGAAGAGAAAAAAGCCGCCGTCTTCGTACCGAACGAAAAGCTGGTAGTGTCGATCCTTCGTCTGTTCTGCATCGAAGGAAAAAAAAGGAAATTGAAAAGAAAGACAAGCAGTGGGAGACCAACAAGGAGAGGGGGGTAGAGCAGTGATGTTAAACTTGAGCGGCGTGTGTTGTTTTGAATGGTGTAACCCTGAGTGTTGGACCCTTTTGATCGAAACCTTGACAATGGCAAAGTTAAGTTAATTTGTCAGGTGTTGTTGATACTGGAAAAAAGCCCAACCCAGAGTGGGAGCTTGGCGATAGCCAAGCTTGGCGACAGCCAACCAAAGAGAGAGAAAAGTGCGGCGTGTCCATTTTTGGAATTCAATAACAGACGGGCGCACTCTTATAAAAAGATCTGTCAACGATGTGGGTGTGGAAAACCCATGAACGAGAGAAAGGTCAAGATCAAAGCATTCAATCATGAGATTTGTTCGCTTCAGCTTCCTTGTTTAAACAGCTAACAATTGATCATGAATGGATGGTATTGCAGGAGAGGAGGAAGGCAAGGTGGGAGAAGGGCGATTTATGTTGTTGACGTTTCCGAGATAGCAATCGCAGGCAAGTGAGAGATTTGAGGGATACAGCCCAAGGATCGGAAAAGGGCTGTCATTATGATTTTGTGTTTTCCCTTGGAAGGAGGACGTTAATGTCCTGATATGACTTGACCCAGGGAGACAACAAACAGGACTTGGCATTCTGCTGTCAGCCAAGTCCCCTTTTTTCAAGTCGACAGTTGCTTTAGTTAACTCTGTTCAATTCGATCCATTGGAATTGACTTGGAAGCCCGAACTCTGGCTATTGTTCTGAAAGATACCAAAGTCGATCCCCACTGTTTTCAATTGACTTGTGCATCAACAGGCCGTCACCGGTCATTGCCCTCTTCAGACAGAGAAGTGCGGCATGCTTTCTCGTGCGACTTGTTCCCCTGGACAGAAATATCCATCCCCCATCACTGACTGTCGGATATAAAATGGTGCCCCCCATCGCCTATTCCCATCTGTCGAAAAGGTTAATTCTTCAATTAGAGTTGCCTGTAATCTCAGTCTCACTCCCTTGCGTTCTTACTTCTATCCCTCCACTCTGTCTTCTTCTCTTCTCTTCTCTTCTCATTCTTCTCATTCTTCTTTCCTCCCGTCCCTTCTTCCGCTCTTAGTGCCTTTTATTGTTCATCCCACTCGGACTGTCACCTCTCCTCTCCTCTCCTCTCCTCATCGCCACCCACCCTCACTCACCCTCACTTACATTCACATTCATCACCTCCTCCTACTGCATGAGTTTGAGTGCCCACCACCTGGCCCCCTCTCGCTTGTCAATCGGTTCATCGGCCTCGGAAAGTCATTCCCTCCACGAACTTCACTCTCAGGAACGGCCCCTCATGTCTCACTCGGACAACCACAAAGCAAACCTGACAGACCCTGTGTCACGCCTAACAGCCCAGGCTAGCTACAATGTCATCTCCTTACCTACCGCCAAGCAGCAGTTTGTTGCTCTCACCATCAAGAACATCAAGATCCGTATCCGCGATTTTGCCCAGACCATGTAAGCACAATCATGCCTTCTTTCTCAACTGTCTTCTTTTTCTGACGAGAACAAGGTGTCTGACCACGTACTTGCTATACTTTCTGTTCCCCTCTGTGAAAATAGCAATGCGGTATTCCAGGTACGGCTACCAATCCGCTATGCCCGTAGCTTAATTTTTTAACCCTCCCAATTCCTTTCAATTGAACAAACTTACTCACAAATATGTCCTCTTCAATGTCCACCTCTCGTAGCCTGTCTGGATGGTGCTGGTTCTTGTCTTCCTTCACCTCTCTGCCAAGGGTCCCGCACAACGTACGTCCAAATAACATCAATCGTCGCGCTCTCTCTCTCTCTCGTTCGATACTCGCTCCCTCACCACAATATCCTTATTCTCACCAACTAACCTTTTTTTCTTCTCTGATAATCTAGACATGTCGGCCAAGGCATTGCCCTTCCTCTCCGACGACACCTGCGTCTCAACAACAGCATGCACATATTTTGGATACACAGGACTTCTAGCAACTGACCCCATTATCTCGGAACTCGCTGGATTCTTCACCGCCTCAGAACCAAAGTCGGTCGTCCCCAAATTCTACACCAATGAGGCTGAAATGACAGCTGCATACGACGCCTCGCCAAGGAACTTTGTTGTCGGCGTTGTCTTTTACGGACCTTCGACCAACTTGACGACCCCTTCTGCTGCTGGAGGATCTCCTGCTGATCTGTACCAGTACACCATCCTCGCCAACCATACCTCTTACTCCAACTCTGAGTACCTCAACTCTCGCTTCGCCACCGCTCAGGTAAAAACATGAGTCTCCTTTCCTATCAATTGACTTTTCCACTCTATGAAAAACGAACGCGCTTCCTAAATGTCTTGCAACGTCATCTGCATTAGGTTTATGTGGAGCGTGCGGCGATCAACTTGCGTCGCAAGGCCAACGGAAAGCCAGGACTCTCGTCGCCTCTTCCCCTGAAGACCGATCCCGGCACTGCGAACTCTGGAGTCGGCAGGACATTTATCTCGTGCGCCAACTTTGTTGGTTTGGGCTCGTCCATCAACCAAGGATTGAATCCCTACTATATCATCTTTTGTTTCCAGGCTGTCTGGGTTGGTGTTCTCAGTATTCTTGTTGAAGAGAAGAAGAAGAAGATTCGTATGGCTATGACCATGATGGGTATGCACAGGGATCCTTACCTGATCTCTCTCTGGCTGATGCAAAAGTAAGTCATCCTTCGCTAATATACACTGTCACGTCTCTATTGTGCATTCCTCATCGACGCTTCAGTACACCAAACACAGGAGGTCTTATTAACGATGTAAATATTCATGCATCTAATAGCATTCAGAACCTGGCTACGTGTGCCCTGATGGTCATGATCCTCTTTGTCGGCAAGATCTTCACCAACACCAACGCCTTCATTGTCTGGTTGATCTTGGTCCTTTTCTCGTTCTCCTGCACAGCATTTGGAACCATTGCCTCTGTCATGGTCGCCGACCCCAAGAAGAGCAACACTGCTTCGTTCATGATCTTGATCTGGACCGTCGGCTCCTTTGGTATCTGCATGGCGCTCGTCTTTGGAGGCGGCAAGATTATTGATCCTACCACCGAGACTCTCCTATTCTTGCTTCCCTCTGTCGCCATTGGTCGTGCCATCAGCTATATCTCCGACGTCGAGGCCGCATTGGGTGGTGTCACCTTTGGCAACTTGTCCGCTGGACCTTGTGGCAAGGCTTTATGGATGTTGGCTATCGACGCCGTTCTGTTCTCCTTCATCGCCTGGTACCTTGATGCAGTCTTCCCTGGAGAGTTTGGAAATGCCCTGCCCTTCGACTTTTTCTTGCGTCCCAGCTACTGGGGCTTTGGACAGTATCGTAATGCCGCTGAAATCCTCCCTCACGATTTCCAGCGCTCCACCGAGACTCTCGATCCTGTTAGAGCACCTGCCGCCAAGGAGTACTCGGATATGTTTGAGCAGGTCGATATCTCTCACATCCCCGTCGAGGATCGCAGCATCATCGTTGCCAGAGGCATCCGCAAGGTGTACTCGACTGGACCTGGCTGGGCCTACAGCATCCCTCTCTATGGCTTGTTTGTTCGTTTGTTCTACCCTCCAAAGTCCGAGCGCAAGACTGGTCCTTTTTCAGGCGTTCAGCACCAGGAGGTCGTCAAGGGTTTGGATCTTGAGGTCCACAAGAACGAGATTCTCGGATTCCTTGGTCATAACGGTGCCGGAAAAACCACCTCTCTGTCGATTATCATGGGTATGGTAAAGCCCTCTTCCGGGTCTGTCGTCGTCAATGGACACTTGATGCCTGGAAGTGATGCCGCTGGTGGTCGCAAGGTAGACATGCGTACTTTGACCGAGGTACAGAAGCAGATGGGTGTCTGCCCTCAGCACGATGTCCTCTTCGAAAACCTTTCTGCCTGGGAGACTGTTCAGCTCTATGCGACCATCAAGGGTGTCAAGGTCCTGGGCCGCACCAACGCTGGTTCTGCCGATGGATCTTCCAACGGCTCTCGGTCACCTCAGCAGCTGTTGGACGAGTACCTCGATCACCTTTTGGAGGACGTCTACCTCAAGGAAAAAAAGCACGAGCGTGTCGCCACCTTTTCGGGAGGAATGAAGCGCAAGCTCTCGGTCGCCCTTGCTTTCCTCGGTGACCCCAAGGTTGTCTTGCTCGATGAGCCTACCACCGGTATGGATGTCTTTACTCGCAAGCAGGTCTGGCAGCTGATGCAGGACTCGAAGGCTGGACGTGCCATCCTGTTGACGACCCACTCGATGGAGGAGGCTGATGCTCTGGGTGACCGTATTATGATCTTGTCGGACGGTCAGTTGCAGACCATGGGCAGCTCCTTGTTCTTGAAGAACCGCTTTGGACTGGGGTACCGTCTGAGTCTCGAGAAGCGCCGTGTCATGTTGGCGGACCAGCGCCATGCCAAACAGAAGCAGAACCACTACCACAACAACGAAATCCAGGCAACGAATTACTTGGACGAGGATCGTCATGAAGTCAACACGACCCTGTTTGATGAGGAGCGTGCGACGGCGATTGTTCAACAGCATTTCCCTGATGCGACGATAGATGTCAACACCGCGACGGATATTACGTATGTCTTGCCCACGACTGGTACGGTTGAGCAGCGGAATGGGCGGAGTGCTCAGGAGTACATCCAGGACAAGAAGGCGGCTCTCCCTGGTCTGTTTGCCCATCTGGACAGCGAGATTGCGGCCAACCAATTGGGCGTCAAGAGTGTCGGACTTTCGTTGACGACGCTGGAGGAGGTCTTTGTTAGTCTTCAAGAGCAAGAGGAGGCTGAAAAGCTCGCCAAGGAGGAAGCCGAGAACAACAACACCGACACCGAGTGATACGCACGTTCTTGAAACTCTACTGTTCATGAATTGATTAACTACTTCCCCCATCCATACTATCGATACCATTTACCATTTACTTATTAAACCATTATGAACAAAGATATTCCTTTTATTACCCATAACGCCAATTGCTCCACAACCTTACAAACGTGCTCACCACTTTTACGCCTCAATAATTAGCAAGGTCCACCAATAGTCAAACGAGGTCTGAAGCCATCGATTTTGTCCCTAAACGGGGTTAAGGTTCAAGACGCCCAAATTGCTAATGTTATCAGTTCTCTCGGTTGAGCCGTTCGTTCAGTGGAAGAAAGTAAGCAAGTGTTTGTGGTTGAAACCTGGAGAGAAGCAAAGAAGCGAAGACGAAAGGAGGAGAGGGTTCAGTCTCTCACACCCTCGGTAGTTCTTTCTTCCCTCTCTCTTTTCTCTTTACTCATTCCTCATCTCTCATTCTTTTCATCTCTCATTTCTTCATCTCTTCTTTTTTTATTTTATCACCTCTCTTTTGTTTTCCGTTACCCCTGAACCAAGCTATGAGCAACTACAACAACACCAACCCTCAACAGCCATCATCGGCATACACCGCCCGGAAGCAAGACGAATACCACCCTTTGCAGAACCAACAGCAATACAACGGCAGCAGTGCTGGTCAGGATCAGCATTATGAGCCGAACAATGTAGGAGGACAGATGGATTCGGCGGGAAGACCCAAGAAGAGGAACGTAATCACTGAAGCCTGGTCTGGGATCACACTCGGCGCTCAAGCTGTCCAAGGAGGCATCTCAAACGGTACGTCTCCTTTTGTTCTGTTCTCAAAGGAGGCGATTTAGTTTCTAGTTTCGCGTCATGTTCTAAGGTAAGATGAGGAGCAACTACAAGTTCTAACCCCCCTTGCACAATTATTTCTTTTTTTATTTGCTTCAAATAGTTGAGAAAGGTGTTAACCAAGTGGGTGACAAACTGGTGAAAGCGCCGGTTATCAAGCAAGGAGCTTCGTTCTTTGCGGATTACCGCAAGTTCATGGACCGTGGCAACGTCATGGACCTTGCTGTCGCCGTTATTATTGGTATGTGGTTGATTTGTGGGCTGTTCTTCGTTCAAGAATTTGTTAAATGAAACATATGGGCATTCCTGAATTTTTTGCGTTGTGTCCCTGAACGGCGGACGGACGTTGGAGTTGGAGATGTGGTGTCTGACGCTTGTCTTTTTTTTTTATTGTGGAAAATAGGTGCTGCCTTCACTGCTGTAAGTATGCCTCATCGATGTCTCTTTCAATAAGAACAACAACAGTCGAAAAAGACGACGACTGAACAAGGAATGCGCTAAAAGATGCTGACCCCGATTATTCTCGCCTTCGCCATCGTGTAGATTGTCACTAGTTTGGTCACGGACATTATCACGCCTTTGATCGCCATCGCTACAGGAAAGAACCTCGAGGAGAACTTCGTCATCCTGCACCGTGATCCTCGCGACCCTGACACACCTGTAAGTAATTTGTTCTTTCTTGCATGCGCAGGAGTTCTTAAATTGGGGTGGTTTTCTAATGACTTCATTTGCCTTTTTTCTTTGTTGCTCAACGAACTCATAGTTGCCAACGAGGGCATTTGCAAAGGAGCATTTTGCGGTGACATGGAACTGGGGCAACTTTGTGCAGACGGTCATCAACTTTTTCATCATCTCTGGTTGCGTCTTTATCATCGTCAAAGGTAAGACCCACAAAAAAAATATGCTGCCTCAACCCGGCCGTCAGACCGGACTTGAAGCATTGGGACACACTTCTTGGCCAACGCTTTACTCATCACTCATCTCCTCCTCCTCCTCTTCCCTTGCATATTCATGATAGTGTACGAAGTGAGCAGGAATTCTAAGAAGGAGGTGACAGAGAAGAAGTGCGATTACTGTCTGAAGAGCGTCCCATTGAACGCTGTGCGTTGCCCCAACTGCACGACATGGCTTGATTGGGATGCATGTGCCAAGGTCGCCAACATGGAACGCGTTGCCGCTGCCTCTAACGGAGGTCATTCGCCCTTTGCCGACCAGACTTCTCACTTCTGAGGAAACGTTGTAGTTAATCTAGTTCTTCTCGTAGATCGAACCATGTTCATTTTGAATAGAGTATTTATGTCACCGCACTACACATTCCTTTGCATGAAAGCATGATTGACTATTTGCCTCGGCTTTTACGTGTTGCTGCCGCTTGGCATGTGTCCTCTAGTGCCAAGAAATAGGGTGTTGTAAAGGATGACAGCCAAAAGGGGAATAAAAGCGTGTATGCATGTTGTTAACCCCATTGACGTCAATTCTCTCAGCCCGACTATGATGTTTTGAGTTTCGCTGTCTGTCATCTAAAAAAAATCCCTCAGGCACACACAGACACACACGAAACATGGCGCACATGGTCATGATCCTCTTCGCCTTCTTGCTCCGCTCCCTCCGCTGCTTTAAAAATGTGCCAGCAGGGTCGTCATCGCCCACTTTCTCTCTTCGTTCTCTTCAATTCCGTCTCTTTTTCCTTTTCTCCGTCCCCTTTTCTTTATTCACATACCTTTCACTCCTACTCTTTCACATACCCACTTTTTTTTCAATACATTCTACTTCCATCAACCATCAACAGAAACTCATGGCTCCCCCATTCAAGATTCTCATTGCAGGAGCAGGACTCGGAGGTGTCACCCTCGCCGTGTTACTGGAGCGTGCCAAGATTGACTTTGAGCTCTTTGAATCCTCCTCCTCCGTCTCTCCTCTCGGTACAGCACACGTCCTCAGTTCCCCTTCTACTAACATATGTCGATTGAAACGCTCTACAATGCCTTGTTACTAATCGACCGAAAAACCCTTTGTGGCCTTTTTTTTTTTCGTTCTGTGCGACCATTAGGAAGCGCTATTTTGATCGGTCCCACTGCGATGCCGCTATTTGAGCAATTGGGTCTGCTTCGTCGTCTTCAGGAGATTTCGAAGCCCATCAAGACGATGCACTTGGTTGAAGAGAGTCTAAAGCGGATAGGGGAGATTGACCTTGCGGATCATAAAGAGCAGTAAGTCGTTGTTCCTTGTCTTTTTTTTTTTTTTTTTTTTTTTTTTTTTTTTGCATGAAAATCAAGCACGCATGAACAGCCCAATCAACAGGCATCGGCATTGTGCTTTCGGCATTGCACTTTACCCTGGTCTTTTTTTTCTTACCTTTCCCTTTCCCTTTCCCTTTTCCTTTTTTTTTTCTTTGTACAGGACCGGGTATGACTCTTTGGTTACAACGAGGTCCGACCTCCTACAGCTACTCGCCTCTCAAATCCCGTCTCACAAGATCCACTTCTCAAAACGAATCGTCTCCTTCACAGCCAACAAGGACGAGGTCGTCCTTCGCTGCGCCGACGACACGACTTACCAAGGCGATGTCCTCATCGGAGCCGACGGAGCATTCTCAAAAATCAGAGAGCTGTTGTATAAGCAGGTTGCCAAGAAAGGGATCTTGCCAAGACAGGATGCAGTGGCGGTGGCGGCGGATGTTGCGGCGGCGACGGTCGCAAATGCTGCTGCTTTGCTTGATGATGGTAGTGATGAGACGGCAACAGCGGAGGCGGAGGGGGAGGCGTTGAAGGGCGGGCATATCCATCTCGTGGGTGTTACGCATGCATTGGATGTCGAGAAGTTTGGGGCGCTCTTGGAAGATGAGAGTCGGTGTGAGATTGTTGTTGGCACCACCTTGCCTCATTCTGTAAGTACAACCCCTTTGTTGTTGTTTATTGTCAAATTCCGTGTTTACAAACATGGATGAGAAGTACTGACCATGAACTCTTTACGCAACATGTCGAACTGTCATTAGTGGAGTTATTTTACGGTGCCTGGAAATCGGATCTGTTGGTCGGTGAATATGGAGATTGACGACAACACGCTTCTGGAACAACGCGCCCGTTGCGTCGACTCCTCCTACCCACCAAAATCGCCTCCCTCACCCACACCCTCCTCCCTCTCTCACCTCTCCTTCTCCTCCACCGAAAGCGGCCAATTCACCACCGCAGCAACACTAGGTTGGGAGGCAGAAGAATCCAACACAATCGCCCATTCCCTCCTCGTCTCGGAAGAATGCCGAACCTTCCCATTACCAATGGGCGGCAAACTTGGTGATCTGATGGACGCGACACCCAAGGACCATATGGCTCGAGCCATCTCGGAAGAGACGCTGTTCGAGACATGGCATCATGGACGGACCCTCTTGATCGGTGACGCATGTCATCGCATGTTCCCGAATGCAGCCCATCAAGGAGCGACCAACGCGATTGGGGATGCAGTGATTTTGGCCAACTTGTTCCATGATTTGCCGTTGGCTTCTTCAGAGAATTTGGTTGAGTTGTTCAAGGACTTTCATGCGGATCGGTACTTGCATGCCAAGGGACAGATGTTGATGAACCGCAAAGTTAACCGCATCCTCAGCGGACAGGTAAAACACCCTTCTACCAGCTGTAATAGTTGATTGAATTTGCTATGCTACCCATTTGAAACCAAAGTAACGAACTAAACGCGTTTATATCCATATTGATGATCTAGACGTGGACAGAGTCGCTGATGAGAAAGTTCTATGTGCGGTACATGTCAAAGGTGTACCAACATTTCTGTGATTCAAAGACGTTGGCGGATCGTCCTCAAGCGACCTTCTTGCCGCTTGTCGAGAGTCGTGGACATGTCGATGCTCTGCCTCAGAAGGAGCATAAGGTCTTTGGAGCTGATACCCATGAGAAGCACTAAAACATGTCATACGTGTGCTTCGCCCATACACCCAATAAAGTGTTCATCTGATGGATAGATCATTCCTCCTCTATAAGTCTCAAATGGTTAGATGTTATCTCTTTTTCTACGACGGTGGCATTGTTCTCCAATCTCGTTTGATTCGCAACATGGGGTGTGGGTGTGAGAGGGAGAGGAAGCAAAAGCAAAACAGGGAGTGGTAGAAAAGCGTAGATTAAGCTTGCAAGTGCGATCTAACAGCAAAGAGGAAAGTGCAATTGATGAAGTACCCCTTAATTTTAATAGAGAAGATTATATGTTAGCGTTCCTTGAACAACATGTTGCTCTTCCTTTTTTGACTGGCCTTACAAAATGAAGGTGCGAGACTCGGCAGCAAATTGGCCGCGGATCGATTAGATTCCATCGGGAGCATTGGGGAGCAAAAACATCCATCCGACGACAAACAACACACACCCATCCAACCAGACATCCCCATCATCATCAGCATCTCCATCTTCACAAACCTCATATCCGACACACTTCCAGGAAAATTCCAGCCAGAAAAAAAAAATCGACACCTACAGCTTTACCGGCAAACTCTGACGGTCCATGGGAGGATTGGATGGGGGGGTAGAACTGGACGGTATTGCAAGTCGGAACTATTGTCAAAATAGAACCTGCGAGCAAGGAGACCCCCATCACCAGCGATAGTGATGGAGGGTAGAACCAGAGATCTGTTCAAAACCGACAAACAGCAATGGCAGCACTTACATCCCGACGGCTCTGGAGACACAGAAAACAAAAAACTCAGCAGGACATCTACGGGAGGATCATCATCAAACTCACACCACCACCCCACCGACTACTACTCCAGGCCCTCTCAGCGGTTACAAACCCAACAACACCTTCAAGCAACTACTACTATGTTCCGTCAGAATCTTATACTGATGGATCTCTTTTCTTCCTTTCTTTTTTGATGACAACAGTTGAACATTGCCAACCCAGCCACTGGCTGCCAGAAGACCATCGATTTCGATGATGAGCGCAAGACGTAAGTGATCTTGACAGCGACGGAGATCAGGATCCGACACGCCAGCTTTCTCCAAGGACTTGGAGTACATATAACTCGGAAGCGACAGAAAGGGAGCACACTACCAGGAGTTATCAGCGAAGAGTGTGATAATGGCCTGCAGGGGGAGGGGATCAATTGCCCTTGCGCTGGTGCGCTAATTGGCCGTCTGGATACCCTTTCCTTCGACCAAGCAGCCTCGCTCACTAAAGACCACTCAACTCGATACACACACAAACGAAACAAAGGAGCTGGTGGCGCGGCATCATGATCGACAAAAAACGCTCAACACACAGGAGAGAAAGCGTGTAGAAGGCGCACGACGCCTTCCCAAAGCCAAACGCCTCCGTTCAACATCAGAGACTAACTCCACCCTCCCTTCATACTCCAAAATTCAAAAAATAGTCGCATCTTTTACGACAAGCGCATCTCCGCTGAGGTTGCCGTCGACTCTCTCGGTGACGAGTTCAAGGGTTACGTCTTCCGCATCACCGGAGGTAACGACAAGCAGGGTTTCCCCATGAAGCAGGGAGTCCTCCTCCCCTCCCGTGTCCGCCTCTTGTTGTCCAAGGGTCACTCGTGCTACCGCCCCCGCCGCACTGGTGAGCGCAAGCGCAAGTCCGTCCGCGGATGCATCGTCGCCTCCGACATGTCGGTCCTCTCTGTCACCATTGTCAAGCAGGGTGAGCAGGACCTTCCCGGTCTTACCGACACCACCGTCCCCAAGCGCCTCGGACCCAAGCGTGCCAACAACATCCGCAAGTTCTTCGTACGTAACCCTTTTTTTTTTTACATCCGCGTCGGAAACTGAGCTTTTTACAACATTTGGGATCTTTGGACATGTGGCGACAAGAAACATTTGGACCCATTTAGCACTTCCTACTCTTGCTTTGGGGGGTTTGAGCATATTTGTCGTATGGACATTGTTCTCGAGCAACGCGCTTATCTTCAGCAATCTGGACCTCGAACAACAATCAGCAGCGCCTTCCTTCTCCACACATCCTGACCACGACAGAAAAAAAAGCATAGTTCGCTAACCACCTCGTCTCTTTCAACAATCTCAACAAAAATAGAACTTGACCAAGGATGATGATGTCCGCAAGTTCGTCATTCGCCGCGAGGTCCAGCCCAAGAACGCCGAGAAGAAGCCCTACACCAAGGCCCCCAAGATCCAGCGTCTTGTCACCCCCGTTGTCCTCCAGCGCAAGCGCCACATCTTGAACTTGAAGAAGCGCCGTGCCGAGAACGCCAAGGAGGCCGAGGTCGAGTACAAGGCTCTCCTCGCCAAGCGTGTCAAGGAGGCTGCCGAGAAGCGCTCCGAGATCAAGAAGCGTCGCGCTTCTTCCCTCCACAAGGCTTAAACTGGGTTTTGTGCGGCCCCCTCCCCCCACCTCACCCTGTTTCTTTATGTGTTGATAGTCTGTTCTGATTGTTCTTCTTCTGCCCCCACATAAAAAACTTCCAACAATTTTATTTTGTGCCCATCTTTTTTTTTGGCCCCCTCCTCTCGAAACGCGTTTTTTGATACTTTTGATCTGATTTATGTTGTTGATAGTTCTATGGATACATTGAGTTTTATGCTTGGAGGATATACAATGACACGGACACCTTTTCTTGTCTTTCCGTTGCCAAAAAAAAAACCGGATATGACGATTAGTCAACCCCGATCGGGGGCCTTTGCGTTAACGTGGGGTCGGTTGGTACCTGGGAATAATCGTTTGAAGGACTTGTGCGTTTTATACAAACAAGAATGTATTTGTGGGAAAATGACGTGAAATATCTAGTGTGCCTTTTTTTTTTTTTTTTTTACTCGGACTTGGTCTTCTTGGAGTAAATGCGGTTCATGTGAGGACCCTAGATTCGACAAATAAAAAATAATAAAAAGGGTATAGGATGTTAGTAATGCGAAATAAAATAAAAAAAATACGTTCGTCTTGCACTTGCAATTGAAGTTCGAAAGTAGCGAAGATAAACAAAGTACCTCGAAGAACATGACGGAGATCCAGAAGATGATGTACATGTCAACGGCCAAGATATATCCAATGACAGACTGGTAATAGATGCCAGTGCCGACAAGCGACAAGGTGGTGCCGACGTATTGGGGGTCGCTGAAGTACTGATAAGGACCATCCTCAACCTAACATCGAGCATAGAATAGCGATTATTGGTGAGTAAAAGAACTGTCTATAGTACCAGAAAAAATAATCGAGAGCTACTTGTATCCAAGAAATGATTCCTGATAGAGAGACTTACGGGAGCATCGAACAAGAAGCCAAAGCTGTCGCCGTTGTACATTCCCTTGATTCCGAGCGACTATCACATTTCATTTGAGTAATAAATCGACGTTAGTAAATTCCATTCAAAATGACATGCTCGAACAAAATACTGTCCAACAGAAGCAATCCTTACCTTCAAGGTCCAGAGGTTCAAGAGAGCCCCGGAGACGAAGCAGACGGCTCCGAGGACAGTGGCGACGGTGGCAGGGAGCAATACAAGCTAATTGATCAAATATAAAGATATGATGATGAGGATGCGATCCTGTTTTGCCACCAAGTTGAATTTATTTCCGAGCTCGCACAAATAGAATAGAAAGAACAAAGGATACTTACAGAGCCAGCATCAGGGGCGACGGCGAGGTGGATGAAGTGGTCGCGGATGAGGGCACTCAAGATCAAGTAAACAGCGTAGAAGTAAATGGCGTTCTTTCCAAGCACCTATTAGTTTTTTTTGTGGGGTTGAATGAGAAGAAACGAAATGATGTTAGTATCACGTGTAGAAACATCAATGAACCCGTTTTTCCTTTTTCCTTGTCTGTCATTTCTTTCACGCGACCTATTATCATCTCCCTTTTCTCTTTCATGGTTCACTTCTTCCTTGCATTGCTTTGCTCTTTACCTTGGTGAATCCTCGAGTGTTGTACTCGAAGCGGGCAGTGACATTGTAGTTGGTAACGTGCAAGATCATGGCCACTATTCGTTGGGTTTTTCACAGCAACAAGAGAGAAACGAGTGTGAGCAAAAAAAAGCGCGCGCTGGGTTTCTAAAGTCAAACGTTCCTTGTTTCCGTTGTTCCCATATTCCGTGATAAGATTTTTTGCCCCATTCTTTTTTTTTTTTTGTCAGTTCAATATCCATCCTGGATGTCCCCTGCCCTTGGTAAAGTTGAAAGTGGACTCTGATATCCCAATAGACGAAGGTGCAGCTTGCATATCTGTGAAGGGACTTCCAATTCGTGCCTCGGGAGGCATCGCCCAGAGATGGTTGTGGAGTGTTCCTGGTCCGAGTGAAAAGTTGGCGGAGGCGGGTTTCAGTGCTGTGACATAATTATTTTCTTACAGATGGCGACTTGGCATGGAGCGGTGTTGATCTTCTCCCACATAAACTCGATGAACTCGGGGCCGGTGATCCTGGCAAGGGTGACTTCGAAGCTGAATGCGCCCATGGTTGATGAAAGGTGAAAGTGATGTGGGAAGAAGGTTGAGGGATCAAGAGAGAAGGTGAAGGAACAAAGGGGAAGAGAATAAATGGTTGGGGAAGGAGCTTCGACGCACGGGAGCGAAACGGTTGACGTGACTGGGGATTCGCACGATCTTTCTCTCTTGATTGTTCTCACATGGATGTGAAAGACACCGTTGAGAGCGCGGTGCTACCGATTTTTTTCTAGTAGATGTTATTCTCCAACGGGTATTGCTTGTTTGTTGTTTTCTATCTATCCTCATGCTGTAGACGAAACGTTCTCTTGCTCCAATGACTCTTCCTCGACTGGTTCTTCCTCATCCCCCTCATCGTCCGAAGTAAACCCAAACGAGAAACTGAACCCACCTCCAGATCCACCGTTCGCTTCAACACCACTCTCACCCTCCTTGTCAGAAGCCGCCTCTGCTCTTGTTCCTCGCTTAGCCATCTCCCAGAAAGAAACCTGCTCAGGTCCATCAACACTTCCCTTGCACCGCTGCTGCACAGCCTTGGACAACCTCTCAATCTCCTGCTCATTCTTCTCCCACATCTCCATCAACGCTCGCTTCCTGCCAATTTCTTCCGCATTCATCGAGTCCCCGCTGTCGGCACCCTCCTGAGGTGGGGTATCGACATCGCCCTCCTCCGGAGGGGTCCAATTGCTACGGAAAAACGCCTCCTTGAACTCCTCGTACAACCCCTCCTGCCGATCATCCGCAACACCCGAGACCTGATCCCGCTTCGTGTACAAGAACTCCATCGTCTCCTTGAGGTTCTGGGATCCGACATAGTTCTGCGTGATAGCAATACAGTCTTCCAAGTTCACGACCGCATGCCACCATCCTCGAGGTACAAACATGATCTCGCCCTCGCGACAGATCCCCTCCAGTGGGCGATCTGCAGGGTCGTCGGGGAACTGGGTTGAGGCGTAAAAGTTGCTAAACCATTCCATTAGCGACACTGGAGAGGTCACCTCTGACTCGTCTATTTTACAATGAAGGGGAATTATGTTTGTTAAGTTTGGTCCTAGGTTATTGACAGCTAGTGCATAATTGACAGTGGGCAAGCTTGTTACCTTCGTTTGTGAAGACGCCAGGAGGGAGGATGTGCGGAGGGAACATAATCCACTTTTTCGATCCTGTAATAACAGCATTCCATGCCGACGTCGCATTAGGATCCTAGGAGTATCACGAAACGAATAACATCGCCGTTAGTCTTCACACTTCACTTATGTTTCTTCACCACGTTTTCATGCAGACACAACAAAGTAGTGAGACCCATGTACCTTATGGAAGGTAGATCCAGAACGCGCAGGTCCAATAATAATCCAGCGGTAATCAGGCCTCTTCTCCTTCATCATCCCAAAAAAATCCTCCCGAAAGTAAACAGGCACCTCCATGTCCTCCAGAATCCCCTGACAGCGCTCTCCAAACTTCTTGTCAAACAGATACAACGGACTCTCGTCCTTGGTTCCCTGGGCATACTTGAAATAGTTCTCGACCTTCACATCGACTGACTCTGCTCTCAACACTGCGTCGGGCCAGGTCTTGAGAAAGTACTCTGTAGACCATTTGGTCATAGCCGGCCAATGCTTGGCTCCATCGGTGATAATCACTGGCTTCCCGGGTCGCTCGTATTTCTGAATGAAATCCTCCAGACTCAATCCTGAATGACGATCAATGTTCTCGACGGCCGTGTAGGGCTCCATTCCGATAGCGGCACAGTAAAAGGATTGGAAGAGGGTATCCGAATAGAACCCCTTCAACTTCATCTGATCCCTGTTCTTTAAAATCATCGAAGTATCGTATCCAGGATCAGACCGCTTCAAGAAAGTTGCCCTCCAAGTATCGTCCTGCCAGACCCAATCGCCCTTGAACCGCTCAATCGTCAAGTTCTTCCACATGTCGTCCAGATGTGTCAACCCATATAGAACCCGAGACGTAGCACCCAGAGTGACGAGGTCGCTGGGTGAGAGCAAGTTGAGGATCTCCATGATGATCTCATCCGTCAATTGGGAAAGGCGTCCGAGGGAGGGGCCACGACAGGATCCGGCGAAATCGGAACGGGTGGCGTCCATGTAGTAGTTGCCCAGGGGTTTGATACCGAGGGGGTGTTGCAGGGACATGACATGCTTGGTCGTTATTTTGGGTTTCTCATGGCGGATAATGAACCGCTGCTTTTTGGCTACTGGCTGCTTGCTTGTCGAGGGTGCTTCGTGAGTCGGCATGGCGAAAGTGAGAGATTCAGTTGTGAAGAGGTGTGAATGTTAAAAGGGAGCATGCTCCGCTGCTTTAAAAAAACTTGAGACGAAAATCAACATCGTGACTGTCGCCACAGTGTGCCACCAATTCAATAGTGCCCATGTCTCAACTTTTGTGAGGTTTGTTCGCTGTGGGAACAGAAGGACTCATTACGAGCATTGTACAAGTGGATGGTTCATTCGTTCTTTGTACAAGGTGGTTTTTGGTTTGTTTAATATGTGCAGCTTTCTAGGCGCGAGATATGCGTGTAGATAGGTTTAAACGGTAGCGATGCACTCAATCTCGACCAAGACATCCTTGGGGAGACGAGCGACCTCGACGCAAGAGCGAGCAGGGAGAGCACCACCCATGTTCTATGTTGGTTGTTGAAAGTACCTTGATGTTAGCATCATTGATGGCTTGTCTGTTGTTGGTGTGCGCAATTGATCCACATGGAGGACAGACGTTTGTTGCTCGTTTTCTTCATTGTTCTTCTCGAATTGGCTCCCTGTAATGATACATAGAAGAAAAGACATACCTTGGCGTAGATCTTGTTGACGGCATCAAAGTCCTTGAGGTCCTTCAAGAAGACGGTGGTCTTGACGATCTGGGCGAACGACGAGTGGGCTCCCTTGAGGACAGCGCCCATGTTGGCAAAGACTTGCTCCTGTAAGTCACAAAAGCGAAAACCCAAAATTTTCTCATGGAATCAGTAATGAAAAAATCTCTCGAGATATGGCATCATGACCATAGTGACTCACTCACGTCTTGGGTCGTCCGTTGTACGTTGTGGAGAGTGGGGATAGTGAAGACAACGATCAAGGGCTGGTAACAGCATTATATTTTCTTTCTTTTTCTGTTCGTGTGTTTAACTTACAGTCTGGGCCTCGACACCCTCGGGTACGGCGCCAGTCTGGGGGTTGATGCCGATCGAGCCAGAGCAGAAGACGAAACCGTTGGCAACAATAGCCTGGGCTATAAAAGAGGATGAGCAAAATAATAAAAGATCGCGATGTTGGAAAGAGAAAGTATGAATGAGTATCGAGAGAAAAACAGCGTGGGAACTAAAATCATATAGGGCATTGTGCGCGTTCCCCTCCTAGTGAATGAGAGAAAGGAAGGAACAGAGGGCCATGGCCTTTGTCGACATCTCTGTTCTTTCCTGATGCTGTCTTGTTTTCGTGCTTACAGTAGGGGCCGAGGGCGGCAGGGGCGTTGTCGGAGTGGACGATGTTGTGGATGGTGGCCATTGTGAATGAATGTGTGTGTTTCGGTGTCTTGAGGGAGGGAGTTGATGAGTAAAAGAGAAAAGGAAAGGGAAAAGGCGGCCTATTTGTACCCCTTTTCAACCAGATCGAAATCCGAGCGCGTCACAGTCCCCGTTCCGTTCAATGGCACACACATGAAATTGTTCGCGAAGAGAGGTTCTATTATCTAGCAAGGCGCTGGCTTTTGCTTCGCAATCTATAGAGTGTAGCGTTAACTCGTCTGCTACTATGACCGTCCACAACGCTCACTCTCTCCTCCAGACAGCTTCCATGCAGGCCCAAACAAAAAGTTCTCCTCCAAACGATCAACAGTCTGATCGACCTGGTGAAACTGCTGCAACAGCTGCGCATCCCTCTCGACGTTGTTCGCGCTTCCATTTCCGAAGCAGTAGGTCTTGATCACCTGCTCGCGAACAGTATCCTCCAGATTGGCGACCCCAGCTCCTGGGCCAAGCTCCTTCAAATGTGAGATAGCCGCAGTGTCGAAAAAAGGTCCAATGCTCAGGCGTCTCAGTTCAGGATTTGGGAAAGTGTTGTCCCGTCCCCCGAGAGATGTGTAGCCAAGATCGTACAGCCCACAGTAAGGCACATTGATCGCCCTCAAAAAGGTCCAGATATCGTGATATGTCCAATCCAAAATTGGGTGAATCCGCATAAAAGGTGGCCAGGAGGGGTCGCATGGTGTGAATGGCTTCAATGGACCTAAAAGCGGTGCGACAATGATCGAATGATCGGGTTAGAGAGACCTTTCCACACACACATATCACGCCATGAATATTTCTAATGGGAAACCAATACTACAGATCTCTCATTACCTCCATGGGGATCGTCGCGACGAGTTCCAACCATAATGGCATTAACATTGCCATTGAGCCGGTTGTATTCCTCGAGTGCTTTCTTCATGGGTCCTGGTATCCTGACCAAGTTCAAGTTGTATCTTTCGATCTCGTCGTCAACAAAACGCTCAACCTGACCGAACGGGTTCTTATCGGTGACATAGATGGAGGCAATGGGATAGCGTTGAGGATGAGGCGGCCTCTGTTGCTCATGCTGGGGGGTATCTGGGGGTGTATGTTGCTGCTGTTCAGTGCCATGGATCTTGTAGAGGACAGCGACAAAGAGATGCAAGAGTACTGTGCAGTCCTTGCCTCCATTGAACGAAAGCGAGATGCCGGCAGGTCTATGAAAGACGAAGATACGCGCAAACAGAGTTGCAAATGACATGAACCAAAAAATGCGGCTCAGCAAGTTGTGTGATATCTAGAAAGTGATATAACTGTGCCAGAGTATAAGAGAAACGAGAGAAAGGGAATGACATACCCGTAACGGCGGACGGCTTCTTCTATCACCTTGACGGCGTGCCGCACACTCTTCCAGCAGTGCTGACCTCGCTCATTCATTAATTTAGATTCCGCAGCGGACGTTGGCGCCGTCGCGATTTCGCACAATTGCCCCTTGTCCGAGAGCAGGGCATCGTGCGCATTAGCGAGGTCGATGAGATGATACACATCCCGCATAACCTGGAAACCATCGATGGGGAGCACGAACGAAGGCCGACTCGAGTAGAGGGCATCCAGGGCCAAACTGACCGGGTCCGTTGCTGTTGCAGCTGTTGCTGGTGATTCGGAAGGTTGGGTATAGGTGATGATTGGTTCGATCAAAGTATGAACGTTGTGAACCGAAATCACCGGCTGGAACCGCGTCTGTCCGGGGACTCTGATGTAATGAACTTCGCCCTTGCAAGGTGTCCGTCCATCGTAGACCTCTCTGTCCTCTGCTGCCTCAGCCTTTGTTCCATTGATCTGTGTGCTCTCTTGGTAGTCGTGAGTAGTCCCAACGGCTGTTGATTTTTCCTGCTCCGGCTGGTTGCTCTCCAATGGACAGTGAATAGCGTCCTTTTGACGGGCATCAAGCAATTCTTGACCGAAGGTATCTGCGATGGCTCCGAGGACAGACTCCTGACGCTCGATCAAAGTTGTGCCCTGTGTTGACTCGTTGGTGGTGAGCAAGACGACAAAGACCAGAGAGTGATCCCGAGAGAAGGTTGCGGTTGTACGAGTGATGTCGACGGATGAAGACACGACTTTTGAGCGGGTGATGTTGAAGTGGTTGGGCTGAGGGGGCGTGAGGTTCCTATGAGAGGGAGAGTCAGAGACAACTATTCCCAGCAGCAAAGAAGGACAAGGACAGTTGTTGTTAGTCGCGGGTAGAAAGGGTTCCATCAGCACAGAGACGTCGCTCCAAGGTAGCAACAATTCTTTGTCTGAGTGAGTCCATACTGATGAGTCCGACAGTCTCTTGGTTGTTGGTGAGTGATCCTTGTGAGGGCATCATTCTTGTCATGGTCGGGGTCAAGGGGATTATGGTGTCTGTTGAGTGACCGGAGTAGGGTGGGAAGAGTGGAGAGAGGAGAGTGTCGAGGAGAGAGACAGGTGAAGAGTGAAGGGAAAAAGAGCAACGAAGCGAAGAGCCTGGAGAAAAACTCGACCAAAGTAGGAAGGAGACTCTGACAAACAGACAAACAGAGCGCAGTCCCGCAAAACAAGATCAATTGGCATGAGAAAGACCGATCCTCTCCTCTTCTTTGTCCTTAATCCCCACTTCCTTTCTTCCCCTTCTTTCCTCTTCCCTTTCTTCCCTCTTCCCCTCCTCCCTCTTCTCTCCACACGCTACCAGACTCGTCTCCTACACCCCTCAAGCAGTTTGAGGAAGACACCACAATGACGGGAGGCTGACTCGAAAGAAGCAGCCGAATCCTCAGAATGGTCGTCCTGCTCCTACCGTTGTTCTTTTTTCTCTTTTCTTGGTCCATGTCTCTTCTGTTCTCAATCAATGCACTTCGCCAGGCCGTGGTCGTGAATGAGCGACTTTGAACTGCGCTTTTCATCCTTTGCATTTTCACTCTTTTTTTTTTCTCTGTGCTTTCTTGTTTTCTTTTCTTTCTCCTTGTCTCCTGTCTCTTGGTCGTCTTGCCAACTTCTGCATTCTTGCGTTGTTCTGAAGAGGGCTCTCGGCTGCCTCTCAAGACATTCATTGTTCTTTTTGTACAAATGGCTCAGTCTTTCTTCCAGTTGTCGTACTTCCAAAACAACACAAGACCGAATGAGATCTTGCAAGTGTGGTTGTGTCAAAGACATGTCGAAAAAAAACGACTATACCTTTCCGCTTCTCCTCCTCTCTTCTTCCTCTTCAACTTTCCCCCATTTTTCTCCCTCGCACCACGGTGGTTGCTTCCCTGATTCGTCTTTACTTTTTTTTTTCTTTCCCCTTTTTGTTCTCAGGCAGATATCGGCTGCTCCTCAAATCCTCAAGTCGAGACAAGATGGTGGTTGCGACAGGATTAGAGTTGAACGAACTCATTCTGATGAATGCAAAAGACACGACTACGCCCGTGCTAGTCCTTTGTGTTTTGTTGTGCGCACGAGTGATTGGAGCATTATCTTGCTTATTCTTGTGAACGAGCAGGGGACAAATCCAGCTTCCTCCTTCATCCCCTGAGGCAGGAAAACGATCAGCCAAACTAAAGAGGTCTCTTCTTCCTTCTTTTCCCATTCTCCTCACCACACTCCCCACCCCTGTATACTTTTGTATGAAGGTAACGATTAGCACGACTCTCAGGTCCTCGCTCTCTCAAGGTCCCCATCTCGCTCTGGCGGTTTATGCATGATCGCGGGTCTGCATCTGTCTGGCGGCAGCGGCTCAAGAACCTCTTGCACAAGACTAAAGGCATGTATATAGCTGACGATTTGTGTGCATGCTCAGCGATGAAGGATGGGATGAATCAATTTGTTTTCTTTCACTGGATCGCAGGAAAGTGGCGCAAGTCGACCAACCCTTCCTGTCCTACCATGGACAATGGTGTGGGATAGGTGGGAGTGCTTCGCTCCCTCAGCGGTACTAGAGGGTTCTAGCCAAACTCGAGGACAGGTGGTATAAGAACGCGCGGCACTCGATCAGTTGGACATGGTTTGGACAGGAAGGCTTGGTCGACTTGCACCCTGGAAGGGGATCCAATGGGCGAAAAAAAGTCGCTCTGGACCTGACTGAGCTGACCATATCTTTCTCTCTGATCTTTAATTTCTAAACTCTAATAGGTTGTTCTTCTTCTCCTCTGCTTGTTCTTTACCTTTGAGCGCGTCTCGGCTGGAAGTCGAGGAGTATGAGGTGGATCGTTGCGGCGAGGAGTGGTTGGAAAAAAGCAATAGTAAAACAGACGAGCATTGAAGAACACGACTTGTTGGTTTTTTTTTTGTTTGATTTCCGAAAGGTAATGACTTCCATATATACGCTTCTCAAACGCGACTTGTAGAATAATCGAAAACAGCCGAGGCAGGTCCTCGTGGTCATACAATGTTTTTTTTTTACCTCCCGTCGATCAAAGGCAAAGAAGTAAGGAGGTTGAAAGTTGAAGACTGAAGGTTGATAGTAGGGTGCGTTTTATTTATGGTGGACAGTACTAACCGCTGCTGTAGCTAACGCTGTGGAATGACCCTTGACAACGGCAGCAGAGAAACAAGTCTGAGGCGCCATAAGCAATATTCTCAGACTCCTGTGCAGCCCATCCTGAGACTCTTTCATCCTGCTCAGTGCTGACTCCAACAAGGTTGACATCTGTAACAGAGGTACGCGGGGTCGTGGCCAATAATGTGGATGGTCCTCGAGGTGAAAGCTCGTAATCGACCAAGACAACGCTTGTTATAGTCAATCCAAGAAAGACAATCAGATCTTCCAGCTGGAAGCATGGCCCTCCTGTAGATAAAGGTCCTCCAAGAAGGAAAGGGGACTTGTCAAAGTTCCAATCAGCTCGAGGAGTTGGGGTTGAGTGTTCGCCGATGATCGAGAGATTAGTTAAGGGAGCTCGAAAAAGGGAATAAGGGAAGAGTGTTGAGTGCTGCCAAGGCTTGCGGACCAAAAGTGGAGGTAGAACAATCGAAGGACTGCTGAAGAGTTGATCTTGACCGTCCAGACTTGAAAGAGGTTGCGTCTGTTGTTGTTTTGGCTGTCCGAGTAGAAAAGCGGCTCCTGTTCCCTGATCTTGGCCTGAAGCATCTTCAGAGCCCTGAACAGCTTGCTACCCTTGTACTGGTTCTCAACGCTCCGATATGTTATAAAACAGCAGAGAGGAAAGGCAAGGCGTTGTCCTGCAGAACCAGCGACCTGGTGTGCGACAGATTTGAAGGCCAGGACGAGTGCCAGGCGACCACGGTGCGGACGGGTTGATAATCCTGTTTAGACGAAGTCAAATGGCGAAGGAGAAAAAGGGGTGAGTCGGTAGACAGAGTCTTCTTCCAGGGAGCTGAGAATCCAAACGAGATGCTTGACAAGACCTGAAAAATTGTGAAGCTGTAGACGAGGATGATGTCGAGTAGCAGTAGTAGTGGTGGTAATTGTTGCTGTTGTTGAAAGGGCGAATTCAACCGAGCCTGTCAGTGAGAGAGGTGGAAGGACATAGCTGGCTGCTCATTTTCTACCTGGATTCAAGTTTTTTTCTCTCCACAAAAAGCAACGCAGTGCATCAAACGTCAGAGGTGCGGATAGAAAATGGCTTCATGGCAAGGGCGGCATCTAGTTTGTTTATGTGTTTGCTTGCCTTCTCATCATTTTCCTTTTCTCTTTCTACGCGTCTCCTTTTTCTTCCATCGTTTCTTCTTTCCAGCATTTTGGTTGCCCGATTTGTCCGATGGATCGGCTTCAACGTCGATGTGGTTGACAACATCTTCCCATCCAAAGATTGCCTTTCACTCCTTTATCCTATGTCTTTATCCTATTAACAACCTCGCTTTTCTTTTACCGGTGATGCTGACCTTCTTTTGCTACCATTCTTTTCCTTTTGTTCCCACAGGTAACCTTGTCTCCTTTTTTCATCATTCGCATCTTCCCTCCTTTTTTTTTTAGTGCCCCTGATCACAGAATCAGATCTCAGACCCAACTTGTCTTACCTTTTCTTTCCTTCTTCTTGGCGTTAGTTACGGTCTTCGCCATTACCGCACCATTCGCTCTGCCTCTCTTTCTCTTCTCGTTTCCTTTCTTTCTTCCTTCTCCCCTTCTTCTCTTCAGTTTACTCTGAATTAGCTCACTTAGCTCCTAAAGCGACACATATAAAAAATCTATAAAAGACAAAAAAAAAATCCGTCTACACGAAAACGGTGGGCAGGATAATGTGTCAAACTAGGTCTTGTTTTTCTGGTTTCTCTTATCTCTTCTGATTATCCCTGTATTCCCCACTGCTCGTCCTCATGTTTCCGGCGCTTCCTGCGATCACCCTTCTAATCAAGGTGGGCCATATACTATGCGATTGGCAAGCATGTGCGAGATGTATGGCCTGCCAGTTCGACTGGGGGTCGGCGATGAATTGAACAAAGCAATTGACAATGACCCCTCCTCTTTCAAAGAACCATGTGCAAGTTGTGTATAGTTGATGTGCCATCCGATACAGAAATAATCATTCAATTAGGTTTTTTTTACATCACAGTTTAGTTTGTTCTACACCGCTTCCCCCAAGTCTGCGCCATATCACGTGCATTATCTAAAGAGCAGTTCTCGCAATTCATTTTCCCCTATACCTCCGTTGATGTCGAATACCATCCTCTCGCTCTTCCCCAGGTATTTATTCTCCAATGCATACCCATCATCCTCTCTATGCTGTATTCTTGTAACCGACATGAATGCAGAAATACAGCTACAGCTGGAAACGCGCATGGGCGTCGGAAACGTTAGGGGAAAGACTTGGCAAAGTGCATGAAAAGGAAATGTGGAATAGAACTTTCATGGGCGCCGGTTATTGTAAGAAAAAGAATATGCAAAGCGAATCGAAAGTGGAAATGGGCCAAGGCAAATGCGAGAGTTTGAGCATTTAATCACACTGAGCAAGCACATCATTGGTACATTGGATCCAGCCCAACCTTTTTTTCGCAGACAAGTGCGAGCATCTGATTTCAACAACTTTTCCTCAAGTTCCCAGCTCTGCATCGATCCTTCAGGGGCATCGACGCAGCATTTGGAATCACAACATTCACAGTGTCATCTTCATCTACTTTTTCCCCCGAAACACACGTTCCTCATCTCAACACACCCAAAAAAGGGTCACCACGAACATATTCCGGCAGTTATCAACCCCCCTCCATCGGAAACCAACACCCTACATGCCTCAAAACCGCCTACCACACCAACGCTCCCAGTCCCAACATGCCCGGACATCAACACCAACAACAATTACGCGGCATCAAGCAGCCGAGCGGCAGCGTCCTATACCTGCCACGCTCGGAAGACGAAGACATGACGTCTGGAGAAACCCACAAGGACGTCAAAAGCGCAGCGCTCACCCCCAACAGCACGGAGGACCAGCAACCGCAAGCAAAAGAGATGGAGAAAATTATCTTCGACACCGGCATCCAGGAGTTAATCCTCAAGGCAGCTGACTTTTGGACCGATGACCCCGGAGCCACCGGAGACATTCTCAACGATTTGGCCTACAAACTGGGAGGACTGGTTACTCTCATCGGCAAACCCATTATCCGTTACCTCCAAATCGACAGTCAAATCACCGGGAAGTATCTCTGTCACCCTCAGCGACGAGCAGTCAAAGAACTATCTCCTCGACTTGGCCTTCAACAAACCAACAGAGGCAACAATCCCCGGCGTAAACGATAAAGGCTCCGAGATGGCCCATGACAACGGCGACAAGGATCTCGGTAACTCCAACAGAAAGACAACCAAACCAGCACGATTAGAACTCTACATTGACTTTCAAATCGCTGAGAACAGAGGTCGGCAGATCGAGATCTCCTCTCTCATGAGCAACACCACTGACGAAATACAGGGTTAGTTTTTATTTGACGAATAATTCTCTATTTATTAGTGTGCTCAATAAACGGGTCAACAACCACCTTCTTTCTCGTCATTCATTTTCCCCCTATATTTTGACTCCACCAAGGCCAAGACCGAAGGCATGTTCAACCCCGAGGGAAAGGTTGAACATATACGCCTCTCCCCAAACAAGTACGGAGGATTATTGACCGCGATGGTGACCCTCGACAACGATAGCCAGGTCAAGGATCTTCAGTGAAGACAAAAGGCAGTGGTATTCATTGGGACGCACTCAGGCCGCATCACTAGACTCGGCAACGACAACAGTACCTTTCACAAGGATTTTGTCCGCAAGCTCACCAACCTGCCAAGAGGCACAACTCCGCTAATGCTGAAAGGTTTGTGCGAGACAGTGAACAATTGCTCTGTTACACCGCAACTCCACCTTCAGAAAAAGAGAGGCGTTTTTTTCGTTCACAATTCAAGAGGCGTTTTATAAGCTGACAAGTAAGGAATGTTTCATTAATGAAACAGATCCAAGGATGACCTGGATGGACATGGGAACAAAATTATGTAGTGAGTGTGGATCGCCCAAACATCATGCCCCGAGATGACCGCACGCAAAGAGCACCGCGTGCGAAGCATCGCGAAGGCGTACTCACTAAGAGCGCCTGCCCCCCCCCCCCCCCCCCATCGACTATAACAAAAACCGCAACAATGGCCCCATACCCAAAATGCAAACCTCTGCTCAACCAACTCAAGCAGGCCTGACATACAGCGCCCAGGTGAAACAAGGGCTCCAGAACACAGGCAAACAAACCAAGGGAACCCAGCTGGCCCAGGTAAGTGGGAAAGATCAGCAGCCCAGTTACAACGACTTGCTGCTAATGATCCAAAAACAGGACGCAACTATTAAAGAGATGCAAGAACAAAATAAAATGCGGGTCGCAGCAGAGAACAGAGCAAAAAAATCAGAAGAGGCGAAAGAAACACAAATGACAGCGCTGGAGGACAGAATCGCAGAGACAACAGTGGTAGCGTACACGGTGGCTATCGCAATGGAAAAATCAAAAATCCAGATGCAAAACGAAATGTATTATGCATTCAAGATGATGAAAGAAAACATGGCCCCAGAAAAGGGAGCGAAGCCAGAGAAGGCAAAAGAAGAAAACAACCCCTAAGGACGTCAGCAACAGCGGTCGCAGACATGCAATTAAAAGAAACACAAAGTGGAAACAGTGCCATGTTTGATTCGTTCCACAACTTCAGATATGGAATCTCACAAATGAGTCACATCGGATATAGAGATGAAAGTGATAACGCAAAAGAGAAAGAAAGGGTGCCAGACTCAAGCAGAAATCAACAAACAACACCCATCCCGTGTAATGACTGATGCAACGGATACTACATGGACGTTGCGCATTGCATCACTCAATGTGCAAGGGGGGAGAAGTGATAGATAATTTAAAGGATTGGCAGATTGGGGATCCCAAGTTGGTTTTTTGACATAATTGCGTGTCAAGAAACAAAACTACACGCAAACGTGAAAGCAAAATATCTTTATTTAACAACGACGAACCAAGCCCTTATCAGGGCCATTGAGCAAGCGCAAGCACAGGGGCTTTGGGTTCTGGAGTAGCGTTCCTAGTGAACGACACCGCTCAGGTTTGCCAGAGCACACCTTCAACAGCCATAACGGCACCCCCGGTCATAGAGGCTGACCGCACTGAATGGGAACAGTGGCGAAATGCAGTCCAGACTGAATGGAAAGAGTAGTAACGCACCAAACGGGAAGAGAAAAGAAATCAGAAAGATAAACATATCGCGGAGGCCATTGAGAAACGCGATATGCGATCCTCAACCAACACGAAATCCACTGTCCAAAGCATTCTTGAAACCAACCGCAGCAATGCTACGTTAGAACGAGTACAAATCACGGTTGATGACCGCACATCCATTACAGATCACCCTTCTCTCATCCTCGAACATGTCAAGACCTACTTTGAGGCGTGGCACGGTCCAAGACAAAGCGAGGATATCCCCAAAGGTTCTCTTTGGGAAGAGATATACTAGTCAGCAGATGATGTCGATACAGAATGGTACTCATACCTGCTGGATATCCCGAGCAACGCCGAGATTGAACGAGTAATTAAGGACGCACCGCCTGGCAAGGCAGCTGGAGCATCCAAGCTAACGAAAGAACTATTACAGCGTATGGGAAAGAGAGCAATGTGACTCTTCTGCGAGATCGTCAAAGCTAGTGTTCTTTACCGTTGGGTACCACTGCAATGGACAGAAGGAGTCATTTTTTGCCTCTCCAAAACCAACCTATGGTCCGAAAACCTAGCCGACGTCAGGTCGATCACCTCCTTGAACACGGGCGCAAGATTTTGTTCTCGATCCTGACAAGCCGCCTATCCGCAATCATGTTGGAGCACAACATCCTTAAAGGCTCCAATTTTTCCGCAGGGAACGGCCACCGCTGATCCTATCCACATTGTCAAAGCCGTCATGGAGGACGCCATACAACACAAACGAGAACTATGGTCCTTTTGCAAGACATGAGGCGGTGCTACGATTCGGTGAACTGTAGATCAGGGGGAATGCTGTCGTTGGGGCTGGACCGACTGAAGGTCCATAAAGAGTTCCAGGATATGCTGCTATTCATCACGAACAACAAAACCAACCAAGTCATCACCAGCTACGGACTCACAGACAAGTACAGACCGGCGTGCGGGCTTTACCAAGGCGGAGTCGAGTGCCTCCTCCTCTGGTGGATCGCGTACGACGCCCTCTTAGTCGCTATCGACTGACAAAAACTCCGATACATCATGACCACACCGCCGGCACCAGGCAAGGAGCCTCCCATGGTCTCCAACGCAGCGTTTGTGGACGACACAAACTTCTTCGCCCCTTCAAACCCCAATTTGGAACGGATCACCGATGTGTCGAGCGAGTTCTTTAGAATACGCAGGATGGAGATCAACGGGAAGAAGACAGAGTTACTAGCAATCAACCCAACACACAACGGTACGATTACCTATGGAGGAAGTCAAATCAGGCCACAGGACAAAAGCAAAACATCAAGAATCCTGGGGGTGTGATTCTCGGCTGACGACAAATCAAAGGCAACAACGGAGTTGGCGAGAAAGGAAACTAGCACAATACGCAATATCTCGAGCAGGAAGAAGGTCACCGACAAAACTGTGCATCTTTATCATCAACATTGTTCTCATCCCCCGACTTCTATATCGCATGTCAGCAACCATCATCCCATGGCAGGAAATCGAGCGGATTACAGCACAGTACAGGAATGTCGTCCGACAGAAACTAGTATTACCCAGTAGCACGTACAACAGTATCCTGCACCACACAAGACTCTACGGGCCCCGAGACCTCAAGGACGCGCTGTCCGAACAACACATCAGCACACTACACCAAAGAAGCATCGACAGAGGAATCGTCGGCGACCTGACCCAATGCCGTCTCCGGAACCTGCAGAACGTAATGCACATGGCAGAATCCCCTCTGGCCAACCCCGCGATCGCCAGACATTACAGCAAACACAATCTTATTGCCAAAGTCTGTCAACTGATGGTGGAGCGAGACATAACATTGAGAGACGTGGAAGCAGTCGAGGAAGATCGATGTTGTTGTCTTTTTCCAACCGTTTCCCTCGCCCATGCACGTTTTCCAGCCCCATCTCTTTTTCATGAACTGTGTAGTGTTTTTCTGACCGTTATGTACGCCCACGCTCGCATCCATGCCCTGATTTAATAAGGTTTGCCTCAAGGAATGTTCGAAAGAACTTGCAAAGTGATTCTGGAGTTATGCCTCCAAAATGTATGACCTTAACTTAATCTGACCCCGCCGCAATACGAACAAAAAATGGAGGATTGAATTGAGCCCGCGAATGAGAGGGGAGGTTTTGGCTGTGGCACATTCATGTCGGTTACAAGATGGCAGAATAGAGAGAATGATGGGTATGCAAGCAGCTAGCGATGGCTGCCTGCGAGACACATTGCTATTGTCGACAAAAACAAGGACGCGCTAATCTGTTTGGAGATGGTGTAGTAACCAAGTCAGGGCCACCCTCATCGGTTAGAGATGGATTTGGATAGGAAACTTTTCAATTTCATTTGACAAAGAGCGAGCCATAATGGCTCATCTAGGCACACAAATCAAGAAACGATTTCTGTCGTTGCCTCATCCCCTGATTGACCATTGTTCATTCTGACATTGCCTCTCTGACTCACTCCCACATTCATTTTCGCCTAACCATGTCACCTTCGGGATTGCTCGAACTTTTATCTGGGCAAGACTGCAAGAGTGCCAAATGGACTTGAGGGAAGCGGTGTAGAACAAACTAAGCATAAGGCTAACTGAGATTGTGAAAAAAAAACTAATTGAATGATTATTTCTGTATCGGATGGCACATCAACTGTACACAACTTGTACATGGTTCTTTGAAAGAGGAGGGGTCATTGTCAATTGCTTTGTTCTTAATTCATCGCCGACCCCCAGTCGAACTGACAGGCCATACATCTCGCACATGCTTGCCAATCGCATAGTATATGGCCCATCTTGATTAGAAGGGTGATCGCGGAAGCGCCAGAAACATGAGGACGAACAGTGGGGAATACAGGTAAAATCAGAAGAGATAAGAGAAAGTAGAAAACAGGACCTAGTTAGACACATTACCCTGCCCATCGTTTCCATGCAGAGAAATGGTACTTTCTATATATTCCATCGTTTTCGTCAAGGTTTTCAAGGCCATGCATTGCATACTGGGCTGAAGCAAATTTCTTATATGGGAGCATGTACAGCGCAGTTTCAAAAAAAACGTCGCAGTACTGGTGGTTATGCCATAAACTTTTCACAGCGACATTCTTTTTGGAACCGCGCTGTACGAGCATTAGAGTTTCGACTCTTATGCAGTGCTTGAACAAATTACTTTTTTAGCGCCAATATTGGGAGGTACTATTCTGTTTGTAACTCTGTCAGTTTCAGTTTACATCCATTTATACAGTATCCATTGTCACCGTTTGTTTCATGGCTGGCGTCGTAACAAGAGAAGGAGGGAAGGCAGATGAAGTGGCAGGGCAAGGTCCAGTCAAGTGTAGGACAAAGAGACATCAATGTCAGGATGGACGATTTTCTCTGCTCCTCTTTTCCAGTAAAACACACCCATCTCCTTGAAAACAACAACACTCCTACGCCGCATGCTGCCATTTTGTTTGTGCAATCACCTAAAATAAAATAGCAACGCCATTGACGATGTTCCTAATCCTATTATTATTACTTTCGCCTTGCCTTTAGAATACTGACTAGTGTCAAGGGCATTAAACAGCAAGGAATGGTGACTCCGTGCCAATTGTTTCAAACTATATTGTGATTCTCATGGATCGAGAATCAAACAGCATAAACATGCATAACTCAGAAAGGCTTAGATGTGTAATGGTGGTCCTGGATGTCACTTTTCGGCTCAGACAGACAGACAGACAGACAGACAGACAGACAGGCGGGAAGGAAGGAGGGTAAGGTCCATGTAAACAATGAAAAAGGCTGTAAAGACACAGCCTTGATCTCAGTCTTAACGAGTGTCAGGAGTTCATCAACAACAACCTGACCAACCCCTCCTCCGCCTCCACAGCACCAGCAACTACTACAACCACCCAACCTGTACCCCAACTCAAGCGACCAACAACAACCACATTGGTCCCTCGCCACAGAGCACCACCACCGACCACCCAAAAACATGTTCGCTTTCAACTTGTGCGCAACCAGTTTGAGAAAATGATCATGGCAGAACACCGAATACCCTCACCTCCCTCCTCAGCTACCAACAATCCCCTCACTACCACTGCAACAAGACTTGACGGCAGCTGCCAACACCTTGACCGACACCGCCTGCAAGCTGATATCTGATCACTTCGACAACACCAACTCTCGATTTGTCATCACTTCTGCCATGACTGTCTATCGAGAGAGCTGCCAGTCTTGGGTACTATTTTAGGTGTTAGCATAGGATCAATAGGAATTACCATGCTATGCAATGATAGCGGTAATTAGATGCAATGACTAGCAGTAATTAGATGTTGAAAAAAAGGCCTTTCTGGGACGGTGTCATGTTATCGTTTTTTTATGTACAAATATGCTAATGGTTTAGTTTTCACTATGTTCGGCAATGGCATGAGGCATTCCCCAGCACTTGTAGCCCAGGAACCCAGCAACATAGCAAAGGCCCTCACTTTCAATGCCGTCGTAGCCCTCATATTTCCATCCTGCGCCAATGACATAGTTGGTCGTGAAAGCGACACCCTCTCGATGGACTTCTCCGCGGACAAAGAGGACGGTTCCACCAACAGAGTCCAATTTTGCAAACTCTCCCTCTCCCTGCAATTCGTGGGTGAACTTGACAGATTTGGGTCCAGGGACAAAGATTCCGCCCTGTTCGATGGTCGCCTGTTGTTCTGCGTTGGGTTTTTTCCGTTCGCCTACCCAGGCGTTCAGGTCGATGAAGCCGCCACTTGGACCGGACCTTGTTGCAGTCGTGATAACATCCTTGCCGGAATCGATCATTCGGCCGAGGAGATCGTTAGGGACACGAATCATATCGGAGTCAATCCAGAGGACGGAATCTTCGTCACGCATGGTGGTGTAGAGGAGGTAGTTGCGCAACCTTGCAATCAGTCTTCTTCTGTCTCTTTGGGAGTTCTCGGCTTTGCGATCTGCTCGAGAGATCCTGGCGTCCTTTTCACGAAGGATGACATGGATTTGGCGGAAGGGGTTCTTGTCGTCTGGTAGCTGTTTGATGTAGTCGGCGATGGCCTTGAATTCTACTTTATCGCTGGCGAGGATACCGAGGTTGATGTTGGACATGGGGTAATCGAACCCTTGGACAATATTCAAGAAATCGGAGAAGCTGCGGTCGCCACCCCAAGATTCGCGATCCCGGACGAGGGTGAGGACTAGAACAGTTTGTTTTCCTGGGACGGGGTGGGCGGAGAGGTTGGTGAAATAGAATTCGTTGCTGTTGATGTAGTGAGAGGGTTTGGAGTCGGTTGGTGATGGTTTGAAGTTGGGTCGTTTGAAGTTGGATGGTTTGAAGTCGGAGATGTTGAATAGGCAGGAAAAGGTATATATGGCTATGACTGCAAGAACAAGATACCGCAGGTGGGAGGTGGACGGTCGGTGGGCGAGCGAACGGAACGTCATGTTTTGGTTGTGAAAAGGGCGAAAGGATGTGAGGACAAGTTGTGAAAAAGAGAGAGAGGGCAAAGGTGGCAAAGGAGATCTAAAAAGAAACGAGTAGAAATACAATTAGCATTGAGGCTTTTTTTTAACAGAAACGTGAAAAAAGATAGAGGGGTGTCGGAGAGGTGAAATGGGTTACAAGCGAGAGAGAGCATAAATAGATGGATGTCCCAGGTGGACTTTGTACTTCAATGAAGTACAAAAAAAATTCAACAGCCCTGATCGATGGCCTATGCGAAGAATGATTCAATAGAACAATCTCCTCTCCTCCTCTCTTGCTGACTGGTCCTCTTGGTTCAGGTACGCGTTATCGATGGGATACGGCGTAAAATCATGCACCTTCCCTTGTTTTCCCCTCACCACCGCCCATCTCCCATCCTTTCCTTATCCTTCTTCGCCATCGTTCATCCTCATTTGGCGATGGTTTTAGTCAACGATGGGTTTGTGCCAACAGAAAGAAGAAGATGGCCAGATCCTTTTTCTCTTATCAAGAACTTCAATAAAAAAGTGGATCAAGCATGATGATTGTACAACGCTGAATCAAAAAAAAAAAAAAAATGCTTGTTATTATTTGCCTTCCTTTCACCACCGCTTTCATGACAACAACAGCAGACGGCGTTGGCGGCGACATGGAAGAGAGAAAGCAATCCGGGTAACCATTCATTGAAAACAAACAAAAAAGAGGGCGGAAAAAAACCCCCAAAAAATAAGGGTTATGTATATCACGTGAAGGCGGAGCCCGAACTAAAAAAAGGTGAGCGCTGCGAGCTACGGTCACAGTTTACGCTGCAGAGTGGCGGTGATCGCACGAATAAGGGGCACAGCGGAAACGAATGGAACGTAAAGGCGGACATAACAGCAAAGGAGGCGCAATCACAAGGCGAAACGGCATGGGAGGTGGACAGAACCGCCCAAATACTCTACGACGATGACACGAGATACGTGCTCAAGATGCAGACCACCAGACGCTGGCACCACGAGTAGAGGGCACTCAGGAGGACCAAGAGATCGATTCAAGACTACGAGGGCACAGATTGGCTTGCCACCCTTTCAAACATACACAGCAACAAACCAGTCAACACCTTTTTCAGCTCACAGCAGGACACACTCCTACGCGGCCATAGGATAAAGAAGGTCCACAGAATGTTGCCTATCATGGACATCTCACGCGCCATGGGTCCAGTCTGTACAAGGACGACTTATGCCGAGTGTGTGGTCTAGAGACGAAGGATAACGAGCACATCTGGACGTGCTCCAAGAGTAGGGAGACGCAAGAGGATCTGTGGGAGGATGCCCTCGACTGAGTCGACGGATGAGGGGAGATTGCACACGACTGTTCAACAAACAGCGACAGAAGCAGATCAAGCCAGGAAAACAGCCACCCCTCGAGACCGTATGGAGGATACCAAGAACCAGCAAGCTCCGCAAGACGCTGTGGTGGGCGATCAAGCGGCTAGGCGAGGAAGAGGAGGAGGAACCGGAACAACACACCCCGAGCGTGTGGACAGTCAGCCACATCTACCGAGGCCTGGTGCCGAAATCCCTAGCTAAGCAGTGAAGCAAGGTGTTCAAGGACGTAGCAGAGAGCATTACCCAGCACGTGAGCCGTCTCTTTTGTCGATATGTCGAAAAGGAGGCCAGGGAGCAGATATGGAAGCCACGCTGCGAGAGGACCATCAGGTGTAGGAGTAGAACAGCATCACCAACAGCATGAAGCGTACACACACCACCAAGGACCAGAGGGCACATTGGACACAGACCCACAAGTGGAAACAAATCTATGGGCGGAAACTCCGAGAGGACGAGTGCCTTTGCGGACGAACCGTAGCAGAACACAGGGAACAGCGGTGCCCAGGCGAGCAGAGCGATACTCGAGTGACTGACCGAGCAGTCATCGACACCCTGCTGGGCCTGAGGCGCATGGATATTATAGAAAGGAGAGGCAACATGGTCATCAAGGAGTTGGAGGAGGAGCACACCTAGATCTCTTGAACGTGTCCCACAAAGCAATAAGGATCGTCTGGACTCACACGCGTCTCCGGCGAGGACGGGCTGTATAATCCTCGTGTGCGCTGTACGGTTTAGGATACTTTACTGATTGAAGTAGACGATGTGCACGTACGAGGAAAACTTAGAGAGATCCACTTTTAATTAGATAAAATTAATGTGTCGTCAAGGACGGGCATCTTTACCTTTGAAAAAAAAAAAAGCGAGCTACGGTCACGGGCACGACCATCACTGCTTCCACGTCTCTCAATGTTATGTCTCGCTCCACCATCAGTTGGCAGACTTTGGCAATAAAATTGTGTTTGCTGTAACGTCTGGCGATCGCGAGGTTGGCCAGAGGGGATTCTGCCATGTGCATTACGTTCTGCAGGTCCCAGAGATGGCATTGGGTCAGGTCGCCGACGATTCCTCTGTCGATGCTTCTTTGGTGTAGTGTGCTGATGTGTTGTTCGGACAGCGCGTCCTTGAGGTCTCGGGGCCCGTAGAGTCTTATGTGGTGCAGGATACTGTTGTGCGTGCTACTGGGTAATACTAGTTTCTGTCGGACGACATTCCTGTACTGTGCTGTAATCCGCTCGATTTCCTGCCATGGGATGATGGTTGCTGACATGCGATATAGAAGTCGGGGGATGAGAACAACGTTGATGATAAAGATGCACAGTTTTGTCGGTGACCTTCTTCCTGCTCGAGATATTGCGTATTGTGCTAGTTTCCTTTCTCGCCAACTCCGTTGTTGCCTTTGATTTGTCGTCAGCCGAGAATCACACCTCCAGGATTCTTGATGCCTTGCTTTTGTCCTGTGGCTTGATTTGACTTCCTCCGTAGGTAATCGTGCCATTGTGTGTTGGGTTGATTGCCAGTAACTCTGTCTTCTTCCCGTTGATCTCGATCCTGCGTATCCTAAAGAACTCGCTCGACACATCGGTGATCCGTTCCAAGTTGGGGTTTGAAGGGGCGAAGAAGTTTGTGTCGTCCACGAACGCTGCGTTGGAGACCATGGGAGGCTCCTTGCCTGGTGCTGGCGGTGTGGTCATGATGTATCGGAGTTTTTGTCAGTCGATAGCGACTAAGAGGGCGTCGTACGCGATCCACCAGAGGAGGAGGCACTCGACTCCGCCTTGGTCAAGCCCGCACATATGCAAAGCTCGAAGGCAAATCCCTTGAGTGTAGAATTTTGACACGTGATTCCTGTCCAAAAATTAAGGGTCGCCTATGAATAAATTGAAGAAAGGTGCTCTCGCCTTGCCACGACGATCAAGAACAAGAATAGACCAATGCTTGGACTTGTCTTGACATCATCCATCTCCTTCTCTTCTTTGACTAGCTGCGACACTCAACAGCAAATAGACAATACCTCAGTCGACGTTCTCATCTTCAGGCAGCATCAACAACAACTTATAACCTAGAATACACCCTCGCCGCGCGACAACATCTCTATCATTTCGCGTTCTCCTCCGCCTAAACGACACATCTATCATCACAGACCAACAAACCACCTAGACATGTCGGCCATCTTTGACCAGAACAGCTACGGCGATTACAACAGTGCAGGACAAACCTCAGACAACTTGCAGTTCTTCCCTAGCCAATACGGAGATCCCTCCAGCGGTGGCTATGGACACCAACAACAGCGATCCACTTCTTTTCCTGCCAACACAATGTCGCCTGCACCAGAACTTGGCTATGGCGGATACAACCCTGTACCAGGAGCTCAGATGAACTCACAGCCTACCAGCTGGCTCTCTGCCTTTGGTGCTGGTGGACTCGAGGGTGAACCACCATTGTTGGAGGGTATGTTATCTCGTACCTGTTACTGTGTGAAGACAGCACAGCATCATACAACTAGCAACAAGCATATGCTTATTTCAGAGCCAAGCAAACCAAACTAATCAGAACGGGAATCTTGAATACGTGGCGTCATAGAGCTCGGTATCAACTTTAACCACATCAAGACAAAGTCTTTCACCGTTCTCAACCCTCTTCGGCCTGTGGACCGCAACATCATGGACGATACAGATCTGGCTGGTCCATTGCTGTTTTGCCTCGCCTTCGGAACATTCCTTCTCTTGGTAAGAATGATTCGTTTTTCTTGTGTTCAAAGGAAACTTGGCCGTCCTGGCATATTGAACTTGATATTAATTCATTATTACCTATCGATGACGATTCTAGTCTGGAAAGCAGCACTTTGGATATATATACGGAGTGGCAGTAGTAGGTTGTTCTGTTCTCTTCCTGATCCTGAACTTGATGTCGCCCCAGGGCGTGGATATCCCCAAGACGGCCAGTGTCCTAGGATACTGCATGTTACCTCTGGTCATGCTGAGCAGCGTGAGCACACTGGTTACTTTGAAGTAAGTAGCTCCACACATTTCTTATGGTTTCGACTCTCTCGTCGTGTCTTGAGGGTTCTTGAATTGACGGAACTAACCAATGGCGATTCAAACTCATAATAGTGGTGGACTTGGATACATCTTATCTGCTTTGGCTATCGCATGGTGCACCTACTCTTCATCAGGATTCTTCACTGCGGTCCTTGGTATGAACGACCAACGTTTCCTGGTCGCCTACCCAGTGGGACTCTTTTACGGATGCTTTGCCCTTATGACCGTCTTCTAGTGGCCCAGAACATGGTCCCTTCTTTTTTTGTTTTTATTTTCCTGACCAAGCAAAATAAATGAACAATGGAAAATAACATGCATACAACATCTCTAAATGGCGATATTGTCCTCAACGTGTTGCAGGTTTATATTTCTATTATCCGAAGCGGGTTTTGTCTCGACAATTGTCGAGACGTATGGATCCACTTTTTTTTCTTTTTATTCACCCAGCTGCATGCTCCGACTTGACAATCAAGGACTTTCGACGCGTCCGACAACGTGAGAGTCTAGAGAGAAAGAGGCAGAGAGGGAGAGGCAATACTACTAGGCTGGTTAATTTTCATGGACGGTGCCCTTTTGCAATAGTGCGAAGAAAAGAGAAAAAGGTAGAGATGCGTCTCTGACAAGTGCTGCCTAATTCCCGGATCTTTTTTCTCCCTTTTCCTTTCCCATATATACTTTCTTCATAAGGTCAGCTCCAGCTCTCTCTTTCTGTTTCTATCTCGCTGTCTCCCTGCATTTATCCGCAATTCTGCCTTGACCACCCCTCGCCTTTCTCGTCTCCCCGGTATACCCCCTCGTCCTCGCCCTTACTTTCTCCATTTTTTTTCTTTCCTTTGTGTGTCTGAAGCAAATAAATGAAAGGAGACCGGCTCCTTTTTAAGCGTCTCCTTCCCCTTGACAGTAAAGAGAGAAAACTCAAATATATTGTTTCTTTTCTCTCGTCGCCACTTCCTTCTCTCTCTCGCTGGCAATGGACAATGGAGTCAACAACAAACATACGCCAAAACAAACCGAGGGGTCTACATATCTCCCGCTAGCCTGCAGGCAGCTTGCATTCGAAACTGTCGGACAGATCAACAGTCGGGCAGTTGGTGGTCTTTTAGCTTTGTGGTTCCGATGGCCCCGGGCGCCTTACCTGCTGGCTGTCTCTCTGGTTCTCTGGCCCACTCATCCTCTCGCCCCTCTCCTTCCTCCTTCCCCACTCTCCCACTCTCCCTTTCTCTCCTTAACGCTGCCCTAACAAATGGCTGCTCTCAATGTTCCTCCGACCTACCCTTCTCCCTAACTTTTTTTTTGTTTGGCGCCTTTAGCTATCGGATCCCGTGGAATGCTGGCCCCTCTTCTCCATTACCACCGTCTCTTTCCTCTCCCCGCACTGACATGGTCAATGTTCATAAAAACGCCTTGGCGACAGCTCTCATTCTTTTTTCTTCTTCTTGTTCTTTTCTTTCGCTTCTGCTGTTTTGCTTCTACCCCCTCCGTTCCACTTACCTTAGGCTTTCCTGACTTTCTGCCCTCCCTCCCCACACAAAGCCATTTTCCACTACCATCCTACCACATTTTCGAAATCTGACGCGCCTTTCCTTCCGTCACCCTCCACACTACCCTATTCCATTCCATCCCATCCTCCAGCATCTACACTCGTTCCCACAATGCTCTCTTCGAGACTCTCTCTGGTCGCTGCCATCTCAGCTATCCTGATTGCTGCCTTGGCCAATGTTGAGGCTGCCGTTGGGTCGTGCAACCCTTCAACATGTATCCACCCTACCTGCGTGTGCCCTTCCTTGACACCTCCAAAGGGAATGGACCCTAAGACTGTCCCTCAGTTCTTCACGCTCACCTTTGATGATGCCGTTCAGGCCCCTACTGTCCCTGTGGCCGGTGCGTTGATGACTCCTCATACCAACCCCAACGGTTGTCCAATCAAGGCCACCTGGTTCGCCCAGACAAGCTACTCTGACTTTGCCCTCATCCAGCAATGGTATGCCTCTGGCAATGAGGTTGCCGATCACACCATGACTCACGTCGGCACTCCTCCAGCAGGTAAGGGGTGCTTGTTGTTTTTTCACACCTCCGTCTATCAATTACTACTGGAACTAGAGCAGTTTAACTGAACAAAGTATCTTCTTTTCCTTGAACATACCGTTCCTGTCTATAATTGCAGCTGAAATCACCGGCAACCGTAGGTCCATTAATGCCTTCTCCGGCATTCCTTTTGCGAAGCTGAATGGATTCCGCGCTCCTTTCCTGAACTACTCTGATGGCACCTTTGCCATTCTTGGTCAGGAGAAGTTCCTGTACGACTCGTCGACCAATGCCGTCCCCACCGACGCTTACTGGCCCTATACTCTCGACCACGGCTTGGCCAACGACTGCTGGAACGGTATCTGCGATAAGCCCATCTCAATCCCCGGTATGTGGGAGATTCCCATGGCAGCAATCATGGACAGCGATCTGCCCACTGCTATCCCCCACTCCATGGATGTACAACTGGATGCTTCGCCCGAGGTCGTCAAAGCCTGGCTCCGAAAGAACTTTGACCGCCACTACAACGGAAACCGCTCTCCCTTCGGTATTTACCTCCATCCGGTCCATGTCGGCAATGCCACTCAGCTTTACAACGAATTCTTTGCTTATGCCCGTACCTTCCCAGATGTCTGGTTCGTCACCAACCAGCAGTTGCTTCAGTGGATGCAGAACCCCGTCCCTTCGTCCCAGCTTGCTGACCAGCCCTACATGAAGTGCACCATCCCCGCTGTCAGCAAGGAGATCTGCAACGGTCTCGATGATGCCAAGCTCGGATCGGTCGACAAGGGCGTGATCGAGACTTGTAACTTTGTCGCTGGTCCTTGGTCGACTTGCTATGGCTGCCCCAAGACCATGCCTACCCCTAGTGATCCCGTCCCCGAGCGTGTTGTCTCTCTCGGCCAGCCTGGTTACCGCACGCCCGTCCCTGCCACCTGCGCTATGGAATGGTGGGACCCCTCCAACAGCCAGTGTCTCTGCACTAGCTCCAACTGCACTTTCACTGATACTGCCGTCCCTAGCAACAAGAGCACCGGAGGCTCTGATACCACTGGATCAAGCGCCCCTCGCGGCAGTGCTGCTGATAACATTGCTGTTGCCTGGACTGGTTTTGGCCTTGTTGCTGCCTTGGCTGCTGGTCTTGCCCAGCTCCTTTAAAGCTGCGATGTATATTTTTGCAATGACACAAGCCAATCCACCTACAAAACAAAGGTGCTTTGGCTTTGCAACCCGCCCTTGGGTTTCTATTCTCAAGATAGTCTACATACCACACTTTTATCTATTTTTCACATATTTCCACAATGTAATCTCATTCCCATGTCAAACCAATGCTTGACATTGTGTTTGGTTGTTGAACTTGCTCACGAGCGTACTCGAGTTTTATTGATGAATAGTAAGCCCATTTTAGCACCATGAACTACGTCTCAAGTCTCGACAAACGAAAAGTACGCGTCTGTGCTGTAAGACACGATCACAATTGTCACGTGTGTCATTTTCACACCCCTGCCTTTGCGCTAGAAAAGCCACCCTACTGTAGTTGCGTCGGGGAGGAACCAGGGGTGCAGTCGCGGTTCTTCTAGCTTTGCAACTCCATCAACTCGATCAGGAATTCATAAATGTCACATCTGCCACGACTCTCCGGGAGGTTAGCCAAGGCATCTCTGCAACGCGACCTGCATGGACTCGTCTCCAGGCGGACAATGTCCTCTTCCTCCTCCTCCGGGGCATTTAGGAGAATTCACTCTCACCAACCACAACAGCCTGCAGCCATCGGACTCCAGCAACGTCTTCTCAGGACACCTCTCGTCCATAGCCGTCCTTGCACACATCACCACTACCACCACCAGAACAAAAACACCTTCCACACCTCAACCCCCCGCCGCAACCTGATCGAGGACCCACGCTACAGTCCTGCAAAAGTAGCCGCACGTGCCAAATACCCAGTGATCACCGCCAAGGATGCCGCCAAGAAGAAGGACATGCCCCTCGAGGCCAAGATGCTCGTCCGGGATTTCATTGACGACTCGCTCTACCACCCCAACTATGGATACTTTTCCAAACAAGCTGTCATCTTTTCGCCAGAGACCGACTTTGAGTTTGAGAAGATTAAGGATAACATGGAGTTTCTCGATATCATTGCGGACAAGTATAAGGAGATTGAGGATGATATGGACGTGCGGGATGAGGTTGCGCGACAGGTCTGGCATACCCCTACCGAGTTGTTCAAGGTACTAATGAAGGCGTCCGTGAAAAGATACTGCTGTTTTTGCGGATTGATTGAATGAGATCTACATGTACTAACGCTGCGTACTCTTCCATTAACGTAATAGCCCTGGTACGGTTACGCGATTGCCAAGTACATTGTGACGGAATACAAGCTCAACAACTACCCACACAAGGACCTGATTATCTACGAGATGGGCGCTGGAAACGGGACTCTGATGATGAACATCCTCGACTACATCCAACAGTTTGAGCCCACGGTCTACGAGCGCACGCGGTACCGGATCATTGAGATTTCCAAGAAACTGGCCCAGCGTCAGGGCGAGCGTCAGGAGGTTCGGGATGCGACCCGGCGTCATCAGTGTGTTGAGGTCATCAACAAGAGCATCTTTGAATGGGACACTTTGGTTCCTGACCACTGCTTCTTTGTGGGGATGGAGGTCCTCGACAACTTTTCGCACGACTTGATCCGCTACGATACCGTCACCGAGGAACCTCTCCAGGGGATGGTGGCGATTGATGAAGAGGGCGATTATACAGAGATCTACACCCCCGTCTCAGACCCGCTGATCCAAAAATACCTCTCGATCCGGAAACAAACCGGATACCGCCCCCCAGTACTCGGAAGGCGCTTCCTCCGCCGACTCCGGAACCGACTCCCCTTTGCACCCAACATGACCGGGCCTGAATTCATCCCGACAAAGCTCCTCCTCCTCCTCGAGACCCTCAAGACCCAGTTCCCTAAACACCGTCTGGTCATGTCCGATTTCTATACGTTACCGGAGGCCATCCCGGGTACGGACGCCCCCGTCGTCCAGACTCGTTATAGTGGGACCATGGTCCCCTGTTCGACTTACATGGTTATGCCCGGGATGTTTGACATCTTCTTCCCGACCAACTTTGAGCTCCTCAAGGATATGTACCAACAGGTCTGTCGCCCCTCGCTCGGGATGGAGAAGTCAGTCAAGGTCCAGACGCAGAAACAGTTCTTGGAGCGGTATGGAGACTTGGAGCGGACGAGGACTTATAGTGGCGAGAACCCTATGTTGATGTACTATGAGAACAACAAGATGTTCTTGAGTTGAATCTGAGCGAAGAGTTAGTTGTATTAAAACAAACACATTTTAGACAAACCTTAAGAAATGAGAACTCGTCTTGTTTTAATGTTGCATAGTGGTAAATGCGAGTGTTTTCTGTGTGTAATGTAAAGCGCTCTATGATGCTGGTGTTGGTGTTGCTTTTTAGCGTCTAATGTCGCTCCTGGTATGGCTGATTTGGTTGCCCTTTCCTTTCGATTTTAGCATTGGGACCTCCCAATCGGGTAGACTTCCAACCCAAGGAATAGGCTCGTCGTTCTCGCTATCGAAACCTTCTGCTCCTCCTACCTTCCTTTCACTACCATCACTGCCAGCTGCAGCAGTCATTCTACCACCGACCAATTTAGAAATGGCGATCCCCGAAATGACCGGGACGGGCAATGAAGCAACCTCCCCGAACGCCATAGCCGTATGTGACAACCCAGGGACATGAATAAAACTGTCGCACTGCCGTTCTGCGCTCTTGGTGATCCCAACCCCGGACCCGCCGACGATCAGGATAGTAGGTTGATCGACCCCGTGTTTGGGGAATCTGTAGAATGGCATCATGCGCTTGGATCCGTAGGCGGCTTTGAGCCCTATCACTTGCCATCCGTTTGCTTGAGATTCCTGTGAATGACAGTATTCAGAGTGAGAAATGATACGCGTTAGTTATGGACATGCTCCAAAGGCAAAAGACAAAATGAAAAAGCTTTATCAAAAATCGAGAAAGATTTAGACACATCATAGTACCTTGATGAACTTAACAAGGGTCCTGACAGCATAAGCAGGTCGTCTCTCCAATGTCCCCTCGCTCACGGCAGAGACAGCAGCATTTGGGAGCACTGCGCCCTTCTCTTTGATAATGACGCCATCAATACCCAGATGGTGGGCCGTGCTCAGGGTATGGCCCATGTCGTAGACTGTCTGGACTTCGTCCAACACCAACCAAACAGGCGGAGGTGAAGCGCGAGGTGTTTTTGTTGATGCTATTCCTGACGTGATCATGTGGGTGGTATTGCTAGTGGTTGCGAGTCGGTCAAATGGTTTGGCAGTGCCTCGGATAAAGTGAAGATCATACTTGTTGTCTTCAGACACGGCTCCTAGATACTTGATCAGCGCCCTAGGAAGATATGAAGCCCTCAGCAACACTCCCTAATAATGTCCCCAAAATTTCCGATTTCGATAAAAGATGTCCATGTGTTAGTCATTGGGGGAAATAAACATTGGGCAATGTGTAGTGTCTCTCTTTCCAGCCACAAGCTTGTGTCTTTACCTGATGGTACCTGTGTCCAAGTAGGGTATCCAAGCGCTCAGGGGTGGTCTTTACAACATCCAGTCCCATCTCACTAGCCGTTTTCACGCACTCCAGAACCATCTGCGATATTCTACTTGTCCAGATAAAAATGGGACGTAAATAAATATTGGATTAGGAAGGCGGTAAGATTTGCTTGACTGATCCTTCAGGCGTAATGCAGACCAGATCATATATACCTTGGATGGATATTAGAGTCGGTATAGAGGAGCTCGTAGGGTTTCCTGAGACCGGTCCTGAGTGCTGGGAGGACAGACTTGGGCGAAAACAAGTATTCCCCATAAGTCGACTTGTCCTTTGAGTCCGCCTTCTTTTCGGGTTCCCTGCTTGGGGGATCAATCCAAGATCCGAGCAGAGGCTGATCTGGCAGTACGATAGCTCTCTGCTGCGTTCGATCTCCGTGGTCAAGTGTCCTCCATGGCAAAGCCGACTGTGATGGCTTCGGGGTTGTTGTGGTTGACGCTGTGACCTTGGCGGTTTCTAAGGTTTCCTTCTCCTCCTCTCGGTCGCGAGCGATAACAGGATTCTTCAACAGGACACTCTTGGGAACGGTTTCGCTGTTGGGGACAAGCTTCTGTCTCCTGATTGCAGAAATATCCCACGGGTTGACTTGAGTGTTGGTACTCTTGTTGATCCGGTTGTGCACGATGGTATCTAGAACCTGGATTGTTGATTGACCAGAATGATATGCTCGTTGTTTAAAGTCGAGGTCGTCATCGTCGTCGAACCCGATTCTTCTCCGAGAGGCATATCTCTTCTTGACCACTCCTTCGTCAGAAGTACTCTCAGCAGTGGCGTTGATGCTGGTGGATGTGGACGTGACAGAGGTATTGGTGATCCGCTCTGACCGTCCTGAAGTAGCTGCAACATTAGTGAAAGAGTTCGATTTGACAGGATGTGCCGCGCGTGGAGGCGTGATTTGCGTAATGTCCGACAAGGTGTTGAAATCATTGGGCTGAATGGTCGGGTGAACACTCCAATCGAGAATAGTCCTGTAAACGCTCCGTTTGATCCTCTGAGGAGCTTGTGACGGCCTCCGCTCGATCGACGTGGCCATTTTGGGCAAGGGGTCCAATGCTGGGTGCCTTTCCTCTGACTGATCCGTGAGTTCTGGGAGTGGCAATCGGTATGACTGTAAGGGTGACCTTGTATTCCATCCAGACGATATTGGCGCGGGTTGGGTTGCAATTGCTTCCGCTAGTGTCGACAATACTGCGTCCAAGTCTGGTAATGGTTGGTCAGCTGGTATGCGACGTGCATGTGGGAGTGTCGATGAAGGTAGAGGCAACTGTGGCACAACAGCCTCTGATGTCCTGAGTGCTGGCTCCTTTGCAGAGGGCTCGATCGTCGAAGACTGTGTGTTTGCCGTTGTTGATGTTGATGTACTGAGCTCTGGTTTCAATGGCGATGGTTTCCGTGCATAAAATGACGCTGAAGGTTTGGGCGGTGGTGGAACCGTCGTGGCCGAGGGTGGTGCTCCTCCTCCTGCTGCAGTTGCCGCTAAGGCTTCAGCTTCCCGCATCTCCCTCATGGTATCCCTGGTCGCAGCCTCGGCTGCCTGGCGCACCTTTTTGGGGTTGGCGACTGGCTTTGAGCGCACGACGTTTGGGATGGCCTTCTTCCCGTCTTCGTTCCCTTTCTTCTTCCTCCGCTTTATGACCTTAGATGTGTTGCAGTCGACTCTGTACTTAGAAATCTTGGGGGTAACAAGTGGGTGTGGGGTCTCGGCGAGCAGGGTCCTGGTTGTGGATAGACACCTGCAGCAGTGGTAATCAAAGGTCCACCGGGTGGTCGGGCGCAATGGAGGAACGCGAGGTCGATTAGATCCCTCGAGAAAGGAAGACGATACGTGGCGCCATGGTGTCCTGGTTGTTGTTGCTGCTGCTGTCCGTATGGTGCTGATACTCCTGATACTCCTTATGCTCCTGACAGGTGCCAGCGACAGGGGCGTCGACGACATTACGTGTTTGCTTTGGTCAGTGAATGGCTGTTTCCCCCTTTCGTCATTGTGTTGATCTTCTAAAGGACGGGTGGGCGGGTGGGTGTCTGTGTGACGGCGACTCATTTAAAATGAACTCCATCGTCTATTATTTCCACGCTTTCTATGACAAAGCTATCTATGCCCTTGCCTCGCTGTCCTTTGATGTATGTACTGCTCGTTTTCTCGGGATAGGCCAATCCATCCCCCCTTTGGACCCTCCTATGAATTACACATATAATGGCTAGAACAACGACAACAACAACAACAACAACAACAACAACAACAACTATCGCGAAAAGAGAAGTAGCCTGTCGCCCCCCCTCTCTAGGAGTCGAGTAAAGGCGTCAAAGGACAGGATGGTCCATGGTCCAAAACATGCGTTTCATGTGTCAACTTCCCTGTCCATTTCCTCTATCCAATCCACCCTTTCTTTCTGGTCTGTCGCTATAATCGCTCCTCCGTCTCCTATTTCTTCTGTCCTACTTGTCCTTCTCCAATGCTTTCTGGGTTGTCCTTGTCTCTTCTGTCTCGTCTCTCTCCTTTCTTCTCTCTCTCTCTCTCTGTGTGTTTGTCTCTCTTTTTGTTTTTTCTTCTCTTTCGAAAGAGGGGCGAGTCCCAGAGTCCTCTCTCTCTCTCTCTGTCTCTTTCTGTCTCTGCTTCACCCCCTTTATTCATCTCCCTGCTCAAGTGGCATTATCAATTGTCTCGACATAGCCCCCATTTTCATTTGTCGTGAACTACGGTCCCCACTACAATCCATACCCAGACAAGAAACGCGTAAGGAAGAGGGAGGCAAGGAGTATATACTGTATGTGTGGAAACAGAAAAAAATAGGGAGCAATGGTAACCTTTACCCATAGTGCCATTTTTGTTTCCTTTTCTCTCTATTATTCTCAGTTCTCATACACCCATGAGTTCTCACGCTTTCTTCCGTTTTTTCCGCTCGTACCATGATTATACATGTTATTGTTCGTGCAGCTGTTGCCGCTATTCACACGTGCAGAAAGGCTCGGTACCACTGACCATTGACCATTGCCCTGCTTTTGCCATCGTTCAGGGAAAAATAGCACCTGCGTCTTGCCTCCTGCCTTCTGCCTTCTGCCACCTGCCTCTTTCCTCTTCTTATCGGTGACCAAAGAGCGCAAGGCAAACGCCAAAGAAACAACAAAGGGAAAAAAAACTGTACGAAATCTTGCGTCGCCATGCATGCTCTGTGCTGGTAAAAACAGAATTTTGGGCGAAACGGGACAAGGAGGCGGAGGAAAAGAGAACTTCAAGGGGAAGGGGGGAGGATGACAGAGAGGAAAGAGAAATGTGACAGAGAGGGACAACAACAAAGTGTAAAAAAAGGGTTCAACACAGGCAAAAGGCAGTGTTCAGTACCTTTCGCCGAGGACGGTATAAATACCATCGAGGCATTGCTCTCAATTCCTCGTTCTTCTTTCCTCTTTTTCTCACCTCTCACCCCACTTTCACTCCTACACTACTCTTCTCTTATACCCCAGACCTCTTCATCCTTCATACACGCACTCTCAGTTAACTCCTTCACAAGCGCCTCTCCATATCAACAACAACAATACAAACATCCCTCTACTATACTCCTCACACACACTACCAACAATGGCTCCCAGTATCTCTCACGAAGTCGAATTCGAGTCTCAGATCACCCCTGCCTCTCTCAAGGTCTCTTCCATTACTGAGCAAGTTCTCATCGATGCCCCTGTCGAGGCAGCCCAAGAACCCACCTCTGTCGACCCATTAGCCACCACCACCAGCGTTCCTTCCTCAGACGACGATATGGATGATAACGGCTCAATTGACGGCTCAGCAGATAGCTGCTCTGACGCCGGCGCAGACATGACGCCAGCTGTTGTCGCTGTTGCTGCCGCAGAGGTTGCCGCAGACACTACCGAGGTTGTTGCAGATGCCACAACAGTCGCTGTCGCAGCAGATGATACCTCCGATTTCGATAACGAGGTCGCCGCTGTTACCTCCTTTGCCGAAGGCTTTTCGCTCGAGGACCGCACATCGACCGTTAAGGCCCCTGTAGCAGCGATCGAACGGGTACAGACATCGTCCGCTCTTTCCTCCCGATCATCCATCTCTCAGTCCATCCCCATCCCTGCCGTCGAGGCCCTTATTGCAGCTGCTTCCACTATTGTTGGTGAGGATGGCCAGGAGCCCCGCAAGTCTTTGAGCCGCCCTCTCAGCCGTCAAGAACTTCGTCGGAAGAGCAGCTTCTTCAACTCGAAGGAGATTGCGATTTCGGATCAACGTTTCTCGTCCTCGACGTCTGCTTCGATGAGGCCGATCGCTGACCCTCGCTTCAAGAACCGGTTCCAGAGCATCCTTTCGCAATGGAAGGCTCGTGCCAGCGAGTAAGAACGAAAACAGACGATGACGGACCAGTCTTTTTGCCGTTGTCCGTCTGAATGATACCTTGCCTTTATTTTTTTTTCTTTCTTACCGCTGAGCGCATTTTTTTTGTCCCGCCAAGGAATTGACGGAAGGATCACAATCCAACAAAAAAAAAATGGGAAAAAACAACCCAACCAAAATCTGCTCCGCCCCACCTTGTACCACAACCTTCCATTTTTCTTTGCCCTGTGTGCCAACGCCCACATCTTGTATTTTTGTTCATCTCGTTTAGACCATCCGTTTCTTCCTCTTCCACAAAAGACATAATAGTAATAGCATCACCATAATAATAGTAATAATAAATACCTACCTACACCGCCCATTCAACCATCCATGTCAAAAAAGAGTAATGACGACTTGAACTTCCTTGTTCTACTTTTTTTCCAATTGCACGTTTTTTTTTGCATGCCTCTTTGATGCCCTCCTGCCCAAGGTCCGCATGGAGAAAAAGCAGGAGGATGCGAGGATGACAGAGAAAGAGACGGAGGATGAACGAAAAATGCTTCTCGTATGATCTGTACTAATATTCACCATCATCATCATCATCATCATCATCATATCGCTTTTTTTTTTTTGTTGAACTAGCTGTCGAAGAATGCGAAAGTGGGACTGACGACAGGGGACGATAGGGAAGAGAGGACGGGAGGGAAAATAAAAGAGAGTTGCAGAATGTGGAACCATGGATAGGATGGGATGAGAGCTCTCTGTAGTTTGATGTGTGATGCATGAGAGCACAACAAAAAAAAATCTTCATTTCTCACCCTCAAACTTTCATGCTCACTTTTTTTTTTCTTCTTGTGTTCAACTTTTTTCAGCTGAGGATAAAAGAAATGAATCGAGATGCCTGGGGAAAGACTCAACTGTTCATATCAGCGACAACGACAAGAATTGGGCTGGGGAGATGGAATGGGTGGGAGTACAAAGCAAAATAAAAATTAAACCATTGGACATGGACGAAGTAAACAAGAATAGAATAGTGAGATGAATGATGGCGAGAGAGAGAGAGAGAGAGAGAGAGAGAGAGAGATGGTTCGTTTGGTGCACCATGTGTTTTATCCTCAAACCTCAAACTACCCCAACCCGACCAGAGTACCAAGCGGTACAGTACCATAGGATGTCACTTTCGTGGCATACTTGTACTCGCGCAATGGTGGCCTGACATGATTTTTATCTTTTATAGGGTTTGATTGAGCATTCTCGCTCCTACCCTCAGTACCTGAAAATAGACAATTAGCATGCTTTTTATTTTGCCACGGTATGCATAACGTCAAATTGAGTTCTTTCGACAGAATACTCCATCCATTGTAGAGGCGGGAAATCCGGTACGCTCCCTTTCGCATATCATCATGGACTTTTTTTTGTTTAAAAGTACTGCTGGCTGGTCACTGTGGTTTGATGTTCCGTCGTCGCGCTCGTATCTTTCATCCATACCCATGTCCAACGCGACGTAGAAAAAAGACCTCTCGTGCCACAGACATCAAGTGACTGGTGGGAAAAGCTTTGCTTTCACTTTTTTTTTTTTTTTTTGTGCACAATTTTATTTCTCTAACAAACAGCATAAATAAGTCATTTGGAAGTAATAGGGGACTACAGACCAAACTCTTCAGTGCACCATCTGTCAGTTGCAGTCCGGTCCAGAACCTGGCTCTGCGCAACAATTGTCGCTGCTCTTCACAGCTTAAACGGAAGAAAATAAAACTAGATGCGAATGAAGGGGATTCTTCCCATCCTCTCCATCATTGACAACCTCCTCCTTCCTAACAAACTCTCCAACAACCGCTTGTCAGCAGCGCGTGGGTCCTTGGTCGCTCCAGGGCACCTTCTTTCATCATGTGTGGCTAGCGAAGCGCCACACGGACAGAAACCATCGTACGTGATGTAACCGAATCCTTGACTCCAGTCACCTCGGGGGCCTGTGTACTTGGTTGTCTTGTTCTTGGAAGAGATACCCTGGGTCTGCTCCCACGCGATCGTCGCGGAGCGCCGAGGTTTCCAGATCAGCTCCGAGGCCTGCGCCTTCAGGTAGCCAATAATTCATTTTAAGCATTTTTTTAGTTATTTGGAAGTAAAGATATTCATTTTAAGCAGGGTATGCCAAGGTGGCATGATTCATAATATGAAGGTTATGAGAATTGGTGTATAAAGATGATCTAGAAATAAACTAGTCAAGCTCGCGTAGCTTAGTCGGTAGAGCGTTGTGCTAATAACGCAAAGGCCACAGGTTCGATCCCTGTCGTGAGCATTCTTTTTACTTTGGGTTAATCTACTTGGCAACCCGGCTTGTTCGTTTTATTCAACAACCGAACACGTTTGCGTGCTAAGTCCATGTAAGCACTTTTTCATCTTCTTTTGATGATACCATGGAAGATGACACCAAACACTTGCTGTAGCGCTTGTTTTCGCCACTTCTTTATGGAGCGCCACTCCCACGTTGTTCAAAGCGGTTGTTAAGATGCTTTTTATACGAAAATACCGTTTTTTTACGTGTGTGGTGGTGATGAAGATAGAGTTTTGGCTGGTGATGGCATTCGATGGTTGAAAGGGCTTTATTAATGATATGAATGACCAAAAACGAAGACGCTGCAACAAAAAACATTGATGTATTGACTTTAAAGAAAAATAGATTGTCCATGGACTTAGCATGCAAAACACGTTGGGTTGTCAAATATATTAATCCTTTTACTGTCATAGTCCATGCACCTTTCCCTTCTCGAGCCCTGACTCCACTCCCTGGCTCTCTTTCGGAAGGCTCTCGTCCTGGCACCCACTGTCTGGTATACACTATTGCGTGTTCCTTTGTATGCGTCTTGATTTTCTAGCATTCAGTTGTCTCATACCCTGCCCTTTTCTCTTTTATGCAACAAGGCGACCTCCATGCTGATATCAAAAGGATCACGGACAGGTTTTTTGCACCTGAACCGATTGCCAACTTTCTCGACGCGTTTGAAGGGCGAAGGGGCGCTACCTATTACTTCATGATCCATTCATGGTTTACCAAGAGCGTGGCGTCGTGGATTCGGAAAACCACCAGAACCCGACCAAGTTTGCTGTTCATGGATCTCCCTGACCCATCCACACCTGGCTCGGCATCAAGGAATCTTGCAGCTGGGTCCATTCTAGACATGGTCAAGGAGAACAATCGACACCACATTCATTGGTAAGAAAGTCAGCGTGGATACACTGGCTATGTTTTCTTTCATCTCTGTTCATTGTCCGTTGCACCTACATCCATTCTTTTTTTTTTTTTCCTTTCAATCTCATGAAAAATGTTCGGCGTCTCTGGTAAGCTACATGTAGGAAAGTGCGCTCAGTGGAATTTCCCCAACAGCACAGAGATATGGCGCGGACCATGACTTGCACTCCTGTGTGCCCATAGGCTGTGGAAACACACGCGCTGTGATCGAGCTTCTATCTCAACACTGGGGGTTCTATTTCAATGCTGCCGATGACGATTGGGGTTCTGACGACATGATGACTCTTTACAGCACTGTCTGCAGCTACTTAAAGGACATCCAAGCAACCTCCACCGTGGCGGATCTTGAGATCAACAACGCCTTTGCACGGAAGACAACGCTCTTATTGTTTCTGTCTCGGGTTCCCATCTTCAAGTACTGCGTGAGCGTCCCCGGCAGCAGCGAGTCGTTCACGGGCGCACGATGGGCTCTCCTGCAGGTGTGCCCGCATGTTCTTTTCAATGATATGTTCAATGCGCTGTTCCTCAAACTCCTCAATCTTCAGCGTCATGTAGAGCTCCCGCTTTCGCTGCTGGCAATGTGATCTGGCTTTGCTCGAGATGAAACTAGTATTTCCATTGAAAACTTAAAAAGTGAATCTTCCGTCAGTAAAATTCATATTTAAAAGAAACAGCTTTGATGCGGATAGGGTTGTTACAGTCAGCCTGGCTGGCAGACCGCGAACTAAATCTGTGTGCAGCTCATGGAGCCGTGACTGCAATTACAACAAAATGAAGTTACTAAATTCGACTATATAGACACAGCCAGCTTGGCTGATGGACCGCGAACTAAATCCATGTGCAGCTCAGGGAGCCGCGACTGCAATTTGTCCACATAGTTGATTGAGTAGTGCATAATGAACGATAGAACTTGCCTTGACTTTAGGGTGAATGGGAGAGAGTGAGTGAGTGAGAGAAAAACCTTAATATAAGAGTAGCAAAAAAAGGGCTGACAGAGAGAGAGAGAGAGTAGAGATGTGCGTATGTGTGTAAGAAGTAAGAAGAGAAGGATGAAGCGATAAATAAAGACAAAGAGAGGTGATGGAGAGAGTAAGGGACAGCAAAGAGGAAGAGAATGATAAAAAAGGGAAGAGAAGGACGACGATGAGTGTGGTATAAATGTAGTGATGAAACAGGCGTGGGAAACAGGACAATGGGCGCGAGAATTACGTCACCGAAGTGAGTAAATCGATCGCTTTTGATGCCATCAACAAGGCTATTGCTGGCGTTTGTCTCTTTCCTTTCCTGCATTGGTCATGAGCAGCCGTGTTCATTTTTATTTTGCTATGGGGTTGAGACATTCTTGGATGCGTAAAACAGTAGAGCAAGGAGAATGAAGGATTGAGAAGGAGGCGGAAAGATAGGTGTAATTGACGGTTGTAACGATCGAAAGGAGCTGTCCTTGGTGTTACATTTGCAAGTCGGCTTGACCTATGACGACTTTTTTGCGTTCCAAGAATAAAAGGTGAATCGGTCTTCATGTGTAACGAGAAAAGGCTCCTAGCTAAAGGTGAAGTTCCAAACAGCAAAGCTTCACTTCGCAGAATGGGGAGCTGACCCTTCTCACTCTTTTTTCTCACTGTTATTTGTTTCATATTTGTTCGTTAAAACATATGAGGTCTTGCTCGGTAGCCCAGGAACCAGGTACAAGCGTGAAAAACGCGTCGATTGGCGAAATTTGTTGGTGACGCGTTGATCACCTAATGTCTTATCTTTTCACACATTATCGCATCCATGCAACTCTGACTTGGAGAGACTATGGCCGCAATGGGTGCATGCATCTTCGCGCACAGACTTTACGCTCTGTTTGTTCGAGTCGCCACATCCTTTTCCTGTCATTTCTTTTGAGAAGGCTGACTCAAGTACGCCCAATCCGGCCACCTCAGTCAGAAGACACGGGCTTCTTCTTGTTTCTAGCCAATTTTAATGTGGTTTGTATTCTATGGTTTAATTTTTTTGGGAATGCACTTTCCAATGGGTGTAAAGGTGAGGCGGATAAGCATCATACGGATGAAACGAGGGAGGAGGAAGCGATGGAGCGAAGGAGGTTGAAGGGGTTTCTTGTTCCTTAGCGGGCGGTAAGAATTTCGACACCAGTCTCGGTGACGACCATGGTCTGTTCAAACTGGGCCGAGCGCTTTCCGTCCAGAGTGACGGCAGTCCAGCTATCGGGCCACATCTCGTCCTTCCAGGTTCCCTCGTTGATCATGGGCTCGATTGTGAAAACGTGTCCGACCTTCATGACACCAATGGCCTTGTTACGGGCATAGTGAGGAATGTTAGGAGCGCAATGGAAAAGTCTGTGGACGCCGTGGCCGCAGTATGTCTTGACGACCTGGAATCCTTCGGTCTTGGCGTGCTTCTCAATAACGTTACCCAAATCTCTGTACAAAGCACCGGGCTTGACTAAAAGCGACGAGAATTAAAATTGAAAGTGATCGGTGTCAGAAGAATTTGTGGGCCAACGGACAAGAGATCGGCGAACCGTCAACAGTAACAAGCAGGAGCAAAAGATGTACCCATGGCGATGGCCTTCTCCATGCACTCTCTAGCGTTCTTGATGAGGCGCAAGCCGTTGGCATCGACGTTGCCGACGGGGACAGTTTCATTCAAATCAGAGTGGAAGCCATCCTTGTAGACAGTGACATCCAAGTTAACAATATCTCCATCCTTGAGGGGGCGCATATCAGGGATTCCGTGGCAAATGACCTCATTGACCGATGTGCAACAAGACTTCTTGAATCCGTTGTAGTTCAAAGGAGATGGGTATCCGCCGCGCTCAATTGTTGCCTCGTGAATAATGCGATCAATCTCGTCCGTGGTGACACCGACCTTGACAGCAGCCACTCCAATGTCAATAACCTCACGAGCGATCTAATTCCAAACAAAGAGTAATTGTTCAGTGGGATATTTCACACACCTTTGTCCTGAATGAATACTCCCAGTTCCTTAGGCATCCATTGTCCAAGTCCTGTCGTCAGAGTTTGTTGACTAATGGTCCTGTAATTATTAATTGCAAAAGGCTTGGAGTATGTACCTTGCAGACTTTGCGCAAGATGTCGATATCCTCCTTAGGGAGAGCCTCAATGACGGATGAGCTGCGGATGTTTTGCTCCGACAGGGGAATGCCAGTCTCGGCGTAGTCGGGCTTCTGGATGTGATCGGGAACAGCGCGGCGAGGCGACAAGGGGTAAACGGGTCTCAAGGTTCCAGAGTACTTGTAACCAGGCCATGGGTCAGATCCACCTTGCTCTAATAAGATTGGTAGCAAAAAATTAATCTCAGTCAACTTTCTCTCCTGGTTCTCTTAGGTCCGTGACCGCAAATGTGATTTGAGAGAGCAGTTCATGTCGTTGCAGGCAGGATAGCGTACCACCAGCGGGGCCATTGGCCATGGCGGCAATCTTGTGAATAGCCTTGTGGGTACCCTGGAAGAGTTCAAAAGGTGAAGCAAAATCGAGGCGGAGATTAGAGGTGCTGGTCTAGGCTAGATTTATATCTTGTTGGCAAGAAGGTTGTTTGCTGTCCGGTTTGTAAAGGGCGCATACCCAGTTGTCCTTGAAGCATGACTGTGAGCAGAAGAAGGAGTTGGGAATGCCGAGCTTGAGGCAAGTAGGGCACTGGAGAGCGGCGGGCTTCGAGCAGTTGAGTCCCTGGCAGAGCTGTTCTGATGATGTTGCCATGGTGGAATGCAAGAGGAGTGAGTGGGTGTAAGGGAGGAGAGAGGAGGAGGCGTGGTCAATAAAAGAAAAAAGTGCGCAGGAATAAGAGGCACTGTTTATGTCACGTGTAAGAACCAAGCCACATCTAATCATATATAAGGCGTGTCTCCATGCCTCCACACGCAACTGCACCGAAACCAACGCCCTTTTCTCTGCTCCCTTTCCTTACATCACAGACATCCCTTTGTTTTCCTACTCGAACACGCCTCTCCTCAATTGTTAGATACACACGTACCCTCTCCTTCATCCTCACGGCCTATACGCGTCCATTCAGGCACGAAAAATACAAGGCTCCAATCTCCAACAACCGCTAGCCACCAACCAACTCTCGCTTCACGTTTCCTTTCCTCAACGGGGGGACATACGACAAAGCGCCTCGAAGCTGTCGACTGTTGCTCTGCTTGCTCCGACATCAACGCCCCACGCATCATACACACACTATCGCGAAGCACTGTCTCTTCTCGCCATCACGGAACTGCTCCCATCCAGGCGCACAACACAGAGAGCAGCACCTGCCGAGAGTTTGTTGGCTTTTTGGGTTAAGCGGCTTTCAAGATGCAGAAGAATGAAATCAACCGGAAGCCATACACATTATAAGTGCCCACTCCCTGACTTTGTAAGGTGTTGTGGACGAAGGAATGAAACGAAAGAGAGCACTCTTGTCTAACGGACCTTTTTCTTTCATGTTCTTGACCTTATACAAGTCACCAGAAGGTTGCAGTTGATGTGGACTTTTGCAACCAAACCCTCATGGTATGGACCATCCTTCTACATTTTATCCACTTTCAATGCAACCCTAAAGACGCCCTAATATTAACCGTCGATTGTCGTGTCTGTTGTACGTTATTAGGGTTGCACCGAGCTGTACATCCTGCCTTTGATAGAGGACTTAACGGTGTTGCACATTAACTGTCGACAGAGTGGTACATAATCTCATGGAGGGTATTACCTTTACGTTGCTTGTATGTATCGATGTGGTCAGGGTGTGTAAAATGACTAACAAGTAAGCGTTACTTCTTGTTATTCGTAGCTGTCACGTCGGTGTCGATCAACAATGTGCCGTGCAACTTCTCCTACCAGGACTCTGTCAGGGAATCACTCGACCTGCTCAAGGAGGGCTCAGTCAACAACCATCCGGATCTGAAGCGTCGCTGGTCCGTGGCAACTGCAGAGGACGACGAAGGAGAACTGGCGATTGCGATCCCCAAAGGAATGATTATCCCCAGCTTGGTAAGCATCACCACAGGTACAACAGTGATATTAAATCAGGATTTAGCTCAACGAGCGAGGGCTAATAATTTTCTCCGCATTTGACTCTTCAATAGATGGACGAGGACACCATCAACAGAGCATCCAACGTTGTCGACACTGTTAGGGGTAAGTTGCACTCTGGATTTTCAAATGTATTTGGACATGGAGACGTTTAAAGTACCTTGTCCTGACATGTGTGTTTGCTATGACAAATAATAGAAACAGCCACGCCAGAGCCATCAACACCTCAAACGCCAGCTGCTGCGCCAGTTCTCAGTTCCGGAGTCAACTTTGCGACATTGATTGTTCGAATTGTCTTCAAGCTTGAGAACCCAACTGCAGGCGTCTTCTTTGTCGGACCTGATCCAATCAATGCACCCAACGTAAGTCATGTCTTCAACCATTACGAATTGTCAAACTGACGGTCGCAGAAGTGAGTATTATTGGTGCTAACTGGTTTTCTTCTTTGACACAAATAGCGGGCGCATTCTGTATATACCATCAACCAGCCATTACCGGGCGCCACCAGGCTGTGGCTCCCTTGCTTGGATCGTCTGTCAGAGAGATGCACATGGGACATCGATTTTATCGTGCCATCATTCGCACCAGAGGAGGATCTGGATGAGGATATCGAGGGCTGGTCCCCGGACGATTACGAAGATGACGAAAAAGTGCAGGTCATTTGCAGTGGCGATCTCTTACAACAAACCAGACACCCCTCCGTGCAGACAAAGACCATCTTTCACTACAGCATACCGGTCCCGACTCCGGCCGCTTCGATATCCTTTGTCGCCGGAGTTTTCGAGGTGATCAAGTTGCGACCCCAGGACTATGCTATCCAGGAGCAAGGAGATGACACTGAGACTGGCGAGAGAGACGATGACGATCAGGACGATGCTCCAGAAAAGCCAACAGCAGCGCAGATCCGTGGGTCAATACCCGATATGTTTGCCTTCTGTCCACCTGGACGGGCTGCTGAACTCCGCCACACCTGCGCATTCATGGTCAAGGCGATGGAATTTTTCATGCACGAGATCGGATCATATCCATTTGCCTCGTTCAAGATGGTGTTTGTGGAGGATGCCTGGGCCCCGACGTTTACTTCTGCATCCATGGCTATCTGCAGCACGTCGCTTCTCCATCCAGAGGACATTATCGACCAAGTGTACGAGACACGGAAGCTGCTCACGCAGGCCTTGGCTCAACAGTGGTTCGGCATCTACATTGTCCCCAAGTCCTGGCCCGACATCTGGATTATTGTCGGCCTGACGAACTTTGTCTCCTCGCTGTTTCTCAAGAAAATGTTTGGCAACAACGAGTATCGGTTCAGGATGAAGAAGGACATTGAACGCTGTTGTGTCATCGACAAGGATCGGCCGCCACTTTACAATCCCAACATCGCCTACCCGATCGATCAGGATGACCTGGATTTCATTGGACTGAAGGCGCCGTTGGTGCTTCACATGCTCGATAAACGAATGTCCAAGGGCGGTACCTCCCGCGGCTTGTCTCGTGTCATCCCCAAGATTTTGGTCTCGGTTATGAGCGGAGAATTGACGCATAACGCTATCGGCACCCACTGGTTCGTGAAAACATGTCGGAAGGTCAGCGGACTGGAGACGAAGGGATTCGCGGACCAATGGATCTACAACAGTGGCTGCCCTATCTTTTACTTTTCCTATCACTTCAACCGGAAAAAGATGGTCGTCGAGATCAACATGCGACAATCGTCAACAAATGGCCAGGGGACGGAGAGAGGTCGCGCGGCCATGAACAGCGACCATCCTCCTCCAACGCTATTCACAGGAACGATGACAGCCCGTATTCATGAGGCCGACGGTACACCCTACGAGCACGTGTTGGATATTCAGGACGCAGGAAAGCGCTTCGAGGTGCAGTTCAACACTAAGTACAAGCGTATTCGACGAAACACCAAGCGATTCCAGATGAAGCAGGCAGCAGCAGCCCAAGCAGCCCGTGAGGCCGAGGAAGGTGGCGATATTGAGGATGGTCTCGAGTCGCTTGGATTCGGGGCTGGACTCTGGGAAGACGATAAGGAGAAGGACGAATGGCAGGTTGTCGAATGGGGCCAAGGTGACGAGACAGGGGCTGTCAGTGCAACGTTCGAGTGGATCCGACTGGACGCCGAGTTTGAATGGCTGTGTCAGCTTCGCTTCGAGCAACCCGACTTTATGTGGGCCGCTCAGCTTCAGAAGGATCGAGATGTGGTCGCCCAATACGAGGCCATCCTGGCTTTGGGCTCATTGCCATCTCCTGCGGCGTCGACATCGCTTTTGAAGACCTTGCTGGACACGCGTTGCTTCTTCCGCGTACGAATGGAGGCTGCCTATGCAATTGCCCGGTGTGCAATCCCACAGACGGATTGGGTTGGTCTGCTGCATCTGACCAAGACGTTCCAGCACAAGTACTGTTACCCACCAACACACGTCACCACGTTCCGTTTGTCCGACGCCACCATCCCCTGCATGCCTAAGCCTAATGACTTTAGCAGTCTGGCCGAGTATTACTTGCAAAAGGTGAGCCATTTGCTTTCAATGTAGTCAATGATCATTGTTTTTTGTTGCGTTCTGTCCATTACTTTTACTAACGGTTTTACGTTTTGTACACGCTAGGCTATCCCAATCGCACTTTCTAACATCAGGGACGAGAGGGGATACTGCCCTCTCAAAGTGCGGCAATTCTTGCTCGACCTCCTCCGCTTCAACGACAACACTGGCAATGTATACTCAGACAACTACTACGTCAGTACGTTGGTGTCAGCTTTGGGACACTCGTTGCTCCCTGACTTCACGCGCGGTCGCAGCGGGATAGACGACGATGAGGACGAGACGTTTGAGCATGCGGATGATCCACAGGGTAAGGAAGTTCTGGAGCAGGCAGTGCGCGAGATTGACCGATACCGTACCCTTGACTACCTGATCCCGACCTATCACAATACGGTGACTGTAAGCTGTCTCCAGGCCACCGCCCGACTCATGCTTGCGGGAGTCATCCCCCGAGATCTTAAGATGTACATGATGCACACCAGATTCGGCAACTTTACGGATGTCCGACTGTCTTCTTTCGACTCGCTCCTCTTGCTCGGTGCTCTCGACAACTACAAGGCCTCCGAGTACATCTGTAACGTCATCGAGCAGGATCCATCACCGTTTATCCGATTCCACGTTGCTCAGGGTCTTGCCGAGATTTTGGGGATATTCATGGCACGTGATGGCCTCGAGGGCCACCGGGAGCTTCATGACAGTCTTTTTGAAGAGGACGGAAGCTCAGGACAAAAGTCAGGGCAGTCGGGTGACAAGCCAGCTCTTCCGGCATTGGACATTGTTAGGAGGCAGTACGGCGTCCAACCTGTGCTTCGGAGGGAAATCTGGAGGATTTTGACGAGCTACCCATACCTGGAGCATCGTATCTTGAAGTATTTACTTCTATTCTGCGACGTCCTGTACCCTCCAGGAGAGTCAATCATCCCCAAGCTCAAGTTCCGTTTGTCGACTAACGACGACATTGCGATAAGAGATTCTAGTCCGGTCTATGAGCAAGCACCAGTTCCGTTGCCTACATACACCACAAGCAACCCCACCAGACCTTCAGCAACGCCGGTGCACGTCATACCATCGGGCTCCAGCGCTCTCCCTAGGGCGAATGGCACAACAGCATCAGTCCCTATTCCGGCTATGGCACCCGAGCTGCTCGCTGCAGTAGCCTCGTCTCCCATGATGCAGCAATCGCGAGAGCAAGTGCAGGTCCCTGTGTCTACCACAATGGTGCCGGCAGTCGTTCCCATGCCAACGCCAGCACCCGCGCCTACACCCGCGCCTACACCCAAGGCACCCAAGTCCAAGCCAGAGACAACCAAGGCGCCCAAGGCGCCGAAGCCAAAGCTCACGGCTGCTCCAGCATATATCCCGCGTATGTCTCGGTTTGCGTGATTTCGTTAAGACGGGGACCAGCGCGTTATATATACTTGCCTTGAACGAACTAACAAACTTGACTCGTCTGTTATTTTACTAATCTAGCCCCTGTGCCACAAGTTGCTAAACCTATACCGGTTGTTCCGGCGCCCAAGGTGGATATCGCTGTGTCCCTTTCGCCGGCATCTCGCATCAAGGAGGAGCCGATGACTTCGCCGACCATCCCCAAGCAGGTCGTGGAACCGAAGCCAGCTGCAACAAAACCGCCGGCCAAGAAGGCTGAGCCCAAGCCCAAGCCTCCGGTGTCTCAGCCCAAGGAGGTTGCGGCAATCCCTGCCGTCGATAGGATCCCTGTGCCAACCCAGCCTGTCGTCCAAATCATGCCAAAGGATCATATCCGACAATGCATGAAGGTACTGCGCAAGTTGGGTAGCAGGCATTGTTCACTCCACTTTCGTGCGCCTGTGGATCCAATCGCGGAGAACATTCCTAATTATCCGGATGTGGTCAAGCACCCTATGGATTTGAAGACCATGAAGGCCAAGCTTGAAGGTGGTCAATATCACACGTTGCAGACTTTTGAGGCAGACTTTCGTTTGATGATGACAAACTGCTTCTTGTTCAACCAAGTTGGAAGCTTCGTGTACACGCAGGGCCAGGAGATGGAGGAACTCTTCGATAGCGAGTGGACGGAAGTCATGGAGGATGCTGGAGTCAAGGTTCCCGAGCTCAACATCACCATCGTGGAGACCCCCAAGGGATCATCATCTTCAACCAGTTCTTCCACGCCCATGGCAACATCCATGTCGTCGAACTACCCTCCATCCCAGCCTCGTGCGACAGCTTCCAAGCCACTACTTTCATCGAGCGAAGCCAACGCACGATCTGCGTTGTCTGCTTCTACAACTCCCTTACCAAAGGCAAGCAAGCCATCTACACCCAAACCCCCGGTTCCCGTCTATACTCCTCCTTCCGTGCCATTGGGTCCTTCGTCGTCATCATCCGTCGCCCCAACGTCTTCGATTCACCAAAAGGACAAACCTGTTCCGACGAATGCTGGCCCTGCAGGTGCTGCATCCTCGTCGTCCTCTAAGAGCCAGAGCAGCGGCAGCAGCAGCAGCAACAACTCGGCGAACAAGGCAGCCGACATGGCAAAGGCCAAGCGACTCCTTGTCAGAGTCAAGAACGCTCCATGTGCTTCAGAGTTTAAGGATCCCGTCGATCCTATCTTGCAAGGAATCCCGCTTTACCCCAAGATCATCACGTCGCCCATGGATCTCGGTACGATCGAGCGCAAGGTTGATGAGAAGCGGTACAGGAATATCCGCGAGATCAAGGATGACCTCGACCTTGTCATATCCAATTGTCGCAAGTTCAACCCCAGAGGATGCTTTGTGGTCGACCAGGCGGATCTGCTGGAGGAGGTGGTAAACAGAGACTGGGAGAACACCTTTGGAAATCAAGCGGCCACCGGAAACGACACAAGCCAAGCCCACACCGCTCCTACCAGCAAGGCGACCTCTGCAACGGCTACCACCACCAGCACCTCCGCCAGCTCAAAGCCCAAGAGTAAGGTTGGGAAGGTAGAGGATGAGTCCAAGACGCCTGTCAAGGAAACCACCCAACCTGCCGCAGCCGCAGCCCGACGACCTTCATCCACACCCAAGCCAAAGCCCGTCAAGGTGGCAGAGAAGGTCGTTGAGCCACCCCAAGATGTCCTTCAGAAGCACATGGACAGGATCTTGAAGAAGGCAACTAATCACAAGCATGCTGGACCTTTCCTCCATCCCGTAAGTCGTCTTTGCCTGCTATTGTCACATATTTGCTCACCCATAAACATGACATACTGACACTTTCTATTATATATCTCATTATAGGTCGACTGGAAAGCGATGAACTTGCCCAACTACCCCTTGCTGATCAAGAACCCAATGGACTACTCAACAATTGGCAAGAAGGTAAAGGCTGGCCAGTACCCGAGCATGGATGCTTTTGCGGACGACATTCGATTGGTTACCCAGAATTGTGTCAACTTCAATGGGCTGGATCACCCTATCTCGCAGGGAGGTTTGATAATTGTTACAATTATCAACAAGGAGGTCGAGAACGCCAAGAAGGAGCTTCATCGACTCTATCCAACCTCAACTTCGGCGACGGCTGCATCGACTGGAAGCCCGGTGGCTGGTGCATCTGCGGCATCCAAAGCCAAGGCGGGCATCACGGAGGAGCTGAATGGTCATCTCAAGATCATCCAACGTCTCAAGGCCAACGTGGACTTTGGTGCATTTGCCGTCCCCGTCGACCCGATTGCCCTCGGAATCCCCACTTATTTCGACATTATCAAGCGCCCCATGGACTTTGGGACGATCGAGAAGAAGCTGATTGCGGGCGAATACAGCTCTGGGGAGGAGGTCATCCTAGACGTCAGGCTGGTCTTCTCGAATTGTGCTACTTTCAATGCACACCCTGGGGATCTTGTGGCGGCAATGGGAACGAGACTCAAGAAGACGTGGGAGAATATGCTCAAGAAGGAAGGCCTGAACAACCCCAAGTCTGCTGTCTCGAATATCGGGGCGTCGCCGAGTCATGCCTCTTCGTCGTCTTCATCTAAGCCCAAGACTGATTCCTCACCAACGCCAACGTCGTCAGCTGTCAAGAAGTCGGGAACACCAGGATCAGCCGGCTCGAGCTCGAAATCCAAGTCGGCGGCAGCAGCAGCCAAGATGGCCCCAGCCTACATCCCCCCGTCGTCGTCTCCCTCATCTCCCCACCACAACAGTAATAGCAACCGCCGTGGCTCCTCGACTCCAGCACCCACTCCGCTTCGCAAGGTGACAACTGCGGGAGCCACGTCGTCGTCGAGCGGTCATAGCAAGCACGGAGGCTCTGCATCTGCAAACTCGACCCCTGCCAGCAACAGCGCTGCTGCAACCTTTATGGCTTCTTTGGCGCCGCCTAAGCATCAGCCTCAGCACAAGAGCGGCGGAGGCAGTGGAGGCAGCAAGCATTCCCGACACGACCTTTCCAGCGGCAGCGACCTCTCGGACCCCGACGACGATGACGATGACGCGTCCAAGTCGCCTTCATCCATCATTCAACCTATCCGTCTGCAACCACCTCAGCTGATGGCGCCAGCATCCGGCTCGCGCTACGACTCTGATTCGGGACGAAGAAAGAAGCGCGAGCGCGACCATCGCGCTGCTTCGGGAGGTGATGACGATGATGGGGAGATGAGCAGCAGCAGCCGCCGGCACCGAAAGAAAGAAGGATCGTACTCTGAGGAATATGCGTCGTCCTCGACCTCAACCCGACGCGAGCACAAGTATCACCCATCCAGCAGTGGCAGCACTGGCATTCGTCTGCACCTGGGAGGATCCTCATCGCGATACGATTCTGACTCTGGACGAAAGAAGAAACGGGAGCGCGAGCGCGAGAATAATGGCGCAGGATCGGCCGACGAAGACGATGATGGAGAGCATAGCAGCAGCAGCCACAAGCGTCGTAGAAGAGAGGGCTCGATTTCTGACGACAACAGCGGAAGCCATCGGGATTCCCGCGAACATCGGGAGCACCGTGAGCACCGCGAGCACAAGAAACACAAGAAGAGCCGCAAGCACAAGAAGCACAAGAAGCGATCGTCAGAGGACCGAGATAGAGAACGCGACTATGGAGATCGCGACCGCGACCGTGAGCGTGAGCGTGAGCGAGACCGGGACCGCTATCGCGACGACGCTGGAAGTGGAAGTGACACCGGTGGCCGTGGTGGACGAAACGGACGCTATGATTCTGACGGCGGGAGCGATGACGGCCGCAAGCAGCAATACTCTCCTTACTGAGACCCATTCATGCTTCGACCCCTTTCTATTTTTTCCCCTTCTGAGTGAAGGGCCACTTACTTTCATATTTCTCCTCTTCTTTCGCCATTTTCACTCACTTTCATTTTTTTCCTTTCCCACTTCAAGTCAACCATTGTATCCTTTTCCCACTGTATTTTTTTCCCTTGTTTGTTTTGAATAAACAAATCGAATCATTTTTCCACCCTGTCTTGCACACTTGTTTTAGCAATGGTTCAATTGACGAACGAGTGTATTGTTGAATAATGGATGTGGTAATACAAAGAGAAAGGGAAGACAAAAGCGAGAAAAGAAAAATGAAAAACGAGGAAGAGGAACTAGGGATGTTAGGCGCATGAGTCCTTGAGATAGGCGATGACATCGTTGCGGTCCTTGGCCTTCTTGAAACCATTGAAGGCCATCTTGGTGCCTGGGATGTATTTCTATCAATTGTCCACGAAGTCGCGTGAAGAAGTGAGTTGAGTTTGTGAGATTTCGACCCCCTCCTCCCATCCCTCACTGTTCAGCCAAGTCTAATCTCATGTCCAAGTCTAATCTCATGTCCAAGTCCAAGTCCAAGTAGCCAACTGCATGGTAAGCCCAGGCCCATAAACAGACCACAAACCACAAACAAATAAGAAAGAAAAACGACGTTTGTTCATTGATCCAGGTGATAAAGTCCCGACCTTTGTATAGTGTCATAGCCAACGCTTTTTTTTCCCGCTTCCTTTTCCATTTTTCCCAATCTCGAGTCTTTTCCTTTCCTTGTTCTTTTGCCGCCGTTGTTTGTTTGTTATTTCGTTCTCAGTCTCAGTACCTTGGGATTCTCGAGGTAGTCAAAGAGGGTCTGCTCATCCCAGTGGACGCCCTTGTTCTTGTTGGCCTCGGTGTAGGAGTATCCGGCGGCCTTGCCTGATTGACGGCCCATGATGCCGTTCAAGTTGGGTCCGACCTTGTTTGGTCCGCCCTATAGACATATGTTTTTTGTTGTTTCACAAGGGAGGAGTATGTATGCAGGTGAGAAAGTGAGATTACTGCAGTAGAGAAGTCATTTAAGGATCTGTATATGGGGGGGGGGGGGGGAGAGAGTGTGATACCTTTTCGACGGTGTGACATTGTGCGCATCGGGTCTTGAAGAGCTTGGCTCCTATTTAGAGTTTTGAGGGAAAAGTGTGGATGAGTTTAACGAAGAAGGTGAATGAAACTGTCGTCCATCGTTGGTCCATATGGATGGTAGAGTCGGCTTTGACAAAAGAGCGTGTTCCTTGTTGAAGTTCCTACTGCGTTTTTCCTTGGTTGACGTTCGCTTACCGTTGACTTTATCGCCAGGTTCCATTGTTAGTCGTGCGAGTTGTTGAGTGTGAGGAGGGGTGAGGGTGAAAGAGTGTCTCGGAAAAGTTGAGGCGAAATAGGGGAGGATGCAGGTGAGAGGAGGAAGAGAGAGAAGAGAGACGACCTCCGAGGGGGAGTGCTTCTTTTTGTACTCCAAGGGAGGAGGGGGCACAAGTCACAAATGACGATCCTTTATTGTCATCATGGCTAATGTACGTTCTTTATTTAACCGGGCATGGCCCATGTATCCATGCTGTCTGTTGTATTGTCCGAAGAGAAAGGTGGACATGATTACAGTGTGACATGGTGTGCAACGACAACAGACATCATCACAATAGAAACACTGACAAGCGCCGACAACCGCAGGTCGAATAGTCCTCCAGAACCAGGTCCGTTATTCCTGCTAGGCGAGACCGCCATACCACGACTATCACCATCACTATTAGGAGTATTGTTGCTGGCGAGGTAGTCGTTCAGGTTATGGTACTCTGGTGCAGATCTGGTTCCGCAGAAGAATCGGTGTTCGCATTGGGCTTGACAGATCGGGTCTCGGGGTACGGGTGTGTCCACGGAGTAGGCGGATGGTAGTTGTTGTATGACTTCGTCATCTCCTTTTGTTACTGGTATTGTTGTTTCTGTTTTTACTCCTCCTCCTCCTCTTGTTGCCTTTTCCCCTATCGTTGTTGCTCCTCCTGCTCTTGATGATGGCGATTGGTGTAGCGTCTTGGAGTTAGTTGGCTGCTCCAGAAGTCGTTTCTTTCGAGTATGCTTGACCTTTTTCCCCTTTTGTTGTTTCGATTGGAGTTGGAGTCGCTGATATTTCTGTTGTCGTTTGCTTCGGTGCTTTGAAAACGAGGCAGCCTGGAGGCGAGCAGATTGTCGAACAAGTTGAAACTCATCCGAGATATCCATGCTCTCTATCGTTTCTTCCTGTCCAATATCTCCTCTTCTCCCACCACTGTCCGTGTTCCGTTTCTTGACAGAGGGTGTTGATCCTTTGGCTTTCCTTTCCCGATCCAAAGTCTGTTTTTGTGAGCTTTCGCACTGCTGCAAACATGACGAGAGTTGTCGGCGACAGAGTTGAAAGGGGATAGGGAGTTGCCAGTCTCCAAAAGTCGATCGTGTCCCGTTAATGCAGGTACATGTCCAGCTTAGTGACTTCGCGTTGCTAAAAAGATAAAAAAAGAATGAAAAGGAAAAGAAGGGTGAGATTGAGGGAAAAGAGGAAAAATGAGAGAGTGCGTGCACAGTTTTTTGTTGTTGTTGTTTTGGGATGTACCAGGAGTTTTGTTGGATTTTGCTCTGACAGGAGACGGTGCACATGCCGATCTGGTCAGCGCAGAGTGTTTCCATGGCGGCTGCGTCCAATGGTGCGACGACTGTGGATATGGGTATCTGGACTGTACGAGAAGGGCCTCCTCCTGCTCCTGCCGGTACCAGAGAGTCCAGAACCATTACGAGCAGACTCAACAGGATGTAGCGGCTTGGTGAGGTGACCGATGGGCCTCGACGCTGCATGTTTTCGGTGTCGTGATATGCGGTTGTGGGAGGGTAGAGAAAGAAGAATGAAAAGAGAGAGAGAGAGAAGGGTGTGAGCGAGAATGGGAAAGAAAGCAAAAGAAGAGAAGGAAGTGCAGGAGTAAGAACGATATGGGAGGAGGTTAGAATAGAATCGATAGTGATGCACATGCTCATGCCCTCGTGTGTCTGCCCGATTGTGAAGTAGGCGTTCTTAAGCGATAGTATTCCCCTTTCGGCCGAATTGGGTTGACTTGACTGACGACGGTCGAAGGAACGAACGTACAGCAATGAGAGCGGAGTAAAGAAACGCGTTTCTCGTCTGAGTTGAAGACGCTCTCTTTTCTAGCGAGGTGTGGCATTCCCCTTAATATGCTGGCATTGAAATGCCATATCACGTGCGCAAACAAGCTGACTGCTGCAGACCGAAAAAAAAAACGCAGCAAACAAAACAATGGTGTTCGTGACTGCATCCAGCATTCTTGCAAGGTATAAAAGGCACCCTGATTCGCCTTCTTAGTTCTTTCCCTTTTTCTGGGCTAATAAAACATCCATTTCACTCTATCCTTTATTCCCGTTTGTCTGTTCACCCTTCCTTTCCACTTCACTTCTTTTCCATAACCACTCTCAAGAACAAGCAAGCAGCCATGGTCAAGAAGTACGTTCTCGTCTCCGGAGGTGTCATCTCGGGTATCGGCAAGGGTATCATCGCCTCCTCCACCGGTCTCCTCCTCAAGACAATGGGCCTCAAGGTCACCTCGATCAAGATTGACCCCTACCTCAACATCGATGCCGGCACCCTCTCCCCCCTCGATCACGGTAATTACTTCATTCATCCTGTCTCTCTGCAATCCTTCTCTCTCCACACACCATGCTGTCTATTTGATTCCACACACATCACACATTACACCAAACCCCACCTCCTGCAAGATGGGGAGACCATCCCACTCTGCATAACAAAAAGAAGAAAAAAAAATGTTTCCCTCCAATTACGTCCCTCGAAATGTTTTCCCGCAACATGAACGTTGTGAGCTATCCCATCCAACGTAAATACAAACAAAAAAAAAGAAGCAATTGACACTCATACTCCCTTCTCCTTCTCTTTGTTTGCAATAGGCGAGGTCTTTGTCTTGAACGATGGTGGTGAGGTCGATCTCGATCTCGGAAACTACGAGCGTTACCTCGACGTTACCTTGACCCGCTCCAACAACATCACCACCGGCAAGATCTACAGGGATGTCATCGAGCGCGAGCGCAAGGGCGACTACCTCGGCAAGACCGTCCAGGTCGTCCCCCACATCACTGATGCCATTCAGGACTGGGTCGAGCGTGTCGCCACCATCCCCGTCGACGACTCTGGTGAGGAGCCCGATGTCTGCATCATCGAGCTCGGAGGTACCGTTGGTGATATCGAGTCTGCTCCCTTTGTCGAGGCTATGCGTCAGTTCCAGTTCCGCGTCGGCCACGAGAACTTTGCCTTGATCCACGTCTCCTTGGTCCCCACCATCGGTTCCGTCGGTGAGCAAAAGACCAAGCCCACCCAGGCTTCCATCCGTGACCTCCGTGGTTTGGGTCTCACCCCCGATCTCATTGCCTGCCGTTGCGAAAAGAATGGATTGGATGAGGGTATCCAGTCCAAGATCTCCATGTTCTGCCACGTCCAGCCCAACCAGGTCCTCGCCGTCCGCGACTGCAACTCCGTTTACCACGTCCCCGAGCTCTTGAAGGATCAGGGTATGGTCGACTACCTCTGGAAGCGCCTGAACATCGAGAAGACCATCAACATCAGCGCCCCCTTGAAGCAGAAGGGTGTCGAGATGTGGGCAAAGTGGAACCAGTTGACCTCTTCTCAGGAGCGTCTCCATGACACCGTTACCATCGTCTTGGTCGGCAAGTACACCAACCTCCAGGACTCTTATGCCTCTGTCGTCAAGGCCCTCGAGCACGCCTCCTTGAACTGCCGCAAGAAGCTCATCATGAAGTGGGTCGAAGCTTCGGATCTCGAGCCCGAGGCTCGCTCTGCCAACCCCGTCAAGTACCACGAGGCCTGGCAGGATCTCTGCTCTGCCCAGGGTATCCTTGTCCCCGGTGGATTCGGTAACCGTGGTGTCGAGGGTAAGATTGCCGCCGCCAAGTGGGCACGTGAGCAGAAGGTCCCTTACCTCGGAATCTGCCTTGGTCTCCAAATCGCGGTTATCGAGTTTGCCCGCAATGTCTGCGGTATGCCCGAGGCTCACTCCATCGAGTTGGACGAGAACACCACCACCCCCGTCGTTGTCTTCATGCCTGAGATCAGCAAAACTCACCTGGGTGGCACGATGAGATTGGGCTGCAAGGCCACGTTGTTCCAGGAGGGAACTGAGAACTCCAAGCTTCGCAAGTTGTACGGAGGCGGATCTGAGGTTTTGGAGCGTCACCGCCATCGCTATGAGATCAACCCTGAGATGATCGACAAGTTTCACTCCAAGGGCATGCAATTTGTCGGCAAGGATGAGACTGGTCAGCGCATGGAGATTGTCGAGATGGCTGACCACCCTTACTTCGTCGGTGTCCAGTACCATCCCGAGTACTTGACCCGTCCCCTCAAGCCCTCCCCTCCCTTCATGGGTCTTATCTTGGCTGCTACCGGTGACCTCGAGAACCACCTCGCCTCGTTGTAATTTACTATTCAGCATTTTTCTACTCCTTTCTATTCATCATTTCTTTCGTACCCCTTTGCATTCACTTTTTTCACTATGTATCATAACCCCTAAAAAAACCTACAACAGCAATAAACCATTAGCAGGTCTTGGATTTGCACACTTCTAATCAGAACAACGCAGAAAATGGCGAGTGACTGGGCGGTTGAGTGAAAGACAACCCTTTAGTGTGTGATTGAGTCGACGTCATACCACTCTTAGAACAAAGTAATATCTATCTTAGTGCATGCCTTCATGTACAATACGATGGCTTTATTCATTTGTTTTTCTACAGGAGGGCAGTGATTGTGGAAGACGCACAGGCCATCATGATAAAAAATTGAGACAATTAAACATTTGTGCTTGAATGATAATAGCTGAGTGATTGGTTGATCAATCCTCATGTCATGCTGCAGCGAAATATCAACAACCCTCTACCTTCCTGATTCAGGGATCCCAGGATGCTAAGGAAAGCCTGCCTCCTCTAAGCGACTCTTCTGCTTGTTTTCCTTGAAGAACATCGCTTCACGAGAAGGACCAATCACTTCAAGATATGGTTAAAATAACGGTAACGGTGGCCCTCAGAAACAAGCGATCTCCTCCGGACAACTCGCGGAGCTTGGAGCCCTCAGTTCCCTCCTGGAACAACGTGGCCTTACAGCCCATGCGAGTGTGATAATAAAATAGTACTGATGCCGTGTAACACGCCTTGGCTCGTTCTCTTTTATTTCATTCTCTTATACCTTGGTCGTGGTCTCTTTCTTGCTTAGGTCAAATCATCTCGTTCGTGCTACGCGACCATACACCCTCATGTCCAAGATGAACCTATGTCATATAAGGAAAGGCAATTAGAGTATGAAAAAGTAGAAAATGACATTCATAGCCAATTAGATAACGCAAAGTAGAAGAAAGTGTTAGCTCTGGGACATACGAGCCGCTAAACGTGAAGAGACCACGACGATCTGGGTCACAGTAAAGTAGCCTTTTTCCCGTTCGAATCGAAACAAACGCGATCGATCGATAGCTTTTCGGTTTGGCATGCTCATGAATCCGCTTCAAAAAATATTCACCTCGTCGACGAAACACCGTGTTCTCCCGAAGCGGCACTTCTGACGTGTTCCCTGAGAAAACACTGGATACTGTTCGACAGCGTTGCCCTGAGTGAATACCGCCCATCTTATTGTAGCCGTTTCTTTTAGACAAGTCAACTTGTTACTTGATCTTCGAGTTTATTTGGTGATTTTCTGTGCTGGATTCTCCATTGCGGTTGTCTTGGTGGATCACATATTCACATGTTCGACAAGGGGAGAGAGAGAGAGAGAGAGAGAGAGAGAGAGAGAGAGAGAGAGAGAGAGAGAGAGAGAGAGAGAGAGAGAGAGAGAGGGGGCTTGATGGTGAGCAGATTTCCAGGGAGATCGTCGCAGGAAGAAGGCGTTGACCCAGTTCAGCTTTGTTGGATAGGCGAGACAGTATTTGTTGTCCATGATCCCTGGCAGGTCATGAGCGATCATAAGTTTGTTGCAGACGTGCCGATCGGGTTTTCCTTAGAACCGGTCTCTTTATTATTTAGTTCCCGAATGCGCCGCCCCGCCGTGCTGATGTGTACATGCAATGTAGCATTAGTTTTCTATTCTAAAGACTGAACAGCGCAAAAAAAATATGCTTCTATACTTGCTGCTTACCGATTCAATTTAGAAGAGGCAGCGGTCCCTCCGTTCATACCCATTAATTAACATCTCGACCCTGATGTCGACCGTGGGGGTTTCTTCGTCGACTACTCGATCTCCATTCTTTCAGCTTCGCCTCGCGCTCAGATTTACCTCCTTTTGGGAACATGACCGTGTTGTCTCATGTGAGTTGGAAGCGCTTTATTAGTAACCAGTCAAAAAAATAAAATATAAAGCATGTTCGCAACCCATCAATGTGAGTTCGTTCTGTTTACCGATCCTTGAAGGGAAACGAGACAACCATGGCTGGAGGAGCATGGAAATAGGGGATATTGGTTGCCATCTGAGTTAAAGTTCACCCTTTCGATTGAGGATTTCCTTGGTTTGTCCAGAAGCATCTTATTGCGCACTCTTGGCTTCTTACGTGCTTTTTCGATAGATAGTCGTCGAGTTTGCGGCTGTCACAGAGGTCATATGATGTGAAAAGGATGGCCCTGGTGATGGTTCCGACAGTGCCAGGTGACCATCTCCATGCCATCTGTTGCCATCCATGCCCTCGCCGATCATCCGTGAGCTGATAAAGAAAAATAGCGCGTTTGTCTTTTGCGAGCTTTTTGTATTTTCCCACTCCACCTTCAATTTCTCGACCTTCTGTTCCTTATATCTTCGCCAAGGCTTTCGTTTCTCTCTCTCTCTCTCCTTTTTTCACTCCCCACTCCGCTCCAGCTCTCTCCACCCTCCAACGGCGTAGTCGAAACAAAGAACAACCGACCTCCATCGAACCACTCCACTCCACCATTCACCAACAAAAGAAGCAAGAGGAACAACAACACAGACAAGACATCACTACAACAAAGTTTTCCTTTCGGCTAAAGTGCGAAAAAAGAATGTCTCTTCGGCTCTCGGCTCTGCAGCAGGGTTGTCGTTCCATGACCCTGCTTCGTTTCCACTCGTCCCAACAACCTTCTTCTTTTACCTCCCTCCTCCTTGACTCGGAGCCGAGGAAAATCTAAAAGCGTATAATCCCGACCCAACTCGCAAAACTTGAAAACCAAAAAATGGATAGGTGACTGGGCGTTTCGAGCGAAACACAGCCTTTGTTGCCAACATTTTGACGCGTCTAAGGGAGCTACGGAACAAGAGGGCAATCCACTTCTTTTTGTTGTTTCCTCCTTACACCTCCAGGCCAACGCCTTTTGGCTCTTCCCACATTCCTCTTTCGTCATCCTTTGCCGACACACCCCTTTCCTCCAACAACCAGTTTCCTCCTTCCTTCCTACCTTTTCTTATCACACCCTCCCTCACCCTCCTTTAACACATATATACATCCACACCCACACCCAATCACCTACGTCCTCCGCAAGGAGACGTCTGGTCCTACCCAGTCTATTGTTTGTTACACCAAGGGATCGTCACCTCTGCTCTACAACCCTCTCGGGACGAACTTTATCTCTGTACGCACTTGCTCTTCCTCAACGGCGGTCAGGACGTTTTCGTTTCTCAGCCAAGTACAGCCTTTTTTTACTCCTGCTTATCCTCATAACGCTCTTACCACTATCAACTTTTCACCAAGGACTTTATGCCAACTCATCTACAGCAACAACAGCAGCGCTTATCGGGCCTTGTCTTGGCTAGGATACCTTTCGCTGCCTTTCGACCTCAACAACTACGATACTTCTCTTCTTTCAGCCAGAACAATAATTGCGTTTTCCAAACTTCAGGAACCATGCCTGGAAACAAGACTCGTAAGCAATGTCCAAATTGCGGGAAGCGCCCGGCGGTCATGAAGGACCATAAGCGGTATTGTGGGGTAGCCGGGAAACCGTTTATCTGAACATATAAGGGCTGCGACAGGAGGTACAAACTGAACATGACTCTTCTGCGACACATCCGTGAGAGCCATCAAGTCCTTGAGTGTTCGCGGAACGACTGTTCGGCTCAGTTCAAAACTGCAGAAGAGAAAAGGCCCATTAACAGGAGCACAGGATGGTTCGTTGCAGAGTGGGGTGATGCGGGAAGATTTCCTCAAGTGACATAACGGAGATCGGCCACTTTACTACTATCCACAACAGATCGCACGAGAAGCCTCCGACGACAAACTTGCATCAAGTCACGCCAACAACCCCCTGTGTTGTTCGGGACAACCAGAAGGACACAGGTATGCAGCTTATGTTCAACTTTTGTGATCAAATCGTTGCTTACGCTCTGATCACTTTTTCGTGCAATATGATCGCATGGTTGATTGGCTCTACCAATTGTTGATTTGATCATGCTCCGTCCTCACAATTAATTTTTTTTTCCTTATTCTTTCTTGTTGGCATAAGTTCGGCACGGAGTTGCTGAAAGGAGCGAAACGGTTGCTATAATGTTCTCGAAAGAAACTGAACTTGTCGCTGGAAAGCTTATGGTATGTTTGTTGCTCGACGATGTCGACGCGTTGGAATTGTTTTATGTTTCCATTTTTTCATTTATTGATTTTTCTCTCTCGACTGATACGCTGGATAGACGGGAAATGTGATGTCCGATCCATTGGCGTGGGACTCTGACCCTTTTGAGGCCTTCAGCGCTCATCAGCTCAAGGTCTACCACTCCATAGTGAGCCGCAGATACCGTACTGACTCGCCGTTGCCAGGGGGGTTGTTTTATCAGACATGCAAGGTGTTGCTGTCATGGAGGACTTTGGAGTGCATGTTTGACGGCGACCACACGAACCTGAGATCAAGACAGACAACCTATTACTCGTCGTGTTTCCGCTTGCTAAACTGAATAGAGGTATGTACAAGAGTTTCAGACATTCTAACGCCGCATTGGTTATTTATTCTATAATTCGATCAGGCAGCGCGATCCCGGTATCGGATCCAACCCGAAGAGGATCTTGTGACTGGTTTGGTAAGCGTCGGGTGCCATAAAAGCGGCTTATAGGTGCCCTTGTCAATAGGATATACATCGCCTGTCCAGCCGAGCTGGATAAAAATAACTCGTGCTTTCATCGCGTTAAGACGCTTGAAGAGCCACTCACTTTCAGCCCTCGATACAAAGATTGTGATGATGAGTTGCATCGATTCAACCGCAACAGCGACCCCCTCCAAAAGATCACAAATTGGGAATGGAGAGTGGACGAGGAAATCGCCAGTCCAGAGGTAGCTGCGACGACTGGCTTAGTCGTCCTTACTCAAGGCTATGCTGTTGGACCCATCTCGTGCACCAAGGCCGAGAAGTTCTTTTTACAGCAACATGTCAGGAGCGATGCACTTAACACCAGCTGTTTTTGCCCTACCGCAATATTCAATACTGATCGCGTTAACTTCGACATGGAAGACACTAGTCTCCCATATTGCGACCCCACTCAGATTCTTGACGCGTCATCCTTGTTTGTGAATTCGCAAGTGCGAGGGTTACCATTTTTCTTTCTGTGTTGTTCTAATTGGCTCTACATATGTTCTTTCGATTTTTTTTCAAGTCAAATAGGGTTTTCCTGGATATGCGAATCTCCGAGCGGGTAGCCAACTTGAACAAAATCCAGAAGGAGTGGGCCGTCAAGATCCCTCAAGCCGACGCAAAGACTAATGTTCTGATTGCTGGATATACCAACCACTTCGGTCGCAGTCCTGGAACCCTCAGTGGGGTGAGTATTGGCCCGATCATTTGAAGACAAGAAGGTACGCAGGCAAAACCGATCTAGTTGAATGGTCCAAGGTTGAGTACAAGTCCTTTATGACGACTTGGGAAGGAATGTCGTTGGTGACTGGTCAGGATATCACAGGAAAGTATGGCCATGTGGACCGCATCTTCAACGACGACACCTATGCCCTCTGTAACTGCATTTTTATTGAGGGCGGGATTAACTTTGGCAAAGGACGCATGACCCAGTTTACATCTGCTGTGGCGGCATCACAATTTTACGTCAACTGGCTCTGGAGCTGCTTGCCGAGACCAAGGAGTTCAGGGAACAGTAAGTGCTTGCTTTCTCTATCATAGAATGAATGGCATGTTTGCCACAAGCGCTAGTTCACATTCTATTCATGATCTCTTCTCATAGATGGCAGGCTATACTGGACGGACCTGTTGAGCTCAACAGAGAATGGATGGCGGTTGATCCCGAGGAGTTCCGTCAAGTCTTTGGCTAGGTTGTCGTGCGTATCATCTGAACAGCGACGATGCGGCTGAGATCAATGACAGTCTTCCTCTATGTGGACCTGGCGACGAATACTGTTTTGCGAGTTGTCAAGATTGATGGCGGCGACATTGAGGCTTCCTTTTGTAAACAGGACTTGTTAGTTAACGCTTTCTATACAACTTTCTCAAGTTATGATGGTAACAGTGCTAGATCTTCAGTATAAAACAGCAGCAGCTACTTCTTTGTAGTGCACTTTTGCATACCATGATAAAAATTGAAGATTGCCAATGTAGCTTCAAATTCCTTTTTTCCCAAGCGCATCGTGGTGGCATCCAACGCGTTCATTTCCTTTTGTCGTTTGTTTGTGAGCTAGTACGTGTGAACGAGTACGCGTATGCATGTCTATTTAACGCGGTGAGGGATTGGCCAATGGTTACCAAGGACGTGCGTGTGTCCGTTGTGGCGTGCTTGTCCTTTTTTGTATTTTCCCACTCCACCTTCAATTTGCTCGACCCAGTCTGTTCCATATCATTTATTTCCTTTTGTCCTCTTCGCCAAGTCTTTCGCTTCTCTCAATCTCTCTCTCTCTCCTTTTTTCACTCCCCACTCCGCTCCAGCTCTCACCATCCTCCAACGACGTAGTCGAAACAAAGAACAACCGACCTCCATCGAACCACCCTACTCCACCATTCACCAACAAAGGGAGCAAGAAGAACAACACACACGGACAAGACATCACTGCAACAAAGTTTTCCTTTCGGCTAAAGTGTGAAAAAAGAATGTCTCTTCGGCTCTCGGCTCTGCAGCAGGGTCGTCGTTCCATGACCCTGCTTCGTCACTCGTCCCCGCAACCTTTTTCCTCTTTTACCTCCCTTCGTTCCTCCTTCTCATCTTCCTCCTTGACTCGGAACCGACTTCGTCCAACTCTCACCGCCCCTCGACCAAAAAAAACTCCAGACCAACAGAGTCAACAGAGCCAACAAGTGCTACCACCAAAAAACACCGCCAAGGACTCACCCGCTGTCAGTCACATCCTCCCCTTGAACAAGAATAATCAATCGTTCAAACAGCAACACTACGATCGGCTCAAGAACCAAGAATCCCATCAGCGAGACCAGCATCAGCACCAACAATACGAAAAGAACCACGGCGGCCCTGGCTTCAACCCTTGGATCCTCCATCTCATCGAATCTCGGCGTAAAGTCATCAAAGCCTTCATCGTCGGAGGACTTGTAGGCACAGCCGGTGTCGGGATCTACCACTTTGCGAAAATTTACAGGCACTCGAGCTGGCCCCAGATCCAAGCCGACTTCATTGATTTTCGCAGTTCCTTGACCGGCCAGACTTCAGGACCCAGTCCCACCCCAGGCGAGCACCGATCCTTTTCTACAGGAGTATCTCCCTTTCAGTCACCCGCCCTTCATCGATACGAAAAACAATCCGTCCGAATGTTGTCCTCTGAGCAGGTGGATGAACGACTCGCCCAGAACGAAAAGGCCTTCAGAGTGTTTACCAAGGAGAAAGATTCAAAGGAGAAGAACAAGGACGAGGTCATTGTCGGCTACTGTGTCAATCAGGTCGCTTCCAACAACCCGATCGAGGACGATCTGTCACGGCATGTGATCCGGAACCAGAACGGCGGGATCGCGAAGGCCTTCTTTGGCGTCTTTGACGGCCATGGAGGTTGGTGCTGCAGTCAACGAGTTGCTTTGGAGTTGGCGCCCTCTGTTGCTACCGAGCTGGAACATGTCAAGGACCCTCATGATGTCATGGCGGTTATGGAGGCTATTGAGAATGGGTTCTTAAAACTGGACGACAAGATTGTAAACCAGACGGTCGAGCAGGTGCTCGAGTTCCCCTCCCGTCCCTTGGCCTGCTCCAGTCTCTTGCCAGCCATTTCAGGATCGTGTGCTTTGATGGCATACATCGATGTCAATGAGAAGGATCTCTATGTAGCCTGTACCGGAGACTCTCGTGCCGTCTTGGGAGTCCGCGAGCCCTCTGTCGCTAGCAAGTCTGGACATACCTGGAAGGCCGTGCCTCTATCGTTTGACCAAACAGGAAGGAACCGTTGGGAGGTCCGAAGACTACAGGAGGAGCATCCCGGTGAAGAAAACACTGTGATCATGCGTGGCCGTGTTCTCGGTGGTCTTGGTGAGTCGACATGTTTTTGCATATCAAGGTTCAGTTGAATGCGTCAGCCCCTGCCCTTTCTTCTCTAACACTTTTGTTGTTGTGAATTCAATATAGAACCAACGAGGGCGTTTGGAGATGCAAGATACAAATGGACAAAGGAGATTCAGGAGCGCGTGTTCCAATTATTCCCCACCTACCGTCAGCCTCACCGCAACTACCATACCCCTCCCTATGTTACCGCTAAGCCTGTTGTCAAGCATCACAAATTGCATCCAGAGGATCGATTCTTGGTAATGGCGACTGATGGACTTTGGGACAAGTTGACTAACGACGAAGTGATCCAGCTGGTCGGCGATTTGTTGGATGGCAAGACTGGCCAGGAGAATCTGGTTCTGGACCGCGAGGAAGTGAAGTCGATCAAGGGCAAGCTCCAGGCGATCCAAGGCGTTATCACGGGCAAGAAGAACGAGCAGAACGAGGAAAGCGAGGAATTGACGCCAGTCAATTTGCCGCCCAAGGGTCCTGCCAGCCAAATCAGGCAATTCACTTTCAAGGACCAATCCAATGCCTCGACACATCTTGTCAGGAACGCTCTCGGAGGCGGCCACGACGACCAATTGGCTGCCACTCTTTCCATCCCCTCGCCCATGAGCCGCGTCTACCGCGACGACATCACCGGTATGTTATGCTTTTGTTTCACTTGTGAGGTGTTTCCGTTGAAAAGATTTGAGTCGATGAAACTAACGCTTTGCTATTCTTCATATTGTGAATAGTTACGGTTATCTTTTTCGGACAGGAAGAGTCCAAGAGTCATTTTAAGAGCGACCAAACCACCGATGGTTTTGTGGAGATCGCTTAGGGCTCGCACGAGTTCTTTTGTACAATTATTAAAAAGTGATTGTTTGTATCGTGTGCAACAAAGTAAGAAATGGCCAAGTGTGGGGGGAGAAGAGAACCCTGAATGCGGCGAGTTTGTCCGAAGGAACACAGGAGAGAATGATTCAGACTGCTTTCTTTGCTTTTTCTCACGAACTTTATTTTTATTTTCTCTGGTACCTGGCTGCACTCCGAGAAAGAGGGAAACTCATCACTCTTCTTTTCTCCACATTCACAACCAGTCCAACAACCATTCGATTCAATTGCAATGCTTCGTCGCTCTCCACTATTCGCTCTACTAGGCTGCCAGGCTTCAAGGATAACACGGCCTGTCGTTTTTTCAACCTCACCGGTGTCATTCGCATTGCTCTTTACAGGATCACGGCATGTCACCAACCGGAAACAGTATTCCACTGGCGCTACTGCTTCCGAAGGAGGAGCCGTCAAGATACCGGCTACTAAGAACGTGCAAGGAAGCTTCGAAGTAATGGAGAGTTACTTGTGGATACTTGGAGGGATGTCTTGATTATGCGAAGCGTTTGCTTGACGTTTGGATCTAACGATGTTTGTCTTGATGGTTATGGTTAGGTCAAGACGTATATTTCAAAGATCAATGATCCATATACCAACCTGGCCTTCGAAGAATGGTACCCTAAATCAATGTCTTTCCTTAGATATGAATGGGGGCAGTGGAGATACGCACGATCCATCTCGCAGACCAATTAACAGAAAACTTCTTTATGACGCCGTCCTTTGTAGGCTGTTCAGGAACTCTGATCCATCGACATATATCCTGTTCCTCTACAGGAACTCCAAATCTGTCATTGTTGGGAGGAACCAGGTACCGGATGCAATTAATTGTTCTTTGTTTGCGGGAGTAATTTGACGAGGGATGCCGCCGTGGAAACTAATGATATCAACTTGTTGTCCATGTGCCCGAATATGTACTCTAGAACCCGTTCAAGGAATGCAACCTGAAGCTGTTGGCGCGTGATGGTATCCCGTTTGTAAGACGCAAGAGTGGAGGCGGAACTGTGTATCACGTAAGTCATCGCTGAAAATCACACAAAAGATGAACAAAGGAGTGGATTACGGACAGGCAGGACCATATTAATTAACCCCAACATTTTATGTTACTTGTGTGGTAGGATATGGGCAATACAAACTACTCGATCATGATGCCGAGGGAGGTCTTTGACCGCAGGACGAATGTAGAGTTAATCTGCCGCGCTTTGCATGAGCTTGACATCCCTGCTTCTGTGAACGAGCGTCACGACATTGTCGTCGATGGCAAAAAGATAAGTTATCCTATCTAGTTGTGACGAGATGTCTCAACGCAGCTATTGCAGATGTTTTAACTCGCGTTCCCTTTGCTCGCTCGTTTCTACATCTCAGGATCGGCATTCAAATTGATCCAACATCGCGCATACCACCACGGGACAATGCTAATCGACACCGACCTCTCCTCGCTTGGCCAATACCTCAAAGTCGACAGGACAAGCCTCGTCACAAAGGGCGTCGCTTCTGTGCGCTCACCTGTCACCAGATTGCGCGAGTCCTCTTTCACAATCGACCATCTTTCCTTCTGTGAGGCAACACGGACAGAGTTTTTGAAACGATATGCCTATGATACCTGGCGCCAGAACCTGGAGGGCGAACCTATTGTTGTGGACGAGGAGATGATTGAGGGCTTGGAGGCTGTCAAGGCGATTCGAGATGATATGAAGACTTGGGAGTGGATGTATGGACAGACACCCGAGTTCTCGTACAAGCTCGAAAAATCCTTCTCCTGGGGCACCGTGGTAAGTTATTGTTGTTAATCTCCATATGGATTTTATTTCTGTTTCCTCTCGACCACCCCATTTTGCGTCCGCCGAACTAAATTTTCTTTCATTTGTGGTCTCAATAGAATGTGACGATCAAGTCAAAGGAAGGATTGATTACACAGGTGGATTTGGACTCGATGGACCAGTTAATCAACGCACCCTCGTTGCCATTGACGGCTCTCGGCATTGGAATGGAGGGGCAGAGATACGATGCCCAGGGACTGGATTTGGCTGTTGAGCGGATCAGGAATGAGGCCCCCGAGGTCCTTGCCCCCCCCGGTGGCGCACAAAAAGTCATGGATGTCGTCCGTTGGCTCAAGGAGGAGCTCTAGGTCTTTCCTTTCTTTTCGGCATGGAGCCAGGAAGTACCTTAGAACATAGAACAATAATAGCCGATTTTTTTAATCTGACTATGCAGGTTGGTCGCCTCCTTTTGTTGAAACGACCAAATTCCATAAAAGTAAAATTAGAAAAACGGGCATCTTCCCTGAAAGGAAAACGACCAGATGAGTTCAGACTTCAGACCTGAGATCGGAGGTTTTTTTTTTAACAGCAATAGCTTCGCTCACAGGCACGCGAATGCGATGGGAGTAGTTGCGCTGGATAGAAAGTCATCTACGCTTTCTCCTTGTATCGCTTTCAGGTCACCAGGCCGGGTAGATCCCACTCGGCAGCCAGAAAATATCATTTTGGACACTAGACAGCTTAGAGCATGACTAATAATAATTCTCAGCCTGCAGGTCTGAATTCATCTACGACGATGGTCGTTTTGGCGCATTTTTCCTTTCAGGGAAGGTGCTAGCTAGGCTAGCATCCGTGGGTTTCATATTATGAGGGTTGGAAACCTTTTCGATTTGATTTCTTTGAACATTCTTCATATGCATACGACTGGTGGATGCCACATCCAGCGCAACTCATAAGGGATCCCAAAAAGAGGTCTTACTTCTCGATATGTAATTGACCAGAGTTTCTCTAATTGACATGACCCAAAAAGGAAAGAGGGGTGAGGTCCCGATATCTCGATATGTAATTGATCAGTGTTTCTGGCCCTCAAGTTGCGAGTGAGCCATAAATGCCCATGGTAACCCTTGCCATCCTTCTCTCATTAAGCACTTTACCCATTTCGCTTCACTCTTCCTGAACTTATTCACCTTATTCCCTCGCTATTGTGCTTTCGCCCTGATCTTGCCGTGTCTGTGTCGATTGTATTGTCCGACACCTCGTTAAGGCTACTGTCAATTAGGAAAACTCTGGTCAATTACATATCGAGAAGTAAGACCTCTTTTTGGGATCCCTTATGAGTTGCGCTGGATGTGGCATCCACCAGTCGTATGCATATGAAGAATGTTCAAAGAAATCAAATCGAAAAGGTTTCCAACCCTCATAATATGAAACCCATGGATGCTAGCCTAGCTAGCACCTTCCCTGAAAGGAAAAATGCGCCAAAACGACCGTCGTCGTAGATGAATTCAGACCTGCAGGCTGAGAATTATTAGTCATGCTCTAAGCTGTCTAGTGTCCAAAATGATATTTTCTGGCTGCCGAGTGGGATCTACCCGGCCTGGTGACCTGAAAGCGATACAAGGAGAAAGCGCAGATGACTTTCTATCCAGCGCAACTACTCCCATCGCATTCGCGTGCCTGTGAGCGAAGCTATTGCTGTTAAAAAAAAAAACCTCCGATCTCAGGTCTGAACTCATCTGGTCGTTTTCCTTTCAGGGAAGATGCCCGTTTTTCTAATTTTACTATGATGGAATTTGGTCGTTTCAACAAAAGGAAGCGACCAACCTAGTCATGCCTGACGGCTAATAAAGATGCTAGAACTATGCTTCGCGTTTTGTTTATTTACTTCAGCTGGTATTAGGTGATGAGAGGTAGTGTGTGTGAGTGAAGAGAAAAATTCTTTAGCAGAAAAACTGCTTGTAGAGGGGGTTGTTGGTCTCCTCGACCCAGTGATAGTTCAATTGAGACAGGTAATTTGTAAACTCCTCGTTGTCCTCCTCAGGGACCTGTAACCCCGCTAACACCTTGCCCATATCTATTTCAACATCATAACAAAAAAGAGAACGACATCGTTAGTCATATATACCTATAAAGTATATGAATGCATTGAAAAAGAAGGGGGAAAAAAAGAGCAAAAAAGGACTTACCAGAGCCGTGATTCCGGTAGTGGAAGAGCGAAACGTTCCATCCAGCCCTCAGACCTTCCAGGAATTGCAACAGCGCACCAGGACGTTCAGGGAACTCGAACCTGAACATTCTCTCGTTCTCAGCCTCAGACCGCCCACCAATCATATACCTCGCGTGGGACTTTGCCATCTCGTCCTCACTAATATCCCAAGCCTGCATATCCTCCTTGACCAACTGGTCCATGATCAACGGCACCTCTCTCCTACGATCGTTACATAAGAAGGACATGTAGATCTGTGCTCTCCTGTTGGGCGCATACCGGTATGAGAACTCGGTCACCATGAGCGGATGGATATGTTTGTAGAGCCGCAAAAAGGAGCCGGGCTTTTCGGGGATGACGACGGAGAGGAGGGCTTCTTTTTGTTCTCCAAGTAAGGCGCGTTCAGCGACGAAGCGGAGGCGCTCAAAGTTCATGTTGGCCCCCGAGGTGACGGCGATGCAGGTCTTGTTGGTGAAGTTGTGTTCGCGGAGGTACTTTTTGCAGCCCGCTACGGCGAGTCCTCCGGCGGGTTCGACGATTGAGCGGGTGTCTTCGAAGATGTCCTTGATCGCTGCACAGATCTATTGGCGTAGATAAAGGGGGATAGATCCAAAGTCACGGTTAGTTTCAAATGCGAATGGACAGCTGGATTAAAAAATTAATAGGCGCATGCACGCGGTGAGCAAGAGAAACAGAGAGGGCGATGAAAAATTTACCTCGTCGTTGGTGACTTCGACCATCTCATCGACAAACGACTGGCAGAGTCGGAAGGGCTCCTCGCCCACAACCTTGACAGCAGCACCATCCGCAAACAGCCCAACATCCGTCAACTCAATCCTGCGTCCAGCCTTCAAACTCTGAGTCATCGCATTAGCATCCACGGTCTCACAGCCAATGATCTTGATATGAGGCGCAACCCGCTTCACATACGCCGCTACACCGGCAATCAACCCGCCACCACCAACACAACAAAAGATCGCATCAATATCCTGCAAGTTGTGCTGTCTCAAAATCTCTGCTCCAATGGTTCCCTGTCCAGCAATGACATAGGGATCATCAAACGGTGGGATGTTGGTATAGTTCTCCAGCTTGGTCAACCGCTCACATTCGGCCTTGGCCTCATCAAAGTTCTTCCCATGCAGGATAACCGTCGACCCTAACCTCAACACATTCCTCGACTTGATCTCCGGCGTAGGAGTCGGCATAACAATGGTAGCCTTGATCCCCATCGTCTTTGCGGCCAGCGCAACACCCTGCGCATGATTCCCGGCCGAGCACGCAATAACGCCCCTCCGCTTCTCCTCCTCCGTCAAATGGGCCAACTTGTTATAAGCGCCTCGGATCTTGAAGGAAAAAACATCTTGGAGATCCTCACGCTTGAACAAGATCTGGTTCTGGGTTCTGTTAGAGAGGTTGACGGCGTGGGTGAGTGGGGTTTGCTTGAGGATCTCGTAGCAGCGGGCGGTGAGGATCAGACGGAGATAGTCTGGGTGGTGTTGAAAGTCGCCGTCGTGATGGGAGTGGACTGAGGGGGTTGGGGATCCTGGTGCGGATTCTGTGCGTGAGTAAGGGGGGATGTAGGTGGGAGTCTTGGGTGCTCCGTTGGTTGTTTGTACTGAGGCCATCTTGGTAGGGTTGTTGTTTGAGTGTTTGGTGGTTTTAGTGGAAATTGATCCTATAGGAGTCCTTTGCTTATGTCTGGGTATTGTCTTGATCCCGTTATTGGCGGAAGAAGGAGAGGGGTGGAGAGAAAGAACTGTGAAAGATGAAGAAGAAGAAGAAAAAGGAGAAAAAGAAAACGAGGGGAGGGGGTTGTCCGTAAATAAGAACGAAACGAGACTATAACCCCAAGATAAGCATATGAGCAAGCGTGCAAGGTTTGGGCCAATCAACGATTCATCCTGCAATGACTTATGGAACGAGAAAGCAGTCATATTACTCAACTGTATCGCTGTGAATGTGTTTGCGGAATTGTGGATGCATGTGGGTGCAAATTGCTCGTTCAGCGAACGAAGTTCGGAGAAAGAAAAGGTGGCACAAATTTCCGAAGACGCGTGAAAAGGTACGGTGAAAAAGTCGTTGAGGATAGGAAACAACGTGTCATCATCATCATCGATCGAATGTGCATTATCCATGTTGTCATATCACGATAGTGTGTCAACTGACTGTTGCAGAGCTTTTTTTTTTTTTTTTTTTTTTTTTTTTAAAATGGTCAGGTCGCGACAGAGGCAGAGGCTTGCTACTGTGGTCTATTCAAGCAAGCAAGCAAGCAAAACAATCGGGAGATTAGGAGTCGGTCGTGTGTCGGCCTCTTGTTACGTTTTGAGTTGTAGACGTTCTTGTTTCTAGCTGTCGAGAAGACGACTTGACCCTAAACAGAATAAAGAGAAAGAAGGTGGCGAATCCCCTGTAGGCAGCAAGGGGAAGACCTGGTTCCTTACTAGCAGTGTTCGAAACTACAAGGACAAAAAAGACAAAGAATAGCACCAAATCGAACCTCGCATAAAACCATTCGTCGGCCTGACCAAAAACATCCTCTCTACCATTCTCGTCAACGACAGGACCAGGTGTCTAATTCAAACAATTGCAAGAGACGACGGGTTCGTGTGATCACTTCCTTCCTTCCTTCTCTCCACGACAGCCTACAACAAAAACAGGTATAAAGCATTGACCCACAAACACAAAGGACAAAACACTTTCTATCACATAACCTTTTCTTCACAAAATACCCAAATCTTCTTCCCCTTTCTTTCAATCAGCACATCTACTACCATGAGTCAGATCCCAGAAATACCAGATTACAACAAGATGTACAACACATCGTCGTACTCTTCTTCTCAGACCATGGATACCACTGTCGACAACTCCAGTGGTTACGGCCCCTTGGATCATGGCCGCGACGTGACTTCTGAAACAACAACCTATACCAACAACACTGTCAATATGGCTCCATTCCAAGCACCAGCTTCCAATAATGACCAGCAGCGTACGTCCGACTCAGGCTCTGCCGGTAAAGGTCATCGTCGGTCCTCCATCGGCAGCCTTTTCAACAAGATGATAGGTGTCGACAACAGCCAGCAGATTCCTATGCGCAAGACGGTCTCTCAGCCAGCAAACACTAATATCAACAGCAGTGGTCGTCGAAGGAGCTCGATTGCAAGGTTTTTGGTGCCCGACTCACAACCCAACGGCGATAGCAGCCCTAACCTAGGTCGTCGTCGGTCATCTAGCTTTACCTCCCTTGGATACAAGACCGATACCGGAGGTGATGAACACAAAGGGTAAGGTTTTGTCAACATTACCAACGATGGGGCTAGAACAATTACCACGACGACGATTATGCACAGAGCATTGTTCATATCCTTTTCGTTGGAATTGAGCTGCTAGTTTTTGATTCTTTGTTTGGGTGTCAGTTCCGAAACAATGACATGTGGCGTTCTCGACTCTTAAACGGAATGACAAGACACTACCAACAACCAATACTAAGATGTCCTTTTTTTTTTTTTTTTTTTTTTTTTCCCTGTCGACGCGTTCACTATATACTGTTTACATATGCTGTACTCTGCACAAGACCATACGCCGATGTAAGCCGCAGTCAAGCTGAATATATGGACCATATCCGCGAGATTGAGAAGAGTCTGAACCTCACCCACAACAAGGACGGGCTGCCTCTCCCCAAAGACAACACGGCGCAGGCCGGAGGCAGACGCCGCTCCTCCTTGGCAAAAATCCTGGGTTTCGACAAGCACCCCCTTGCTTTCTAGCACAAAAAAAGGTCTCGCATTTTCCCTTCCTCCTGTCGTTTGTTCTTACTTTGTTCATGCCACCAACCTTTTCACGCAACACCCACCCTTCGTCCAACTCGTCCTCATCAACCGAAAGTAATCTAGCGTGGTGTTGCTGCGTGAATGTATATAAACCAATATCCTAGTCTCTATGTGAATTAAGGTTGATTTGAAGTGGCCCAAGCATCCCTTGATTTTTATTTCATAATACCTTTGTGCTTTGTCACGCATGAACAACATTCGAGTTTGCACTAATTCAAACAAACGTGGGTATTTTTTGGAGGAGAAAGAAGAAAACCTTTCACCTACAATCTGTCTGAGACATGCGGAGACCACTGAGACATTCGTTTTCTCTTTCTTTTTGCGAGTTGTTGAATCCTTGAACGTGACACACTCCCTATCCCCGGAATATTTGTCTGTCTTTCTCTTCTTTTTTTTCTTCACAGTGTCTCATCCATCGTTTCATAGAGCATTGGTCGAAAGGTGGTTCAGACCTTCGAAACCAACCTCTGCGTCGATCAACTTTTTTTTCGACCTCACAATCGACTCACAAAGGGATAGTGTCAACACGTTCACCGATAGATATAAAAGCGTCCTTGACACGCGCGCACCTTTTTTAGCTCGTTACTCTCTCCTCAACACCTCTCTTAATACTCTTCCACATCTACCTTCTTTCCTTCGTTATTTCTCCCTCCCTTCAAGGAAAGCAGACATTTACGCAAGATTCCAACTATGCCAAATTCTAGTAGACATGCTAGTGGCAGCAGCCACGACCTTAGTAACCGCAATTTGATCACAAGACTCCAGCGATGGTGGGTCCCCGCGCTTGGAGAGTTCATTGGTACGGCCATGTTCTTGTACCTCGCCGTCGGAGGTGCCGATGCCGTCTCCCGTGGCGCCTCCGAAGGAACGTAAGTCCTCTTCTTTCTGCTCCTTGGCTCGAAATGCTTTCATGTTATGTTTGTTTTGCCTATTTGTCGTAACAGTTATCCATTATTATTATTTTGCTTACCATCTCCATTCCCCACCTTCTTTTTCTCTATCTTCCATACACACAAAAATAGAGCAGTGTTGGGTATCGCATTCGCGTTCGGAATGGGACTGATGGTGACCGCCTGGGCATTTGGAAGAATCAGTGGCGCCCAATTCAACCCCGCCATCACCCTGTCCTGCCTCATTACCGGAAAACTCAGTGTTGGCATGGCCTTTTTGTACCTTATTTGCCAGCTCTTGGGAGGCACTCTTGGTGTCGCCATGGCCCGGGGTAACACCCCCAGCAATGTTAGTGTTGGAGGCATTAACCAGCTTGTAAGTTTGAGGAGGGATTGTGGTTGGAGTGGAAGAAGGGTGGAGGAGGGCAAAGCAAGCGATACATTTCTTATTTTTAGATTTTATTTGCGCTCGTTCACTGATCAAACGATATGAATGTGTCACTCACACAAAAAAAAAATTCTCTTATCATTCACACCCTCCAATGCCTTTGTATCCTTCTCTCATAGGATAACGGAGAAACCCTGGCACGCGGTTTCTTCCTCGAATTCTGGCTGACCAGCATCCTCTGCTTCGTCTACCTCATGACAACCGAAGAGCGTTCAAAGTGCATCTTTATGGCGGCCCTCCCCATCGGATTCACCCTCTTCTCCTGCCACTTGTTCGCCCTTCGCTACGACAACGCCGCCATCAACCCCGCCCGCGCCTTTGCAACTTCTGTCGTCTCGAAAGATTTCACCCCCGACCATTGGATCTATTGGATCGGACCCCTTTGCGGTGGCATCTTGGCGGCGGCCTTGTACATCCTCTTTTGTTACTTTGATCCCGATATTGTCGGCGTTGTGGATAAGGACCAATACCGGGCTGAGAATGCAGCTGCCTCCGGGGAGACGGTCAAGATCGATGTTGATGATGCGAACAAGAATGATATGGGATCTTCCACTAGGAGCCAGATTGCTCCTTCTAGGGACGAGACTTATCGTCGGGCGTAATTAAGGAAGAGATGAAGTTTTTTTTTTTTTTTTTTACTTTTTTGTAAATATGTTTCTTTGAAGGTGTGCATTAACACGCTTCCCCCCATTCACCAAGCAATGTTAACAAGTAGTAGTCAATAAGCTACTGGACAACTCACTAACTTTCAATAAAAAAACAACCCATAATAAACCATGTTTATGATTGACGTGTATGTTTTATTCAAACAAATGCAAGGGATGAAAAATGCTGGATGATGGGATGAAGGTGGGAAGATTGGCACGTGATCATCTAGGACCCGCCTAGAGGATATGATTGGATGTGATGATGATGATAATTTACAAGGAATGGGGTCTAGGGGAGGAATGAAGGAAGGGCCTTGAGAGCTCACAGAGCCCAAAAGGATCAAAGGATAGCAACTGTCGCAAAAGCTAACCAGCAACATGCTTAGATGTAGTACCAATCAATGTTAAGGATACCGGTATCAAGATCACCAATGGTCTTGAAGGCCTTGGGCGAGAGGTCAAGGGATCCAAAGGCGCACTCGTCACCGGGGCAGGTATCGACGATGCGAGCCTCGACGGATTTGCCGTTGGCCTTGTTGGTGATGCGAACACGCTTGTTGCACTCGGGGTTTCCCCAGGACTGGGAGCCCATCTGGTGGGCGTTCAGGGCGACGATGTTCTCGTTGTCGCCGTTCCAGTGGTAGTTGCACGAGCCGTATGAGTCGGTGACTAGTTTTAATAATGGTGGAACAAATGAGGGTTAGGATCGTGGTTTTAGGGATTTGAAGATGTGAGGGATTGTATGTGTATGAAGACGTGGAGAAGGAAAAGAGTGGGAAAAAAAACTTACACCAGGTAGCCTTGCCGGAGAAATCGGAAGAAGCGGCTTTGATCTTGGGCTCGGCGGTCTTGTTGACGGGGGCAGCGGTGGTGAAGGAAGCAACGGCCAAGGTGGCGGCAACCAAGAGGGTGGAGATGAACTTGACCATTTTGAGATAGATGTGTTGCGGATAGGGTGGAGGAGCGAGAGAAGGTTGGAGATGAAGAATGAGGATGAGTGAGTGAGGAGCTGTTTTGGCGGGAGTTGGTGTTTGTATTTATATTTGAATGGAAATGGTGTCTTTTTATGGCTGTTGGATCTCGATCAACTTTGTAGCGGAGGATCGAATACTTACAGGGAGGAGTTGGCTTTTGGAGTTACCAGTGCCAGTGCCCCTGACCTGAATGATCGCCGCTTTGGTACCTGTGTGTGTCGTGTGTGTTGTGTGTTTGAGTTTGACTTGTGAGTTAATGAGTAAGAAACCAAGCAGGGGCGTGCCTGTGTGTGTGTGAGAGAGTTAGTCAGTCCATGTGTTGTTTTGTGTCCCGCTCCTGTCTGATGTCTGACCACCACCATCACAGTCGCCTTTTTTTGTTCGTTATCTTGGTCCCTGGTCCATCTGAGATCCAAATGCAAAGGGATGGGATAGTCATCGATAGACTTGTGTTTTTCAAAGCGGAGAACGTAGCCCTCACTCTCAAGTCTCAACTGAGGCGTGCATTGGAATGTTTATGTCCATTCATGGCAGTCCCCTGCTGTAGTTTACCCTCACAAAGCATTAGGGAGCTTTTCTAAAATGAAGCACTAGAAGCTCGCTCTTTGGCCAAGAGCCATTGGGGACCCTGCATTTTTTTCTTTCATTCCTTTGAACCCGAACTCCGCTCTCTTGATCTGTTCATCCTCGCCATTTCGTCATATCAGGTCCCTGAGTAGCAGAGGAATGAGAATCACAATCTTCAGGGGCGGGAACTAAAAAATTGGCTGTGTTTCACATTCCCTCTCTTCTTTCTTTGTCATAATTCCCTCCACCTTTTGTTTGTTGCAACAGAGCAGGACCTATGCTCCCGTCGCTTTGTTATTCCGACGTTACTAGTGCCTAAAGCACCCTGGCGTGAAAGAGTTGTATGAAACTGCGGTGTGGCAGAAGAAGACATCTTATGTAAGTCGCTCGGACAGAAGGGAAATATAGAGAGTGACCCTGACTGAAAAAACAAGGCAGTCTAAGACCAACACAACCACCCACCTACCACTTGGCTTACCAAAAGGGCGGAGAGGATGAGAGAGAGAGAGGAAGAGAGAAGAGAGAGATGGAGAGAGAGAGAGATAGACAGATAGATGGAGAGAGAGAGGTAGATAAAGAGAGAGATAGCTAAAGAGAGAGAGATCAAGAGAGAGCTATGTCTCTTTGATGTTTTTTGCCTTTGTTTTTGTTTTTGGTTTTTTTTCCACGACGATGTTTAGTTGTGATTCAGTCGCTGCACTCTCTTTTTACTCATGGTCGTTTGCACAATAGGAAATAAGCATCAAACGTCCTGCAGGGGTAAGCGCTGATATGATTAGTCAGAAAGGGGCTCAGTTCTGAATTGATTTTTTTTTGCTGTCCCTTTCCTCTCATTGTTTATCCATACTCTCTGCACTGTACTCTGTCTCATTCTCAGACATTGACTTACCATTCACCGCCAATGGATGGCGCAGATAATAACGCATTTTAGTAAAAGTGGTTAGGCACCCTCCTGAAGAGAGAGAGAGAGAGAGAGGAGTGGTGCCCTATGTTTCTGATGGATAAATGATGTAGTCATAAAGCGAGTCTATAGAGGATTTATTTCAAAGCGTTCGTTTGTTGAAACGGATCAATTGTGAGTAACAAACGAGAGTGCTTAGAACTTTCTCATTTCTATTTGTCTAAGCGACACCTATGATATGTCTGATGCAAACGAAAGCTCGTCGAGTTATGGTGTCGACTGTAGTATCGACTAGAGAGATGCATTACTACTGCCCGACCACCCATGGTTAGGATGTGAGGGAGTTGTACGTGAAGTTGTGAGTAATTTTTGTCAATGCCCCCCCCCCTTCTTTTTCGTGTAGCTCTCCTTGCCCTCTCCATCATCCACTTTTCATGTTAATGACCGGGAATGGCAAAAACAGAAACAGGCGCTAAGTAGAGGTGTTGAGTGCAGTCTGATAGAAAAGAGGTCGCTGAATAACACCCAGGTGGCAAAAAAGTGAAAAAAAAATCGGAAAAGGCATGATGATGGCTAATTCATGCAAAACGAAACTCCATACTCATGACAAAGAGGTGCAACAGAGCAAAAAGAACAAGCTGGTTGGATAGAGGAAGTCTTCCTGAATACCACCTCAGTGGCAGCGAATAAAAGTGTGTGTGGAATCTCGAAAAAAAAGGGTTAAAGTTAGGACGAGGTCGATTAAATGACCGTATTTCGATGAAGAAAAGAGGGATCGAGAAGCGGATCTCGTGGTCCTCTTCGTCTCGTCAAGAGCTACAAGGGAGTGATAACGCTTGAAAAGCAATGTTTTTCACGTACACACATTCTAACTATGGGTGGTCGGGCAATAGAATGTGTGTCACCTTCCAGTTTATCAGGAGCCTGTGATCTAAAAGAAGGAGAAATTAGTGGCGTTGATCTCCTGTGCACACACGCTAAACAGCCATTTCAAGCATAGACTGAACCTACATTCCACATCCGCAAAAAGCCAGTACCGCCCAAGTAGTCCTCGCTTCACGTGATGTGTAACCGAGAGGGCAGTCCATCCACCCATCCCCCATCTTCCTCCGCTATAAGCAGAATCCCTTCGAGACAATCTCCAGCAGCAGCAATGATGCAGCTTTGTAATTGCCAGTTGGCAAAAAATTCATCCACTGGTTGCCAGGCCGATGTATGTATACAAAGTACAAGCTCATTCACCCGCGGGGGCGGGGCACTCTCTCATCCTCTCAAGTAGCTCTTCTCACCATGATATGAGCCACATTGTCTTGCTTTCTTTTATTGTAGGTGTACCATACACGGCCGCCACTATGTATCTGAAAAATGTACCAGTAGCTGGTTGTCCAGAGAGATTTATCTTCTACTCAATTGGGATGGATCCATTTTTTTTTTGCTGTTTAAAAATTGCTCACATGGATTAACAAACGGGCCAGAAATACATCATTGATATTATGGTTCAGCACATGGCGTATTGAGTTCTTCCATTGTTCCACGATCCAGGGGTTAGCAATAATGCCATATAAAAATTGTTGAGCTTAACCTGTACGGACTCAATCGTTGTTAGTTGCAGCCTGTTGTTATCCTATCCGTTGTCTAATCACCTTACACCTATATATGCTCATTTAGCTGTTTTATTGGAATGCTATCAAACACGTGTAGGGAAAATGCATCTTTTCTTCTTGTTTTCGTAGTCGAGGGTGAAATAGAGAGCCTAAACGAACGACAGATGGTAATCCAGAGGAAGGTGCCATCATATTCACGTTTGCAAGGGAATAAAAAAAAAGGGGGGAGAGAGGTTGATTGATTGACAATACATTGGAGGAATAGAAAAAAAAGAAAAGAGCATCTCAGAAAGCGGGGTGGTTTGTGAAAGGAGAGAGATACGGGAAGGGAGTTTATTTTTGAGCAAACGGACATCAAATAGGGGAAAGAGAGAGAGAGAGTGAGAGAGAGAGAGGGCTGAACAGTGTTTGTCTTTTCGTCTTCTTTACCATTTTTTCATCTCTTTTCTTCTCACTCGATGATGATGATAATGGCGACGGGCAAACTCAAAAGTTCGCCACGTTTTCGTATTCTTTGGTTTCCTTTGATTTCTCAAACCTTCAATCCATTACTGAACACTCTTGCCCTTCTCGTCTACTTGTTGACTTGAGTTGATGAAAGACGGAGCTTGGCGTAGGCTGGACTGGGCGGTTATTGGGCTCACCCGACCTCACCTCGTTTTTTGTCATCTTTTCTTACCCCTTTTGGCATATCCACTCACCGTATACACCTCACGCCTCCCACTTCCTCTTCCGTATCTTTCCTATACGTTACGCTCACTCATCTGTTTTCAAGAACTGGTTGCCTCTCCTACTCCTTCAGCTCCAATTCATTTCCAGGCAGGCGGGCGCCATATGGATGATACCATTGAAGTATGAGCGAGCGGCGGAGGATGGGAAGAAAAATAAGGATGAATATATACAGACTGGGCTGCAGGTTGCTGTATGCTTGCATATATTATTGATGTGCCCGATGAAAATTAGTTGCCTTACTCATTTTTTTTATGTCCGTTATATTGTCCTACCCATGTACACCCATGAACGTATGTGTCTATATGCGAATAGTACATGGGTGTCTGAAATGACCCGCAGCGGGATATGGATAGGAGTGAATGAGCGAGCAAGCGAGAGAGGGAGGTTTCAATAACAACTGCAACATGGTCGCCGGACTTCTGGGTCTTGTATGTCTATGGAGTACTTCTCTGTAGGGCAGACAAGACGGTTGCAAGAAGAAGGGGAAAAAAAAACGAAGGAAAGAAGTGCAGAGGTGGTTTTGATATTTGTTCTAATTTTCTTGCCACACTGCAGGGGGTGTGTGTATGATTAATAATGAAGATCTATTGTGCATGGCAATGCTATCAATCGAATAATTGAGGATGGTCGGTCTGGGTAACAAGGAGTATAGGGCAGGCAAGGGCGGGTAAAATAAGGGGTCTCTCAATAGACGGTTGTACGGTGTTGCACAAATGAAGATGTGATTTGTTTTTGGCCTTTTACAATGTTAGATGGCATGCAACATTGCAATGACAAAACAGAGAAGAGATGGCCACAAATCAAAACAAAAAATAAAGTAGATCGACGTTGAAAAGCGAAGGGCAATTACACAACATCGCCCCTGCATTTTGGCAACGGGCAAGGAAGCAGTAGAAGAAAAGGTAGAAAAGAAGTGCAGAAAAGAAAGATAGAAGGAAGGCGGACCATGTGTGTGTGTGTGTGTGAGCGAACGAAACGAGATAGAAGAACAGGCATGTGTGCATGTGTGTATGTGTGTATGTGTGTATGTGTGTATGTGTGTATGTGTGTATGTGTGTGCTAACAATAAGAGTAAATAGACACGTTGAGTGTTGGGGAAGTGCGGAAATGGCGCAATTGTCTGTTGTTTTTGATAGGGAACAGACAGGGAAGCGACCGTTGTGTTGTCTGTCGTGAGGTTAGCCTTGAAGGCTTGTCGTGAGGCTAGCTTTGAAGGCGAGGAGGATGACAGGAAGAGAACGAAGAGAAAGAAGAGACGGCGTAGAACGGGGAGGGTCCTCTCTCTTCTCTCTTTACATGACGACGACGAAAGAAGAAGTCTGTTTCAAGTAAAGTTGATTTGTGTGGTTCAAGGCCCTAAGCCCTACTCCATTCCTTTGTCTTTTCTTCCTCCGCCCACTCAATTCCCTTCTTTTCCTCCTTTTCTTTCTTTCTTTCTTCTCGTTCTACTTCTCTTCTTCCTTCTTCTTCTTCTCCTCCTCCTCCTCCTTCTCCTCCTCCTCTTCCTTCTCCTCCTCCTTCTCTCCACATACCCTCCTTTTCTGCCACAGCCCCCGCCGTCCGCTGTTGTTCAATTGCTGCTCTTTGTTCCCTCCTAATTACTCTCTCATCTTTTTTCTTCACTGCCCCACCACTTCTTCACTGCCGTACACTCTCACATACGCTCTCACACGATACAACGCAATCCAACAACAGCAACAAACAACGACAAACAAACAACGACAACAACAATTCTTTTTCTTTTTCTCCTATTGTTCCTTCAACTCTCTTCCTGCCCTTCATCTTCACCTTCACTTTATCTCTCCTTACTCCCCTCTCATTCACGCATTCATGCTCATTCACAACCAGACCCCACCCAACCCAACCCAACCCAACGCCCTTTGTTCACCTGCCTTTTCCCTCCTGTTGAAGTCCACCTCGGTACCTTTTTCTTGTTTCTTGATACCTTATTGCTTCTAGCTCCACTCAGCCTCTGCCCTTGGTCACATTTCAATCCTTCTTTGACAACGAAGTGTTCTTCTACTGTGCCTTTCGAGACTTTTTCGCTTCCTTGCATTGGCGTGCCTTTTTTTTTCCTCTTTTCTTTTCTGTCTCTCTCTTCCCTTATCAATCCCACTAATACCTCTCACCGCATACCTTCAACAACATCTCAACTACATCAACTGCAATAACAACGACAACAAGCCAAGCCCACTCCTTACCGCCTTTTCTTCCTTTTCTTCCTTTTCTTCCTTTTCTTCCTTCCTTCCTTCCTTCCTTACTCTCCCATCCTTCTCACCCTCTACTTGACAACAATGCCAAAGTCAAAACGATCACAATCGAATGCCTCCAGCGCGACGTCGACTGAACCGACGACAGAATCCTCTATCTCCACAACACCCTCCTTCTCCTCCGTCTACCCATACTCCAGTCTATTCGATAAACCGCAATTCAGGGTCCTGATCGTAGGAGCAGGCATTGGAGGTCTCATGCTCGGGTACTGTTTAGAGCAAGCAGGGATCGACTTCGTGGTTCTCGAGAGGATGAATCAGCTCCAAGTGCCCAAGACGACGATACAATTGACCTCTAATACTCTTCATGCAATGGAGCAGATGGGCTTGTTGGACGAGATCATGGAGATTGCCAAACCAATCTCGTGTGTCAATCTGCGAAAACATAACATGTCCGTTGTAGGCAGACTCGACTGCACCTTTGCCAAAGACAGGTAAATACCATCAACAATTGCTTCACACATAAGTCTGATGAACTCTTTTTCTAGGGGCCACTCAGCTCTATCCTGCCCTATTTTTTTTTTTTTTTTTTTTTTTTTGCGATTTCATGTTGTCTTGTCCATTGTTTATTTGGTATCTTTTACCGGTTGAACTACTACCAAACAATACATGCATGCACTAATGATAACAAAGACAACGGCAATAACAACAAAATGAGCCTAGAACACGACGCTTTTTTTTTTTTTTTTTTTTTTTTTTGGCCCTTCTTGTTGTTATGTAACATCAAACCATGCCGTTTGTTGATATATCTGTTTGTGCAACCATCTATCCTGGCCCATTTACCCAGTCATAACGTGTGCTCTTACCTCATGCCCTTGCCCTGGCTACATTTTTCACATCTCCCTCAATTTACTCATGTATACTCTCGTTTCTTTACTCCCTCAATCGACTATGTAGGTATGGATTCTATTCCTACATCGTTCAGCGGACAGAGTTTTGTCAAATCCTCATTTCGAAAATGCGTCACGACCGTATCCTCTGGGGTCGCTACGTTCATGATATCGTCAATGGGGATGCCGGTGTCCAGGTCCGTTGTGCAAATGGCCACGTCGAACAGGCTTCGGTTCTTGTAGGGGCGGATGGCGCCCACTCGGCTGTCCGACAAAACCTCTACCGAAGCCTGAAAGGAAAGGCATACCTGCCAAAGTCCGATATGGAGGCGCTCAAGTTTACACAGAACGCCATCATTGGTCTGACCAACCCCTTGAACCCAACTCAGTACCCAGGCGTCAGCGATGAGTTTGGCGAGTGTAACATTGTCATCGGCAAGGAATCTCCCTATACGGTAAGCATTGCCGCTCCCTTCTGATAATGTCTGGCTGGCTACAGCCTGGTCTGGTACAGCCTATCTCTAACCTTGTGTCTTCTCATATCAACAGCTGTGGATCTCTCCAACGTCAGGGGACAAAGTCAACTGGAGCGTGACTGGGCCAATGTTGACGAGCAGCGCTAGCGATGAGAACTTTATGGTGTCGCAGTTTGGACAAGAAGAGGCCGAGAGGACGTGTTTGTTGATCAAGGATCTTAAGATCCCGTTTGGCGGCACCCTTGCCGACTTGATCAAGAACACATCCAGAGAGTGCATTACCAAGATCCTTGTGGAAGAAAAGGTATGCACCTCGCATTGTAATTTTGCTGCACTTTATCATTTTGCTTTGAGTTCGGACTCTTGGTGCGACACTGTATTAACCTTGTGTTACGGTTTTTCATCCCCCCCCCTTTTTCTCTTTTCCGTCCAACAGCATTACAAGACATGGCATTATGGACGCACAGTGCTCATGGGCGAAGGTAAAAAGGCAGCCGATCGATCAAACCCACACTCACCCCAAGGCGCTCATTTTTTCTAGAATCTTTTATCCTTCGCTTCGCAGTTTCTAACAATCTTATATGTCTCTTCCTACTATCTGCTCTTCACCATTTTCCCATGAAATACTTATTCGTCCTGACTCTACTTAGCCTGCCACAAGGTAAGAAAGCAGCCTGTTTTTTCCTCCATCGGATATATCCTCTTCTCGGGGTTGTTCAGCTCCGCACTGAGACAAAAAAAAAAAACCTTCCACTGAGCACCATTCCGAATCCACGCACTTTCTTCAATTAGTTTGTCTCATTTTCGGGTCAAGGAGCCGAACAAGCCATCATGGATGCAATATGCCTCACAAACCTCTTCCACAAGCTCGAATCGCCCTACACCCACAGCGATATCCAACTAGCCTTCGAAGCCTACCAAGAGGAACGTCTGCCCGCAACCAAAGCTGCCGTCCAGTCGTCAGGCCAGGTCGCCAATACGATCAATAGCCAGGGGTGGAGTGCGGATTTGAAACGCAGACTGGCGTTCAACTTACCGAACTGGATCCAGGCCGCGTCGGTGGACAAGACGCAAGCGAGGCCGTTGTTGAATTTCTTGCCGCCGATTCGGGATCGCGGGGCGCGGTCTGTCAAGTCTTTCAAGTTGAGTAATGATGAGAATGGGCACCGATCTACTCGTTCCCTCAGCAGCGTCAAAAGCTAGGCGCCACCTTACCTGCAATTAAGGTGACAGCAATGCACACAAAACACCAAGCATATTTTTTTTTTCTCCAACTAGTAACTTATTCATTTGGGTGGTTGCCCTCTTGTTCCAAAAGCATACACATAATTGTCTAATTGTAATATATTTTCATGCTATTTCTTTTGTCTTTGTGATCTGTGGCGAAGTGGATTTTGCCACAGTTTGATCATTGATCAGTCTCACATTCCACTTCATGTGCCTGAAATCCCCTTAACAATCTTGAAACTTTTGCCAGTCACTTGTTTTGCTTTCGAGGCTTCAAAAAAAAAAAAGAAAAAAAGAAGTGTCTTGTTGTGAGGCTAGTTTGACCACTTCAGCCTCGTTCCCATTCTTTTCGACACATACACACACACACACACACACACACACACACCCATCAACCCTCCATCCTCCACACAACAACAACACTCACGACAACATGACAAGATACACAAAGCTGGAACGGAAACGCCATGTCGATGCCGGAGAGGCCTTTGCAGTCACTCCCCTGATGCCCTCCAAGCAGGTCCAGACACCTGCCCCCGTTGTACCTGCACCTACCCCCAAGCCCGAAGGAGAGGGCAACAACAACAATAAGCGGAAAGCAGAGGATTCGGGAGCACCAAAGGAGAAAAGCACAGAGTCAGGAGCAGCGCAGGGCGAAGGCGCAGGACCTGGACCTTCCAAGAAGAAGAAGAAGAATAACAAGAAGAAGGGTGGTGCCAAGGAGGGCAAGGATGGCAAGCCTGCCGCGCCTGAACAAGGTACTGCCTCGAGTGTTCCATGTCAGAAAGAAAAAACTGCATGTTAAAGGCCAGCATGTGGCTTGTTGGTGGTTCAAGTTGTCGTGTTTCTAACGTTTTCCCTTTTGATCTATCCACATTGGTGACTAGATAACTCTGCCAAGTCTGAGAGGAGACGGTTGAGGAGACAGAAGGAGAGGGGCAATGCATCTGTAAGTTTTGTGAAAAAGAATGAGAAGGCGCAGGAAATCGCTGATATTGCAGCGGATCAAACTTTCGAACGCAAGGAGGAAAAAGCTAATTGATTCGTATTTTTTTATGTCCCTCAACAGGTCTGCTTTGGATGCCGCAAGACGGGACACAGCGCAAAGAACTGCAAGGAGAGTACAGGAGTTGGGATGTGTTATAGCTGCGGGTCATTGGAACACACAACCAAGGATTGCAAAAAGTTGTCCAAGGACGGAAACAAGTTCAAATTCGCCACCTGTTTTGTCTGCAAGGAGCAGGGCCATTTGGCAGGCGCCTGCCCCAAGAACGAGAAGGGATTTTACCCCAATGGAGGATCATGTCGGTTCTGTAACAAGGTCGATCATTTGGCGAGGGATTGTACGTTGACCAAGGAGGAGGTTGGTACGTTGACTCTGGGCAAGATTGATTTGGTGCAGGGAGCGGATGATGATGATTTCCATATCTTTGTGGATGAGAAGCGCAGGCTGACGGAGGAGCAGAAGGCGGTCAAGCGGATGGTCAAGGCCCCCATCAAGGCAGCCAAGAAGGTCGTTTCCTTCTAAGTTACGTTTCTTTTTCTTCTAGCATAGATCTATACAATTACACGCGCATATTCCATATCAGTTTTCACACGGACACGGGCAGACGTAGAACCTGCTTTTTGTCGATCGTTGTTTGTTGGTAATGATGTGTGTCGTTCGGTCGGTCGGTCGGGGAGTAGAAAAAGAGAGTTTTCTCCAGAGGAAGAATGACACACCTTTTGGCGGCTCACCCTAATAAGGCAAGGGGTACTCAGGGCAATGTAAACATTCGAAAGTGACTGCTGGATCTTGTTGTTTGCCCTTTTGAATGTTGGCGCTCGCACTTTTTGTTGGGCAGCAGCAGAAGGAAAAGAAGGCGCACTTCCGTTAGAACTGACTGCAGACAGTGTAGAAGTTGATCTTTCCATTGGATTCTTTTCCGTTCCGACCATTCATCCTTTCTTTTTTGCACTTCACTTCACTTCCCGCTTTCTTTCTTCCCCTTTTATTTCTTCTCTTTTCTCCTCTTCCTACTTTTCCCTTCCCTTTTCTTTCTCTCTCCCTTTATTACTCTCTCACCCTCACTCATCACCAACAACCATCAACAACAACAATGTCGCTGGCCATCTTCTCGTCGTCACTCAAGAGCTCGGCCTTCAAGACCGCCCGCGTCGCCACCACCATCACATCAAGACCCTCCTCTGCTATCTGGAGCCAACGGTTCTACTCTACCGAGAACAAGGATAACAAGGACAACAAGGAGGAGGCGGCACCAGCACAAGAGGCGGCACCAGCAGGAGAGGCTACTGAGGCTGCTGCTGAACAGAAGACTGCTCATGAGGAGGCCTTGGCTGCCAAGGATAAGCAGCTTGCTGAGGTCAAGGTAAACACACGCAAATCGAATTGAAGGGGAAGAATAAGAAGAGAGTAAGGGAGGCAGAAGAGGATAATTGTACAGCATGCTTCTCTGGATCAATCGATCGATCTTGTTGGTGTTTGATTCTTATTGTGCTTGTTTCTTGTTCTTGCAAGAAAAAAAAAGACACGCGAAAAGCACTCGCACGTTTTCTGTCATTGGACCGTTGACTAATCCAATCTGTTTTCTGGACCTCTTCTATCTCCATATTATTCTCTCCTTTTGCCTACTCTACCTCATGTCAACGATCTCTCTTACTTCTAACAGGACCGTTTGTTGCGCACACTCGCCGATATGGAGAACCTTCGTCAGAGGACCGCCAAGGAGGTCTCCAACACTAAGGACTACGCCATCCAAAAGTTTGCCAAGGATCTCCTCGACACCGCCGACATCCTCAACATGGCGATCAAGAACGTCCCCCAGGACGAGATTGTTGAGACTTCAAACAACACCCACTTGAAGTCGCTCCACACCGGAGTCGCCATGACCCGTGATGAGCTCCTCAAGACCTTGAAGCGGTACGGTGTCGAGTCGTTCGATCCCATGAACGAGAAGTTTGACCCTAACCTGCACCAGGCCAACTTCCAGGTGCCCATGCCCGGAAAGGAGCCCGGCACTGTCTTTGATGTCCAGAAGATTGGCTTCATGATTAAGGGACGTGTCCTCCGGCCAGCACAGGTTGGTGTCGTCCAGTCCACCGATTAAATTGTTGAGTGAGAAGAAGCCGATCTGGGGGCTTTGTTTTGATGGAGAGGAGGTAGTAGGGGCTAGTTGTTTGTAGATATGTTTTTCTTTTTTGGTTCCTTGGGTTCTTTGGGGGATCCTTCCCCTTGTGTATTTTCTTTGTCCTTTTCGTCACCCTTTCCAACATTACAATAATAGAAGCATTTGTCATTTTTCTTTTGCAACCAAACACTCCTTGCCTCGCTGCTGTCAGTTGCACTTGATCGTCTTTCATTTGGTTGTTTATTGTTGGTGTCAATTGCTGGTCGAGTATATAGAAAGAGGAGACTATGAGGAAGTGGAGGCGGACTCTTTCTTGATCTCTGGTGTCATTATATCGTCGTCGTCCATGATGCCCAAGTTCCTCTTCCTGCGGTCCTCGCGCAATGTCTCCAGCTATCCGTCGAGGAAGAGGAAAAAGTACATGTTAGTTCACGGACAGATACATTTGCGCAGAAGAGGGAGACCTGCGCTGTGTAATGCAAATCCGCAAACTGCCAGCCAGAAAAGGCATTTTTTTTTCTTCTTCAACCTTACTTCCCACTTCTGCGTATTCTCCCCGCGCTTAGTCGATCCCTCTCCCGCTCCTTCCTCACGACAAACCATACCAAATCCCAGAGCCCCCTTCCAAAAAAAAAAAAAAAAACACAAAAGAAAAAAAACGTACCCATTTCCGCTTGCAGTCCGAATAATCTTTAAAGAACTTTGTACACTTCTTCTTATCAAACCCATTCGCGTCCATACACTTCATCGAGGCCTTTGTCTGGGCCTGACAGGGGTCGAGGTACTGCGACTGGGCTTTGGCGTAATAGCCCTTATTGAATTCCTTCATTTCGTCGTCCGAGGTGACGATGCGATCGTGGCGGCGGATCTGGGGTGGACGCGGGGCGCCTTGTGGGTTCGTGGTGCCGTTCTGGTTGTCGCCTGCATCAGTCGTGTTCCTGGATTCGGTTGACATGGTGGGTTGGTGGTGTAGGTTGAGAAGAGGGAGGAGAAGGGAGGGAACGCGTGGGGAAGGAGGTGTTCTATTTGCCGTCTTCCGAAGAATGCACACGTGATGTATTTTGTTCAAACTTGTCCTTGTTTTCAAGTTTTCAAGGAGGAGACAAGTCAGCACCTCCTTTTCAGCTGTCCCAAGGTACCATCCTGGCCTCCGTCTGGAGGTACCATCACGCCTTTGTTCATGAGGATCAAGCCTTTGAACCTCGCATGGTCCTTGTCGCGGTGGATTTGGCCATGACTCAAGTTCGCGCTCAGTTGGCTGAGAAGAACCGCCAGAGCGAGGAGCGCGAACCCCACCCGTAGATCTTCCACAAGATTGCCGAGGTCTTGGGCTTGGGCGACCAGAAGTAAAAAATCCGAGCCAAAGAGTCAACGAGTAAAAAAATACTAGGGGAAGTGCTACCCCCCACCCCCCCACCCCAGTTTTTCATAGATCATCATTCATCCAATCATTTCACATATCATCAGACGACATTGCACATATCTCTTCGAAGAATAAAATGTTCTTCACATACATTCGAAAAACTTGCTCAAAGTGGTACGCCATCGAGGTCATCGTCGTCCATGGGTACACCATCCAGATCCTCATCCAGAGGCACACCGTCCAAATCTTCATCCACATTAGTATTGTCACCCATCGGCTCGCCATCAATATCACCATCCATCGCCCCAACCGTCTCAAAGGTACTCAACTGCCCGAAGCCAGCAGTCGTCGAAGGTGTTGGCGAGTCCACACCCGTCTCCTGCTGCTGTCCCGCTTCGCATGCTCCCGCTCCAACATCCTTTCGAACCAACAGGGCGCCCAAATTGGCAATATAGTGTTGAGGAAAAACGATCCAGTTCTCCCAGACCCCCAAGACACCCGTAATCTGTCTCCGGAACTGCTCTGCCTTCATTCGTGCATCGATCTGGTGATAGATCGCATTGAGACCCTCAAACATCACAGGAAGCTTGACTTCGAGCGCCGACCGGAGTTTCCACACGTTCGGTAGAGGGATACTACTGTTGTGCAAGATGTCCGAGATCAAGTAGAGACGGGCCATCCGCACTTGCTGTGGGGTCGTCGACAAAACCATTGCCTCCACCAAAATCTGTACAATCTATTGTAACAAGAAAAAAAATGTCAATGGGTTGTTGTTTCGCCTTAATCCAGTCCTCTTTGTATCCAAATACCATTTTAGACATACCTCGTCTGCGGCTTCAGCATGTTGCATGCAGAATAGCATGGCTCGACCAATCGACCGCCGTTGATTTGTAATCATCCTTAATTGTGCCTCAAAGAACCCTCTCTCGCCTCGACTGAGTGTTCCCCTGACAATCGCCTTCTCAAACTCTTCCTCATGTGCCTCCAGGAGCCGTTGGTCCTCTTCCATGATCTCGTCCGAGAATGACATCAGAGGTGGAACCCACATTGGCCCACTTTCAACCATCTTGAACGGCTCTGTCCTCCACCGCGTCGCTGTGTCCCCTTGTTTCATCGAATACAACCTCCAGCGGTAATAGATATGTTCTGGCGACTATTTGTTAAATAGCAGAAAACTGGTTAGGTACGTCTCAGGCATATGATATCATATAAATAATACAGAAGAACGTAACTATAAGAAATATACCTTGAGGTTAATAAGGAAGGCAAAGGAAGGATTCCGGAACTCATTTTCGATGAGAACATCCTCAAAGTCAGCGCCGTTGATCAGCACTTTCTCGACCACGCGATGGATGATGACTAGTGTCATGGGGTCCGTTGGTTTTGTCACAATGATATCCGTGCTTGAAGGTGGTACTGTTTTCCTGACCTGGACCTTGGCAGCTTTTGGTGGCGCCTTGTAGTCCTTGTGAACTATAACATCATCGTAATTTACCGTGTTAGCTTCAACGTTCTCCTTGCAAACCATCCGCAAAAACTTCAGCAGATTTCTTTATCCTTACCAAAGAGAGGTTCGGCAGGGATAGGGGCTGCTTTGCTCCAGCCGAGTTTCACAGGGAAGCCAAGAATTTCTTTCCCCTCCATCTCCCTCAACGCCTTTGCCGCATCTACACGCTCCATAAAGTTGACAAACCCAATGTTGCAACCCCTGTCAATCTCCTCCTGCGTCCTAGGCCACATGACCTTGACACTGGCGATAGGTCCACAAATGCCAAATTCCATGCAAAGTTGCTCTTCGTTGACTTGTGGGTGAAGGTTTCCGACGTACAAGTTTGACGTGCTTGGATCGCCCGTGTCTCTCGATCCCACCTTGTATTCACCTGATTGACGAAAAAAAACAACATCGTACAACAAAAAAGTTATTAGTATACGGACACAAGAACATCCTAGGTAATAGAAAATCCTCTTCCTGAACACGGCAGCATTCGAGTTCCTGTTACCAGCAGCTGGATGACTTGGCTTGTTACTTGCACGCTCTTCCCGTTCTGCTTGAGCCCTATTATTGTTTCATGGGTTACAAGGTTAAATATTTAAAGGTTGTCAGATCCATGTCCTGTGATCATAACATAATGTACTCTGCTAGTCTGTAAATGCCAAAGTGACCGATTTGCTGTACTTTTTGATTGCCTCCAAATGGTCATCCATCTCCTTCTTCCGACGGGCTTTGGCATCGCGAATGTAAGGTGTGCTCTCCTGCTCCTGTACTGCCTTGGCGGCAGGCAACTTTATAGGCGTTGTTGCCGCTGACAGGGTTGTCGCTGCTGTAGTTGAAGCCTGAACAAATCCTGGCGGCTTCTGTCCTGCCTTTGTATTTGCCACTGCCTCCTTTTCTGCCTCGTTTTCTTCCTCATCATCGTCCTGACCGAACACAGCTAGTGTTGAATGTAATCGAAGAGTTGATTGGTTAATGAATGTTTCTACGTTGTCGCAGTTGACAGGAATTTCGATAAACCAAAAGTATAGACACTTGACTTACAGACTGTGGGAACAAAGGTCGACTTCCCCTTGACAAACTTCCTGTTCTGCTTAGAGTTGTCCACATCAAAGGACGCAGTGAACTCCTCCAGCACCTTCTCTGCCTCCTCAGCTTCTTTCTATGATGGTGCGTAGAGCACAGGTAAAAGGTGGGGCGGTTGCGTGGTGTATGTGTTGGGTATTTGAGGATGATGAGTTCTTTGTGTTCAAACAAGAAAGGTCAAAAAAGAGCAAACGGATGCGGACCAAAAATGTAAAGAAGTGCAAAGAACAAAAGAAGACAGAAGGGTATCGCCAGAAGAAAAAAAAAAAAAAGAACGAAAGAAAAGAAGGCTTTGGAGGTGATGCCAAGTGGTTGTCCTTTAGGATAGGATGTGCTGTACCCTTCGTTTCATCTCGGCTTCTTCCTTGTGCTTCTGGAAGGGGTTGGTGCGCTTCTGGGAGCCGATAGTGAATCCTGTGACCTTGCTATCGGCAATTGTCTATGTCGTATACAATGGCATTTTTTTCATTGACGGGTAAGTCCTTGAGCGCGCTAGTGTCAACAGGAGGTGCTATTGCAGGTGGCTGTCAAAGGTTGACATGGTTTCTTGCGGGTTACCTGTGCGGTGCTTGGCATGACGGATGTGATGCCGAATGGCAGCTTGCGTTCCTCTGCCATTGCTGCTGTTATGAGTACGAGTGTGAGTATGAGTGTGTGTCCTGTTGTGCTTGCCGATGTGTGTTCCTTGTGTCCGTCTGTCGGTGTCCTTGGTGATGTGAACGGTTCAAAAGTGCGCTGTCTTCGAGGGGGCAACTCTTAAAGGTTGTTTGGCGGGCTTGAGCAGTCACGATGAAGCAAGTAATAAAAACCCACGCGAGGCAAACCATGCGTACACAGACTTCGGACCTTTTCTCTCTTCTTTCATTCCCTACTTTCCCATTCACCGCACCCTCACATTCGCTCCCTTCGCAATGCCACTGTCACAAGGATCTATTGCAGCCATACTCTCATACCTGGACCCATACCTCGACACCCTCGAAACGGGATTCCCAACATCAACACGCCCCAATGAACCCTTGTTGACAAAGGAGCTCAAGCGCGCAAAAATCGAGGCAACCCTCCAAAAGGACCCAGCCATCTTTCTGACCAAGTGGGGCTCCGTCATCCTCTACCCTCGGCCACAAGCGAAGACTGACGCCGGCAGCGAGGAGTGCAATGGTGTCAGCAGCGGTGGTGCCTCACGCAAAGTTGACTCGCTCACGTCTGCAAAGAACATTCTTGATATGTTTAACCCCCTCGCAGGTATGTAATAGTCCAGATCGTGGATAGATCCAACTCATTGCGAACACAAGCGACTGTCGAGTCTTTTATTAATTTGGCTACTTTAATATTATAGTTGACTATGAAGTCAGGCATCATATTACTAGGCTCTACCAACACCTACAACAGCTCATGGAGCACGCCAGCTTTGAGGCATCAAGGCAGCAGCAGCAGGATCCGAGGCAGATATCAGGACAAAACAACGTCGATGGCAATATAACCACAATCAACAGTGTTCAAAATCGATCGCACGGCTATAACCCAACCTCGACCACAAACTATATGGACACTGACCCTGATTTGTCAGCACAACAACCCAATGGCGATAACAAGGACATCCCAGAGGAGGATCGCAAACCCAATCCTGGACAGAACGACCTCTTTACACGATCGACGCTTTCACAAAACACTCGTCGGAACAGACGTCTGAATTATTTGCTCCGCCACCTTGCGCCTCCGGATGCCAGTGGTGAATCCCCCGGTGTTACTGGTGGCCCGCCTTCTACGACCTCCGCCTCCAGTGCCTCACGAGCCAAGAATCCTCCTAAAGGATCATCGTCATCTGCAGGAGCGAGTCAGAGTCAATCCATGCGAGATCCTCGCAATCCGACCTTGGCCAGCATATTGTCCATCTCTGGATCCATGTCCAACCTCAGTTTCTCGGAATCGACATATTTCTCGGACGCAGAGATGGAAGCCCGGGCACCAGATCTGTACCAGCAGTACATTGGCCGATTCATGGATCAGGACGATGACCAGGACTCACAAGGCGAGGACGAAGAGGAGGAAGATGACCAAGGAGAAGTGACAGGGGCAGAGGATGCAGACGACGAGCGGGAAGACACTGATACCAGACAGTCTTCGGCATCTCCTCAACCGTTCGGCAAGGATGTTGGATTGGTAGATCGTATCCTGTGGAATATTGATCACCCGACAAGGAAACAGCAAAACAAGCAGCGTCAGCAAGAGCTCGCGAGTAGAGGGGCGGCGCAAGAACGCAATGCAGGAGAGGGTTCTTCGTCATCCCATACCGGTATAGGGTCTCTGGACCAGCAACAGAGGTCTGCTGCTTCACACGATCGGACTGCTGCAGCAGTCGCACCCGCGGCTTCGGAATCCGAGTTTGAGGAAGAATTTGACACCGAGAGTGAAGTCGATGATGCTGACATGGACGATTCTACTCAAAGTCAGGAAAAAACAGCAGAGCAGGATATGGAAGCGGAAAAGGACGATCGTAAGGGTCCATTGAAGGACGTTGCCGACGACCAGATTTTGGCCACGACCAGTGTCACGCCACCAATCCCTCCAAGCCCGATCCCTGGCGTCGTGTCGTCAACATTTGCATCATCAGCCATGACATTGGAGCAGCCCGAGAGTCGAGCTCGATTTGCGGCTCTGGAGAGCGGGAACGGATTAGGTTCTTCAGAGGACGAGGCACCCGAGCTAGATCAGGAAACCAAAGAACGGAAAGAGGACCAGGAAACGCTTCGACAAGAGTTTGTGTTGTTGATGAAACAGCGGTTCTTGGACGGACTCGATTCGCAATTTGATTACTCCTTGGTCGACTTTGACGAGGACCTGGATGATCTGGAGCAGGAGGATCATGATGTGGAAGACCGGTACTTTGACGCGGAGGATGAACACGATAGTGACGAGGGTGATGATGGTGAGATATTGGACGGACAACTGAGTTCGAGGCGGCAGGTGGGCAGAGCTCCTGGCTCTAACCACCGGAGGCGAATGAACTATGACGAGCGAGTTCAGGCATGGGAGAACAGTGCACAGAATGGAGCTGGTGAATATGATTATTAGGACAGATCTCATTATTGTTACCGATAAATTGCTTTGTTAAATGACTATTATATGTATGATATATGGTGATGTTATGAAACGGCGAGAGGCAAGAGTTCATGTCGCTGCTGCTGTTGTGGATGTGCTAGTTGCTGCTGCTGCTGTTGCTGTTGTCGGTGTTGCTGCTGCTGTTGGTGCTGGAAAAAGAAGTCCTGAAGCTGCTGCTCATAATGCCTCCGCTCCTGAATCAATCCTTCATAAAAGCGAACCTTCTTACTCACCCCCGGACAGACCATCCAAGCCGTCCTCACCTCCGTCCTCAACATATGCCTCTCATTCATTACCACCGCAAGACTGGGTCTCTGATGATACAACCAATGCCCCAACCGCTCCCCCTTCAGTAAAAAACTTAATTGTGCCGTCAGTGGGATCAACTCCTTGGAAGTCGAAGCGTAGGCGATCAGATGGTAGGCGTGTAGGACGGTTGCGGTTTTCGGGGATTGGTTGAGTTCTGAGGGGGAGGGGCGGCGTTGGACAAGGCGCGAGAGGCGGTCCCTATTTATGGCTTTCCGGAGGCGCTCAAGTTTTGGGATGAGTGCGTTGCTGATGGATTTCTTTTGGCGCTGTGCTCGGTTTATTGTTGGTCCTTCTGACGACGGTAATGGCGAGGGAGAGATCGTAGTAGAGTTTGAGTTGTATTCCTGCGTGGATTGGTGGGATTGATGGTCGGTGCTACTATCATCAACGTCGAAAGGATGCACTCCATCGACTTGCATAGGCCCAGACTGTTGCAGATCGGGCAGCTTTCTGTAGTGACCATACTTCTCCTCCTCCATTTCCTCATCCCGCTGTTGCAGTTGCAACCGTTGATTCCGTTGCTGCTGTTGATACAGCTTCCACCTCCTCTTCATCTCAAATTCCTCCCGCCCAAAAAACATCTCCTCCGGAATCAACCCCCTCTCGACCATCTCTGTCCAATCCGGCCTAGCCTTCAACTTTTTCGCAATCCGAATACTAACCATCTGCCTCTCGAGCCGACAAGAGATATGGTACGATCGGACTGAGGATGCACCACCAATGTACTGCCCCTGCTGGATATGTTGACGGATATGGATCCCGCGGAGGATGTTTTGGTGGACGAGGGTGTCGCGGTTGGGGCGGCTTTGGAGGGAGACGGAGAGGCGGGCGGGGTTGCGGATTAGGATGATGTGTCGGCGGAGGGGCCCGTCCATGGTCAGGTTGCGTAGTTTCTTGCAAGATTGTGCAATGTTCTATCACGATGCGACGTAAATGTTAAGATAGTGCATGTTTCACAAAAAAAAAAAAGTATGAGGGGGGGAAAAAGCATAAAGAGAAAAACCACATATGGCAGTAAAGGGAAAAACAGAAACGAAAATGACCCGAGTCTGTCTGAGTGAATGACCCCAAGTTGTAATTTGGAGCGGGGAAGGACATGGTTCTCGCACAGACAAAAATCAATATTAGAAACAGGAAGGAAAATTTTTATGTTGTTCTCCATACGAAGCAGAGAAGGAGGACGTTAGAGGAGGAGGGGAGAGGCAGTTACCGGAAAGTCCGTGTCCTCAGCATACTACAACAATGGTACCGATGGGAGAAGAATGACAAGAAGAGAAGTAATCGTCTGGTCAGTGGGCTGGTTATCGTTGAAGGCTCGAGATCGTCCTGACAATCCGACAAAATGAGAGCAAAGAGTGAGTGTGTGTCGTACGGTCAAGAGGTGATAGAGGATTTCGTCTGGGAGCTCAAGGATCGACATGGTGGTGAGCAAGAAGAGATCGTGCTTGGGCGAGGTGAAGGAGGTTTTTTTGTGAGTGGATGAAGAAGGCTTGATATGAATAAAAGAAAGGGGGGTTAAGGAAAGGCAAAAGTCAAAAGATGAAATGAGGGTAGGGGATGAAAATGAAGGTAAAGGTGAAAGAGATGTAGTGAATTGAACAGATGTTCGACTTGAAGGAAAACAAACGCCAAGCATAAGTAGGGAAAAAAATAGTGGGCGAGGTGTGTTCTTATTGGTCAAGAGAGTCGCGTGGCGTAGGAAAGTGAATCCTATTCATCTTCTGATCTTGGGCCAATTTCTTCTTATTACGCTTTTCGATCATTACCCAGTGTTCGCAGGTGTATAACAGAAAAGCGAAGTTCTTGTCGTTAGAGACGTGACGGGAGCTCTGTCGGTACACAACCTCGCCTTCAGACCATTCCTCCAAAACAAGAGAATTGTCGAAATCATCATCGAACAGCGCAAGTTGATCTTGAGAGATAACAATATGACCATGATAAGCAGGTTCAAAGTATACATATATATATATATATATGGATCGTCATCTCGTCGTCGTTATCGATCGACATAACATGGACTGAATAGATGTCTTCTTCTTTCTGGAACAGATGATAATCAAATACTCTCTGGATTTGCCTCAGGACCCCAAAGATTTTGCGAGTTCTAGTGTCAAATAATAAAGACATGTCAATGAACGAACAGTAGCAAGGAAGTTCATTATGATTTCAACTTACGACGGGATCGTGAATGCTCTAAGTTCTGGGAATGACATATGATAAAAGGCGGCAGGCCGTTGATGGAGAAGTGTCTTCAAATATAGAGGATCTTTTATAGCGAATAATAAAAAATGTGGCTAAATGCTTAACTTGTGACTAAAAAAATGTGGCTCACTTGTGGCTAAGGCTCACATCAGTCGGAATAGAAGATTCTTCCTTCTTCTATCACATATACAGTACTAGATGATTGTGTAAACTACTAGATACCCTTTGAGTACTTTGTTTGCTATAGAAATACCCTAGAAAGACCTTTCTCGCGCGTGCCTACTAATAGTTTATTGTTTATAGACTCTTTGCGGACCTGGTTATGTAATTTGTGTATGAAAAAATCATGTCTTGGGATTGAAATGGTCAAAAGACTGAGAATGGACGCGTGGAAATGCTGATGAGACAATAATTTGCATACATCATTGTTACTATTCACACTTCCATCTTTTCGCCATCAAAAAGTCCTTTTAGACCTTCACTTATTAAGGATTTGTAGTATTTGATCTTGGGAACGCTTCAGGTTAGTTTTAAACAGAATGATTGAGAATTGACCAAAAAAAAAAGCAAAATAAACCCTCGGCCTTTCACAAAATAGAACATGAAGCGCTGATACTCTTCTGTCTTGATCTTTCCCGCTTTTCAAATACAGTTATCTGTTCACAATGATGATTGACACACTGTAATACGATTTTCAAAATCTACATGGAGTATTTACTTCAAAGGTGGGGTAGAGCTATATAAAAGGTTTGATAGACCATTGAAAAACAGATTCGACAATTTCTGCCTTAGCTTTTACGCATTGTTCATTTTTTTGGCATAACGGAGAATGTTGATAATGAAGATATTGTGGACGACAGTCTCTTCGTCCCACATTGTGCTGCAATAGTACCACGTTGGGGAACTAATCGATGTTTTTAAAGCAGTGTCACCATGTCTCTGAAGCCTAAGGACTATCAGCTCACTTGCAGTCGACTTCAGGTTACGATCTTTAAGATCAAGCAACACCAGAAGATAGAACAAGATGGCGGTGGGAAGAGGGCCAACAGAGTCGAGAGATGCCGAAGTAAGAGGCACAGATACCACAAATAAACAATTGTCGTTGCTGGGACACTCTATCTTACGACTCCCACATTTGATGTCGCTAGAGAAACCATAATAGAAATAGTGGGTACAAAGAGCCAAGCGAAGACAAAGAATATGAAACAGGGTGTTGTGGATAAAGAGATACCGTTTATTGCACAAGAGATGGGTACTACGAGCGCCGTTGCCTGGAATGTGGTAGGAGGACGAGTGCTAAGAGTGGAGAGAGAGAGTGTGTGTGTGTGTGTGTCTGTGTGTATATGTGTGTGTATGTGTGTATGTGTGTATGTGTGTATGTGTGTATGTGTGTATGTGTGTATGTGTGTATGTGTGTATGTGTGTATGTGTGTATGTGTGTATGTGTGTGTGTATGTTCTTTTGAAAAAAATCACGGTCAACAGTGAGTCGTCAAAAAAAGTCAAAATTATGAAGGAAAATGAAAGATGAGAAAGAAGGTGGTTGTGGCACTCACTACTATCGAACAACAATCTTCTCGAGAGTACCTTTCGTATTCAACGGCCACCGTGATCTGTAAGGACCTCTACATAAACAAGAGACCGTGATTGATCCCTCTTCTTCAACAGACGCGCTAATACCCATTTCTATATACACCCCTTTTTGTCTCTTGTCCCCGACACAGGCTCTCCATTCTCTCTGTACAAGCAACAAACCACACCCCTTTGAAACCATCGTCACTATCAACAACACGCCATCCATTCTCCCACCGTACCAAGTTTCTTGTCCATTGTTGAGCCATTAATCGAAGCACGACCGCAGAGTATCGAAGTTGTTCTTCTCCCTTTCCCTTCGCTCTTTCCTTCCCCGGTATGCCGTCTATGCAACATTCTTGTCAAATCTGATTCCACAGATGCAAGCTCACCTTGCTGACAAACATCCTCATTTGATCCCTACTCTTCAACTTAGCATCCAAGTCTCCTGCCCACTTAATTCTTCCCCGGTATTCAAACAGATCAAACAAAAGGACTTATTGACGTCTCCTGTAACTAAACTGGTCTCTCTTTGTTTTCTCTGGTAACCCGGTTCGTGTTAAACACAACGCCTGATTTAACTCTCTCTCCTGCTACTCTTTCATAGTACACGTCGTGTTCATTGTCCGTTTGCATATCTTTACCTTTCGTTCTTAGTGCCCGTCTCTCCCACGCTCCCTTGCGGTTGGTGTTTCTCTCTCCTGTAGGTGATACTGAATTATGATTGCTGATCGCTTGAAAACACCACACATTTGCCATACATGTACAACGACATCTGGGTCTTGAGTTAACGTTAATCCTCTTCTTATTTTGTCTCTCGTTAATTAGCAAATCATCATGGGGTTACCGTCTTTCCTTACTATGATGAGAGCGCTGAACATCGTTGGAACACCATCCAACATCACTCCAACCGATGCCGACGCAATGTCTCTCGTGTGGTTTCTCATAAAGACCACTGCCAGAACGAACAGCGAGGAGATTGTGTGGCGCGATATCATCCGCGAGAGTCACTTGCTCTCGTACGAACGAGCTCTCAGGTCCGGTGGTTCCATCAAGGAGTCCAAGCCTATGAATTTACTGGTCGACGTTGTCCACACCAAGCTGTTGGAGTATGGCTGCGTGCCTGGAGTGACTGTCCTACATTTTGACGGTGCCGCCTCGGATCAGAAGTTTGCGACTCGCCAAGCTCGTATGGGCGACCGCCAGACTCTGGCCAGGCAGGTTGAGGGACTGCTCGACCGAGTGGATGCCATTCTGGAACCCCGGCTACAAATGGACATTGACCGGTTGTACACTCGAAGTACAAGACAAAAGATCACCCGGCTGTCAGGCAAAATTAAGGCTCGATTGTCGTTTGTCCAAGTGCTGTCGTCCGATGTCATGGGATTGTTCAAGAACGACCTCCGAAAATTTGGGTGGACGGTGCATGATTGTTTGGGCGAGTCAGATGTGTGCATCGCCCGCAAGATGGTCCTTCTCGGAAATGTCATCCCGGCGACATATGACTCTGACTTTTTTGTCATGGGTACGCCATTGTCCTTCGGCAGGATCGCAAGAACAAGAGCCATTTTCGCGAGTTTCACATGGGTCCTATTCTCAACCGTCTTGAGGCATCCCTCGTCGTGTGGAAGACCGCTGCGGCGGTCTCCACTAACGACTATTCCAAAAGCGTCTCTGGTCTCGGCTTCAGGAAGAATCTGGACATTCTAAAGTCGATACCCGAGGCCGAGTACCTGACCGACGTCGACGGCGAAGCCTCTCCTGCGGCTATGGACAAGTTACTTGGACTTTACTGCCACCACCCGGATGTTCTCAGCAAGGTCGACGGCTGCTTTCTGAGCCCCAGCTATTACAAGCACGCTAGCGACGTCTTCTTCCACCAACATGAGGATTTTACTCATGAACAAGTCCCTTTCACCAACGACACCGGCGACCGCATTGCACAGCATCTCACAAAGGTGGCGGATTACCTTCAAGCCTATCGCGATTGTCACAACGCCGTGGCTACAGGAATTCGCGCGGAGATGCAAGGTCCCTTTCCGTTCGGTCTTCCACCTGGGCTGGGTGGTTCGCCTTTCAAAAGACGCCCTGTCGATCTGTCCTTTGTGAAGAGGGTTCAGCGATCATCCTTCATTTCTGCCACCAAACATCCTACTATCCCCCAAGATCGGCCAGCACAGCAACAACAACCAACACAACAAGCTGCCGCTCTCGCTGCCGCCCCCACTGGCCCAGGAACAGCAATAGGCGGCAATCATTTTTTGACGGATGGTGCAATGTGGACCACGTCCATACCCATCCCTGCCTCGGGCACCATGGGTCTCCCTCCTGGTCTTGGAGGGTCACCTTTTGTTGGTTCACTGTCATCGTTGGACCCCAGCCCAGGTTTGGCTGATCCGCAGAGACCAAGGCGAAAACGATCAAAGTGCAGACAGAAGCGCAAGAAGAAGGAGGGGTCCCATACTCCGTTCATGCCTTCAAACCTCTTCCAAGCCTTCACCTTCGTCGTTCCGCAGCGACCGCCCCCGGATAACATAACCCCTCAGCCCATCATTGAGGACGCCAGACAACGACGACGAACCAAAAACGAGCTCAAATGTTCAACCCCGTTCCGCGCAAATTCGAGGGGAAAGCGACAAACCCGACAAACGGTCTCCTTCGTCGATCATAAAGACAACATTGCAGAGTCGATTTCTTCAGACCACTTTGTTCATTGGAACAGTGCCAAGCTGCCTGGAAGAAGGTCTACGCACCAACAGTATTGGGTCTCTCTCGGATCACGCCACGATCGTCAAGGATGTCTACGCCTGTTTAAACGAGGCCGTGCGTGTCATCACAGACCTCAAACGACTCGTGCAGCTGGTGATATTCTGTTACACCGCCAAGGTCATCACTGAACACCCCGACCCATTGAACGCTAATGACAGGGAGGCATGCAACGCCCGCCTCCGGTTCATCGGTGTTAGGTCGGACTCGGACTTTATCTACAAGCTGGTCAGCGATATTTTCAATTGGCACAAACAGCTACCCAACAACCCTCGAGCCAATGAAGGAGCAGGAGTGGCCTACGCGATTGAAGCCATCCAACACTTTCAGTTGGTCGTCTGCCGTTCCTCTCACCAGATGCCGGATTTAGATGAAAACATCGATCAGATCAGTCAAGTCTTTCCGGGCGTCCGCGATGCCATCAGCGACACTCTCAGGACGTACTTCACGACCGATATCAAGGAGTTACTGGAGCGACTGAGAGAGTCCAACCGGGTATGGTGCGAATCGCCCACTGGTGGAAAACCTATCCTAGATACAATCGACATCGATGCAGGCACCAGCCCATTATACCGACCTTCTTATCTTTTCTGGATCCTCAACTCCCGGCTCCCTGCCTCCAAGCAGTTCAAGTTTTTTTCCAGAGTCAAAGTTCGGCGATCAGTACATCACACTCACCGAGCAGAACATCTTGGATATTATCTCCCATGGACCGAGCTCCCCAACGACCAAGGAGACTTTCAGAACCATATTCACCCCCACGACCAGTCATCAAGGAGAGATGATACACCGCCTTTTTTCAGCAGCAAGATCGACTACCACAAGTCAGTTTGTCTTCTCAACCCCTCGACGATCGTCCGTCACTCGTTCAAGCCTCGAGCATTCTTCGATTTTTCGTTGACCGACAGAATCAAGTACGAGAGGTTGTTGCAAGACTCCATTCGGGCGACCGGCGATGAGGTGACTTCCTCCTCGGATGCGCTACAGGCTTTTATCAAGGACCATTTGAGGACTCCAGAGGAGTACCGTCGTCTTGGAGAGATCGATCGAGCCCGTTATTATGGTCGAAGGAGAGAGTTGACGGGCACCATACAGACGAACGGACACGATTTGAAGGCTCTTGTCATTGATGTCACCCAGAGAAAGCCTTTTCAAGATCTGCCCAACCAGTCCAGGACCACAAGAATGCTGTTGGACGATGTGGAGGTGGCACTGGAAACGAGGCTGATGTTGTTGGCAAGGTCTTTGAGCGCGGAAGAGTACTGTATCATTGGGATTGATCGGGAATCGCGAGCACGGCAACGGCGGTCATTATGGATTCGAGGAACCCCGGGGTAGTCAAGAACATGACAATCTCCCAAGGGTCTTTGAAAGAGTCAGCTAAGCGGCTCAATAGAGTCACCGCCGGTATGAAGCGCAATGCCAAGGTTGTCCACCAATTGAAGAGGAACGACCTCTCTGGCACCGTGATGACGATTACTCGACTGGAGGCTCATATTGTTCCATGCAAGACGCCTCCGATGCCCTCCAACGGTACCCGGCAGCAGCAGCACGAGTCGTGGCGCACTCTGCAGACCTCCGTTGAGAACCATGTCGTTTCCGTGATCGACGTTCAGGAGCCTCTGCGAAAGTTCTATGGATCGGCGTCCTACAAGATCAAGAAGAGGAACCTAAAGGTTGCCGAGTATGCCATCAAGCACAAGGGCATCGACAGGATCATGCAGGAGACAGGATGCACCGACAGATGGCAGCCAGGACAAGTCAGACCGCTCTTTATTGTCGGAGACAGTAACTTTGGATCGACACGAGGACCTTCATTGCATATGACATTCTTGAGGTTATTGAAGAAGAAGGTAATGCTATTTTTCCTTTTTACTTTCCATGTCAAGAAACTTTCTTCCTATTACCCTGTACTGCCCACTAATACAAGTTTGGCCTTTTTTTTACTTTGTATGATTAGATCGAGGCTCGGAATATGATTATTATGTGCGCGGACGAGTATCGGACCAGTGTGACGTGCTGCCAGTGCATGGAGCTTGCGACCTTGAGCAGGAGGCTATCAGCTTCTATAGATGTGGCCAGGAACGCGATCGGGACCACAATGCAGCACACAATATCGCACAGGCAACACTGCAATGGATGAGAACCCAGACTTGGCCGTCCATCCTGTCTCGCGAGAGTCAACAAGATAATGAGGAAGATCAAGACCCTTGATATTCCTTTCATTCACCATCAACAAAAACGCCATTTCCTACTGGCAAGCGGCGAAATCTGAAACGACCGCAGTATTAGTCAATCTAGTATATTATCCTGAGAAATTATTACGGATACCGTTGAAAAAAAGGAGAGTCTTAACCTACGTTTTTTGGCCTGAAGGAATTCGGTCCTGGCAAGGTGGTGGAACCTACACCATGAGAAATTCAGATATCGCTAGGCTGACAAACTATTCCCATCCTAGTTTTCCCTTAATTAGCTCCACACTGTCCCCTACAGCCTACTCCTCCTGGCTATTGCATTTGCCCGATACGATTATAGAAATGAATAATTTAATAAAGGTTAAAGATGATTCACTAAAATACTCATATTGAATAATTGCGGCTTTGCACGCGGTGTCTTCATTTTACACAGTAGCATTTTCCTCTGTAGCGAAGACAATAGCGTGTGCCAAGAGGACAGCAATAGGCGCTGCAAGGGAAAGAGCATCTACGACAGATTGCAGAGGCGGATGGATCCTCGATAGAAGTTGCAGGCGTGTCTTCAGCACCTGGTTCCTGGGACTTGGTTGTCAGTTGTGATTCCCCACCAGGAGCCGCCAAAGCGGGAGAAATGAACAAAATAAAGAAACCGATCGTAGCGAGGTACTTTGAAGCAAGCATGTTGAAGTTCCAAGTCTATTATGCGCAGTAATTTGAAGAACGAGATACGTGCGTGTGAGAATGACATGAAAATACACCAAGCACAGACATCTCGAAGGCATGGGATTCTGGAGAGTTGCTTACCTTGTTGGATATTGTAGAGAGTTGAGGAAGAAGATGAGAGTGATGAGAAGAGGGGAAGTCGCTGCATTTATATAGAAGCCCGAGGAACTAACTCTGTCAAGGAACACTTTGAGCGGCATTAATTTTTTTACATATTGATCCCTCTACCGGGCATCAAGCAAAGGTAATAGGGGACTAGAAATATAGGGGGAAGTCTTAGAGTTAGAGTCACAAGGCTCTTCATGAAGGATCAGCACCGAGTAGTGATAGACTTAGAGAATTAGAGCGTTTTATATTAGTAAGACAATGTAATGAATACATCCCACAATGCTTGTGCGATCACTGGTGAGTTGATTTAGATGAGCGAGAATTGTGGCGAGTGACAGTTCCAGACAGCGCTATATATAAATCTTGCCTGTTAAACAATCTAAGCACTTGGACCTTATCCACGGAGCACCGTTGGTCTGGATGCTTAGTCGCAGAGGGGAGGGGTTTCAGCTACTTAGTGATAGAACACAGCCCAATGACAAAACCGCTCGCGAAGAGACAGATGGATCGACAAACCTAAAGCCCCGTACACACTATGCTTTGATATGCTTGAATCTGTTGCATCTCGGTGTCTGTCCACTCACTCCTCATTCTCTATTAAGGGTAGTAATATTATATACATTCTCATAGGGCTCAATAAAGACCCCAGCTTCTTTCTCACCATCTTCCTCTCCCCAGCTGTTCATATCACGGAATCTATCAAAAAATAGAATGGTGCCCAAGAGAGGACTAATCTCCGAGCAAGGGTTAAATGCTCGCGCATAACACATTTTATTTCAGGAAGCATGCTGCCATTCGGTGCATATCGTATTTTATTTCAGATGATGGGCTGACATTCGCCGCATAACGCATTTTATTTCAGGACGCGTAGAGAGAGAGTGTGTGTGTGTGAGAGAGAGAGAGAAGAACGGTAAGGATTCCTTTCGAGAGGACAACGAGGGATTTGGATTGTTGTTTCCCGATGAGTGTGGTTTCATTCTGGTTGCTGGTCTAGATAACCCACTACTTTGAGTATATCGATACCTCTGTAGTTCCGAGTAAACATGAAATAGAAGCATCCAGGCCCAAACTCAATTGCTTGTAAAGTCTCTAGAAAATAGTTGACCAGTAGAAAATTTCCCCAAAAAAATTAAGCTTAATTGTCAATTGGCGTGGTCCACTCGGACAATTCACACAAAGGCGACTGGATGATAGGGATCAGAGTTCACCATGGTGGACGCACCATTGGATACTTAAAAATACTTCAAGTTCTTGATGCCAAGGATACAGGTTGTTATTTTATGCAAAGTTAAGGGTGGCGTAGCAATAATATCATGACCGAGGTAAATGAGCATATTCACCATGCTCACATTGTTGTTAGAGGAGGCTTTGTTGATGTGACCATCTGGGTTTATCCTACTATTTTTTTTTCCAAACTCAATTAGCCTATTGATCTTGGTGCATACAATTTCTGTCTGGGTACAGCCCATGGCTCTTTGGTCCTGAACGGATATGCCCATCTGTACCCAGTTATACCCTTTTATGCCATTTTATACCCCTTTTGCCACGTTTTGGGCCCCGGTTGCCAGGTTTCTCCATGAACAAGTTCTAGCCCTTAGAATTGAACACAACATTCATTTCAGTCTGTCACGTGATCCGCCACCAACCAGCATTTCACCACCAACCAACGCGACGTGATGTCTAGCTGTACTTCTAGGAATGTACGTTTACTCCTGTTGGTAACCGTGTGATCTAGGCCGGTACTTACAAAGAGCTACTCGCCTAGAACCCTTGTCAACAAGCTCTTTGCCTTTTGCCCCATTTCCACATTGCCCATTTGCCTCTACCATTCGTCTTTGCCCTTTACATTCTCCATTCTAGTTTCCATTCGCATTCCAGGCCTTGCCCATCCCTTTTCTTGCTCATCCCCGTTCGTAGATAAATAGGCCTCCTATCCTTTTGTTCTTGTCCCCCAGTCTGCAATAACTTACTTCCCCACCTGTCTCCTGTCCTATCGTTTTTCCCTGCACACTCATTCTTCTTTCCTCATTAAAAGCAATAATAATAACAAAAACATATTCTACCTGCTGAAAACCTGCCCTGTTCATCGCACCTTTATGCCATTTTATACCCTTTATGCTTAATCATGCTCATCCATGCCCATTTTTTGCCTCGCCACTTGTTTAAAAATAGGAGGGGAAGGTATTTCAGTCATCCACTTACAATAATTGGTGTAGAGACGTTCCAATCATGAGATTTGTGGCTGTCTGCAAAAGTTGCAACACCCCAGGAACCTCCTCCTCCTTCTCCACTCCTTCCTCAGGATACTTGTATCCCTTTGGCAAGAAATGAGCCACAGTAAGAGCCGGCAGATGTTCCACAAACCAATCCACTTCCTGCTCACCCATCCTCCCTTCATCGGCCATATGCTTCCACACAATCGATCCTCGAAGCTCCCGCAACTTCGTCAGTCCAGCGAGTTTCGACAAGTATCCCAGCCTCTTGGAAGGATCCTCAAGGATCAGCATACCAGGAAGACAGTCCTCTTCAAAGGCAATCTCTTGCATATGGTTGGAGTCAACCTCTGTCGGGATGTGAATCGAAGCGGCTGATCTCAGATCCAACACCCGGAGCTCAGTCAGCGATCCAATCTGGGAATAAAACTTGCCCAGCATCTCCCAGTGAGCGTGATCCGCCTTACCCCACCTGTCAGAGTATCCCTCTGATAAGTGGCACATGACCAACGCCACTAAATTTCCAGACTCTTCTGCCACTACTGACTAAGCAAAGAACGTTCTCTCCTAGAAAGCTCTAGCAACGACAGTAGCCAACCTGGCACTCATGCACGTGTAAATTCACAGTCCGTACTGTAGATAGTTCAGTAGTTCATAACTCACAGCCTTTATTAAACACAACATTCCATAAGCACAGTCTATTTCAGTAGCACCACGTTACGCCACCACTCCTTGCTTGGATCGGTCAGGTATACGGGGCTCTTACCGTTGGGGGTCAACTTGACGGGGATGTTCAGAGTCTGGATCCTAGTACATGCCCACTTATCCATGGTGGCATCCTCCAGCGTCACACAACACATGCTGGAGTAAAATTCCGTGAGCTCAAGAATTTCCAGCGCCCGACAGTTCATAACTGCCGTCCTGAGGACCGCACTGGCAAGCGTACGACAGTTGTCCAACTTGATCCTCTGAAGCGTTTCCGAATGTCGGGTCCAAGCAGCCATCATCCTGTTGGGGAAGTAATCCAGATATGCAAACAGCTCAAATGTCTTTAACTGCTGACCAGGAATCACCTCCATCATGCTCATCACCGTCACTCCCTTATTGTCCCGGTATGGTTGAGGCACAACAAGACTCGTAGACCGTCGTGAGACAGGTTAGTTTTACCCTACTGATGAAATGTTGTTGCAATAGTAATTGAACTTAGTACGAGAGGAACCGTTCATTCGGGTAATTGGTATTTGGGCCTGCCTGAGCAGGCAATGGCCCGAAGCTATCATCCATTGGGTTATGGATGAACGCCTCTAAGTCAGAACCCGTGCTAGAACGCGACGATTACCGCCTTGGCCATTTTTAGTTGAATACGAATAGACCTACGGTCCAAAATCATACGAACGTGGGGTTATCTTGCAGAGCGGAAAGGCTTTGTGAGGTTCCCACTAATGTTAATTTCAAATATTGTCAAGGATAAATCCATTGCAGACGACTTTAATTGAACGGGGTATTGTAAGCAGTAGAGTAGCCTTGTTGCTACGATCTGCTGAGATTAAGCCCATTGTTCTATAGATTTGTTCGATTATTATTTTTTGAACGATACTCATAGAGAATCAATACACACGCGTTTTCCTTTCGACAGACGAGAGAAATTCAAGTCAGCCTAGTAGAGAAAACGTTTAGACTTTAGTTTACTTTGAAAGACTCATGCAATAACACAAGCCTTCGCCAGCAAAAAAAAATCTTTGGCAAAAAATGATTGGATTTTAAACCGCCGTAATAAGCAGATGCGTTCTATTCACCTCGTAAGGCTGCAGAGAACTAGGCTGTTCGGGCGTGGCCACATGGGAAAAGGCAATACATAGATTTGTTCGAAAGAACAACATCTCTCTCTCTCTTTCTTTTTTTTTTCTAATTGATGTCGACTTAAGGGCTTTTCAATGTTCTTCCTCACATGAACATGCTCTCAATGTCGGCTCTATCAATCCTTGCGTTGTCGATGCTTTTGTTGTCAGAGTTTCACTCTAATAAGGTTACACTAACCTATGACGCCACCAACATTTCTAGACTTTTCTTCCCTCTGATTACTAATCAAAGCTACGCCTCATAGAATCCTCTAGAAACCCAACACGACAACTATCTAGCATTCACTCACGTATAAATTCCCCAACCAACACCTAGATAGCCCCTTAGTTCATAACTCTCTTTATTAAAAACACTCAAAAGCACACAACGTACCCTCGCCTTGTTGCAGTATGCGTGTTTTTATGTGTTGATGCAGGGCAAGACGGTGCAGGGAGGGTAAACAGGGTCCAACATCTGAGGCGGACACCAGTCCCTTTGAGAAAGATCACCATTGTTATCGTCTGGGCCGGGTCCAGTGCGAGACTTGATGATGCAAGGCTCTCCGATAGGTAATTTGTAAGTAGGGTCAGATCCTCTTCTGTTGCGGTGGTCATCGTGGGCGTCTCGTTTCTTGACAGGGCTGGGTTGTTTGGGGATCCCTTGCGGTTGGCACCAGGCCCTTGGAGCAAAATAGCAATAGTGATTGATGTGGGTATTGGTGTTGGTATTGGTGTTGGTATTGGAGTTGGGAGGGACTGGTACGGAGGAGGCGAAAGAGGTCATGGTGGCGACCATGGCCATGGTCGCAAGAGTGAATGAAAGTGAGAATCTCATGTGTGTGTGTGTTTGCTGAGGAATGAAAATGAAAAAGGAGGGGTGAAGCGTTTGATTATTCTTGTCGATGGTGAGAATGGGGGAAAAGGAAGCATGCTTGCAGTATTTATACACGCGTGCTCGAAGGAAGAAGGAGAGTGTTAAAGTGGATGATGAAGATGTTTACAGCGCAAACCAAAGGCAGATGTCGTTGTAGATCTAAGAAGGACCGAGATAGAGGAAGAATATTGCAACAAGGCGAGGGTACGTTGTGTGCTTTTGAGTGTTTTTAATAAAGAGAGTTATGAACTAAGGGGCTATCTAGTTGTTGGTTGGGGAATTTATACGTGAGTGAATGCTAGATAGTTGTCGTGTTGGGTTTCTAGAGGATTCTATGAGGCGTAGCTTTGATTAGTAATCAGAGGGAAGAAAAGTCTAGAAATGTTGGTGGCGTCATAGGTTAGTGTAACCTTATCAGAGTGAAACTCTGACACATACACACAGCAGAAAGCAATTGCTGACCAACAATACCAGTCCAACATAGGCTCTCTTCCCCTCGGAGACGTTAACAAGATCGTCAGATAGCCATAATGGCTGTTATGTCAACTCGTCATGGGTGAGTGTGCAAATACACTTTTCTCTCCGACAAGAAAGAAAGTAGTAATAAAAAACTTTAAAGCAGAATGGCAGATCAAAAACGGTTGAACACACAGACAAGAATGAGAGATGTTTCCTTTGCTCTCAATTGAATATCGTTGTTGTACCGGCACAACTTCCATCCTAGTAGGAGGAGGAGGGACAAAGATAAACGGCGCTTTCTCCTCTTCGATCTCATTACCTCCTTGCCGGGGCATTTTTCTTTTTCGCTCTTAACCCTACTTACACATTACATGAACAAGTCTGCCTTTTCACTCCTATAACGAGACCTTGCACAGAGACGGTTACATGGATCAAAAAGTGGACCGTGGCACACATACCAGCCTCTTTTCCTTTTCTTTGACGTTTTTCTAACCCTTATTTTTTTCTCTCTCACTTTTCATCCTCAATGTTAATCTCGTACCTTTCACTTCTTCACCAGTTCTAATACTAGCGCTCTTCCTCAACCCCATTACTAACACGCTTTCGTGCCTAGTCCTAGCAGCAACAGCAATACGTCCATTTCCATCTTCTTACAACAAATGAGGCTCACTATCACCAACGACCTCACCTTAATCATCCTAGTCGCGATCACATTCTTTCAAATCGCCTCTATCACCATCATCGACGCAACGCTAGCTCTAGTCATAGACTCTTTGCCCGAACCAAGTAGCGACGGTCAGTCAGACATGTCGGGTCAGGTCCATTGTCCAGAGCACTGGAATCTATGGTGGGGACGTGGGTATGCCTGTCAGCCTTGAAACATCTCCTCCAACCAACCAAAGGACAATTGCAGGCAAATTGTGCCCGTCATTGCTTCTGGTACTACCTCAAGAGAATAAAACTTATTCCATGTGGGTATGGTGACATGTTCGTGAGGAACAAGTGTTGGCCAGATATATTGCATTTTTGTGAACGATTTTCTTTTTCGACTAACAAGTATGATGGACTGAACAAAGCAACGAAACAGGTAACCCGGAACCCTCCTCTCTCTTCTCTCGTTCCCCTTGACTCCTATCCTGCTTCTCTCCTTTTTCACTTCGACCAAATGCGAGAGCCGCTTTTTGACCCTCGTTGACCTTTTATTTCCATTTTTTGTGTACACCTCCTGAAGAAGACAAGATGTCAAGGGGAAGGGTTCACACACGCAGCGGATAAATCACGGAAAATCCATCTTCACCTTTTTCTTTTCGCAACTCTTTCTCTTCTTCACTTTCACTTTCACTCCTGCTGCTGTTCTAAAAGTTTTCTTTCTTTCGCTTCTTCACCTTTCATCCTTTCCTTTTCTACCGTCAACGTTTTTCTTCTCTCTTGTTCCATCCTTTGCGACACAGCGACCTTATTCTTTTTCTTTCCACGTTATAACTAAACATAATGCACCTTGCGTTCACCAATCTCCCAACCCTCGCGCTTCTTGGTCTCGTACTCTCAATAATCGCATCCACTACCAACGCAGCACCAGTCCATCCCCAGAACACCCCAATGGGCCTGGTAGCAAGGGGGGACTTTGAGCTTCCTTCATGCTCACAATTCCAGCATTGGCCCAAACTTGCAGGAGGCGGTCATGGTCCTGCTTGTAACCCCGATGCTTGATCACTCTCTGCCAGAGGCGGACCACTTTCTTTTTTCTGCACTCTTCCTCTCTTTTTAACTCTCCAGTCACCACCTATACCACACATTACTGTAAGAAATAAAAGGCAGAGATGAGTATAGGATATCGTCACTGAAATTTGGATTGACAAACATAAAACAACGTTAACTTGTTGCTTATACGTTTTGAGAGTGAGCTGGAATGTGACATGATACTCTTTCTCCTTCGAAACACCACCATGGACAAGGCACCCCAGATCGCCGGTCGAGTCGAGGCGTTGTTCCTTTGTTAGCTCAGACATATTTTCTTCATCCCCATTCCATGTTCCCGTCTTGACCAACGTGTAAACCTCATAATCCACACCTTGGAGAAAAAGACGTTGGGGGCCTCCTCGAGGAAAAAAAACAACGACCCTTTTTTTGTTTCTTTCGCGTGTTCTTTTATCTCTTTATTCCAACCGTTCACTCCACCCTACCCGTTTTTGTTCGTCATCGCTCACCATAAAAGCAACATATACACACAGGATCGAATGACAGACACCCTTACTGACTCGAGGACATCTCAGAAATGGTCATTCTTCTTCGGTGAGTGAATCTAGAACACGTAAAAAAAAAGAGGAGGCAACTGTCTGTTACGCTGCCGTTACCTTTACCCTTCTTCGCATAGAAGACTCAATCTAACGTGTCTTTTTTATTCTTGCACTTGATAGACTTACCGACAGAAATACAGCTGTTAGTTATGAGCAAACTCAGTCTGTCAGAGCTACAAAACTCCAAGCTGGTAAGAAAACATCATCAGGATGCCCCACTCTATTTACGTGAGCCCAGTCATCCCTTCATGCATTGACCTTGTTCGTTTCTATGTTCCTCCATGGGGGGTAACTAGATCAGTCATAAGTTCAAACAGCTTGCAAATGTAGACCAACTCTGGCACCGACACACTCTCAACTCTACCATCGAAGACAATATCATGCGCGAAGCCCGGGAATGCTGTGGCTTCACCGTCATCATCGACACCAACGCCAATCCTGATTCTTCCACCTCCGCAGCGGCATCAACGTTTTCATGGCAAACCCTCCTCCGGACCGCAACGCTCATCGAGCGCGAGAACCGCCGTCTGATCCAAGGGAGCCTCTCGCAAATGACACAAAAGATTCATCAAGTCCGTGAGGCGCTGGAGCGACAGACTCGGGTGTTGGAGGAGACACATCAGAAGCTGGAGTTGCTGTCGGGTCGGTTGACACATATGGAGCAGCAGAGCCGGGTGAGGGAGTTGGAGAGGACTCGTGTGAGGAGAAGGGAGGAGGCCCGGTTGGAGGATGAGAAGTGGTTTCGGGAGTGGGATGCACTTTGTGTTAGCCATCGGGTGAAGGGTGCTTTGTCTTTGTCGGCGTTGGCCTGTGAAGAGAAGCAGGTATTGGGTGAGGAGAAGGAGAATAAGAATGAGTGTGGGGTGTCAATGGTTGGGTATGAGGCGGATTCGTGTGTCGATGAGGAAGTTGATGACGACGACAAGCTGTTTACAATCAACGGTTCGTTCAAGAAGAGCTGCACTATCAATCGTGCTGATGATGGCTGTAACAGCAACAGTAGTATTGCCGAGGTGTCACGTCCAGATTTCCTGGAAGAGGTTCAGGTGGCGTCCAACGGGAAAAAGCGCGCTGAGGGGTGTGCATTACCTGGACTATGAGATCTCTTCCTCCACAGCACTGTCAAGTCCTTTTGTACCACTTACACACTGTCATTGTACCATACGTCATTCTAATTGAACATGTTGAAGAATACAGAGCAATTGAACATGTTATCGAATAAACTTTAGCATTTATGGAAATTTGGGCATTTGTCAAGCCTTCGGACAAAATTATCCATGTGGGTTCGCTCCACATTATCGAATGGACGCGCAACGATCATCCTTTTTTCGATCGCAGACAGACAGACAGACAGACAGACAGACAGACAGACAGACAGACAGACAGATAGCCAAGACGACGTTCACATTCAGCATACTGTCTTGACTGCTCTTGTTTAGTATGTGATCATTTCATAGCACTGGCCAATTGAACCCCTCGCTTGGCATTGGATACCGAGAATATTTGTTCACCCAAAGGCTGAGTTCAATCTCCAAGAGGTGGCCCGAGCCGAGGTGACGCCTCGTTCTTCTTCTATTCAAGGATCCATTGCCCACATTCAATCGTTCATCTTCATTCCCCCTTTTCTCCTCTCAGTTCTCATTCATTCTCCCCACGACAACAACGCTTTTTCCTACTTGTCATCAACATCATGTCTGATCTGACTTACACCCCCATCGACGACATCCCCAAGGTAATTTTTCGCATTCTGGAAGAGCCCGCACCTACCACTTTGCCAACACTCAGTCAACTAACAACTAACACAACAACCTTGTCTCCCCACGTAAACCAAAAAAAAAGATTGTCCAAGAACTCAGAACAACGTTCCTGACAGGACTCACCCGCCCCCTGGCTTACCGCAAAGAACAACTCAAAGGCCTACACAACCTCATCGCCGAAAACGAAACCCTCTTCAAAGAATCCGTCTATCGTGACCTCCGCAAACCGCCTCAGGAACTCATGGCCGGCGAGACGGGCGCCATTCGCCAGGAAGCCATTGACGCCATCAAACATCTTGACCAATGGGCCGCCCCTCAATCCGTCAAAACGACTCTACTCAATAGGATGAACAAGCCCCATATCCGAAAGTCTCCCCTAGGCACGGTCCTGATCATTGGAGCTTGGAACCTGCCGATTAACCTGTTGCTCGCCCCCGCGGTCGGTGCTATTGCAGCAGGTAATTGCGTTATCCTGAAGCCGTCTGAGGTTTCGACACACACGGCGGCGTTGTTGACGAGATTGTTACCAAAGTACTTGGATCCCAGGAGTGTCAGGATTATTAATGGCGCTGCTGCAGAGACCACGGTTCTATTGGAGCAAAAGTTTGACCATATGTTTTATACGGGTAGTGGCAACATTGGAAAAGTCATCATGGCTGCTGCTGCCAAGCAGTTGACGCCTGTGACCCTTGAGCTTGGAGGAAAGAGGTAAGAGTGAGATTCTTGAAGGAAATAGGTGACAAAGCGAGCATGAACAAAAAAAGCCCAACCTTTCCTTTTTTTTTCTCACGTCATTTTTATCATGCAACAAAATAGCCCGGCATTCGTGAGCAAGGACGTGAACATCGCAGTCGCAGCACGCCGTCTGATCTTTGGAAAACTCTTCAACACCGGACAGGCCTGTATCGCGCCCGACTATCTCATCGTCGAACGCGGGATCGAAGAGGAACTGGTCAAGGAGATGAAACTCGCCATCCAGGAATTCTACGGCGCCTCTCCCCAGACATCCCAATCCTACGGCCGCATCATCAACAATAACCATTTCCACCGCCTTAAGCGACTCTTGGACACGACCCGTGGCAAGATTGTGATCGGAGGTGACACCCAGGAAGACGACCTTTACATCGCACCCACGATCGTTCTCGACGTCAAGTTGGACGACCCCCTGATGGAGTCCGAGATCTTTGGACCTATTCTCCCCATCTGGGTAGTCGACACCATCAACGAGGGAATCGAGTATGTCAACAGGAATGACCAGCCGCTAGCATTGTATGTCTACAGTCACAACATGAAGCTGGCGGATCATATCCTTGAGAACACCCGGTCAGGAGGCGCGGTCATCAACGATTCTCTGATCCAATTTATGGTCACTGCTCTGCCCTTTGGAGGTACGGGTCCCTCGGGTATTGGAAACTACCATGGCAAGCGGACCTTTGACATCTTTTCGCATGAGCGCGCCACCCTCGTCAAGAACTTGGGCATGCAAAAGGCCCTCACCATCAGCTATCCTGTAAGACCTTCTTGAGGATGTTATTTCTTTTTCTTTGTCTTTTAGCCTCTGGTCTTGGGTCTCTAATTAATCGCCTTCTTTCTCGAACTTTCCATCATAGCCATACACGGAGAAGAAGACCAGCTGGTTGGAATGGCTCCTATTCGACAAGGTCAAGTATCCCGATAACGCCATCCTCAAAGGTAAATAGGGATGAAAGTGATCGAAGATTGGGCCATGTGTCTGCTTTGTTGTGTTTTTTTGTTCACTTTAGATGACCTGGTATCTTTTGGTCATTCATCTGATCTCCTTCGCTTCTACTTTTTGTTTACCGTGCATCCTTAGGCAAGCTGTAGAGTGTAAATGAAAAATTGGACAACATATCGGAAATGACACCTTGCGACAAAAAAAAAGTAACTCTTTACTGGAAATAAACCTGCGGCGAAAAAGAGCATCGATGACATAACCTTCTTTGCCAGTCGAGATTCGCTACAGTTTGACCATTCGTGTGGAGACGACTTTGGTCGATTCAGGGTTCTTTTTGGACATGACTGTCTAGTAGCAGTGGAGGAAAAACATTGTTGATGGTTAGTCAGGGCTAGAGAAAGCGCTTTTGCTTCCGCTCTTCGGCTCGGGGAATTAAAAAATGTTATGTCGTACCGTCGGTTTAGTGTCCTGAGTTGACATATACCCGATTCCCTATTGTCCGCAATCATGCGAGGTACAAGAATGAATTAACAAGAAATCCTCGAAGAAGCGCAACAACCATGCAAAAGATTAATAAACACATAGCCAAGCAAACAACAATTCCCTGAAACTTACCATGGTCTGAGTAGTATGAGCAAAAACCAACTCTGCCCTCCCATCAGCCTCCCGATCGACCCTAACACCAATCCATCCGGCATGCTTGTCAGGGTACCCCCTCAACAGTGGACTCTTCATAAACCGGTCCAAGATCTCATGTGCCGCTTCCGAGAGATCGTCATGCACGAGATATGTGTCTATACAAGTCCGGGCCAAGAGCGTCTTTGTGATCTGCTCACCCGCGCCTGTCAGACTGCATGCGAACCCGTCCGTTTCCTCTGTCGCGTCCTGTGCCCAGCACCCCGCTCCGAATAGCGCCGCCTATGTTCCATCATAAATGAGATATAGATATGGTCGCTTGTTAGAAAGCTGAGACATTGTAGTGGCGCCTTCTATTATTTTCGTCCGCAATTGCTTGAGATAATATCTGCGTCCATTGTTGCCAGACAAAGATTACCTCACTGACGCGTCCAGGAAACTTCATTGCAATACCTCCACTGCTGACCCCGGCTGCGACGCGCCCTTGGCCGTCGATGCAGATCGCCCCCACTGTATCCTGTAACCGATCGTCGTCAATCTCCAAGGCCTCCTGCGCATTTTGTCGTTTGGTGCTGGATCCTGAATTGCTTGACATTGGTTCGGCTGTCCCAGTCCTGTTTCTCTTCCGTGATTTCCCGTCACTGTCTTTGATTGAACCCGGTTTCTGTAGTGATTCCGTTTGGCCATCCAAGGCCGTTGTCCCTGAATCTGAACCAGTTGCTACAACTGCCTTGTTGAGCATGCTCTGGAACCGCACATATCGTCGCAGCGCCTCCATCGTGACAAGGGAACCACCTACTGATTCACAATCTGTTACTCCAGAATTCCCCTTATCCTGCTCCTTTGCTTCTCCAGTTTCCGACATAAGTTCTCGCGCCTTTGCCAATGCGTCCGCTGACAGTACCCGCGGAACCCTTTCAAGACCTGCATGTGACGGTGAATAGTCCATCGTATCGACCCATTGCGCGACTCCCGGACCAACTAGCATGATGGGTGGGATCCTGCCCAGTGATAGAGGTCCTTGATCCGATTCCTGTAAGATCGTTGCAGCCACTGAAATTGGGTTTTTGAAATCTGTAGAGAAGAAAATGGCAACGTCAAAGGTTGTTAATTGATTAGTCCTTAGGCTATCACCCTCCACACCAGCTTCATTGAATCCATCCATATAAAGCTAGACATTTGCATACCCGACACAGCACCAACAGATCCAAAGCCGAGGGTCGTCCCATCCATGAGGGAGGCATCACATTCGACAAGTCCGTCTAGGTTGAGGTTCGACCCTGTGCCAGCATTGGTGACGGGATCGTCCTCCAATATCCTGATCATGCATTCTACTACTGCCGCTGCGCTTACTCCTGTACCCTTTGATGTCGTGGTTGATATGTCGGGTGGTTGTCGCAGTAATTGTATGCCTGCTATGCATGCTCTATTTTTGATTTTGCATGAGTGGTAGCCGTGTTAGTAAAACTGCTGCATTGTTGAAGAGCTTTAACAGATAAGCTCGAGTTTGGCAGAGGACTAACTATAGTGAAGTTTATGGTTATACCTTTTGCAGGCGTCGAGGTATCGAGCCTTGTTCAATGCAGCATGAAGACCTGTTCGATATGGCAAGTAGTGGGCGGGGTAATTAATGATGCGCGTTCAAGGACCATTGAGACACTTGGCGCGTTTTTTTTGGTGGAATAAAAGAAAGAGTGAGTTGTACCTGCACCGACATGAACTGCAACGAATCCTTTTGAAGGTGATGAAGATGATCCCTGTGGGGTCGTTGTCGCTGTTGGTGTAGATTTTGGTGTGGTTGTGTTCATGACCTTGTTCTCTTCGGGTTGGCTCAATTAGGACTCTGTTCGTTTGTTTGTCAGCCCTTCCTTCCAAGACGCACCCACGGAGCTTTTTTCCCCGTCTCTCTCACTCATATTTTTCACGTGTCGAGTCCGGTTGTTCATTTCCTGATCCCGTGATCTCTAGATCTTGCCCTTCCACTCCCGCCGCTTTGACCGCTGATTGGCTGGTGATGAATACCTTCCCCGGACACAGGTATAATTTGCCCTGAAAACTGTTTGCTTCTTGACTTCTTCTTTTGCTTCTTCTCCACTTCTCCCCACTCTCCCCTCCATACTCATACAACAATGGCCAACGTCTTCATCGTCGCTGCTAAGCGTACCCCCTTCGGCGCCTTCGGTACGCTTTCTTCTTCTTCGTCTCTTTCATATCTTTGCTTGTTTTGAACAACCTAGGCATGCTAGTGAATGAAAGGCGCCGACACGACCTGAAGAGTGAACAATGACTAATCATTCTTCCCACCTCCATCTTCTTTTCCTTCAACTCTTTGTTGGTTCTTTCTCGGTTGCCGTCTTCCTTGCGTTGTCAACTTCAACAAACCGACCAACTCACCAACCAACAAACTCAACCATGACAACGACCATACATCACCAAACCGGACAAACATACAAACAACAGGCGGAAAGCTCAAGGACTACAGCGCTGCTGAGTTGGGCGCTTTCGCTTCCAAGGCCGCCCTCGCAGATGTCGGCAAGCAAGTCCCCATCGACTCTGTCATCGTCGGAAACGTCGCCCAAACCGACGCTGCAGGCGCCTACCTTGCCCGCCACGTCGGCCTCCGCGCCGGCCTCGACGTCACCATCCCCGCCCTCACCGTCAACCGTCTCTGTGGATCGGGCTTCCAGTCGATCATTAACGCTGCCCATGAGATCGCTGTTGGTGATGCCAACATTGTCTTGACCGGTGGAGCCGAGTCCATGTCGCTCGCACCTTATGCTTTGAGAGGTGTTCGTTTTGGTAGCACTAGATTTGGAGTTGATCTGAAGTTGGAGGATACCCTGGCTGCGGCTTTGGTCGATCGCTTCCCCAAGGAGACCCCTATGGGAATCACTGCTGAGAACTTGGCTCAGGAGCATAACATCTCCCGTCTGGATTGTGATGAGTACGCTCTCTTGTCCCAGCAGCGTTGGGCCGCTGGTAAGTTTTTTTCTTCTCTCTTTGTTTTACAACTGTATGAGTTTCCTTGTACATTCTGCTGCATACCCTTTTTTCTTTTCTCTGTGGGTTCAATTTTTTTATCCCGTGAAAGTGAACAAAGTTCTCTTGCACGAGAAAACGTGATACGATTTCCCCGCAATCTCACACCCCTCCTCCTCTACTCTTCAACCCTAAATAGCCAACAAGGCCGGTCGCTTCACCGCAGAGATCGCCCCCGTTGAGTACAAGGTCAAGAAGGCCTTCGAGACCCTGAGCCACGACGAACACGCTCGCCCCACAACCACCATCGAGTCCCTCTCCAAGCTCCCCTCCGTCTTCAAGAAGGATGGAACTGTCTCGGCCGGAAACGCCTCCGGTATCGCTGATGGTGCCGGTGCCATCGTCGTCGCCTCGGAGCAGGCCATCAAGGAGCACGGATTGAAGCCCCTCGCAAAGGTCGTCTCCTGGCACGTCACCGCCGTCGAGCCCTCCATCATGGGTATCGGCCCCGTCTCTGCTATCCAGGGTGCCCTCAAGAAGGCCGGTTTGACCCTCAAGGATATGGACCTTGTCGAGGTCAACGAGGCCTTTGCTGCCCAGTACTTGGCCGTTGAGAAGGTTTTGGGTCTCGACCGCTCAAAGACCAACTTGAACGGTGGTGCCATTGCTCTCGGACATCCTCTCGGCGCCTCCGGCTCCCGTATCATGGCTCACTTGTCCCATGAGCTCCAGCGCACCCAGGGCAAGTACGCCATCGGCTCTGCCTGCATCGGTGGTGGTCAGGGTATCGCCGTCGTCATCGAAAGATGCTAAATTATCTCGACCCTTTTTGTAGTTTGACACCATGAAAATAAATAGCACCCCCACTTGTATAGACAATAACTCTTGAAAGAAAATATGAACCAAAAAAATGACGCGTGGAATGGTGAAGAGGGTATTATGGTTGTTTTTTTTGGATCTTTTTTCTCTTTGCTGGCGGAGGCAAAACAATAGTATATGAAAATTCTGTAATACTTTTAATGGCGTTGAGACTCCTTGGCGGCACGGATAAGAGGGGCCAATGTCCGGACAGAGTGGGCCTTGACCAAGAACGGGTGCTTCAACAACTCGCTCGCCGTAGGACGCTTCTCGGGATCAACCTCCAAACACTGTGCCAAAAAGTCCTTGAACTCATACGATAACTTTTCAGGGTTCTGCAGGGCCGGTGTTCCATTCGTCGCAATCAAGTAGAGAGCCTGTTGGGAAAATGAAAACAAAATCAGAGACGATGGATGAGTATATGAATACCACAAGACATTAATACAAAAACAACGAAAAATAAGTAGATTACTTACGCGAAGTGGATTCTCGTTAAGGTATGGAGGCTCGCCTTCCAACATCTCGATGGCCATGATACCCAAGGACCAGATATCAACCTTGGGTCCGTACTCCTTCCGCGTCACCACCTCAGGTGCCATCCAGTAAGGTGTACCGACCATCGTCGTCCTCTTTCCTTGACTCTCCTTCAACTGCGCACAGAACCCGAAGTCAGCTATTATTAAAAAGGCGACGAGATAAGGACACGGTTAATATCTATAAGTAAATACGCTCAATGTAACCCCAAAGAGCAGACGGCATGAAGAAACAAGAACATACTCAGCTTGATGTCTCCGTTCAGGGACAAAAGCACGTTGTCCGACTTGATATCTCTGTGAATGACGCCCTTTGAGTGCAGATGCTCCAATCCCAAGAGAGTCTAACAGCATACGAAACAAATGAAAAGCACGCGTTAGCACCTTGAAAACGACAATAACAATCACTGCCACGAACAAGTAACGCACGAACAACGTACCTCGCGACAGACGGCTCCAATTTGTGGATCGGCCATCTCGTTGGTGGTGACGACTTCAGTCAAGCTGCCGCCCTCCATGTACTCCATGACGACCCAGAGATCTCCTCTCCACAAGAAAGAGTCGATATAGTTGACAATGTTCTTGTGGCTCGACTCCTTCATGACCAAGATCTCGTTGATGATCAAGTCCTTCTTGGGCTGCTGCTCCAGGTTCATCTGCTTAATAGCAACCGACAGGTTGGTGCCGACCTGGTAGGCAGTGTAGACCCCTCCTGAAGCCCCCTGTCCAATCTTGACCAAGTTACGGTACAGCTTTGTTGGGTCTGCATCCGTGCAAATTGCCTGCAAACGACGAATCACATCCTGAGAGCTGACTTCGGGCTTCTTCTCGCGGCGCTTTGGTGGTGCCTGCTGTTGTTGTTGGTGGTGCTGCTGCTGCTGGCTGGCGGAAGAAGGCGAAGGGTTGCCCTTGAAAGGTGGGATGGCCGCAAGAGGGGCAATAACAGGCACTGATGGCTTCTTGGGCTTGGTTGGGGGCACCCGGGGTGGTTGAGGCTGAGCCTGAGCAGGCGCTATGACGGGTGAGACTACAGGAGGCGAAACAGGGCTTGAATCCGTATCAATCTTTTCTAATGCCTCTGTCTTCTCCACTGGAGTCTATATGGAAGAATGGCAGCGTTGTTGTTCAGCAATTAGTCAGAGTCAGCCCTTCCGTGAATCGCCTGTTATTTTTGGCCAAGGAGGTAAGAGTGGGTGGTGATGACGATAGCGTGTTCGTGAGCTGCATGCATGACACACACAAGGGGTGTGTGTAAAGAGCCTACGCTCCTTCACCCTTGATACTTTTCATATAACGCGCCATTGCATAACAAACCACTGTTTCTTGGCCATCATGTGGTCCATGACCCTCGCATATCCTCCCCTATATTTCCTTATTCTTACCAAATCTGTTGGCTTGACGGGCAGCTTTTTGGCCTGGTGAGGCGAAGGAGGGACTCGCTAAGAATAATAAAAGAAAAGTCGTCCAAGAAAGGAGGCAAAAAAAAAAATGACAACGGTTAATGAAGCTCTTCTTGTACATCGTTCTGGAACTGGCATAGAAAAAAATACGGACGCAACCAAAAAAAAGAATCGAAGTTTTAGCCTTACAGGATTCTCAAAGACTTGTTGGCGTGGGGCAGTAGGAGGAGGAGAAGTGGGCTTCTCGCGTTCTTCCTTTGGAGTCTGGGGTTTCTGAGACGAAATACTGCTGACAGTCGACGATGGACTTGGCTTTCCTGGTTTGCTGTCGGCAGGGTTATGTCCGAACTTTTGCCAAACAGCATCGTTTTGTTTGCCCTCCTGACTGTCGGTGTAGAATCCAATAATGTCGATGACGGCCTGGGGATGGGCGGCCTGATCCTGCTTTGAGATTCCTGACTCTTGCAACAATTGCTGCCATTCCTTGGGCAAACCCTATGAAAATTCACAATGAGGAAGAAAAAAAAATGAACGTTGAGTAAATTGATACCAGCGTGTTTGGGTGCTGTCCCCTGTCCTGCCTTGTCTCCCTATTCCCCGAGTTTTGTGGAGCCCAGACTGAAAGATGAGAATGTTTGTTTTTGTTTGTGCATATTCTTTTTTCCCTTTGTCTCCCTTTGTCTCCCTTGTCTCCCTGTCGAGTTTTCCTTTTGTGCTCAAATAGCGGACCAACCAGTTGCAACCGCAAAAAGAAATAGAGCAGAGCAGGATTGAGAAGCCGGTCGTCAAACATGTTTGGCTTGGGAGGTGCAACGAGAGCAAGTGATAGCGCCAACCAGTCAATCCCGTTCAAGGTGAAAAGCGAGGAAAGGCACATATTCCTTACTGTGAACTCTCCTGTGTCGAGGTTATATCCCACATGGGTCAAATGGACAGGGTTGTAGGGAGAGGAGATCTCCATCTTCTTGTCAGAGGACAGCAGGTCTAAAAAAGTGCAGACGCATAGTGAGCGTGAGCGTGAGCGAGATAAGAGCAACAGCAAAGAGTTAGAAAAAGGTGCCGGGATTTGTATTAAGTACATTGACGGTTTCGTTGGTTTGTTGCGCATGTTTCCTTTTCTCTCGGGACGAGGGCTGTACCTGTCATGGAGTTGACGATATTGCTAAAGACGCCTTTGAAAGTTGATCGGTTGGAGGAGTACTCTGAGGAAGAGTCGTAGTGCTGGTGTGAACGACTACTGTAGGAGGACTTTGGCGAGGACGTGTGGTGGTGGTGGGTGGTCAGGCTGATGGTGTTCTCGGTAGGGTATGAGCGCATTGCATCCTGAGGGGATCTATAGTCGTTATTGTGTCTTGAGGGCTTTTGGGGTGGAGGGGGCCCCTTCTTGGGTGGGGGCACACGAGGTGGGGCTGGCACTTGAGGTTGAATATGGTCCCTGGACGACTGAGTGTTAGTCTCCTTGGGGCTGATGTTGTGTTCGCTGAGGTGGAGGGGCGAAGTAGGTGTCGAGCCAAAGGACGAAGCGGGTGACTGTGGTACGGATCCTGCCGACAGTTGAAGTGAGAGCGACTTGTTGCTGGAAGTAGAGGGCCGTGGGGGCGGTGGTGCCTGGCGTTGAGGGACAAGACCATCTGTCACCGCCATATTTTTCCAATTGGTTGTCGAGGAGAGGAAAGAGAGAGTGGGTTAATATGGTGATTTTTGTTTTGTGCAAGAAAGGAAGATGGGAAGGAAAAGCACGGCGCGGCAAGGCAAGGTAAGGTATGGCAAAGAAGGGGAAAGAGAGAGAGAGAGAGAAGGCAAGAAAGAAAGGAAAATACGAAAAAAAATGAGGGGCGAGCAAATGGCGAGCAAAAAAAGAAAGTGAGAAGAGAGGGAAGGGAACCCAGCAGGCTGTAACTAGCAGGCAAAGCAAAAAAAGTAACGGCGAACTGGTTGCTTTGCACCATGGTCATAATCGAAAAGTAGGTGCTGTCCTTTTCTCAGCAGACAAGCACACCTCTTTTTGAACTTTTTTTTTCTTTCTTTTGGCTCAGTGACAAGCTGGCAGGAAGGTAGACAGTGGAAAATAGGAGGCCACTCTCGAGTCAGATGATCATCCACTCGGGCTGATCACTGTTACGCGCACAATCGACCGCCAGCTGAGTCGTCCTGGCCACAAAAGGGACAGACAGTGAGCAGAGTAGAGACAGACACGAAGAGATGGAAAAGTAGAAGTGTCGTCTTCTTGTTAACTCTTCACCACTTTTACCGTTCAACAGTAAGCTTATTCGCTCGCTTTACTCTTCAAAAACCACTACCCCATTCAACAACAGCAGCAGGATGGAAGTGACACCCTATACTCTTCATTTGTTCACCTTTCTCTCCGCTCCTCGTTCGTTCTATCCTTCTTATTCGCACGGCAGAACACAACCTCCACTATGCCATTCAAAACTGCAGTGTATAGGAGTCTCCTGCCATATTTTTTTTGTTCACCCGTCTAGTGCATAATACAACCACCAAAACCAAACAACGACGACAACGAACAGCGTGTCGCAGGAATCCTGCAAGAAAAGAGCAGTATGCTGTCTCTTTCCCCTTTTCTGTTCCTGCAAGCTCCTGTTGTTCCTATACTTCCTGCCCGTATGCTGGTTGTTCATCCAATTTTGTTTGCCATCCTTTTTGTTATGCGGATCTCAAAAAAAAAAAAAAAAAGTCAAGGGTTTACCTGGAATCTGAGGAGGACGAGAAGAGGTAGAGGAGATGAGGTTACGAGGGGTTGAGGAGGGAGAGTTACTGGCACTGTTGGTTCCGTTGGTGGACGAGCCGCTGACATGGTGGAGGTTGTTGGAGTGGGGATAGCCCAGACTGCCGTTGCTGCTGCTCGAAGTGTGTTTGTTCGACCCGACGGAGGAGTGCTTGTTGGAGCCAAAGGACGAGTGTTTGTTCGAACCAAACGAGGAGTGTTTGTTGCCGATACTGAAGCTGGTAGGGGCTACGGCATGTTGCTGGACAGTGAGCGGTGGGGAGGACGGAGGAGGAGGGAGGGGAGGGGAGGAAGGGGCGCTGCTGTTGTTACTGTCGGGAGGTGGGGAGGACATTTCGTCTTCGAAGAGTGGTGAGAATGAGAGACGGAGGGAAGGAAGAGAGGGAGGAGGAGGGGTGGGGGGGTGTTCGACGACCTCGAAAGAGGACCTTGAGGAAGAAGGGGAAGGGGAAGGGGCGGAGGAGGAGGACGACGAAGGGAGGAACGGGGGATGACTGATGCCTGCCAGTGTTGCTATTCTGCGGACCCTATTTCGTGAGGAGGATTCGTAGTCGTCAGAAAAAGTAGAGGAAGAAAGAAGATTAAAAAAAAAAAGAGAGAGCAGATGAGATGATGAGTCTCTTTTTTTTAGCTTTTTTTTTGTTATTTGTGCGCGTTGGTTGAAATAAAAAGATGATGACGCTGAATAAGTGGAATGAAAGAGAGGGGGAGGGAGATGATGGTGAGGATAGGTTTGTACCTGTGTCCAGCTGGGGGGAAGGAGCTTTGTGAAGGGGGGAGGAGGAAGGAGAAGGGGGTAAGAAAGTATAAAGTAAAGAAACGAAGCGGGGGTTACTGAGAGCGAGAGTATGAGTGGCGGGGAGCGAGAGTGTGAGAATAATAAGGGGAACAAGGAAAAGGGAAAAGGAAAAAGGGAGAGGAAAAAGTAGAAAAGAAACGAGAAAGAAGAAAGGGTTGGACTGGAGTTCGAATCAATTGTCCGAAAGGGAAAAGGGAGTGTGTGTGTAGATGGTGATGGATGGTGATTGAACGAATGAACAAAAGGGGCGAATGGAGGTGGATGGAGGGATGAGGATGACAGAGAGAGAGAGAGAGAGAGAGAAGGGAGAAGAGGAAGGAAGGAGTGAAAGGCGTTGTTGATGTTGTTGAAAAAGGAGGATGGTGGCAACGCGGTCAAGAACCAAGGGGTACCCTGGTCGGTTGAAAAGAAGCTCCAGAAAGAAGGCCAGTATTTGCTTTGTTTGTTTGTTTTTTGATCTTTTACTCTTGATGTACCTCGCTGTTGCTGAATAGCTGAATAGCTCACTCGTGGCTCATAAACAACAGCATATGCCATGTTTGCAACGAGGGCAAAAAACAAGCTTTCATTTCCGTCGACATCTGCTGAAATGAATGCTTAGTCATGGGCTTGCTTGCTACATGTCTTCTAAGAGTCTCTTCTTTTTCTTCCATACTTCGGTGCCTCTGCTGTTGATCATCCATCAGCATCAGTCGACTGAATCAAAGGAAATCACTTGATCTTTCATGGTGCCTGGAAAAAAATCATGAATGGAGTGCAAACCAAGAACCCATTGTCTACCACTTGTCATTCAAGTCTCGATTCTTTTTTCACACTTGTTCGCACTCTACAATTAACGAATCAGTTTCTCAGAGTTCATTCATTCCCTTATCCTCTATCGTCCTTCATCCCTTGTCGTCGTCGTCGTATTCCATCGACGCTGATAAAGCTGACAACTGTCAGTGGGCGCAGGATCGGGCATGATAAAAGAGTGGGGAAAAAGAAAAGAAAAAAAAGCGTCAATGTGGAAACTCCGACGGCTTTCACACCTCCCATATCCAATGCAACCAACAACCAACAACCAACAGAGCAATCAAGCAACCAGCGCTCTCAATTAAAAAAAGAAAAAAATGTACCTTACACGTCTTCATATCTTTCGCTCTATCTTTCTCTGCTTGTCAGCGACCATGCGATGCCATGCTCCTTCTCTTCTCTGCCAGCCTCTTTGTCGCATGCCTGATAATCAAATCCACAATTTCATAAGGGCGTCTCAAAAAAACAATGGGAGGTGGAGGTCTGTTTCGGTTTCGAAGTAAAAAACACATATAGCTTGCACGCCGGTTGCTCCATTACCACTTTTTTCCAGTTGCTCACAACCATGGCTGTTGACATCCAGCATGGCTTTTTTTTACCCTCTTTAAACAAGACAAAGAACAATGACTACAACAACGCGCAAGACGAAAAAACAGGGATGCACGTTTCTGCGTGGTTCGCAAACCAATCAATCGACTGTGTTAATAAAACACTTTTTGTGTTCAACAAACCGTTGGGCGCCATATCTCTCTCCTCATCCTCACTCTCTCTCTCCGATCACTTCTTACTTTCTGAGATGGCAATCTCTTTGGGTTATTTACTTTGTTTTGCATGCTGGTCTCTTTTGTTTATTTGTTTGTTTCTCTTTCCCCCTTGCATCCAACCAGACATGTGCCTTCCTCTTTTTTTTTTCTTGCGCCGAGCCCCAAGTTCGAATTTTTCTGTAATTGACGATCAGTTCCTGTAATTGAACGTCTCACCGCCAGTGCGGATCACAAACCAATAGGCGCGTCTCATCACAAACGCGTATCTTTTTCATTGATTTTTCTGTCGCCACCATTTCACTCCTCTAAACAAAGTAACCGACTGGACCTTTTGACGCGTGTCTCCAGGATGATTAGTGATATATGAATACAGGAGCTCCTTGGAAATATTGAAGTAGTTGATACTTTTAGACTGTGCCGACGACCAAAGTTGCCCCCCACCCCCGCATTTTCTTTCCGTCGTAGTCATTTCGATCACAAATACTCTCTCCTGAAAGCAGCGTGGTTCCTGATCATGGTAACTAAACACACGCAGACACACATTCATACACACAAGCATACGTACACAAAGTGTAACCCGAGATATTTTTCCTTCTTTCCGCGATTGACTATTTAGTGTAAAGAATGTTCTTCGTGACAAGATGGCCGACACAAAAATAATCGAGAAAGCTCTTTTGATCGTCATTCCCACTCTACATTCCCTCGCACGGACTTTTGTCATCGTTTCGTTTCGTTTCGTTTCGTTTTTTTTTTAGGCGAAACGAAGGCATTCTCTCCACCTTTTTTTTCAGTGTCTGATAGAATATCGAGTCTACCGAACGAGCTAACCAGCAAACAAACGACCCTTCTTCCTTCTTCTCCTCCTCCTGCTCTCCTCCCCTCTTCTCGCAAATTTCTCTTCCCCTCCACGCCATTGTCCTATCCTCTCGTCGTGAGATATCATCGTGTGTCTCTATTGCCCTTCTCCAACATCTTGACCTTTTGCCACCAGATATTGTATCAATGGGATCTAGAGCCTCCCTTTTTCTTCCCCTGTCATGTCTTCTCTATCTCTCGAGCGCACAAACTGATTAACCCTCCTCTCGTCTCTCAGAGGAGCGCACGTCTTTCTGGTTATCAAGATCCAAGCTCTTAACGCGCCGACGTTTAGTCCTTTATCTCTCGGACTAATTTGTTAACAGGGTTACGAACATGAGCAATGAACATCATTCTCCTAGGTCTAGGTCTCCCATTGACAATTCGATCGTAATAACATGTCTCATTCCTTCTTCTTGCCAGTATTTTGCACTGTATCTTACCAAGTTCAAAGGCCATCGTGCCCTCATTATTTCCTTTTGTTACATTCCTTTGTGCCCGTATCTCTCGTATCTTTCGCGCTCAGTCCATGCCAACGCTAAAAAAAAAAAACAAAAAAAAAATATTCAAAAAGGCACAAACACAAGTATTTTCTTCCTGTCCCTCCGCTCAAATAACTATAGTCTCCTGGAAGATTGAAAAAAAAAAAAAAAAAAAAAAAGTCGGCCATCCTTTTGTTTCTTCGGGTATGGGTATGCTATTACATTGTTGATTATGTTGCTCAAAAATGATTCTCGCCTTTTTCTCATTATCGTCGCATCATACCTGTTATGGCTATCATTTTTCTCTCGTTCTCTCTCCTTTTTTTCGTGTTCTCTGCCTAGCGAACAGGCTACTATTCACTCAATGTCGAGACATATGCGTCTGATAATTGCTGTGAGCTCTTCTTACTCTCACTCTCTCTGTCTGTCTTTCTCTCTTTCTCTTGAGTTCACCAAGCACCGACAAAATAGCGAAAAGACAAAGCTGTAGAGCCCTTTTTCTCCCTTCTCCTGGGACCAAGATTACATCCCCCCCCTTCAAATCATATCCCTTCTATTCTGTTCTCTTCGTTTTATTTATCTCTTCTCTTCGGCGACGGCTATCATGCATCATCTCACTTTAAGCTAATAAGAACTCAAATATAATACATGCATCCATGATTTTGGAGTCAAGTCAAGTCCTTTAAAACATTCGCGGGGACAGAGACGGAGGAGGGGCAATAAAAAAAATGAGGAGACGCGAAGAGAGGGGACACGAAAATGAGGAGAAAAAAAGGACGATACATTCATTATATGCGTTTTCTCTCTTATTAATAGCGCCCATAAAGGTTACGAGGCTAGAGCTGGGTACATACCGTTTGGTCCCATGGGTTCGTCCTTTCTAGTCTTGTATTTTGTTATATGTTGCACCATTGAGCCATTTAGGAAGGGAAGGAAGGGGGAAAGAAGATAACGAAGGAAGGTATGAGCGAAAACAAGGTTCAACAATTGTCCAAGGAGGTGTCCCCAACCTCCTTCGCAATGTTGTTATTATTGGGTATGTGCCTGCCTGTTTTCTGTCCTACCATGGTAAATGGTCCTACAACTTCCTATGCACGCTATACTCCCTTGATACTTCAATTGATATCGTTTTTTTTTTGCCTTTAAAACCATGCCACTTCGTTCGCGTATTTCTTCTCTTTTTTTTGTTCTAGATATTTTACTTTCTCTCCTTTCTTCTCTCTTTCTCCTACCAGATCACTCAGCTTTTCTCCACTTCTCAACACACTCTCCACACTCTTTCCTCACCCCTCACCTCAGCCCTTCCCAGCCTTTCCAGCAAAACTCTGTCCTCTTACCACCACCCCCACCTCCCAACAACCCCTCTAAAAAAATGAAGTCCTTCATCGCCCTCGCCACCTTGGCCTTGACCGTCTCCGCCGCCGCCCCCGGCGTCTCAACCCTGAACCACATCTCGTTCACACAACCCGTCGGCGAAGGCATCACCTACGCCGCAGGAACAAACCAAACCTTCTCCTGGACCATGGCCTGCACCGCTCCCTCAACCCTCGTCTCGGCCACCCCCTCTGCCACCGAAGTCGACTTTATGGACTCCAACAACATCGATAACGCATTCTATGTCAAGAAGGTCGGTACCATCGATTGCACCAAGTCTGTCGGTAACTTGGTCTGGACGGTCCCCGCGGATACCAAGCCTGGTGTTTATGCGCTCCAGTTGTTGTTGACACCCAACAACGCCTACTCTGGTCGGTTTAACGTTACTGCCCCTGGTGGCGCAAGTGGAGGAAGTGGCGGTGCGACCGCTGGAGCTGGAGGAAGTGGTGGTGCGACCGCTGGAAGTGGTACGGCTGCCGGTGGTGCTACCCAGGGAGGCCAGAACTTGGGCCAGACTGGAAGTGCTGCCCAGGAGTCGTTTGCGGTCGCCAAGACCCTCACCGCCCTCCTCGGTGCCGCCGCTGCCTTTACACTTTTGTAAAAAAAAAAAAAAAGGCGGAACGCTCAGCCCCAAACCCGTCCCGAATCTTCAAAAGAAACGTAGCTTCCCACTCCCACAAAATTATGCATTCTCCCTTTTCAGCAGCCCAGTCCCCCCCATCCCAATACCCACCTCAATTCGCAAAGACTCCCTGCATTTGCACACTTTGATAGAGTTCATTTCATAGGATCATGATCCGTATGCATTTTTACTTTCTCTCCTCTCTCTCATTATCATCTTTTGTTATCTAATCGCTCATAAACGCACCCTTATTCCAAAGCCATGTCCTTCATTCATGAAAATCAAAATGTATTTCTGAACAGAAAAGCAAGGAGAAAGAATGCTATGAGCGCAAGAAATTGCAACGGCAAGAAAAAATTGCAACAGAAAAAAAAGGAAGGAGGAGGTCCTATTTTTGACACGACCAACTCCCTCTTTCCAAGAGGAACAAAGACTTACTCCTCGCGTCCCTGACGACGAGACCAGGCCTTAGGAGGCCAGCTCCTACCACCATCATTTCTCCTGCTCCCGCTGCTGCCTCTCAAACTCGGCAGCCTTCTCCGTAGAGATGGCCTCGGCAACAACCGCAGCAATCACGTCCCGCTCCCGGTCATCCTCATACTCTTCGTTCTTCCCATGGTTTCGCTGGAAGAAGCGCTGTCGTTCATCTCCACGACCATGGCGGTGGTGGTCGTGTCCGTTTCCTTGCCGAGTAACAGTCTCTTCAATAGACCCGTCAGGGTGCTCGATCTTGACCACCGTCTCTGTTTCACCATTGAGAGTGTTCACGGTCCGGTGCTCGACTGTCCCATCTGGACGAGTTACAGTTGTCTGACTGAAGGACTAATATATAGGAAGAAAGAAAAAGGCTTTGTAGTTAGCATCTATGTTCTGCCTACATGTCTGACATTCCTTTCATTGATCTTTTATTTTCATCGCGTGAAGCGAAAAGTCTGAGAGACAAAGGTAATCAGATAAACCTTGTTTTCCATACGCATACACACGCATATTCATCCAAGCAAACAATAAAACAAACCAAACAAAAAAAAAAAAAAAAAAAAAAAAAGACAATTACCTCGCTACGTTCCCAGCTGCGACCGCGAGGCCAGCGGTGAGAAAGTCGTTCTTCATCCTGATCCTGATCATTCTGACTCGTTCCCGACAACAAATGATGCTGCTGATCCGTAGCTATATTAGCAGCAGAAGTCGACTCTGGCTGACCACCATTTCCGTTGGAACGCTTACGCTGCCACCAGTGTCGAGCATCCTTCTCCCAACTAGTCCCGACCTGCTTCACTTTCTCCACCAACGCCGGCACCCTGCCACTTGCGTTGGTAACATCAGTAGTAGCAGCAGCAGCAGCAGCAGCAGCAGAGTCATCCTTCAATTCCTGAATGCTAGCTCCTCCTTGACTCTCCCCAACACCAGATCCAAGTCGTCGAAAGAACGAATCCTCGTGCGTCGTAAACAACAACCAATCCAACAACCCGGGCGCAACAGCAGCAGTGATCACTGTCTTGCCCTCATCCACCGTCCCAGCCTTCCCCTGCGCAATCGTAAAATCCTCCCCATCCCTTCCTTCCACTCGTCCCTTCCCACCCGTCGTCGTCAAAACCTTCTGTGCCGCCACCTTCTGCTCCCGGATCTCCTCCTCCGTCAACGGTGGCAACTCTTCAATCGTAATCCGATAACGCTTCTTGGGCCCATCCGTCCTCAAACTCCAAGGAAACGCATGGTGTCCTACATGTTTCTCCATCATTTTCTCAAACGGATGTTCTTCGAGATATGTCTTTGAGGATTTCTCGAGGGCAGACATTTCTCGGGAGAGGGTTTCGAGTCCGCCAAAGACAGAGGATTGCATGGTGTTGAGGAGGGTGTTGACGGTCGAGTGGAGGGCTTGGGTTGCTTGGTCGATCTCGCGCTCGAGGGCGTTTGGGTCCATCGTTAGAGTGAAAATGGGACGACTGTTAGTTGAGGCTCCATTGGTGGTGGGAATAGTTGGGTCCTGTTCGTTGCTGTTGTTATTGTTGGTATTACTCATGTTGAAATTGTGTGTGTGTGTGTGTGTGTGTGTGTGTGTGTGTGTTGAATGTGCGTGCTTGTGGTGGGAATGAAATAAAGATGTGTGTTGAATGTGTTTGTGGGTGTGAATGAATGAGTGAGAAGAGAAAGACGAATGCACCAACCTCTTGGATAAAATAGAAGCGCCGAGAAAAAAAAAATGTCGTCGTGATGTTCGACACAGTGTGTCCAAAAAGGAAATTTCACTCTCTTCTTTGCCTTGGCAGCCAGAGCGGCAACCACTTAATCTTTATTTGGTGAAAACATCCTAATTGAACAAGTTTCATACTTCACAAGGGATGGCTAGGAAGTGGAGCAGAGGGTGCCGGCGACGATTGCTGTTGCTGCTGCTGTTCCCGCATGGGTAGCTCAGGAATGTATGCCGGAACATGTGCGGGGTTATACGCCGGTGTCGGTGGGTCATTAAACGGATTCGTGCTCGCCGCCGCTGGTATCGTCGAATTCGTGACAGGTGTTGTCGAGGGACCTAGAACAGGGTACCCTACATGTCCATGATACTGCTGTTGTGGTACAGCTCCCGCATGGTGATCATGGTACATTGGCGACGGTCGATACTGCTCAGGAGGCTGCGGATAAGGCTGCTGCTGCATCATCATGGGCGGAGGCAAAGGAGGAGGTGCAACAATTTCATGATTCCTAGAACTGTACGGCGGTTGCTGAATAGACAACAGCTCCTTCTTGGTATCCCTCCACAGCTTCTTCAACGACGTCACCGGGCCCTGAGTACTGAACGATCGGCGGATATACACATCGTTGGTCCCGTGGTTGTCGTTTGTCGATGGCTTCGAAAGGTACTGATGTGTCGACGGAGGGTTCACCATTGACGTCGCTCGACCCAGTGCTCCTCTCGAGGAGGAAGATTCGACCAAAGCTGGTGGACTCACAGTATGTGCTGGCAGCGCCAACTCTTCGCTTCTGCGGGATCGGTTGTACTGTCGATGATTGAGATACACATCGCTGGTTCCATGGTTCGAGTCGTGCACCACCAACTCTGCCGATCCCTGACTCCCTACAGTCGATGACGATCCATTGTTGGGAGCATTGCCAGCGCCACTGCCATTAGCATGAGGGATCAATTTCCTGCGTTCGTTCAGATCAGCCTCTGTCGCCTGGTTGGCATGTTTGTCGCCACTGAATCCACCGACATGTATCCGTTTACAGACCGCAGTATCTGAATCGAGTGTCGCACCACACTTTCGGCACTTGTACAACGTGATTAGATCCGGTAACGCAGTCGGCGGTAGTACTTGCTGTGAAACTGGCGGTGGCACGTAAGGTAGTGGTACTGCCGGAGATGTTGCTACTCCTGTCTGGGGTGCTTGTGCTGGTATTGGTGCTGGTGTAGGCGACAAGACTGCAATGGCCGACATAGGCGGCAAGACGGGCGAGGTGTAAGCATGCGGTGCTCTTGGTGGCTCAGGCTGCTCCCACCGACCATTGATATCGTCCAGGTCGATCAGATTTTCCTCTGGCGCTGTTGGTTGTACAGCGGGCGTCGTGACTGCGACAATGGGCGTGCTGGAGACAAGAACGGGCTGCTGTTGCAGCGGATGCGGAGCTGAGGGCGGAAAGTGTGGCGATGCTGTTGTCGATGTCGAAGCTGTCGCCGTGGATGCTGCAGGTGATCCTGTTGTTGCTGTTTGGGGAGGTGGTGGTCCTGGAGGAGGTGAAAAGTGTAACGGTGGTGCAGAATAATACTGATTCTGTGGGAAATGCGATCCGCCATGATGAGACGACGGTGGCATCCCTGTCACTGACGGATATGGCACCGGGTAAGCTGATACACTCCCTTCATGTGCATGTGAATGTGCTGGTGGTACTCCTGGTCCTGTAGAAGTCGTAGCTGGTCCATAGGGCGAGGGATGACCACCACCACCCATCACAGGATATGCCTGTGGTGCAGGATAGACTGTTGATTGAGAAGCGCCAGGGTACATCAGATACGGGCTCACGCCTACCGCCGTAGAAACCACAGGATAATGCGGATACTGCAGTGGAGGAGGTGCCATAGTCGTTGTCGTCGATCCAGGCGTATGTCCAGTAGCGGGCGCGGAGGACGACATGACGGGGTAATAATGAATCGGCGGTGGCGGTGTACTCGGTAAACCCATAGACAACTGCTGCTGCAATTGCTGTTGCTGTTGCTGTTGTTGCTGTTGGACATTGTAGGAAGTGTTGAGGGATGGGTAGGAATGTTGGTACTGCTCTGGGTCGGGCACCGTCGAGTCTGACGCGGGCGCGGTGGCTGCATAGGGCGGTGGGGCGTCTTCTTCTAGGTCTGCCGGTCTGAATGTCCTTTCTGGTCGTGCCATTGCTGTAACGTTTGTTGACTTTGGGAGAGTTGCCGAGGAGGAAAGTCTTGAATGGAGATGAGGAATGGAGAGCGAATGCGGAACGGTTGAGTGGAAACAGGAATGGAATGAAATGTGTGAAAGTAAAGTCTATATATCTGCGCTGAACCCTTCCTGGACTTCTTTTTTTTTTTTCGGAAAACGGTCGACTTTTAAAAAAGGAAGACCTTTGCTCCTCTGAGGAAGCGATGGCCTACCAAAAAAAAAAAAAAAAAAAAAAAAAAAAAAATCAAGGTTAAACAAAGAATGGTAGAGGCGGCAACAGCCTTCAATTCCCCTGCCAATTGGGCTTTTGGGTCAAGTATAAAGCCTCACGCAAGTCAACATGTGGAGGTGCATCGTTCATATTCATATCTTTATCCAGAACGGCCATACATGGGGTGTCATATTATTTTATATTTTTTTATTTTTTGGACGTTTGAGAGTTTCTGCAAAGGAACGATGAAAGGAAAATGAAAAGACAAGGAAGGAAACATGTCGGTGCAAGAAAGAAAAAGGAAGAAGTCAGAATAAAAGGCTAAAAACTGTACGCATGGTATTTGGAAGAGGAATATGATGATAATAGGCAATAAGATTGCAAGGAGGTTTCAAGGACAGTGTGAGGTAAAAGAACTGGTCCTTTTGAAGGAGAAGGAAGAAGACGGAGTTATTAATGAAAAAAGTGCTGAGGAATCATTGATTTGATTTCAAAGGGAAGAGCGAAGGGTAAAAGGTGAAGGTGACGAGAGGAGAGAAAAGGGGAGAAAAAAAATACAAGGAATAATAAAATGAAGGATTTTGTTTCTTTCTATGCACAGGAGGCCATAAGAGTCTTGATGGCCTTGGGTGTGCTAGAGTCGTTCAGGTGCTTGGTGTTGAACCGAAGAGCAGAGATCAGGTTGGGAGTATCGCTCGAGTTGCCGTGAGAGTGAATCGCCTTGACGGACGACTTGATGTTGATGGGGGACGACTTATTGAATGCCCCCTGGGGGTCAATGTGGTCGTAGATAATGATGGCAATCACCATGACGCGCAAACAAAACGCCGTCGTCTCTGGTCGCTGAGGCTTCTTCTTCAAGTTGCTGACAGTGTTGTAACAGACACCAGCCAAGGTCGCCAAGCACTCCGAGACACTCCTGACCACACGATGCCGGTCCACAAACGCGGTCGTCACCTCTGTCACCGTCTTGAGCATGGGTGTTGGATATGCGTAAAAGAACGAGACCTTGTTGGCGAGCTCATCCTCGTTCATGGCTGATTTGAGATCGCCGTCGTTCGACAGCTTTCCGCGTGAAAGGCACCTCCTGTAGTATGAAAAGTCGTTCTGGATCTGGGGCGTCTTCATCTTGAGCGAGTCAAACTCAAACACAAAGTCCAAGAGCTGGCAGAGGATCTTGGCAAGCGTTTGATGTTTCTCCAAGTTCTTGTTGACGTCTCCAATGCAAAGGGTCTGAAGGATCTGAGGCAAGCAGTTTTCTATTCCCATCAAAATGTTAACGAACATAATGTTAGTGGCTACTCGTGCTTTTTAGTGGCGAAACATTTCAGGTTGGTGGCGAAACAAATAAGCGTTGGCCTTTGATTAGTGTATACATGTATCTAGCTAGTCCTTACCAATAGAGGTCGAGTACTTGTAGAACATCTTGAGCTTGGCAACCGCAGCACTGACGTGCTTCCAGGCTTCTGCCTCCGTCTCAGGCGAGGGTGATCCAATGGCCTATCAGGTAAGGGCAAAAAGCAAAGAGCAGGTTAGAATGGAAGGTGGGAATGGATGGTATATAGTATAAGGGATGGATATGCCTGATCAAAGCACGTGTGTGAATGCATGCAGTGTGGGTGCAAAAGTGTGGAGAATGTGCTCTAGGCGTAACCTCCTCTTGCTGTTTCTAAATGCTGTTTGTTTACTCTTCATCCTCCTCCTCCTCCTTCTTCTGTTGCCAGTTGCTCCTGTTTCTGCTCGTTGACGTTGTTTTGCAGGCTCAATGGTCCAGGAAGCAGGCGCAGTATGAGCTCTCCGCCCTCTTGCATGGTATGATGTCTCGCAACGGACAATATTGCACAACCAATTCGTCATAGGCATTCAACCCAACAGCAGCATAGTGGAAAAGATGCATGAAATAAATGCAAGCACACACGCGCGTTAAGACCTCCCTTTCTTTCTCTTCTTTAACCCCCTTCTCCTTCCCAAGTAATAGGTTGCTGCTACTGTTGTAGTTGATGTTGTCGTTGTGATGTTGTTGGCGATATGATATTGATGTTGATATTGGTAGACCATGGCACAATTCCACCCAGGACCTTCCATTGAGAGCCGTAATTATGAATGCAGTCGAAGGAGAATAGCGTGACCATGGGTTGGTGTATCCAGTGCAAAGCAATGCAGAAGGGTTCTCATCAGGTCCATTCCAAACGTACTAGCCACTTCTTAGTATTCCTGATGACTGTAATTATGCCGCCTTTAGACGAGCTGTCAGTCCGTCTGTCTGTTGGCGATATGCATGAAATTTGTCTTGGTTGCTGCTCGGCCATCCCCTGAAGGACGCCAAATTCATCACAAAAAAAAAGTCGTTGTGGTCCTGCTTTCCCGTTCCAGCCGTCTGAACCACTCATGGCCTTTCCTTTCTTTGTTCCCCTCCCTCCTCCCTGTCGTGACCCTTTTTTTTTCTTGTTTTTGCACACTGCACACTGGACACAGCCCTCAGTCCTTTTCGCACCAAATCGAATTATCCTGCAAATGTCTCGCCATCAAATCGTTGTCTTTCCTCCTATGCCTTCACAACAGCCTTGATGGACGAGTAATGCAAGTAATAACGACAAAACAATGGAGTGAATAGCGAAGAAGGGCGAATGGGGATAGATTTCACCTACCCATTCTCTCTTGTATCCCTCATCCATTTCGACTACCCCCCTTTTTTCGAACCAATCTGATTCTTGTAGAGTTCAGTTGTTCCTCTGCCCTTGCCGACCGTTGTTCACCTCTACTGCCATCCTTTGGTTCGCTGGCCAATTTTTTTTTGACGTCTCTCCCTGTCATTCCCTCTGTGAGCCCTCCCAGCAACAACTTGTAGGAGGAGAAGAGAATTCCGTTCAATGTCGACCAGCCAGATATTTACCTGACGAATTTGATCTCCACAACCCTGATAAGTCCGGAGGAGTTCCAACAGATCTGCAGTTGGTTCGAGCATATGCAGCACGTTGGAGTAGGATGCAGCATCTTCATCTGACATTGAGGAGCCTAGGGCTATAAAAAAACCATTGGAGATGATTGTGTGAGTTTCTCTAGGTTGTGTGTTGATTTTGACGAAGCCGAGCAGAAGACAATACCTCGGATGAAAGATAGTGGTAATTACCCTCAAAGTCGAGTTGGACATCGGGCAAGTTGACGTCGTTATCCTTGCTGACGAGGACGCTGAATTGTGAGAGAAAGTTGCCCATCCTGTGTTGATTCTGTAAGTCTGGTTTATGCGTGTGTTGATCGAGCGGTAAAAGGCGTGATGTTCCTGAAGAAATAAGGAGTTGCAAGTCGGGATAGTGATGGCGAGGCGTTGAATTAATGATTAAAAAAAAGAAGGAGTGATGAAGGAGCAGGAGAGCAGGTCGAGAAGAGGAAAGTAAAGGGTAATAAAGGGTATAGAGCTGAAAGGAAAGTAGAAGTTGCAAGAAGAGGAAGAAGCTGTGTTAGATCACTGGAAAATTGGTTTCTCATAGATGGAAGAAGGTAGCGGTTGCGGCCAGGGGTGTCGATATATGATGAAAAGGGAAGACAAGAGAATGAATAAGAAAATGGAGGACCCACAAGCCAAGAAAGAAAAGGTGCAACGGTAAAGAAGAGGTAAGAAAGTGAATGATTGTACAGGGTAGAGAATGTAGGGGGGTTTCTTTATTTCCACAGGGGAATATCTCGGCCACCGGGAAAGGGAAAGAAACAAGGAGGATAGTCGCCAGAATGAGAGAGAAAGAGAAAAGAGTGGTGTTGGTATGGATAATGGACATCAAGCCATGTCGAATATTAGTGAAAGGAGAGAGAAATAAGATCGTTGCAAGGAAAGGGTAATATACAGCCAGCCGAGAGGTTGGAGAATGATCGAGAAAGGGCAAGAGGAGGTCCGGGGGTGAAGGGCTGTGTTGAAAGAAAAAAAGTATCCGCAGGGAGAGGAGGGGAAGGAAGGAAAGAAGAGAAAGGAATAGAAGGGCGAGGGCGAAGGGGGGCGGGTATGAGAGAGAGTGGAGAGAAAAAATAAAAGAAAAGGACAGGAAGGGACAGGTAAAGAGAAAGCAGACAGAAAGAAAAGGCACCCCGGATATCCATCAATCGATCAATGCAAGTGCAATTGAAGGAAGGAAAAGGCACAGTTTGAAAGAACAAAAAAAAGGGACAGGTCGACAAAGGTGGATAAGGAAAAAAAGGAAGATGTCCGACTGGTTTGATGGCAGCTTGACGCCGTTGTTGATGCTAATGCTGTTCCTAGTTTGGGGATTCACATTGCATTATGTTTTTTTGTTTTTGCTCACTCGTTTTCTTTGGTGAATGTTGTTTGCTTCACAAGGTCATTCAATCTCCTTGTTTGCTCCAAACTAAGACCTGACCGCCGAGTGCGTTGTTTTGTAGTAGTCCGTAGTTGGGTCGTTCAGAGTTGAGGTGTAAAGGTTTATGGGACACTTCAGGAACAAACTCTCCCTCACACAAAAAAAGAATTTGACGGTCAAAGAAAAAGAAAAAAAACGAACCAGCTCGGACTGAACAAAAGTAGTTATTAAAAACTGCTTCAAGGGAAACCATAACAAAATAGAGAGCGTATTGTGAGGTAGGAATGAATGGTATGATATGATGGAGTAGCAGAGAGAGAGAGGATGTCTGTGTGTGAAAGACGGTGAGCCAAGGACAGGAGTTGACGCAGGAGCACACACACACAGGCAAACAGATTGACAGGAGGTGCAAGGGAAATAAAAAGGGAAAAGGGAAAAAGGGACAATAAAGGGACACGGGTTTAAAGGTGTGTCTTTTGCTTACACAAACAAAATAAGAACACTCACATGAAGGAAAGGGCAAAGATGGATCCGAAGAAGGGCATGCAAATAAGATGCAAGGAAGGTCGGGATGAGAAGGAAGGATGATGGATTAGAGAGGATGGAAGAAAGGATGATAAAGATTGATGAAGGAAAGAGGTAAATATGAGAGATGAGGAGATGAAGAGTAAGAGGAGAGATGATGATGATGAAAAGGGAGAGAGAGAAGGAAGAGAGGATGAGAAGAAGAGAGAAGAGAGAAGAGAGAAGAGGGAGAAAGTAAAATACGAGAGCACTGAAAAAAAAACACTCAATCGACAATTGAATGGATGTTTTGATTGTTAGTCCAATTGAATAGGAACGACATGGTCAATGGTCGTTCATACCCGCCGCACCCATAGCCCAGTTCATGTCGTCCACACCCACCAAACCCATGGCCATGGCCCAGTTCATTTCGTCCATGCTCGCATTAATGCACTCAAGAACGGACATGCCTCTGTTCAAAAAGGAGAATATATTTTTCATTGTCCCATGGAATGTACAATGGGCAAACAAATCCAAGTTCCTGACAGCAACTACTTCGGACCTTTTACAACAGCATTCATCCTCCCCCTGTCCGCCTCGTTTACACCTTCTCCTTTTCCTCCTTTGCCTTTAGTACCTAGCTTGCAATTTGTATTCTCCTTTCGGCCTGTGCAACCTACATTTAACGAAACAAAAACTTTCATCGACTTACGAACAACAACAGAAGTAAACAAGAGAGCTCGCTCAAAATATTCAGAGTTCATGGGCTTGGAAACGGTGAAAAGGAAAACACGGCGGAGACTTTTTTCTTGGTGCTGGACGAGGAACACCATCCAGACCTCATTTGCTTGACACGTTCATCAAGCCTTCACTCACCACTCCATTTGTTTTCAGCTCCTTCATCATCTCTCTAAATGGAGACAAGAAGCAGCAGCGGCGGAAGCAGTGGCCAACGGCAGGAGGAATGGTGGATGAAAGAAAGGGCGAACAGAGCCATCACAAACGTTTGTAAGAAGTGAACAAAGAAGCAAAGAAACTGACACAGGGATGTCTCGCACTCATCAGTCATGTATCATCAGACAGGGGCAACCTCAGGTGCGAAAAAGATGGTCTGAGCGCCCCCCACCTGACACATCCCTGTCCCATCCCCACACCTCCAAGCCAATTTCCCGTTTCCCATTATTACTTCTTTTTTTACCTTCACCCGCAGAGGGATCCATGAAAATAATAAAAAAAAAGAGAAAGAAACAAGCATGCGAGCAAAACAAACCATACAAAAGCTCTTTGTGCTACCATCGATCGATATGATATTTAACATGGGTAATCATGGAAAAAAGCGCGCTGTTTGCAAAATCCACAACAATAACATGGTGTTGGCCTGGGTAACCGTCCCTCTCACCCCTTTCTCCTCGGACGTACTGGCCATCCCCTTCTTCTCTCTCTCATCAATGCGACATTGGAATCCAGCAACTAAAAATTGAGCCATGGCGCAACCATGCGTCTTTTTCTTTTCTTGGATAGATCCACCATCCTCTCTCCTCCTCTCCTTTCGTCTCTCTCTCCTTCTCTCATTAATGCAATCTCTACTTAGCCGTGCATTATAAGAAGACTGTTCTTTTTTCACATACACACATACATACAAGAGTAACACATTCCAGATTCGCACAGGTACCATGGACGACCAGCAAAAAATAATATGTTGCGAAACAATGTCAGCGGTTTTGACCAAAGGATGAGAATGAGATAATTCCTCAAAGGACAATCGGAGTAATTGAGGTATATGTTTAGAGCAGCAACAGTAGCAGCAAAAAAAAAAAACTAAACAAAACGGTAGGATGCATGCAGCAAAGGAAGATTTGCATGATGGGCGGATAAGAACAGCCAACGTTCGGAAAACAAAGACGAAAGGGCCGTGAGGCAAGTGGTGGGGATGGGGGCTGGGTGGGCGAGGGGTGAGAGAGAGTTGGGAGAAGGAAGAAGCGTGACCTAACTGAGCGTTTGTTTTTGTTTGATCAGTGACCCTTCGACCATGGACCATGCCTGGCATTTGTTCGGGAGACCACCAATGGCCGTCTCTTCGCATTCGTCCTTTTCTCTGTTGAGTTTGTGTGCATCTTTCCATGTCGAGCAAAATGACTACCAGATTAAGGTTAATTATGCAAAACAAGGAAAAAAAATCGATACCCACAAACAGACAGACGGTCAGACGTACCAACGTACCAACCACACTCGCCCATTGGACCGCCCTCTCCCGTCCACCGTCTCCCTTTCCTCCTACTCCAGTGCCCATGGTTCCATTGGCCATTTTGTTATTGTTATTTTGGTATCTTATCCATGCGAGGCAAGACTTTGACTCCGCCCCACTGGGTCCCCTCGTTCTGACCGATAGAGCTAAAAATTGACTAGACGAAGAGAGCACCAAGTGTCGATTCACGGAGGATCGGGGACACTGAAAAAACGGGCCCTCGACCTTTCTTTTTTCTTCGTTCTTGCTCGTCCCTTTTCGTTCGTCCCGTCCAACACTTACTTCTCTTTCCTCCTCCTTCTCACAACGAACGGGCCATAGAGCGATGCGTCCTGAAATAGCGTCGAGGGCTGGGGGTAGACACCTTTATTGCTATTTTTCAAACTCCCATTATCTACTACTGCCATCGATTGAGTCGTGCATCCCGGGAAGAAGATGACTTTTCAATCGCTTCATCCTGGGTCACCGAATTCTTCGAGGCCTTGGTCGCTACCCGTCTCAGGAGCCGTGCCCGCGAAGAGTCGACTGGTTTGGAAAGGTTGACCAGAGCTGATGGAGGCTTAACGGGCTTCTTCTTCTTGACACCCTGACCTCGTCTCCGAGGTACTTCAATCTTTTCAAGTCCGAGGGCCAAATGGACATCGTCTTCAATATCTTCCCACGTAGAGGTATCCTTGGATTTTGACTTGCCAGAGTCAGGTCGTCTGGACGACGCCGATGAAGATGAAGATGAAGAAGGTGCGGCAGCGGCAGCAATGGCTCTCGCGATAAGAGCTGCTTCCTGTTCGTCATCAAGCTCCTCCTCACCCGGACGAACAAATCCACCCTCCCCTGGAGGCAACTGAATCTGACCCAACTCGTCTCGTGGGACAACCGGACCATGATAAGGACATCGTACCAAGTCTCGACGCATGCAGAGACGCCCATTACTCATCGGAAACCGACATGCCTATTCGATATGTGAAGTCGTTCATGAGTCCAACGAGCCCCAGCAAAGAAACGATGATCAAAAGAAGTCCATACACAATTCATACCTTGATCTCATTGGGTAGCTCAGGGTTGTAGATCCGAGTCCGCATTTTCATCCGATCGAGAGTGTCCTGAGAGACCAAGTTGCTTCCGTCGCCAACACCAAGGAACCTGTGCGAGTATTCCAATCCAGAGGTGTTGAAAGCCATGTCCTTCTTGTCCCAAACAGCCAAGTCGTCGTCCCAAGGAACCAAAGGAGCTCTTGCCAACAGTTCTATGTACCATTAATGAACAAGTGAGTGAGTTGCCCTTGTTATCTACGCTTTCGCAAAATTGACGTTTTGAAAAAGAGAACACGCCCATACCTTCTCTCGTCTCCTCGCCCTCGGGTGCGGTGGTCGACCTCAGATCCCTTGCTTTGTTAGTGTCAGGTCGTGGAACAGCTAGAACTGGAGTCACATGAGTACCGCCAGCATAAGTAGGATCGTCTTCCAGGATATCTTGCCCATGCATCGAAAAGACAGAGTTCTTGGGGTTCTTTGCCTCTGGCCTCTGTTGATTACTGACAGGCTGCTTTCCTTTGCTCCTTGTGTTGTTCTTGATGCTACTGGTTGCCATCACTTCTACTTCCTCGAGTTCCTCATCATCCTCGTTAGAATCATGTTCATACGGACCTAATTACAAGAGAACAGTGACAAGTTAGCCATTTGTCCATTGAAGAAAATAGCAAGTACATTTTCAATTTTCACATCGGACGATACGTACCGTACATGGTCTCCATGTTGACACCAAGATCCTCGCTTTTACCCTTAGCATCGGTCACACTTTTCTTCAAGTCGATCGTTTTCTTGAGCAGCCGGTCGTATTCCGCTCGCTGCTCTCCAGGTTCGTGGTCTGCTCTCATTAGCACGTCCATCCATTCCGTGACCTTGGGCCAGTGCTTCTTCACAATAAGACGATAGCACTCCCGCAATGTCGTAAAGACCTCTGCATTGTCTTCTGATTCCTGAACGTCAACCGGGTTGTCCTTGTTGACGTTGATAGTCAGCTTGTATCGGTTTGTGCCCAGTGCATTGTCGTGCACCCCCATCGGATCGTATTGCCGCCAAGCAGCTTCTTGTTCTGCAATGTCACTGTCGTCCGGTTCCATCCTGCTATTTTCATTCTCATCATCGTCACCCTGTGCATCTTGTTCCTTGTCGATGTTGCTTCCAGTAGGTGCTCCAAATATAGCGTTCAATGCACTCTCGTCGTCCAATTTGGGAACCAAAATGTCGAAGCAGGACCCCTATCCTCAGTCAAAAAAATGCATTAATGCAGTATTTAATTAATATTCGTCGTATTCATATTCTCCGACATTGCATGAACATTGGACATACCAAAACAAAGAAGTAATATGGCATACCATCTTTCGAACATTATCCTGGATATCTTCTGACATCTCCTCGATCTCCACAGCGGCCTTCTCATACTTGCGTTGTCGGATCCTTCGACTCAATTCTTCCTGCGCCCTCTGCTCTGCGCTGCGCGCCTCATCCGTGACTGGAACCAGATTCGAGAAGTCAACCTTAAGGTGATATCTCAGAAACTCATATCCTAGGACGATCTATTTAATTCAGCGAACACGAAAGTAGAGCGTGGTCAGAGTTAACCGCTTGGAATAACATGATCGTTATAGGCAACGCCAAGACACCACCAGTGTCTGCCATTCTGCCTTACTTGCTTGTAGACGGGTCCATACTTGGCATGCCACTCATTCGTGAGCGATATAGCGAGTTTCTTGGTCTTGTCGGCAAAGACAACAGGGGGTGGCAGAGGGTGTTGATGAATCCCGACAGTCAGTTGCAAGAAGATAGGATAATCGGCCACCAAGAGTTCTCGGAACACGTGCGATCTCTGGAACAGTTCTGCGATCAACTGTGTGCTTGAATAACGAATCTTTCGAGAAAGAAGGAGGGGTGAATACACGTCAGCTCTTTTGCTTCTTCTTGCGAGAACCTTGCGCGACGTGCTCAATCTCCATATTTATACAATTGCTTCTTGGTACATGTAATCATACCTGAGCGTGCTTGCGTTTGAGTTGGATCATGAGAAGGTCGTAGGCAGTGCAGACGTTGACATCCGACTTTTTGCAAATGGATTTGACTTGCTAATAGGTAGAAAGGGAAGAGGGAAGGGGAAACAGCCAAGAATTAGACAACTGTCAATTGAAGCTGCCCCGCCCCTCCCGCATTTTCTTTTGAAGGACTAGAAGAACAACGCACTTTGACTTGGTCTGGGTCGAGGTAGAGGTCACCCGTCTTGGTGATGGCGAAGATGAGTGTCGACAGGGCCTCGCGTGCCTCGAGGTTCATTGCCATGGTCGACATGTTTGCAAAATAGAAGTGGATGGAAGGAAAGAAAGATGAGTAATCGTGTCAAGCTGGCGTATGCTTATCATTTTTAGCTTTTTTTTTTACATCGTTTTGGTGGCAAATTGCTGATGCCAGTCACTTCTCCATGGAGACCAAGGGGCGAGTCGGAGGTTCATCTCTTTCGTTTCTTCTTTCGCCCAACATCATCTCTTCATCTCCTTGTACACTCCATTTCCTACCTATAGACAACCTATAGACACTTCTCACATAGACAATTTCTCTCCCCTCTCCTAACTCTCTTTCCCCTTTCTTTACTTTTAAACGCAATCACATCAACCAATCACAAGAAGAACCGTAGCACATGGCCACAAAAAAGTCAGCCTTAGACGCATTGCGTTCTCAGGTCCTCTCACACACCGGAGCTGAGGAGCGAGTCGAAGGTACACTTGGACGTCACCTTATCGCCTCGCCACCCTTTGCTACCGTTTGAATATAAACCACATCGCTCACCAGTCTTTTAACCTTCTCACTGTATCCATGTAGTTAACCAGCGCCATCTTATCGACAAGATTCTCGCCAGGTAAAGAAAACAATAGATACATACCCCCTTGGCACAGCATCGACCATTCGAATTTTTCATAAACTCGTGATCAAATGCCACAAGGAGATCGCGTTCTAGCGGAAACAAACGAGACAATTACGTGGCCCCCCTCCTTGCATTGCAGTGGTTTCCCTCTTTACTGCGCCTAAAATTCGAACCTACAACGTTCGTCAAGCAAAACAACAAGGTCATGCCAAGAGTTTCTCACATGATCTTCTTGTTTGTGCCATTGAGAAATAGATACTCTGCTGAATATGTCGTCTACCGCGAGCTGATGCAGAACTCAGGTATGTCCGTGGTCCTTAGGTTGAAGGTGGCAGTGAAAAGTTTATGGTCTACCATCTATTCATACTGATTATCGTTCAACTTGGTCCAATGTAGATGATGCGGGCGCAAAGGGGATCGAGGTAGTCTTTGAGAGTGCATCACCCAACAGCCAAGAGACGACCCCCAATCTGAGCGCCAAGATCACTAGAGTCCTGTTTAAGAACAATGGAATGGACTTTCGGCCAGAGGACTGGAACCGACTCAAGAAGATCGCAGAAGGAAACCCAGACGAGTCCAAGGTAACACACAACACCTGCCTTCTTGCCTGAACTAGATATATCTGCAAAGGGTGGAATTTATTTGAAATTTGTACGTTACTGACCACCCTTCTTTTTGACTCCATTTGCTTATAGATCGGTGCCTTCGGAGTGGGATTTGTAAGTTTGGTCGATGCCAAGTTACTGCTACAACTGATAGAGATAATTGCGTGCTAACCTCACCTTGTTCTGTGCCTTATCCTTGCCATCTAGTACTCTCTCTTTTCCATCTGTGAGGAGCCATTGTAAGTGTCAAGCGGATCGCGCACTATGAGCAGGACGCATGCATTTTTGTCCGCACTTCTATCAATGGAGAGTATACTCACACTCTCCTCCATTGCTTTCGAACTGTAGCGTATCGTCGGGAAAGGAGTGCATGGCGTTTTACTGGAGGAACGACCAACTTTACGCTAAGCGCGCAGTAATTCCAGACGATGAGAACCAACAGGACGGCTGGACGACATTCCTTCTTGACCTGCGTGAGCCCATGGATATGTTGAGTATGGATGAGTTTGGTCCCTTCTTGGCTCGCTCACTTGGGTTCACCGCCAACCTCCGCGACATCTCCGTCTATTTGGATCATCACTGCATCTTGAAGATCGCAAAGAAGATGCGAGAACCCCGACCTATGACCCTCCCCAAGACCATGTACATGACGTCGCCTCAAAAGATTTTTACGCTCAAGTCGGTCGATCTTCAGAGCGTGCAACTGGACGCCACCAAAATGGAAGTATCACGATGGACGCGGGAGGTCACACACACCTCGACCACCATCTTCTTACGTACCGCCTCAGGAAATCTCGATGTCAAAGTGTCAAAGCAATTCTCAAACGAAATGGAACGCACGACCAAAAAGTATCCTCCTAGTCAAACCGCGATTCAGATCCTCTATGTGGGACATGACGAGAAACAGGCTTCAGCAGACAACAAGTCGATCTTCAAGGACCTGGTCCCCTTCCCAGAACAAGGACGGATATTCATCGGGTTCCCAACCCACCAGACGACAGGATTCAGCAGTCATGTCGCTGGTCGCTTCATCCCTACCGTCGAGCGTGAGAGTCTGGACTTTGTCGATAAGACTCTCCAAATCTGGAACCACGAACTCCTCTCCATGGCTGGATTGCTTTCCAGAGCTCTTTATGAAGGTAAGAGTTAGTATTGCTGGAAGAATGTCATTTCTGTCATATTACCTGAGCAGTTACCTAATGGCGATAATGCTTTATTGGTCATTAGACGAGCTGCTCCAGATTGGAAACCTCTACAGCGAGATGATTACCGCCCACCAAAAACCAGACCAGCCTGACGATGAGGCGACGGCAACGGCGAGAGACTGGCTGGAGAAGCGTGCTCTTCACGCGTTGCAGGCGTTTCAATTTCACCCAAGTACCCCAAGCCCTCAAGTCGGACACTACATCGACGCGTACTTTTTCAGGATGTCGACATTAGCGCTTTCTATCCTGTCGTCGAACGGCGTCAAAACATTGGATAAGGTCCGCATCCCTGAGCCCACAATGGCTTCCTTCTTGACACAACTACCTACCATCCCGAGCAATGTCTACACTGGCAGCCAAAAGTTTATCGACAAACTGGAGAAAGCCGGAAAGATTCAGAGGATAGCGTTCAAGGATGTGCTCCTGGAACTGGAGAGCAGGACGCTGACAGAGATGCAGATGGTAGCGATGCTGAAGTGGTGGATCGATTTCAGTTCCAAGTACGTCATCCCTAACCCCGAGGTCGACGCCTTCTTCCAATTGGCTTTGGTCTGCTCGGGTGATACAGTCAAGCCTCTTGCCAGTCTCAAGTGGTTCGTCAACCCCAAAGTCACACCGACTGACATGCCTCTGCCACCCAACACACTGCCCTATGACATTACCAAGACCTTCACGCAACCTGAACTCTCTCGGATATCGGACTCTTGGCAGGAACTCAACCTGTTGGAGTGGACGAAGTTTATTATCAACGATGCTGACTTTGAAGTGTCGCCCGTGTTTGCAGAGAAGGTCCTGCTCGTGTTGTCTCGCGGATGGGGTCAGCTTAATGAGAACTCTCAGCGGGCGATTGTTGCATTGTTGTCGCAGAAGAAGTGTATTCCTACGAAGTACGGAATGAAGGTGGCCAACGAGTCGTATTTCCGCACTGTGACGCTGTTCCCCGATCTTCCGGTCATGGTCTTCACCAAGCAGCCTTTGGAGAAACTCTTGCTCTCCATGGGCGCTCGTAAGGTAAGAAAGAATGCTCTAGCAGAAGATGATGTTGTCAGTAAGTATTCAATGCATGCTAACATTTTACTTTAATTGTGATAGAGTGTGGAACTGCAATTGGTGTTTGATCGACTGGTGAACGCTGGCAGCTGGGACCACATGCAGCTCGTCAAGTACCTCGCTTCTGTCAGGGAGACTCTGTCGTCAGGAGAGGTCAAGCGTCTCAAGGCCACCCCCATCTTTCCCAAGGAAGGTCCCGATGCGGTTAAACCAGTCACCCCACCACCCCAACGCGTCAAGGCAGAGGGCGATACTACAGAGTTACCACCCCCTCCTTCACCCGTTCAAGTCAAACGCTACCCCGCCAATACCCTCTACGCCCCCAATGAGGTGCTTGCGGCGCTTGGTCTCCCAATGATCGAGTGGAAGGGTCGCTGGCGGGCGACGTCCGATGAAGCTAGGCTGTTATTTGAGCTTGGTTTGCTTACGCATCCTACCTTGGATGTCCTCCTGACTTTGGTATCCACACCTACCGACAAGGATATTCAGGCAAACGCACTTGCGTACCTGTTGGAGAACTTCAAAACCCAGTACACTCTCCAATACAGCCCCAGCAAGGTCAAGTCGATGTTCCTCCCAACCACCGCCGGCACATTTGAGACGCCAGAGGTATGAACACGACTATGATACAGAAGTGCAGTTGAACAAACGTTACTCAGAAAAAAGACAATACCTAATTGAATTGTTAACTTTTTGATATAGGGATGCTTCTGGAATCCATCGTGCAGCGTGATGAACTTTCCTGTTCTGAGGGAAGATCTCCGTGTCCACGCTGTGATGCTCGGTATCAGGGAAAATCCTCTCCCCGCCAAGTTACTGGAGCGCCTTGCACAATCGCCTCCGCCTACCAAGGAGAAAGGAAAGGAGATCTTTGAGTTCCTTGGCAAGTTCCAGGGAGAGTTTGGTCACCATCATTGGTCCGCTCTGAGAACGCTCAAGTTTATTCCACTGGATGACAGTGGCAGTAACTTTGTTCAACCGCAGAGTTGCTACTTTGACAAGAAGGACTCAGCGTTCCATCCGGATCTCTTGACCACGGTTGATTTCGGTCGGGCTGCCAACTTGTTCTTGAAGTCGTGTGGTGTGAAAGAGGAACCCACCCCCGTCGAACTGACCCAGCTGGTCGTGCGTGCACCTCATGACTTCTTGAACCGGAACGGAGGTGTTGAGAACTACAAATCTGTCCTGCGACAGATCGCCTCCCACATGCATGTTATCCGGACTCAGAAGGCGCTTGTTACCGAGATGATGCGGTCACCGTTCCTCTTGGGCGAGAAGAGGATCAATCAGGACGTGGATGAGGAGACGGATACAGGATCCAAGCCCAATGCTGACGGAAAGGGTGATGATGACGATGAAGAGGGATCCTCGAGCGCCAATCAAGGACAGGTGGTCGTCCAGTATAAGTTGGCCAAGGCCAGCGACATCTATCTGATCGACGACACTGTGCTTCAGCAGATCTTCACGCCACTCAGTGCACCCATGGAAAGCCATCTCGAGACACTCTACGAGGCCCTTGGCAGTACTTGGATCTCGAGACAGGTCAAGGAGACCTGCCGTCCTCAAGGAGCTCTTGCCATGACGCGTCGTTCGGAGAACCTGCAAGAGTTGATTGTGGAGCGCGCCCCATTGCTTCTGAGCGACCACCCGCCCAGCCGCCTGAACTTCAACTTGGACTGGTTGACGACCAAGCTGAAGGTTCGACAGGTCCCTGAGATCCAGTTGCGGCGAGAATTCATCCCCACCGGCGCGATTCATAGCGAGTCGACCACGGCGTGTATTGTCCAGGATCAGGCCAAGGCTTACTACCTTCTGGTGACAGCCAAGGGCGATATGGACTACTTTGATATTGCTGACGCACTTGCCAAGTTGCTACTCAGGAAGAAGAAGCTGAACGATTCCATTTGGTGGTCCAACCTTCTCTTCACCAGCCTCGTGAACCTCAAGCGCAAGGTACGATTCTCGGTCTCATTTTTGTCGTTCCTTGTTTGACAGCCTGAATTATTAATTACCAGCCTAATTGATTTTCTTTTTCATATTACTCAATATAGGGATTCCAAGTGGACCGTATCCTGAATGCGAAGAGGGCAGAGAAGGCTCGAGTGGAGGCAGCGGCCAAGGCAGATGCAGCAGCGGCGGCACAGGCAGCGGCCAACGTGAAACTGGGACCTAAGCAGACAGCCGAGTACCTGGCGCAGCTGAAGGAGGTGTTCCCTAACTGTGACCCCGCCTTCTTGATGGACGCCATCTCCAAGGAAACCCAGGATCATGTCCAGCGCGTCACTATGAAGTTGCTGGATTCTGGATACCCAATGATTAATAATGGCCAGAGCAAGAGCAACAACAATATGGCGGTTGCTCCATCTGTCCCTGGATCGTTCCCGACTCAGGATACGAGTTCGAATGTTTCGACCATCTCGACGCTACCTCCTCTGCCACCTGTTCAGACCAACAACGCAGCAAGTTCTTCTTCGGGCGGCGGCGGATCTTTCTTCAGCCGGCTGAAAACTCTCCGTGATAGCGTAATTGGCAAGCCAGTGACCACCCCCAACCCAGACGGTGTTTCTTCTGGAATTGAAGCCTCGGGACCTGGAACTGCAGTGTCGACGATCAAGAGCGGTGCCAACACACCGCCACCACAACTACCAACCAACACGATCGTCAAGGGGTTTGCACCAGACTACCAACAGAACCTCCAGCAGTCTCTCAAATCCGCAGTCGCCAATTGCCGATCGAACGGACGGGACGATATCCGCAGCGAACCCACGGCGTCGACAGTATCAGAAGTCCTTACCAGCTCTTACTGCGATGTCAAGCCCGGTCACCAACTCAACTTTGCGGGTCATGCTGGGGAATTGGAGTTTTACCTTGATAAGGATTGTGATGCGGACGAGATCATGACCAAGGAGAATCTCAAGTCCCTTGCACGGTTCGTTAGGTTGTTGATGGTCCTTGCCCAAGATGTCTTTAACCTCGTCCCCGAGACCATGCATGTATATTATGACCCAGAGGGTCAGGCGATTGCGTTCAACCGGGGCGGGTCGTTGTTCTTTAACTGGAGGTACTATGTCGCATTGGGACATGATGATGGGGCTGGGTTGGCCAAGAAGCAGGTCCAGGGCAAGACTGTCACTGCACGCGACGAGGCATTGATCTATTGGTTCTTTACCATGGCTCACGAGTTGGCGCACAATTTTGTTGGTGACCACAACAGCAAGCACGAGGTAAGAAATCGTGGATGTAAAGATGTGAAACGAGATATGCGATGTGTTGGTTTTAAGGTGGATCAGCAAAAGTTAACGACTTTTTTTTTTCTTTCTCTTTTTCGCCATAGTTCTACTTTTCGTCGTTCTGTGAACAGTACTTGCCGGCGTTAATGGTCGCGATGGCCACCAAGGCTCCCGCCACGATCGCTGCTTTTACATCTGCAGCCGCCTCGCCTACGGTTCCCCCAGCCGAGAACATTATGGATGCACCCGTCCCTAATTAGAAGCCTCTTCCTCCCACAACCACCTTAGAAACGATGAAGAGAATAAAGACGGGTGTTTATTTTTTCCCGAGCAGAATAAGAATATTACGGTGTGAACGATAAGAGGAAAGAAAAGAGAAAGTAATAATTAAAAAATATCTAACATATGCGTTTTGCTTTGTTTGCTGCGTGTTTGGGCGGGTTGAAGGGTTTACTTGCGCTTGGAGATGGCCTTGACAAAGGAAGCCTTGATGGCCTGGGCGGCCTTCTCGACATCCTTGCGGGTATGGGTAGCGCAGATCGAGATACGGATCGAGGGGCGAGGGAGGAACATTTCCTGGTTCTCGACGTACTTCGCCCTCGTGATCAACAAGCCGTCCTTCACCGCGACCTATTGTTGTATGGGAGTGGAGAGACAGAAAAGGAGGATGTCAGTGGTCAAAGTATGATGAGACAACACCAACAAAGCCCCATTAAAAACAGTACAAAACAGAGATGGTTTTACCTCATCGACAATCTCCTGGAGGAGATACTTCTCCTCATCCCGAGTAGTGATACCAGCAGCAGAGAGAGCATTCTTAGGGAAACGGAGGTGCAAGATAGGCGATCCAACATCGGAGCTGACTTCAATCGCCTGAGGGGCCGAGACAACCACATTTCTGAAAGCAGCCGCATTATCGTTCATATCCTTCAACAGTTTGTTGCCCTTCTCGGGCGTCTCCAAGATCTTGATCGCCTCCGACGCGCAGACGGCCAACATGGCAGGCATGGCCGCCGAGAAGACGAAAGCCTGACCGGAAAGGCGCTGATGCTCCACAACCTCCTTGGATCCTGCACAGAATCCTCCGGTTCCCGAGAGGGCGGTGGCCATCGATCCAATAATCATATCAACACGCTTGGGCGAGATGTTGAACACCTCTGTCAAACCACGGCCATTCTTACCCAAGATTCCAAAGGAGTTGCTCTCGTCCAGGATCACACGGTACTTGTACTTTTCCTTCAATTCCATAATCTTGTCCAGTGGTGCGATATCTCCATAGTTCTGGAACAAACCCTCTGTCACAATGAACCGACGAGTCAATGGTCTCTTCTTGCTCTATTGCCACAAGACGAAAATAATACAGTGCGTTAATACATGTTACTGCGGTTGATTCTAAACCAAGTCCATAAAAAGGCACATAAAAACAACGAAGCGTACGGTGGCGGTCTCTTTCTTGATGGACTCGAGGACGCGTTCCAAATCGGCCATATCGTTATGCTTGAACCACTTGATGTTGGAGCGCGAAATCTGGGTACCCTTTTGAATAGCGAAGTTGCAGCCATCATCACTATCGCACATATACCAATTGGGAATAGATAAACGAGTTAGAATATGAGACAAATGGTTGTGTATATCTGCAATCGTAACAGCCCACATCATCCCGTTTGCTTGCTTGCTTGTCCCCGACGCTGCGCAAACTCCTGGTTTCGGAACAACATGCATAAGAAAACTTACGCAACAATAATATCTCCACGCTTCAAGAAGGCAGCAATGACAGAGGAGATGGTCGAGAAGTTCTGGGAGTAGATGATAGTCTTCTCGGTGCCCAAGAAGCGAGCAATATCCCTTTCCAAGTTGATGTGAACATCTATTTCAATTCAATTAGGGGCATAACAAGAATGAGTAACCACGGTGGAAAAAAAAAAAAGAGTTGTAAATCGCGATTGATTCGAAAGGGACGCGAAAGTGTTGGAAGTTTGTTAGGCCAAAGGACTTACCAAGGGTACCGTAGAAACCGGGGGGTCCGCAGGATCCGAGACCATAGTTGCGCAGAGTCTCAATGGCCTTCTCCTACAAAGTTGTAATAATAAAAAAGATCCGGGTCAGCATTCCCGACCTTGAGATGTCCAATGGGTTCAATTACCGTCACAAATGAAAATTGCGTTCCCGCTGAACGGAGGCACACGATCGACATTTTCCAGGAACCATATTCGGCCGGAACCCATCAACCACCACGCACACGAGTAAGATAAAAGATTATACATACCTTAATGTCTTCGTTGTTAATGTATCCGAGGAAGTTGGTACTGGCGAGGTTGAGAAGGTTCTTTCCTGACGAGAGCATCTTGGGCTTGGGTCCCTGATGGCTACAGGACAGAAAACCGACCAACAAAATAATAGAGAGAAAAAGGAAGGTCCAGTTCGGCATTAGTTTTCAGTGTAACAGCGACAATTGACTGATAGGGGCCTTCCTGGATGCTGACGGTGTATGTGTGTGTGTATGTGGAGCGAAGTGATGGTGGCGTGGGCCGTAGGGGACGGAGGGACCCTTTCTGTCGCCAATTGCATTATCCGGCCAGCGAGTTCAAAGTATGCATGCTGCATGGAAAGGAGAGGAAGGGGGAAAGACGTTACCCAACAATGACCTGGGTCTTCTCCAACTCCATCCGCTGAATGTCTGACAAAGGCTGGACCAATGGCTCTGGTTGCCATTCCGCGACGAGCTCATCGATTTCCTAAAGTACAAAAACAACAACAATCGCGCAAGAAAGAACACAACAAAAGATCAGTTTCCATCGTCCCTTGTTCTCTGCCCTTGAACCCCTTTTGCTCCTTACACTCGCAATCACATCTTTTTTTCCTCTCTTTCTCCAAGAAACCGGAGAAAGAATCCCTGATCACTTCTCTTTGTTCGCCCAGTGTCCTTGCCGTTGTGACATACCTTCTCGGTCAGCTTGATATGGCTGGGATCAATACGATACTTCTTCGAAAGCATATACTTGACGGCAAAGACGGCAAGACCAAGCTCGAGGACAACACGGAATGGATCGTTCTGGTACGAGTTCTTGATGTAGTTGATGACGATCTCTGAACCGGGGATGGCCTCAATCACTCGGGACGAGGCCTGGAGCGTCTGGTTCACAGCGGCCAAGATAGGGTTGTCCATTATCTGCTTCTGAGTGAAGGTGGAGAGGAGAGAAAGGAGGAAGTCTGGAAGGGTGCAGGAAGTGGGATGATGGAAAGGAGGAGTGCGGAGATGATGAGAGACAGGAAGAAAAACGGGACTTGTCTTCTTTTTGGTGTCACTCTGTGTCTGCGCTGGACTTGGGAAAGGCAGAACTTGATGCCGCGCTGTTTTTATGCGTTTGGTGATACGTGGATTGGTTGAGAACGAATAATACAAAGGCCCTTAATGTATTGTTTGGTGCCTTGGTTGTCTCATTATGCTTGTGAACGGGTGAAACTACTTGATACTTGTCAAGGCGTGTGTGCACAAAAGCAACAAGAGCTACAACGATGTGACAAAAGGTGTCACAAAGGTGGATGTTGTTGTTCTGTTCCTGATATTGTTCCAAAGGGCTCAATGCCTTTCTTATTTTGTTGTTTTTGTCAGAACGAACTACGGTTTGAAGGGTGTATCAACGTTCTCACACATACTCCGGATTGACACGCGAGAAGGCCTCACATTTCCTTCTCTCCATTTACCAGGTGTCGTGCTAAAGTCAATGCTCCTCTGACAATGTGGGGAAGAATCATACACACCTCTAGCTACGTTTCTCTCACGCGATGCGATAGTTTTTCTGAATGGTCTAGGCAGACATAGCAAAACTGTGCCTTTTATTATTATTATTTTTGGATGATTAGGATGTGTAGAAGAAAGTATTAAGAATGTTGTATTAACTAAGAATGCGAAAAAAGGGAAGGGTGTACAATAGGGCAATGGCCGAAAGAATAAAGGAAAAGGAGATTCGGCGAATTTTACTCCCACCACCAACCATCTTCCTTCTTGTGGTGGAAGGAAAGGGTCGACTCACTCCTCCGTCTCGCCGCCTGGGGAGTACTACTGTCACTACCATCATCAACAACCATCACCATACTACGACGACGACCGGGATTGGTGGTGGAAGAGGGGGAGGACAGGATGGAATCAGCCCCAATGCTCGAGTCCTCGTCGTCGACCTCCGTGATCTCGTCAATAGTCTCTTCTTGGTCTCGTTCTCGTTGGATTCCCTTCCCCTTATTGCTACTGCTACTACTGGTGCTCCCACTGCTGCTGTTGTACGGCGACGACTGGCCAGAGTTGGAAAGTGACTCAATACTGCACAGGTTCGCATAGTCTTCATCCTCCATTTGCTGTTGCTGAAGGTGGCGAGACTGGAACTGAGGCTGGGACTGGGAGTAGTAGCAGGTGGGTGCCGATCTAGACGAGGCTGAGCGCCGAATGGGTCCCTCATCATCATCATAGTAGCCATTGATATGTTGAGAGCGAGGGTTATAGCTCTGACGATAATCGTCAGAGTGCTGAGATCGCTGTTGCCGAGAGGATGTACTCCTCCTTGGTGCTGACGACGACTCGATGATCATGGCGGGCAAGGTGAAGGTACTTTGGGCTCTCTGCCTGGAATGTGTGTAGGGCAGCTGGTGTGCCTTTGGACTGTTGTAGACGTCCATGGGCGGCGTTGTTGATCCTACTGCTGTGGTCGTGGAAGAGTTGACAGAGGCAGGTCGTCGAAAGTAGGCGCTGTCGCGAGGGGAAGAGTAGGCAGTAGAGGGGGTGGTTGAAGGAGTGAAGGTAGAAGTAGGCGATCGTGGGGAGCAATAAAAGGACGCGTGGGAGGTGCTGGCTGCAGAGCTCACCGAGAGAGGGCGAGTATGTTGTGTGGACTCGGGGTGGTGGTGTTGATGGTAGTAAAGGTTGTGAGTATGGGTATGGGTATGGCCGCCTGTCGCAGAGGATGCAGATGAGAACGTGGAACTAACAGGGGGTGTTGTGGGGTGGTTGTTGTGCAGAGCAGCGGCCTGTTCGGCCTTCTTGAGTTTGCGCTTGATGCGCTGGTTCTTGACCCAGTTCCAGATCCCTTCGTCCTTGTGTTTTCGTCCGTCTGTGCCAAATATCTCATCGAGGAACGACATGTTTCTGTTTTGTGGTACGAAAAAGAGAGAGTTCGATGAAGAAAGAGAATGGATGTGAAAGAGAGGGACGAGCGAGGATGGTGAGTAATTGAAGGCTTTGTCCTTGATGTCAAGGTGTTTCTGTGTAATACGAAATGAATGCTGTTGATAAATGATATGTGATATGAAATGCAAAATGAAAAAGGATGCAGCGACAAACCTTGTGTGACAATTGCAGACCTCCATTGCTATGATGATGGGATATGTTCAGCCGGAAGAAAGAGGGGGAGAGGAATGTACGCTGCGTGGATGAAGAGATGCAAATGAACGGCGTCGATTGGGAAGGGATAGGTTGTTGTTGGTTGGAAAAGAAGAAGTGTAAAAGAGAAAAAGAAGTGGGTGGAGTGACCAACAAGAAGAAATAAACGGGCGGGATGTAATGCAAGTTGTGTTGTAGGGATTCGTTCAAATTGAGTTGGAGGGGAAGGGGATAACGATGGCTGGAGTGTGCAGGAAGGAGAGTGGGAAAGAGATAGAGAGTGCTAATAGATGGGCGCGCAAGTGAGGAGAGAGTGACGAGAAAAGGTGTATATGTAAGGAGGGAAGGGGTGGATGATGCTTTGACAACGGAGATAGTTAGCAATGGGGACAAAAGGAAAGGCGAAAGGTGTAAGGTTGCAGCGAGGGACTTTGAGAAGAGAGGAGGGTAGCGATGGTGAATTGAAGTGAGGTCGAAGGGAGAGAGGGAAGAAGAAGAGAGATAAGGTCGTAAGGTAGTTGGAGAGAAGTAAAGTGAGAGAAAGAAGGAAGGTTGAATTAGTTTGTTGGTCTTGGGGGTTCCTTCATTTTTATACAATTGTCCGCTGTCCACTTGCCCACTGCTCAGCCCATAAGAGGACTAACGTAGACAGACATAACAACAAACAATGCCAGGCAATCGGCTACCCCTACTTTTTTTTCCTTCCTGTTCTATTTTGCTCTCACACCTGGTTTAGCCATCGGTCCCTTTACGATTTTGTCTGTCGCTCCTTCTTTTTGCTCTCCTCTCTCTATCTCTCTCTCTCTTTCTTCCTCATCTCGTGTGCATGTGCATCGATAATAGTACACAAGTCTGTCTGTCATGAATAAGCCCTCTTTTCTCTTGGCCTTGCACTTGCTTCTTTCGATCAACCCTCACTGCTCACTTCTATTTTCCTCTCTGTTCATTTGCCAAGCAACCAGGCTGTGGCGGTGAGTCTTTCGATAACTTTTGAAGCCAGATGCAACAGAACGCATAAGAATTCAAAGACAAATGACAAACGTCCTCCCCCTTTTTGACCAGGATTACATCTCGCCATTGAGCCTTCCATTCCTATTGCCAAGGACAAGGACACTAAAGAAAAATATAGAAAAGAAAAAAGATGCATCAGCCCACACGCTACGCTACGCTACAGACTTTTGGCGCCATCCACAGCCAGAAGGGAAGAGGCTTATTAACGAGCTAGCCGGCTTCAATTCTGCACAACAGGTTTGTGGCAAGGACAATTACGGTTATTCTGTCCTTGTCCTTGACCAAGAAAATATGAACAAAAAAACGACGAAAGAAAAGGCATTCGCAATCAGGGGTAACCAATAACGTGCTCACTCACTCGCATCCTCGTCTTTTTTTTTTTTTTTTTACTTCAAAAACCTCGGATCCGAAAAACGTCTCGAAGAAACATGTCTCCCTTTTCGTCCGTCTGTTTGTTTGTTGAGTTTATGCTTTTTTAGTGCTCTCGTCCTTTTAGCTTTCTTTTTTCCCTCCTTTTCTCGATTCCGTCAACAAAGTGTATCATCCCTTTCTACATGTAGAACTTGTCTCTGTTCTAAGCACACGAGTTGCTTGTTTCTTTTGGTGCTATTTCGCGTGTGCCAGGCCAGACGAGCAAATGAAAAAGGAAGAAGTGTGGTTGTTTGTTTTGTCTTGTCTTGCCAGTCAAGATGTCAAGAGGGGTGAATGTTTTGAGACCCAGCTTCACTCTCACCACAACAAATAAAACACACGATATGGACCAAGAAAGAACCAATTGGAAGCAGAAAACGTATCTTTCTCTTTCTTTGATCTAGATCATATGAGGATAGGGGAGAAAGTGGAGGTTGGGCTAGTGAAGGAGGTTACACAGTTGCAGCAGGCAAGAAGAGAGAAGAGGAGAGGATCCCTCTGGCTTTGAGTTGTGCCTGTGGACAAACAGACAGGCAAAACTGCTCATCTGTTTTGTCCGTCCATTTGTCTGTCTGTCTGTCTGTCTGTCTGTCAAGACTGGAATCCCGTTTTATTTTTGGGAAAACGAGAACACAAACGACTACCTAAAACAATCAAAGAAAAAGAGGTCTAGGCACACATGTTTACTGTTGTATTTGTCAACACCCAAAAACCAACAAACATACTGTCGAAGATGGCGCATGCCCCAATTCTCTCCCGGATTGGTTAATGAGACATATCGAATGGATAGTGGTACATGTAGACCCTAAAAGGTTGAGTGAGCCCTTGTTTTTTGTACACCTTCCTGCTCTGGTCTGTTTGCCCGTCTGTCTGTCTGTCTGTCTGTCTGATTGAGTTCAGATGAGTTGTCATTCGATCCAAGTGTGTGAGAGACGGGCATTTGTACTTTTGGACTAGGAGACCGAAGGAAAGACTGAGAGAGGAGGGGGGGCAAGGGGTTGTGGGTAGAGGGCTGAGGGAGTAAGTGAAGACCGAAAGCAACACGGTCCGGAAGCCCAAGTAAAAAAATTACCTCACAGATAAAAAGTCATAAAGAAAGAGAGAAAGGAATGGTTCGTCATTGTGCACAGGGGGAGAGAGGAGGTGTAAGACAATAACGTCGTTCAAGAAGAGACATACTGCTGACAAGGGTGGCCCATGTGCCGTTCGCATATCATCCTGCTTCCCCTCTCTCCTGTTTTTCCCTCGTCCATTTTAGCATTAACCGCCCCCTTCATGGTTTACTGCCTGGAGAGGAATGCGTGTGGTTGTATATTTGTGGCAATTGCGCATGCATGGAGGTCACTCACCCACATCAACAGCATACTCTCACATACCTGAGTAAACTTTGGCTCCGACCTTTGTCTCAACTGCACCTCATTTGCAGCGTTGCTCCCTTCGTAACGGATCAGGCTGTGGCATACCGGACCCGAAATTCGAGAACAAGGTGACGAGTGGGCTTAGTTTTTTTTTCATAAGGTGGTCAGTGCTCCTACCCACTGCGTTCTTTCTACTCTCTTTCCTACGGTTTGCTCTTATTGTGGCACAGTATTCACTGTTGATCAATCATTCCAAGGCTCACATTGATCGTTCGTACTGCTCTCTCAGGTCCCATCACCAACCTTGTTGGTCTGACTGATCAAAAAAATGTTGGATGGACAGATGTAATTATGGGTTCATGACTTGTCTGCCATTATCACCAGAATGTCCACAGCATACCCTGACTGACCATCACCATCGTTAGCTATCCGGATGTTCGGGGGTTGAAAATGAGCGTGCCTGATTATCCATGTTGGGATTTAGACACGGGTAGATGACGGAGGGAAAGTGACACAGGCTGTTCAAATATTTCGGATACAACATTTTGAGCAGGGAGGTCATGACATAGCTCTGGTATGTCGTCCGTTCGATCTAGGCAACAAACGCGTCTGCTCTGCTTTTTTGTGCTTGCAATGGTTCCGTTTTCGACCTGCCCCGCCCTCCTTCACGACCATTCGACTGGCATACATACACGTACGCTTATGCTTTTCTAGTTGTTTTCAGAAAGAAGGTACTCTATTTGATTCTCTCCACGTATGGCATTTACCATTTTTTCCCTCTCTTTTTTCATTCACCTTCTCTCCTCCCACACCTTCTCTCAAATTTTGATTTCTTGGTTCAAGAAACAATGCTCAAGGCTCCTTCTGACAGTGGTGCTCTCTATTCTTCTTCGTCTTCTTCCTCCACCGTACCGTCGCCCACCCACTTATTCCACCCCATCTCTCCAAGCAGTGTCAACAGACCTACCACACCTTCAACAGACATGACCCCTGTCCCCACTATCCCCCTTGGAAATCAACATCACCATCAACAAAACAAAATAGCCAGCAACACACAAAATACAAAAGAGATAGCAAACCCCTTATACGCATTTCAACGCCCCTTCATCAACGAACCATCCACCGTCCACTCCTTCGTCCCTCCTTATTCCCTATCTCGCAACCCCCTCTTCACCATCCCTCACACTCAGCATCAGCAACAGCACCACCAAAAGTTGTTCACCACCGCCACATCAAAGTCGTGTTTTTCTTCCCCACCGTGCAGCAGTCGTGTCGGAGTTGGTCTGCAAGCTGGTGCAGAATCGAATATCCCTCACCCTACTCCTCATTCTCAACTGTCGCCTCAACCTTGTGTCTCTGACATTCGGCTACAGAATCAACAACAGCAGCAGGGGGGAGATGGTGTGAGGACGTTCTCGGGGTCGAGTTCTGTGTTCCTGCCAATCTTGAGTATGATTGCCACCTCTGCTTCACAACAGCAGCGGCAAGAAGAGTCCTTGCGTAAGGAGGATAGGAGCACTAGTAGTGATAGTGGTGCGGATAGGAATATATTACAGTGCGATGATCTACCCTCACCGGTCTATCTCAATCTCAGTAACAGTCATACCGACGCTCATTCTACGGCGTCCATCAACAAAACAGATAAGGCGTCTCCACACGCTCCGCACACGATCCTCCTCTCCTCATCTTCCTCCTTAACTCCCCACGACCTCCTTACATCTCCGTCAGACACGCCTATACCCAAGATCGCCATCATGCCCACAACCGATACTCTCCAACAGCATCACTACCTGACTCCAGAACTGGTCGCCATGGAGAACGGGGTGGACCCAACACGACTCTCGCTCTCGACCATCTCTGCCAAAAGCCGTGATGAAACTGACCGCAGCCGTCGACTTGATACTCCACTCCTCGATCTTCAGGAACAAGGCTACGCAGCAGCAGCGAGTAATGAAGGCTCATCTTCTCCGTCGCCGTCTGGGGAGGTGGAGAGTCGGCACGCAGAATTATCAATTGTTACAAATGGACTAGGATCTAGAGATGAAAGGGCGGGAGGAGTCGTAGTGGAGGGAGAAGGGCCGGTGTTGGTGATGTCAGGGCCAGGGCCGATGTCTGCGGGAGATGGCGACGAGCTGGATTGTCGGTACTGGCAGCTTGCTGAGTCAGTCGAGGACTTTACATCGGATTTCGCAGACAAAGAGGAAATACAGGAAGCAGAGCGACTCGACAAGGACACTACAGACTCTCCCCATCGGAGGGTGCGCTTCATGGAAGAGATCCAGGTCATCCCCTCCAGCAGGACAGGAAGCGACGACGATGATGATTTGACACTCATTGACGATTCTGAGGATGACTCTTCTGATGAATCCGGTGACGACGATAACAATAACAACAGTGTCAAGGAGTCTCTCGATGTACTACCCACCACCAACCTTACCGCCAAGTCGACGTTATCCGAGTGGAATGCTATCCAGATGGTCGAATCTTTCTTGGAGGGAGTGCCCATCGGCACCGAGAAGGAACACAGAGACGGCGGTGATACCTCGGCTCCTGCTACTGTCACTGCTCTTACTCCCACGCCTTATCCGCGGACATTAGCACTCCCTCATTCTCCGAACCCGCCAGCTGGCACTGTGGAGGATGATGAGAGTGGTTGTGGCTATGACCACGCTGTGGTTCCTTGTCTATCAACGGTACTACTGCGACTCGCTCCTGTGACTGCCTTTCCGCCCACTACTACAACCTCACCTATCGAGTCACCACCCGCCCCCGCCACACTCAAAGTACCACCAACCATCACAACCACCACAACCACAACCCACACCAAGACCACAGACGAAAACAACAACAACACATGCATCTCCCCACGGACCCTCGAATTAACCTCAATCCGCTCCCAGCTGCACTACTGGACCGAAACCGCGACCCACCTCCGAGACCAAGAACAAGAACTCACTCTCCATATCGACCAACTCGTCCAGGTCATGGCGGATGTGATCGAGAAGTGTCAAGAGACTGAGGTTGAGCTTTTGGATCAGAAGCGAGTTGTCTTTGAGCTTCGACTGGAACTTGCCAAGGTAATAAGATATGATCTGTGTTTGTTTTCGCTTGTGGAACATTGAAGAAAATGGAAAGTGGATATTTATAAACACGATTTTTTTTTGTGTGTGTTGTATATGTGCTTTGGCTTTGTAGGAGAGAGAGATTGGGTTTGCGTCGATTCGGGAAGCAGCGTTGTCGAATAGGGAGAAACAGTTGTTGGAGCTTGCGTTGGAGGAGTCGCGTCAGGAGGTTGAGAATCTGAGACGGACTTGCGCCCAGCAAGAGTGTGAGGTCAAAGAGGGGCGACGTCCCCTATCCTCACTACCGGTTCAGGCGCAGGCTCAGATTCGCGTGCAAGTGTCAGTGCAGGAGCAGGAGCAGTCACAGCAAGGACAACAGGAGGATCCACAGGAGAATTGGATGGATGCAGTGGATGGAGAATTCGTGAAAGAACAAAGAGTAGATTGTCAGGAGAACCAGGACCAAGATCAACATGAGATTGAGCGGCCTCTCCTTCCTATCGATAGCAACGGCAACTGCAACAACGCAGCACCAACGCACAAACCAATCACACTTGTCACCCTTTCACCAGCTAAGGTTCAACAAGAGGACCTCTACTCCTTCCAGTCCCTCATCAAATCACTTTTCCTTATCCTCGCTGCAACATTCATTCTCTTCAGTATCGCGATCCTCATCTCTGGACATCAACACCATCTTCGCCAATCCTTCGTCCTCTTCTTCAACACTCTCACCTCCGTCTCGTCAGGAAACACAACCATCCTTCTGGAGTACCTGCACCGCTACTCCTCCATAACGACCCAAGGTTTGAAGAACGTGATCGAATGGGGAGAGACGTTACCGGATTCCGTGGCAAGGGCGAAGGTGTTGTTCAAGGATTTGTCGTTCTTAATGGGAGGTGTGGTTGGACCTTTGGTGTGGGGCGGTCAGCAAGATCTGCAAGATCTGCGATTGGTCAGGACATGGTCGTAGCAAGAAATATCGCTTCACTAACCAGTCCTGAGACAAGTGGTTGACGAAGAAATAAAAAAACGATTGTGCAGTATCAACAGAACAGGGGTCACAGTGATAACACAAATATATAAAAGAAAACGAGTGTTCCAGCTCACCTAAAAAAAAAAAAAAAAAAGGCGCAGAACCATTCTTCTCGTATTGGTAGTGACGGTAATGGTGGGAGGAAATCACGCTAATTGTACTTGGAATCGAGAGGCGAGGAGATTGGTGGCGCTAAATTTTTTATGGAGTAGGGTGTACAAACAGACGAGTTCTTTTGTCGCAGCATCCACCACTTGTCACACCACATGCATCACGCACGCCAGGATATCAAGCACGCCAGGATACCACGCATCATTCTTTTTTTCTTGTGTCTACCGAATGCAACCGTCGTAGAGTCAAGTCTTTGATATTGGCGAGGACGCGTTATGAATAAGGACAGGATTTGTATGTATTTCATTTCGGAAAAGATGTTATTCATCAGCCACAAGAAGGAAAGCAAAGGAATGATAATTTAAAGGAGGGAGAAAGAAATAAAGGCGGGAAAGACGAATGAGAATAAAAGAGAGGAGAGGGAAAGGAGTATTCTTCCTACACTGGTACCCAAAAAGACCACTCACTCACGTCTTCCATGGCTACTTGGCCTTCTTCGCAGTGAAAGACGCTTGCAGTATTGCGCTAATCATACTCGGCCTCGAGCGTCCAGCCATAGGGTCTGTCGATCATCATACGGCGCTCGGACAGAGCAACATAATCGTCGGACTCTTCGTACTCCTCGGACTCCTCCTCAGGGGCTGTGGAAGATAGGTCGCGCTTCATGTAGTCGTCAGGGTGGACGGTTTGGATCTGCCCAGATTTCACCATTCGGCGCTTGGACAGGGCAGCACCTTCCTCGGACTCCTCCTCAGTAGTGATCGTGGTGGAGGGGGAAGATGGGAGGTCGCGCTTCCTGACGTCGGCAGGGTTGACATATCGAACCGCTCCATTAATTTGCATTCGGCGCTTGGACAAACCAACATCATCCACAGACTCGGACTCGGACTCGGGCTCGGACTCGGACTCGGGTTCCTCCTCAGACGTAGTGGCGGCCGAAGAGAGGAGATCGCGCCGCTTAAAGTTTGCAGGGTTGATCCATCGGATGGAGCTATCGTTGATCATTCGGCGTTTGGAGAGTGGGACCTTGTCTCTCTCATCGCCCTCTTCATTGGGATCAATGGGATGGCTCTCTGGCACCGCCTTGAAGATATCGCCATCTTGGCGCTTGAAAATGAGGGGAGCTTCTACTGGGAGGCCGATCACTGAGGGATTGAAACGGAAAGGACCCTCGATGGGGACTGCGATGCGGAAAGTCTCGGTGTTTGTGGGAAAACCCCTCTTGAAGTGGCCTGTGGGAGCAGCCTTTTTGAAGGAGCCATTGGAGTATTGACTCTTGGGGAAGCCTTGAGTTGGAGGTTGACCTTTGGGGAGGCTAATAGGATATTGACCTCTGACTCGGATTGAGGGTTGGTCATCGGCTGAGGCTGGGACAGGGGCAGCGGATACCATGTCGTCGGAGGCGGTACCGAGAGATACCAGTAGGACCGCGACGAAGACTAACCACGACAGGGAAGGCACCTTGTCAAATTTCATGGCGTCTGTGTTGTGTTTTTTATCGCAAGTGTAAAAGTGGCGGGTGCGTTTTGTACTGTTGTGGATCGCAATAAAGAATTGACGAGTGAGTTGATGAGGAATAGAAGAAGGGCGATAGGAAGGCACAGTGTGTTCTTTTATATACCAAGGCGAGTTACCTGTGCCGTGTAGAAAACAATAGTTGAAGCGCAGTGCAAAAATGAGCATACAAGAGCACAGGGGGCAATCATGAGAACGACTAAATGCATAAATTTTTTCTAGCCCCCATTGTTATTGTATCCCTTCCTCCTCCATGTATTTCTATCCTCTTTTCAATTCTCTTCTCTTTTGTGAAAAGAACAAGTGATAGACCGACTTCCAGGTGGCAAGATGTGAAAAATGGTTATATCTAAGCGATTGGAGAGAAAAAGGTGGTGTGAACAATTGACGCGCCAAGAGACCGTTTGAGAACATTAGGGGGGGAGGGGCTGTGTGCAAAAATAACTGGGCAGAAGCGACAACCTTAATTTTTCTTGTTGTAGAGCTGTGTTCATGCAGTAAGGTAGTAAGAAGTGGCGCAACCGAGCAAGAAAATAGAGGTAGTCAGTAACCACCAGAAGCTATTGTATCGTAGACGTCATGAACACGACTTACAAGAGAAAACATATAGAAACAATTGCAACGTCATGGGTTTGTATTGTTGGTGGCAGCAGGAATAATTGTTTTTTCAACAACCTCTTTTATTACTTTAATTTCTATTCTTCCTCTCATTCCTTCTTTTGTTGTTTCCATTTCTCCCTGTTTCCATTGTCAACTATTATACCATGGGGAGGCTATTAATTGTGAAAAACACAATAGGAAGTCGTATGGGTCAAGCAAGGTAATAGTTATGAGATGAGGGACAGGAGAGAAGAGTGGCTAAAACAGCACCGCTCAGAAAAAGAACTCAGATGTGTATCTTCTAGATAGGGACGACGCATGTTGCACGATATCACCTCTTTTTTCCCTGCACGAGAGTAAGAAATAGAAAAAAATAGAAAGGAGAAGGATTCTCTCTACACCATGATGCACCAATATACACTATTCATCAGCCGAAAAGGGGTAATGCCCCCTTGTTGAGCAGTACAATTTCTTTTCCCACATCTTGCAAGGCATACGCGACCTTGATGACCTTCCGCAAACTGGGAACACCCAAAGTCACGGAAAGATAGTTAGCGTGGAAAAGAGGGGAAGAAGCAGGTTTGCATTTTGTTTTAACTTTTATTACGAGCAAAATGCCATAGCTTACACTGCACGCTCGAGTTCTGGAGTGATGGGGCTCATATACTTAAAACGGCAGGGGCATGGCCAAGGAAAGAAGGGAGGTTGAGTCATAGGAGGCTCTGAATTCAAGAACAATAGGCACATATGGAACAACTGGAAGTGAAGGAGGCATGAACTATTGAAAACATGAGACTTTGAAGGTATTGTTGCAAAAAGATGTGGTGGCTAGGCAGTGACGGCGATGCCTTAGGTTAGCAGTCATATTCTTTAGTAGACATAGTATAGTAGTGCGCCGAGCCCTCTTGTCTGCTCTTTGTCCTTTACACATCACTTCTTGGACGAGAGCAGTATTGACAAGAGTTTCGCTGGCGTGCTGCAGTGTATCGTTTCGTGTGATTCTGTAGGACGCTATTATCACTATCCCCGACTATCAACTCCCCCTCAACCTACAACCCCTCCCCCCCGTACCAATTGAGGACTTAACAGCGGTCCTACAACTCTGGCCTTCGACCCTCTCCCCTGAGTAACAGTATGAGCCACAAGGAGAGAATGTAGGGGCGATCAGAGGTGTTTGAGCATATGTAGCCAAGTTGTCAAATGTATTAGTAGTTGAAGAAACGTGGCAATATGGAGAGCAAACGAAGAATGATACTACATCTCGCAAAAGATCTTTCGTTCCATTTGTGAACTGTGATTTCACATGATGGGAGAAAGTCAAAAGAAAGTCAGCCGGAAACAGAACAGACACAGAGGGAAACAAAAACAGAAACCGATGATGCTAGCCGCAGCGAGACTCACGTTCTTGCCACCGCCCCTCCTTTTTTCCTATTTATCGTCTTTCCCCATTCCTTCCTTTCCTTTATTCGTTTTTGCTCATCCTTCGGTTATTTTGTAGTGTTACACCATCTCACCCATAGAACGTACTATTCATTTTTTTTTCCAAATTCGTTATAGTTATACAAAAGCATAAAGCGGAACAATAGCAGAGCACTATGTGCATAAGTATTATGAAGATTTAAGCATACCTCCCTTGTGTTTGTTTAGTTTTTGGCCGAGGGTTGAAGCGTTGATGATTGCATGATCAAATGGGAGCCATGTCACCCTAAATGAAGAGGATGATGCATGTTCGAGGTAGTGGGATGATAAAGTGGGCGCCCTCGGAGGACCCGGTCAATCTATCATCACACAGTCAGCATAGACGAAGACATGATCACGAATGTAACATGAACGCCGTCCTCATGCGTGATGATTATTACACCGTTGTTTTATTTTTCGAGGAACCACAAAAACGAAGGGAGAGGATAGGAAAATGGCGGGGTCAAAGGAGTGACAAAACACGGGTACTCGCCAATGTTCGATAATGCTAAATTCTACATGTGAACTCGCACACCTCAAAAGTCATTCAAGGACCGAGCCCAAAGTCTAAAAGCTGAGGCTTCTCCTCCTTCTCAACTTCCCGCGCTGTCCCCGCAGTCTTGGTACAGACAGGGCCATGTCCAAGGCGAGGGTTCCAGTTTTTTGGACAAGGAAGGAGGATAACTGTTTTCGGCGGTGCTGTTGCTGCCGCTGCAACTCCCTCTTTGGTGTTGACGTCAGCAGTGTTGTCGTGACCGTGTCGCTGCTGTATTTGTTCGATATCGAGTGCTTGAACGGGTGCTGCAGTTGTTTGGGAGGTGAAGGCGAGGCTAAGAGCCAAGGAGAGTGAGATTGACAGGAAGATCGAGATTCTCATTTTTGCGCGTTTGTGTGTAGGTGTGTGTTATTTTTTGGTAGTGGGAGATGATGAAAAGGTGAGCGGCTGCGTTGCGGGATGAAGGAAGAAGAGGAGGCTGGATAAAGGATAGCGAAAAAGAGGAAAGGAAGAAAGAGTGCAGGCGAGAAGAACGATGCCAGAGAAATAAACAAAAAGGAATCCGGGACAGCTGACCCTTTTTATTTTATTCCAATATTGAAGCAGAGAGGAATGGACTCCCCAACATTCGAGATCAAACCATTCCGTCAAAAAAGACCGCTCAACGGACCATGGCAAATTATTCATTCTCCTTCCTCCCGCTTTTTTGCTAACATAGCAAACAATTCATCGTGAGCATTATATTTCTCAATACGTTATCGCCCGTTCTCACCAAGAGTACACAGACGTAAGTAGGTGTGAAAAAAAGCCATTAGGGTGAGAGGTGATTGGGTGGCGCAAAGTTGGTGGCGCGGGTTTAAGGACAGAATGGTGTACTGGTCACCGCACTCAAGGAAACAAGAACATGGAAAGATAACGACTTAAAGAACAATTAAGATGGACAGCTGATCGCTATGTTTATCTTGATCACCTGGCATTTGTTCTCGATGAAAACAACAGGCTATCTTAGGCCCAGCTAGGGTGTCACGAATGGAAGTTAAGCATCCTTACTCCTACTTCAATTCACGCTCTTTTTCAGCTCGAAGGACAACCGAGGACACTTCAAAGACGCTTTTCATATGTGTCGCTTTAATTAAAGGCACCTCATTATTAAATTATAGTCCATGGTAATCATAGGGCTGTGGGGTCGTAAAAGAGAACAAGAGGAGAAGGGGGAGGATGAGGAGAACGAGAAAGGAGGGAATAAGATCTTCACGAAGAGAAATTATTATACTCGATAAAGGACTCGAGACCAGCTCGAAGGCGCCTTGACATCAGGACTACCTCATCGGAGGAACCCCCTCTCCTCAATGTGCGGCGGTGCTGGTAAGGTCACGCTTCTTATCATCAAAGGGTCGTCGTCCACCTCCTGCTACTCGCTTGTACAGATCGACAATGTTCTCGAACTCGGGCTCGGAAACCTCCTCCTCAAGGGTGGTGGTGGAGGAAAGGTCGCGCTTCATATCATCGAAGGGTCGTCGTCCACCTCTAACTACTCGCTTGTAAAAGACAGGGGTGAGGACCGGAAGGTTGGCTTGGTTGGTGCCGGTGATGTGGATGGCATGGGTGGTGGCAATGGATCCGGCAAGGTGATAAGGAACTGGAGCAGCAGTGGCCAGACCAGATGCAAACAGCAAGGCCAAGAGAATGGCGCAAGGCAGATAGACGATGTTGTTGAACTTCATTGCAAAGGTGTACCGTAAAAAAGGTATGAGTGTGAGTGGAGAGAGGGATGGGTTGTGACGAGATTTTTTAGGGATAAATGTTGCTGGTGTGTATGTGGGAGCTACCCGGTGTGAGGGTGTGAGGGATAGGAAGAGGACGTTGATCTGTGATTTGATGAAGAGTAAAATGAAAGTGCATGGTAGAGGCCTTTTATATCATGAGAAATGAGGCGGGCAAGTTGATCTGCCATTGACAAGGCAATGGCAGCATCATGCTAGAGATGCAACAGAACTAGAACGATCATGCAATGCATGGCGTACGATGGAGGCACGGAATGAGATGCAAAAAAAACAGAGGAAAATAAGCAAAGGGCCTCCTTCTACCACTCCCTTTCCGTGATGTGGAACCATGTTTGGGCTGCATTGAAGAAAACAAAAGCACTGAGTAGGGCTCACAAGGGGAAAAAAATAATTGCAAAGAGGCGAGCCAGACCGCGGTTGAAGACAATAGGCAAGTGGCGGGGTAATGGGTGCCATGGTATTAAGGTTAATGCCTCGCCCCTTATTCTTTTGTCGACCTCACTTCTGACAGTACTAGACAAGCAAGAACGTTACGTTCATCCATTTTCTCAATTGATGAAAAGAGGCGCTGCTGCACTATAGAAGGACGATGCTTCGGTTCCGAGCCTGATCAAAAGAGAAGGCTGGTGGCGCCTAAAAAAAATTCCGGTTTGGACGAGCGATCAATGCACGAGCATTAGAACTTAACGGAGAAAGCACACATCGAAGGACATGCTTGTCTTGAGAAGTCGTGATTAAGTGCGGCGTGAATTAGCAGCCTAATGCTGCTAAGAGATAGCAACAGGTACACCCTCATGCTGACAAGCCCTCGCTACCTCCATGCATAATGCCTTTCAAAGTCACAGCTTCATCAGGCGCCTGCCAATATGCATATCCTTTTTCAAGTCTCTACATTGGTGCAAAGACAGAAGTCTAGTGAAAGCAAGAAAAAAAAACGGCGAAACGATCGAAGAGGGTGGGCGTAAATCCCATCCAAGAGGCGTAGATCAGCTACATCATACGATGATACGAGAGGTGTTTACATTGGCTCTTATTTGTGACCCATTTTTCAAGGAAGGCATAGGGTGTCGTCCTTACTATCCCCCACACGTTTTTCTATTACTCAGAAAAGTGCTAGTTCCCAACGCGTCGTTCTGCTCGGCTTAGATCACTTATTGTCTTCTTTTGGCTAGGTTTGATCTCGCATCAACTCCATTTCTTGGTTGTCGTAGTTCAGACCATGCAACTGGAGTGTGCGAACCACATATGAGTAGCGATTGTGAACCTGAAGGGATGTGATTGACATGACCAGGGAGAAGGGAAGGGATGTGTAGAGGATCTACTATCGGTGCTATTGGTGCTTATCATCGCCGTTGAAGACGAAGAGAGGGAAGTTGTGATCGACTGAGACGTGATCGCGATATCATTGCCGATGGATAGAAAACATGACATTAAACGGATAATAGGCAACAAGTGGTTGATACAGAGATACAAAATAAGGGTGTAGGAGATAAGTTCTGACACTTGTGTGTGTGTTTTATATGGTCATGTACATGTTACATTCGCACGCTGGCGAATTGGGCTTACCGTACTGATTTATTTGTCTAGATGTGAGCTCGAAGGACTGTGGCATTGAGTGTAGAAAACATCGTCGGGATTTTATTTGCGAGATATGGATGCTTGCACGCTGTCTTAGATCCAAAGGGCGTAGAAGGGAAAACAAAATGTGTGGATTGGGAGAGGGCTTAGCTATCTACTTCTATTTTGACGCAAAAAAAATGAACCCAAAGACCGACCGAACGGGCGCTTGGATAACTCGACATTAATCTCACCGGATTAATGCTGGGGGTTCTCATCGTCAGGCGAGGCAATGGGAGGAAGGTCATGCGTATAATATTTTGGATGGCCGACAAATTCAAGCTTCCCATAGACCATCGCTCTGCGCTTGGACAACTCAATACCGTTCACAGACTCGGACTCGGGTTCTTTAAGAGCGATAGCAGTGAGAAAGTCGCGCTCGTAAATGACAGGGGTGACAACTGGATGGCGGACGTTGATAGGAATTGGAAAGAAGGTTGTGCGGGTACTAGCAATGGGTCCGACGTGACGAGTTGGGACCGGAGCAGCGGAGCCCAGAATGTAAAAGGTGGTGCCAACCATAGCCAAGAGGACCGCGAGAGGAGACCAGAACAGACGAGGGACGATGCTGATCTCCATCGAAAAGAGAGCGTGTTTGGGAAGGAGAAAGGTGAGGTGATTTTGTGTGTGCTTAATCCGTGCGTGTTGGTTGTGGAAGGTGGGTGTCTGTAAAATCTTGGATGTCTTATATATGTTTGTGCAACAATTATACTTACCTATGTATAATAGCAACACGAATGGACCCTAGTCAACACTCGCAGCCTTCTCTTTTCCCACTTCCCTCTTGCGCGTCACCTTTCCAGCATCGTCAAACAATTGAAAAGGAATTAAAAAAAATTGAAGAAGAGGCGAAAATAAAGATATAAAGAAGGTGACAAGTCCATGCTGCTAATTGAATGATTGTTTAGGATCTCACCCTCTTCGTTCATGTCCTCTTCCGTAGTTGCATTGCCTCTCTTGACAATTGATGTATGATTTGAAGAGTCCACCGAGAGGCGAGGAGATTGGTGGCGCTAAATTTTTTATGGAGTAGGGTGTACAAACAGACGAGTTCTTTTGTCGCAGCATCCACCACTTGTCACACCACATGCATCACGCACGCCAGGATATCAAGCACGCCAGGATACCACGCATCATTCTTTTTTTCTTGTGTCTACCGAATGCAACCGTCGTAGAGTCAAGTCTTTGATATTGGCGAGGACGCGTTATGAATAAGGACAGGATTTGTATGTATTTCATTTCGGAAAAGATGTTATTCATCAGCCACAAGAAGGAAAGCAAAGGAATGATAATTTAAAGGAGGGAGAAAGAAATAAAGGCGGGAAAGACGAATGAGAATAAAAGAGAGGAGAGGGAAAGGAGTATTCTTCCTACACTGGTACCCAAAAAGACCACTCACTCACGTCTTCCATGGCTACTTGGCCTTCTTCGCAGTGAAAGACGCTTGCAGTATTGCGCTAATCATACTCGGCCTCGAGCGTCCAGCCATAGGGTCTGTCGATCATCATACGGCGCTTGGACAGAGCAACATAATCGTCGGACTCCTCGTACTCCTCGGACTCCTCCTCAGGGGCTGTGGAAGACAGGTCGCGCTTGAACAAATCAACACCATCTTCGGACTCGGGCTCGAACTCTTCTTCAGGAGTGGTGGTGGTAGAGGAGAGATCGCGCTTCTTAGTTCTTGTAAGCATAATCCACCGATAAATGTTAGAATTGATCATTCGGCGCTTGGTCAGCTCAACACTCTCCTCCATCGACTCGGGCTTGGAAGTGGGAATGCGTTCGATCGACTCAAGAGTGCGCTCAATGGGGGATTGATCCAAGGCTGATGAGACTGGGGCTGCTGAAGTCAAACCGATGGAGAAGGCGCCGACAGTGGCCAGCAGGACCACAAGGAGGACGGACCATGGCAGGCGGTAGACCTTGTTTGAATTCATGCTGATGTGTTTTTTGTGCTTATCTTGAAAAGGTGTAAGCGGAGGAGTTTGTTAGTGCTATTTTTTGTGTTATTGTTCTGTGTAGAGCTATCGATGAATGGATTGGTTGATGAGAAGCTACAGCATGGGGGACCATGGGATGTCTTTTATACCTTGATGGGCATCGGTGGTGGCTGTCTGTCCGTAGAAAACAATAATGGGCGCAACTTGCGCTACGGTGGAGACAATAGAAAAGCAATTTCGTCAACGATGTTTGAGCATAGAGGGTAGCGGGAATAAAGGCGCGTGGTGGCCAACATCTGACAGGATCTGTATCAAGAGACGGAAAAAACAGATTGCATTGTTCAAGTCGGCATTCTCGCCTCACGCCTATTGTGATCTATTTTCTCCTATACCCTCCTACTTGTCTTCATTACCTTCTGCACTTCCGATTTCGTTACTCTCACTGGCCTCTGCCGTCATGTTCTTTCGTGAAGAGACAATAGGCACATGTTGGACAATAAGGATAGAAGACAATGGCAATGGAGAGATCAGTTGATGAAAGATACAGGCTACTAGGAGAGCATTGGGAGCGAAGAGTATGAGCTGCTGTGGGTGACGTGTGTTTCTGGTACTGGCCGAATTCATGAGCAGTTGAGAAACGTAGTTATTGGGCAGTATACTACAAAAAAGGACAGTGGGGAAGGCAGACATGAGACGGTTCCACAGCTCGCAATGATTTTTCCCGTCTTTGAACAGGTATTGGCAAACAAGGATAAACAAGCAGACAATAGACGCATGAACAAGGGGGCATATTAATACCCTCCAAAGCAATGAGACCAAAACAATAAGAAAGCCTGTTATCACGCATTTGGCTATAGTACGGTTCAGCCCCCCGCCTCTTTTGTTATTACTTCTTTTTGCTACGGTAAAAATGGAGGAGGATGTCGGAATATTGCGCGCCTGACCACCATGTTTTCTTTGAAAGTGGAAGGTGCTACGGCACTGTGACAAAAGACAAGGCGAGCAGGAGACAAAGACTTCCACGATCGTGCTGCATGCCGCGTAGTCATGTCTATCTTCCTTGATACAAGCTTGTAAAGTTGTTGTGAGCGAAAAAATAAAAATAAGTTCCCCGTCATGGGTGGAACATTAGGGGAACGAATCACGCATGAACAACATAGAGCCACGGATGTGCCTGTTTTCAGTCCAGTCAAGAAGCTGTCTGTAGCTGAGCCCCATGTAAGCGACGCGATGCATTTTTCACACATGTCTAGAAAGCTCTTCAAGGAACGCTAGAAAAGGCACACAAGAACAAGTGGGGTGACATTCGCTATCCCGCCACACACTTGGAGAGAGATAAGTATGGATTGCTGGGAGTAGGGAAAACATGGACAAGGTTATGCTACCGAGAGGGAAGCCGAGGAATGCAAGGGGGGAAATGGTTTACAGAAGATTGAATGAAATTTTATTTTACTTTTGCAAACAACATAGAGTCATGGCTTGTACTCCATGTTCGGATTCCAGGGCGTTGGAATCCATGTCATCAAAAAAATAACGGACAATGGAGAAGAAGAGGAGTGTAGAAGGAGAGAGGGAATGGGGAAGAGGAGGAAGAAAGAAAATGGGCATGGGCAAGAGATGGGAGTAAGTAGATGTAACTGCGTCTATTTCAACCAAGAGTCACAAGGCTAGTTATTTGCTCACTTGTTCCTAGCGGATGGTTCCAATGATTGGGGTACTGAGAATCGATTTGATCAACCGACGCTTAGATAGTTTGACACTTTCTTCCTCCGCTTTCGCTTCTTCGACCATGGGCTTTAACCTCTCCTCGGCGGTAATAGTAGTATTGGTGTGTGCGGCAGAGGGGACGTTCTCGCGCTTGTAGTGGCCAGGGTTGACATATCTAATCGTCCCATTGGCTCTCATTCGACGCTTGGACAAATAGCCACCATTCTCAGACTTGGACTCGGACGTGGACTCGTATTCAAGTGTGGAGGCAGTGGATGGGAGATCGCGCTGGTTGAGGTTACTGGGGCTCATCCAGCGAACCCAGGAATTAGGCATCTCTCTACGCTTGGACAAATCAACCTTACCCACAGACTCATCCGCAGACTCGGACACAGATTCTGACTTGTCCTCTTGCTCGTCCTTAGGCGTGGTGGTAGAGGAAGGAAGATCGCGCTTCATGTAGTCGTCAGGGTGGACGGTTTGGATCTGCCCAGATTTCCCCATTCGGCGCTTGGACAGGGCAACACCCTCCTCGGACTCCTCCTCAGAAGCGATGGTGGTGGAGGTGGAGGGGTAATCGCGCATCCTGATGTCGGCAGGTTTGACGTATTGAATCTTTCCATAAACCTGCATTCGACGCTTGGAGGACTCGACGTCGCCTTCAGTCTCGGAATCCTTACCTTCATCAACGGATTCTACACCAGTCTTGGCACGGTTGCAGATCTTGACGACTTGAGTGCGGACATAGCATTCCATGACATGGTCGAGCTGGTGGCGAAAGTCGTCATCATCCTCCTCGCCCTGACGCCTGTGAATGACCTGGGTGACGACTGGATGGTCGACTTGAGTGGAGTAGGAGCCAGGTCTATCAGCGAGGATGGCGGTGTGGACGGTGGGAGTGGGAGCATCTGATCCAGAAGAGAGAGCTACAGCTGGGGCTGCAGAGATCAGGACGTTCGAGTTGGTGCCAGCAGTGGCGATCTTAAGCAAGATGACGGACCAAAACAGAAATGAAATATTGTCGAACTTCATTTTCGTGGGGGTAAACGGAAAGAGGGAGTGGTACTTGTGTTGGCTGAGGTGGGATTAATTGAAGACTCCGTTTGATGAAGGAAAAAAAAAGGAAAGATGAAGTGCATTCTTATAGTGCAAAGTAAAAGCGGTGACACGGGTTGTCGTGGAGGTTGAAAGACTGGGACTAGAGAACCAGAGAAGCAATGAATGGGGTTGCACTCTTGGCTATATGACCATATATAGCGATTGATCATGGCAGGAACAGCGAGGCGGGCTGTAGGTGTGTCGCGTAGTGTGGTATGGTAGTGAGGGTGCACCGAGAAAGAGGAAGGCAAACACCAACGACAAACCCCTTTTCTGCTTTTTTTCACTTAGCCCATGAGTTTCACCCGCCCCCCGAAAAAAGAAATCAAACCAAAACCATGCTGTGGTGCAACCGGAAGGTGGTGGACGTGCATAAAGCCAAAAGAAAAAAATCGGTGGTATTCAAACGACAGACATTAACAAGGTTAGCTAGCATGCATGTCGCATCACTCCTTTGTCGTTTCATTTCCCTTCGCTCACTTTGCTACTACCACTTCCAAGCGGGAAGAAATACTCCCTGCCTCGGATGTGGTTGCCCTCTTCACGCTGACGGTCTGGTCACACGAAATGAGGAAGTGGCTTGAAGGCAGCTCTTTTCTTTCGAAAAGTGTGTAACTGGGTGGCTAAGAGAGAGACGAATGAAATAATGCAAAGTCTCGCTTGATCACCTCCTCGATATATTTTCCAACACACCTTGCCCACTACTCCGTGCTTTACCTGTGGTTTATTTTACTTAGCGCCATTATTTTTCCTGGCCTTCTCTTTGAAGCACGAAAGTAGAAATAAAAAAAGTGGCGGCGCGACAGGAAACAAGCCATACGTAATACGTTTCAAAGAAACAACATGGACACTGGGGAAGTGTACACCCAAAGTGTTCTTCGCTCAAGTAGGCTCTTGTCATTGCTATGGTTTCCATCCTTGACAATGCTTGTGACATACGGAACGCGCTTACTAACCCAAACAAGGATATGATGTGGAGTGAATAAGGGCGAGGAGTTGTGGTTAGTTAGGACTCGATCGTGGTATCGAGCCACTCATAGAAATTAGTATATTGTTTTCTGAGAAGGCAGAGAAACCTTTTCTCTTGTCGTCCTATTATTTTTCTAAAAGGTCAACCGATGGTCTCCTTCTTTAACGGTAGGCATTGTTTCGCAACCTTTTGTCTATGTTCAATGTCCCAATTGTCAAGACCACCCTCAAGAAAATAGAACCAAACAAAAGTGACCAAATGAATATTGCAGCCACAGATCTGTTCTATTGCTTCAAAGCCAACAACCGAGCACAAAATCACAGGTAAGCGATAGATCGAACTCTGTTCGTTTTGCTCTAGTCATGTGTGGATTCAGAAAAAATATATCGGAAAAGCCAAAGAGAACGCAAATGGCAGAACCGCATGAGTCAAGAGGCGCAACTACTCCCATCGCATGCGTATTTTTCCTTTCAGGGAAGGTGCTAGGCTCGCTTCCATGCGTTTCATATTACGAGGGTTGGAAACCTTTTCGATTTGATTTCTTTGAACATTCTTCATATGCATATGACCAGATGATATCGGCATCGCGCAACTCATAAAAGGAAAGAGGGGGAGGTCCCATCAGTTTGACGCCAGCCCAGACTGAGAAGCAAAGCGTCTCTTGTCTTAAAAAGGCAAGAGAAAAACGCTTTTGCATTGAAGCAGGGATGGAGTCGAGCTAGGCTCGGTTCCATCCTAAGTCGAAGACAGATTTACTTTACCAAGGTCGCAGTAAATGCTGTCTTCAACTTAGGATGGAACCAATCTTAGGTGTCCGTTTTTCTCACTTTTATGGATATTGGTCGTTTCATCATTCATGACCCTCTTGCAAAGGTTGGCAAGATACACATCACACAAGTACAATGCCTTAGCAACCTCTTCCCCCGATTTCCTATTGTTCCCCTTTCCTTTCTTTCCTCTTACCCTTTCCTTTCCTACGCATAACCAGCACTGTGTTGCCAACGTCAACGAGCAACTGTACGAAAAGAGGCACAGTTGAAACGACGCCAGAGCAACAACAGGGAACTATAAAAGGGTGGCAACAGACAAGGAGGGAAGCATGCGAAAGTGCCACAAGAACATGCTGGCGAGTAACCAAAATTACATGTGCATTCACGCGCGTGAACTAGGATGACCAGAGCTCCTTTGTATTTTAATTACTTTCGATCTTCTTGGAGGGGTTGGTTTCATGGGCAATAATTAAGGCGTGTTGGAACAAAGTGTGTAGAAGAAAGTAATACATAGCGATGGGAAGGGCGGCGAGTATGAAAAGAAGAAAGAACGAAAAGAAAAGAGTGGAAAGAAACGAGAGATAAGAAACGCGCAACAGGACTGATGCCAAGTCGAATCGCATGACCATCAGATCAGCCTATGTCGTCCTTGTTAACTCAACTAGAACTGGAAAGAAAAGAAGCCTTTCACGCAAAACAGCAACCATAGGCACCCTTTGTTATCGTTGCGCAACGCGTGAGACCCATTGTAGAAGACAGCCTCCTTCTATACTTATATACTTCACTCCATGCCCTTGAACAGCTCCTCGACCGATAAGGGCGTCGCATCCGAATCTTTAAGTCGCGACAGTCTCAGGCGCTTGGGATCTCTACTCGATCCTTGACCCTCAGTTGAAGACTCAGATCGCAAAGACGGACCTGGTGTCGCATCGAACGTGTGCTTCACCGCCGGCGTCTTGCTCGTACCTGACTTGCGTCTATTTGTATCAAAGTCGCAATTACAAAATCGTAGGATGTTATTAGATTCATATTGACTAACATACCATTTACCACCTGCAAAACGGAATATGTTGAGGCACTTACATTCCGATAACGCGACGGGAGTTGGTCTCAGTAGGGCTCTTTCGCATACTAGTGTCACTCGTGCTGGTGTGGCTTCTGCCGCTGTCATTGCTCCCTTCCCGATGTCTCTTCCTGACCGCTGCAACAATCCGACCACGAATCGGCTCCTTTGGTTCAATCTTCATCGCCACATCGTCGTCATCGTCACAGTTGCCGTTGCTACCATTCTTGTTCTGATGGTTTGCTAGAAGGAGTTTTTTCGCTGAGTCAGACTCTTCCCGCTTGATGACATGTGTCTTGGAATATAGTGGTACTGGAGATGATGCTCTTGACGAAGACGCACTCTCGGAAGGACTGGGACCTTTTGTAGATCCTGTATATTGTAAACAAACATAGTTAGTAATGCCATGCGGAGCGATGATCCCGTCGCAATTAATATCTGAGCATATATTCTTACCAAGGTTGGCGGCTTTGGTGACGCGGTTCATGATATCTTGAGCGCCACCATTATGATCCTTGGATGAGCTTGCACCAGAATCAGACTGAGCGTGTCGAGTTCTTCGTCGAACAAGCGATTCCTCCTCCTGATCACCATTGTCCTGAGCATCAGCCCCACTTTCATCCCAGCCATATCCATCTTGAGGGTGGGGCAGCAGTTCATGCTCTTCAAGCCCTGGCTCCACGGCATCTTCAAATTGAGTCTTGGTATCATGCTCCTTCTTTGGTACAGCTCGCCGAGGTCTGACGGTCGATTTCTTGGGCTCTGGAGTTCCATCGTCAGAGTCTTCTTCAACAACTTCTGCACCTCTTCCCCGGCCACGGCCGCGTCCTCTCCCTCGTCCCCTACCGCGTCCTTTTCCACGACTAGTGCCATTCTGAGCCGCAGTCAAATCCTCCTGATCCGAATCGTCCTTCTCCTTGATGTCCACAAGATCAATTTCGTCCTTAGGAATATCTTTACCCTCCAGAATGGCCTTCTGTCGACGCTCTTCCCGCAGTGCTACATACGTGATAACAAAGATGCAAAGCATAGTCAGAAAGCGTACAAAATGAATTTGCTCCGCACCTTGACAAATATGCTGAACAACAGTGACTTTCATGTGCTCTTACCAGTCTGCAATTTCTCCACCTTGTCCTCGAGTTTTGTGTTTGCCTTGACCAATTGACCGATTTTCTCCTTCTTTGTGTTGATCAGCAACCGGAACTATTTCCATTCATCAACAAAAAGTTCAATAGTTAATCTCTCGAGGTTTTCCGTCTCAAATAGACAACAGCATCGTATGGATGACAAAGTGCAGCGATTACCTTCTCAAGCATATCGTCCTGAGCGCGCAATTTGCTTTCTTTGAAATCCTCCAAGAGTTCCTTGCATTCGCTGTATTGTCTGTCCAAGCTAGACACCGTTTCCTTGAGACTCTCGCTCAAAACCTAACGACAACGCAAAATTTACAGTTTTCAGTATGAGTTTGTCGCGTACAAGAAGCTGACTAACGCATTTGCCAACAAATGGTCAGAAGAAGCGGTGCGGTACCTTGATTTTTTGGCGCTCGTCGATGGTGGTACGAATCCAATGGCGCAAGATAGTTTTGGATTCCTCTGCAGGGACCTTCACCAAAATCATAGTTCCCAAGATTGTCTATCAGAATATATTACAAACCTTTGTAATGTAAGTAATTAATAATAGTAAATACAGTCCGGATTCACGTTTAGTAAACTTTTCCTTACTTTTTGCTTTGTCTCCTTTCCGCCGATCTTATTCGTCACTGATCCTGCCCATGTCAGCTGTTATTTATGGTGACAAAAAAAGAGCTCCTTGGTCAGTCTCGACACGCTTTTGCATTCAACTGATGTTTTTCGCCACAAAAAAAATACAAAATAAAAAAGGCGACAATTAGGTACCTCCAAGTCATCCAGAGAGTTCTTGGAAGGCCGAACACTAAGAGAGAGGTCCCACCGGTCACCCTCATTTTTTGCGACACCCTTGAACGCGTCCCCTGTCAAGGATTCGTACAAGTTCCTGTTGACCATGTCCTCACACCGAATCTGTCGCTGCTCCTCCCAATCTTTCTTCATCACTAGACATAAAAACAATAGAGAAAAAGAAGAGAAGTGAGTGGTGGCGGGTTCGCGTGAAGGTGTCATCACAAGTCCAGAACAACAGCGCGCAAACAAAAGCTGGCACGACAAAAAAAAACCGTACGCATCCCCTCCCAGTAAGAGGTATAATCCATAACGACGATCTTGCAGTGCTTCTCACTCGCGCCTCGAGAAACTGGTTCCCATATCGTTTGAATCGCGTGGTCGGATTTGGAGTTGTTTGGTTGGGGAGTTGTGCCACTGGTGGAAGTGGTGAAGCCATGGATATGGAACTGCGACACCTCACGGTCGCCCATAGTTCAATTGAATCGAGAAAGAGTTGCGCTTTTGTAAAGAAAGTTGATGTCCGGTTGATTGTTTTTTGGGAGGCGGCAGGAGCTGAGTGTCGATGAACGAGGACACGTCTTAGTTGGGGGTGAAAAGAAAAAGGAGAGGGAGTGTGTGAGCTACCAATGGTGGCAAAAGCATGTCGAAGACCTACTCTACTCCTCTCTGAAAGCAGTCACTCAAAGAGCGAGGCTCGATCGCAGGGGCAGGAAGTGTTCAAGAAAATGACCTTTTGTGGCCCTTCCCGTTCTGTTTTGTTTGCTACTTTTCCTTTCCTTCGTTCACATTCATTCTCCATGGCAAAGGACACCCTGCAACTGGCCGCCGAGGTACAAAGATCAACATACGGCTTTTCAGTTCACCCATTCAGAAGAACGATCAGTTTCATTACTTCACAAGCTGGAGGCGATTCAAATAAATTCCTCTACCACTTCTACACAACCAACACTAGCCATCAAAAGATATACCCCTCCAGACAATGCCATACCAACCCCGTTCATCATCAACATCGCCGCCGCCGCCGGCAGATTGTATGCCCTGCAAGTTAGTCGGCTGTGCAGGCTTTGGCGGTCTTGGTCTCTACTCCTTCTATCAAGCTCAGCAATTACCCAAGAACCTTGTCGCCCGTCGTCTCGGCCTCGGTGCCATGGGAACTGGTACGCATTGCTGATATTCTGAATTAGTGACCAATTTGCATTTTTAACCAACGTTTGCGCCAATTGACATTTTACTCGTTAGCATTTATCGGCGCCGCGATCTACCGTCTGACCATGCCCATCCCACCTCAACAACCCGCAAGCGAACAATAGACAACTCTACTTTTTCACAACATCCTTCCCTTTCTCCGAAAATAAAGAAAGACGACATGCGGCAAATGATACAAAGTGGATCCAGTTGTTGAAAAAATATATTTTTGGTAAAAATCGATGTAGATAATAACTATATGTGCGTGTAAAATGTCTTCTTCTTCAGGGTGCTTCTTCTCCAGGGACCACGTAAAGAGCATTATGTGCTCCATCGGGTTTTTGGTATTTTTGTAATAGAAAGATTAAGGATTATTTTTTGGTGTGGGGAATGGATGGGCGAATGTAAATAACGAAACAAAAGGGATAAAACTCAGAAGCGACTACAATTGCTTGCTTTACAGCTTGCCAAAGTAAACCTCACGGAGGGTCTCGTGAGTATAACGCTTCTCGGGATCGGTCTCCAAAAGACCGCGGATAGCCTTACGGGCATCGTTCTCCTGGATGGCCTCAAGGGCGGGCTCAAAGGCGGTACCCTCTTCGCTGGACAACTGGAACTCGGCGAAGTTGGAAGACGAGAAGTAGGTCTTCTTGGTGTGCAACTCGTAGAGGATCAATCCGAGCGACCAGCGATCCATGGAGACCGAGGCCAAGACGTTAGCATCGGTCTTCTTGCGTCCGTTCAAGATCTCAGGGGCAGCGTAGGTGACAGTGGTAACGGTAGTATCGACCGTCTCGCCAACGAAGCGGGCATGGCCAAAGTTCCAGAGCTTCCAGACCAACTGACCGTTGCCGTCCCTGGCATCAGCACCGGGAGCACCCTCGAGGTAGAACGAGGCAGGGCGGACGTTGAGGTGGACGACGTGGTGCTCGTGGCACCAGCGGAGGGCATCAGAAAGGGAAAGGGTCATCTGGCGGATCTGCTGGGAGGACAAGGTCTCGGTCTGGATGTACGACTCCAAGGTGCGGGAGAAGGAGCCCAAGATCGAGACGTAGCGGTATTCGGCGAAGGTAGGCAGGGAGTACAAGGTATAGAGTTCAGAGATGTAACGGTCAGACTTGAGGTGCTGGAGCATACCGGCCTCACGCTTCCAGTGGGGTTCAGTCTTCATCCACTTGATCGTGCGGGCAGCCTGGGGGGCCTTGGTCTCCTCAACGTGCGAGTAGGCAGTCTCATCAATGTTGACGGCACCAGCGCCGATCATCTTGAACTTGGAGAACAGAACGGTTCCGACAGCAGCGGCAGGGACGGCAGACGAGGCATCAGCACGCTCGTAACGCATGATGGACAACTTCAAAGTGATCTGGGTCTTGTTGGCAGCCTGCTCAGCAGGGGTCAACTGACCGCCACCGACAACGCGGGTCGTGGTCGTGGACTGGTGGTTGTTTCCGATCAATTTGGCGCCGGCGCCGACAATGACGGCACCGCCGGGAATGCGGAAACCGCCATCCTCGGTGCGCTCGACAACAGTGCGAACCTCCTGGCCATCGGGTCCGTTGGTGATATGGTAGTAGATAACCTCTCCGGCCTGGTTGCGCTCAGAGACGATGCGGATCTGCTCGCCACTGCCAGAGGTAGTGGTAGACGAGCCCTCGGTGACGGTGCCGCCAGAGACGGTGCGGGTGGTAGTAGTAACATTTCCGGTAATGACGGCGCCAATGACCTTGCGAATCTCTCCAGTCTCGGTCTTCTCTTCCGTCACATAGCGCAGCTCACCCTCGGGTTCCTTGACGGGGATGTGGACAAACTCTCCAGTCTCCTCGTGGCGTTCAAACTTGGTGCGGATAGCGTTTCCGTTGTACTGGTCAACAATCACGTAGCGGATCTCTCCAGTCGAGGTGCGCTCGGTGACAATGCGAGGTCCCATAATAACACGAGTGACGGTGTTGCCGGTGATGACGCCGCCAACGATGTAGCGGATCTCACCCGACTCGGAGCGCTCGGTGGTAACGTGGCGGAGCTCGCCGGTCTCCTCGTTGGTGGGGATAAGGCGGATCTCTCCAGAGGAGGTCTTTTCGGTAATGACACGGATGGCGTTGCCGCTGAAGCCACCAACAATGATGTAGCGGATTTCGCCAGTCGAAGTACGTTCGGTGACAATGCGGGTCGAGGAAGAAACTGAGGTAACGCCGCCGGGAATGGTGCGGACACCACTGGACTCGGTGCTCTTGGTAATGGCGCCAATGGCGCCTCCAGCAATGATACCTCCAACGATGTAACGGATCACGCCAGAATCGGAGCGCTCAGTGGTGACGTGGTGAAGTTCGCCGGTGGGCTCGTTAGTGGGGATGTAACGGGTCTCGCCAGTGGTGGTACGCTCAGTGATGACACGGATGGCATTGCCGCTGAAATCGCCAGCAATAACCTGGCGGGGTTCGCCGTTGGGGCCACGCTCAGTCACAATACGGGTCGAGGAAGTAACGGTGGTGGTGGTGGTCTTTCCAGAATTAGATTCAGTACGGGAAGTAGCGACATGGTGAGCAACACCGGCACCGACGGCACCGACGATCAAGCCTCCAATGATGTAGCGGATCTTTCCGTTCTCATCACGCTCCTCGATAACATGGCGCTCGTCACCCTCGGGGTGCTCGACAGGGATCAAGACCTCCTCGCCAGACTCGGTGCGCTGGGTGATAGTACGGATAGTGGTGGTTCCAGGGACAACGCCGGTCAAAACATGGCGAGCAGTGCCAGTCTCGGTGCGCTCAGTAATGACAGTGCGGCCGCCAGTGCCAGTGGTGGTGTAGATGCGGCCTCCGTTCTTGCTGGTGGTGACAGTGGTCTTGCTGGTGACAATCTTCTCAGACGATTCGTTCTTGTGCTTGTTGGCAACGACAGCAGCAGCGCCGCCCAGACCGATAGCACCGGCAATAGCGCCAAAGATTCCAGTACGACCGCCAGAGGTGGTAGTCTCGGTAGTAGTTTCAGTAGAAGTGGTAGTCGAAGAGGAGCCGCCAACAGGGACGACACCGCCGGGGCCAGTGGGACGAGGAGCGTTAGTGGTATCGGTAGGTCCACCAGGGACGGGGACAACGTGAGAGCCGCGACCAGTCGAGGTCTCATCATCGATTTCAGTCTTGTCGGAGGGACCGCCGGGGACTGGGACTGGGACAACATGGCCGTTGGTGACCTTCTCTTCAGACTTGTTCTTGTGGTGACCAACGACGGCAGCAACAGTACCAGCAGCAATAGCACCGCCAATGATGGCACCAGTGTGGTTGTGCTTGCCGTTGGGAGTAGCGCCAGTGGGGGGAACGTTATGACCAGAGCCAGAAGGACCAGGAGGGAAGGAAGAGTCGCCAGAGGGACCGCCAGGGTAGTTGTTACCGCCGGAGGGACCACCGGGGTAGTTGCTGTCACCGGAAGGGCCGCCAGGGTAGTTGTTGTTGCCAGAGGGGCCACCAGGATAGTTGTTGTTGCCGGAGGGGCCACCAGGGTAGTTGTTGTTGTCAGAAGGACCGCCGGGAACAGGGACAGGAGCGACATGACCGTGGGAGACCTCCTCTTCGGACCTGTTCTTGTGATGACCAATAGCACCAATAATAGCACCACCAGCAAGAGCACCGCCAATGATGGCACCAGTGTGGTTGTGGGGAGCACCACCAGTGGGAGGAACACCCGAACCGTTTCCAGAAGGACCGCCAGGGAAGTCGGCACCGCCAGAGGGGCCGCCGGGGTAGTTGTTGTTGCCAGGGGGTCCGCCAGGGAGGTCCTTGTCCTCAACGACAACCTGATCCAAGTCGCCAATAGGACCAAGGGGGGCAAGGGGGGGAATACCGCCGCCATGGTGGTTGTTGTGGGTCATCTCGGGACCATTGGGGCCACCAGGAGCACCGTACTCGTTCTCCTCATCGCGTCTTCTGCGACGACGAGCAAAGACAAAGAGCAAAGCAATCAAGCAGATCAAAGCAATGGCTCCGATAACACCACCGACAATGGCACCAGTGTTGCCATCGCCCGAAGTCTTGGAACCGCCATCACCAGGAACAGGAAGGAGTCCACCGCCGGGGGCGGTAGGGAGAGGAGTGCCGCCGGAGATGGTACCAGTAGCAGTAGGGGGGACAACAGTGGGACCACCGGAGGGGATGCCAGTGGGAACACCGGTGGGTGGGGCAGGGATCCAGGATCCGCCACCGCCACCGCCACCGCTGCCACCACCGCTTCCGCCGCCGCCGCTACCACCACCACCACTACCACCACCACCGCTTCCACCACCATCACCACCACCGCTGCCGCCGCCGCCACTACCACCACCACCACCGCTTCCACCACCATCACCACCACCGCTGCCGCCGCCGCCACTACCACCACCACCACCGCTTCCACCACCATCGCCACCACCGCTGCCGCCGCCACTGCCACCACCGCCGCTTCCGCCACCGCTGCCGCCGCCACCACCACCGTTGTCTCCGCCAGTAGGAGGAACATAGATAACGGTAGGGGGAGTAGGGGAGACTGGGGGAATGGGCTCGCCGGGCTTGAGATTGGTCGAGCATCCGTCGGGATTGGTGCATCCACCATACACGATGATACCGGTACCGCAGTCAGCGACGGTATAGTTGCTGTTGATAGGGGCACCTTGGGAGCGGGGGATGATGGTATATGGGGGAGAGCCAGTGGCGTTGACGGACCAGACACCGAGACCGTCATTGTTCTATATGGGAGAAGAGAAGAGTTGAGATGGTATGAAAGGGTTAGAGATACGTTATCATTAAGACGGATCTGGATTGTGGAACAGTTGATTGGCAAAAGATAAGAGACGCGTGACAAGCACAAAGGTGCACTCGGGCGTTGTTTTTTTACCTTGCCAAAGATCCAGATGGCACCACCATAGTTGACAGTGCGGGGTTCGCGAATGTCCAAAGCAGGGAGGGGCATGCACTCGCTGGTGGTCGCGACGGGGTTCTGGGAGGCAGTCCCAGCAGCGGTGATGGTGTAGTAGCACGACTTCTTGGGTCCAAAGAGGAGGTAGGTCTGGCCGTTGTTGGGAGCGCCAGCAACGGTCATGTCATTGGGGACGTTACTTTAAAAAGATATGAAATTAAGAGAGTAAACAGGAGTTAGTAACTTAGTGCATGGTATGTTGCATAGGTGCATGGGTGGCAATCAGAGAGATGGAAGTGAGAAACGGAGGCAAAGAAAAACTTACGGAGTGGACAACTCGTTACAGGCGTTGACCGTGTCGTTCAAAAGCTGAACGCCAGTCAAGTGACCGGTACCCTTGGCATCAACCCAGTTGATGAGGATGTCATCAATGGTAGCCTGCTGGTTCTGGTAGACCATGGCGGCGTTGTTGGGGTAGGTGAGGGTGCAGGGGATGCTGCGGTAGGTCCAGGTGCGACCCCAGTGATCCCAGATGGCGATACCGCCGAGGTACTGGACGGCAAAGTGGTTGGTGGAAGTAAGGAAGCACTGCTCAGTGTAATAGGGCTTTCCACCGCCGGGGTAAGGGAGGGAGATCCAGGGGATGGTGGTCCAGTTGGCGGAGCACATGGACTGCTCGATAGCGTAGAAGACGAGGGCTCCCTGGGAGTCGTAACCGATCATGTAGGTGATGTTCTTGACCTTATCGATGACGATGCATGGCTTCTGGAGCACTGGTGGGGGTTCTGGGTGCCATTTGCCCTGAAGACCGGCTGAGAAGGGCGGAATAGGGACAGGGAAAAAATAAAAAATAGACAGAGTTGGATATGGTAAGCATCATGCATGAGGGTTGTCAACAGCACCATTGGTGCCATGTATTGATATAATGGAGGCGCAAAATAGTCGCAAATCAAAAAAGAAAATATCCGTCTATCTGTCTGACTTGTATTGATTTTTTTTTGATCGAGAGCATCAAAACAGAACACAGAGGGGAAAGAACAACAAAAAAAAGCAATAACAAGGTGCATGAGCACTATTTTTTGTGTCTGGTGCGTTCGGCCTTGAGTAACTGGGGGGCAAAAAAAACATGAGCGCGAAAAAGGAGCCCTGCTTGCGATAGGGCAAGCATGAATGGAAGTAGGGGAAAGGGAGCCCAGTGCAGCGGCGAAAATTAAGAATGAAAAAAAGATGGGTCCCAATATCCAGTCATAAGAGGGAAAGGCGCCAGGGTGGCACTCTAATGGAGAAGGTATTGAAAAGGAGTGGGGAAATAGGGGACCAGGAGAATAAGAAAAAGCGGTTCGAGCGCCAGAGCTGTGGCCTTGAGGCTGAATAGCTAACTCAGTCAGGTACCAAATGGGAGAGAGTGGCATAGGACTTGGGTCTCACACGAAACAACTGATTGAAACCACACGGCAACCCAAAAAGTTTCCCGTTCCTGGAAAATAAAAATATCACTGGCGAATGAGAACAATCCGTATTATGAATAGAATAGATTGAATACAATTCATATCACATATCACACATCCACCCTTGAGTGGATGATGGGAGAAAGAAAAAAAAGGCATATCAACCGTTTGTGGTTTAGAGGAAAGGGGAGAACAGGCAAAAGCCAGGGGGGATCTATCCTGCGGAATGAACGGATGAGAAGGGCATACTGCACACACAAAAGGAGCAAGGAGAGAGCGAGAAGAAGGGAGATGGGGACGGGGACGGGAACTATGGTGGTCTGGGCAGGAATATGTGATGTCCTCGGGCAGTATCGCTAATCCAAGCAAAACAAACAAACAAGGAAAACAAAGACAAAAGGCCAAGAAAAAAATGCGCCAAAGAGGTCATGAAAATCAAGCCTGCTCAACCCAACGGTTCCAACGGAACTATTTTGATGTTGCTTTGTGGCCATTGAAAACAAAAAAATCTTCCTCTTCACTTTGTACTCAGTGCGAGTTGGGATAACGGGCGAAGAGAAAGAAAGGAAAGGAAAAGGGGAAAGGTATGCAATGGGCAATTGGAGGTGACAGATGATATGTAGGATGACAGGGTGCAGTGTGCAGGCAATTGGGAGGGTGAGAGCAAGGGCGAGAGAGTGTGTATGTGTATGGGTGTGTGGGTGAGAATCTAGGTGTATCTGTGTGTGAGCGAGAGGAGAAAGAGAAAGGAGAAGGTAGCAGTAGAGTATCCTTACATTCGGGCATGAGGACTTGTGCCATGGTGGGTGCAGCGAGCAGAATGGAGGCGACGAACGAAGCCATGGCGGCTTTGTTCTTCTGGATGTCCATTGTGAGGAGGAAGAGGTAGAACTGCGGTTCTGTGAGTGTAAAGAGGAGAGGGAGAAAAGAGAGAGAGAGAGTGAAGTGTTGGGAGAGAAAGAGGAAGAGAGGTTAAAGGAATGTATTAATAGGGTATAAGGATGGGTCGTAGTTCCTCCCAGTGTGAATGTGGATGGGAGAAAGGGAAAAGGGGAAAAGGGGAAGTGAGGATGAAGTGAAGAAAAGAGAAGAGAAGAGAAGACGAGTGAACTCGGATGGTAAAAAGAAGAAGAGAAAGGCGTGAAAGGGGGAAGGGGGAAGTAAAAAGAACAACAGAGGGGAAAAGCCAAGAGACTCGGCCAGGAGGGGTAGAAAAAGGGAGGGATGGATGGCTTGGGTGCTTGGGTGATGATGGTGTTGGTATCGTATTGGTATAAACGGGATGGGATGGGTTCAGACGAGGTGGACACCAAGGTACACAAACGAACGGATTGGTCTGTCTAACTCTTTCTCGTGGGGCGGAAGTTGGTTTGTTGGTTGAACAAGGAGGTGTGGTGTTTGCCAGGCTTGCAGGCAGGGAACATGATCACACATATCCACTCACTCTGTCACTCACTCACTGTTCAACGCGCTTACACTTTGCTTTGTGCGGATTGCTCTCGCTTCTTTGTGCCTGGCTACTGAGTCTGGGATGGACCGGCAACGAATTTCCAGGGGACAGGTTAGCAGACAGGGGTACGGCAATCAACTTGTCTTAAAAATTATGCAGAAGCGTTCCTTTGGATGGCACTTGGATACAAAGAGAATACCAGTTGATGAAAGGAAGTCGGTTGGCGATGGAGTGTTGTTGTTGTTGTTGTTTTGGAGGGACACCGAAAGAAATAAGGGCTGGTAAGTGTATGTGTGGCGGAGATGCGACTGAGAAGGATGCCCTTGATGGTGCGAAAGTGGATTTATCTATTTGATTGATATCTCGCGACAATTGGGTACAGGGCTCAAAGTATTATGTAGTGCGTAGTGTAAAAGCAGCGAAAGAAAAAGAAGTATGAACACGAATGCCTGTGTGTATGTCGACAGAGCGATAGAGTGAGTGAAGATGTCCTCGGGTGGAAGGGGATGAATGAGCAAGGTACAGTATGGTAGACTATGGTACAAGGGGAGGTGGAGTATGAAAAAAACAAGAGAAAAAAATATTATGGCTTTGGAAGGTCGGGATGGGATGAATGCTCACAACCCAATGGTTTATATAAATAAATTTCGTTTGCTTGTCTGTCTCTCTGTTTGAATGGGTTGAGTGGTTGAGTGTGTGAGCAAGCCATTATTGGAGTGCAATGAATGGGATGGGGGAAAAGGTCTAGTCTTTCCTCTCTCAGGAAAAAGCTCGCTTGCTTTCATCCTTTTTTTCTGGCTCCCTTGTGTCATTGTTCTTTATTCCTCCCGTCATATGCATCAGACCAAGCAATTGTGAGCTATGGCGTCCTTATTTCTTCTGTGTTGTTATTGTTTGTTGATGCTGCCTACTTGACAGTTGTCCGACGATGATGCTGAAGACACCTACAATGGGATGAGGTGGAGGGAGAAAAACAAGTCGGACTAAACTTTCTTACGGGATTGTTGTTGCTCGTTTGTTTGTTGACAGGGATGTTTTACTTTTTGGAGACCAGATCCAGAGAAAAAACACAAGAATATATATGCATGAACATCGGCCCTTTTGTTGTTAGACTACCCGCAGTTACAGGTTGCAGCTGTTATGTGCTTCTCTGTCACCAATTCTTGAATCATCAACAACAACAGCGATGGATGGAGGTGCCTTTTTTCAGACGCCTATCTGCTTGCTGTCGAGAGCTCTTGTCACGTCGGGTTGGTGTTCAATAGGTCATACTGCCTCGATCGCCTTTCTTTCATCTCAATGCTCACTTTCACCTTCTTTTCCTTCGTGCGGTACATCTTTATTTTCGTGCGGGTTTGCTTCATTAGCAAAGCAATTTTCTTCTTTAGCGTTTTCTTGCTCTCTGCAACCCTCTTCCTTTCATGCGTCGTGTGTGTTCTTCTTCCCAACGCCTCTCTCTCTCTCTCAGTATGATGAGCAGGCTGCAGACCGTCCATAGACTATCTCTCTTTCTTTTTATTTCACTCATCCCGCCAGTGCCAGTAACGGGGATCAAAAAATATGAATGAACAGTGGAGACAAAGAAAAGATCATCCTGAGCACCCATCCTTTCCTTCTGCTGCTTCTCCTCGGACTCTCGCTCACGCGAGAAGGAGAGAGCGAACTCAAAAATGAGAGTGAGAAAAAGAAGAACAAAGAGAATCGTCCATCAAGCAAAGAACCTAGCATTAGCTCACAAAGACCCCCCTTACAAACGTCAATGAGGAGATATTGCATAGAAATTGAACATGGCGATGGCAGGTGAGCACCGGAACTGGGACCTGTGTCCTCTCCCAATTGGCCACCCCTGAAAAGAATAACTATAAAATAGAAAACCCAATTTTCTTTTCTTTCCTTTTCTTTTGTACTTCGTCGGCATGGGAAGAAGGTCTTCCACAGCAAATTCAAGAAAACACGCCCCCTTCCACTAGCACCATTGTGGCCGATTTTGTCGTTGTTATCGCCGTTCGTCGCCGTTCGCACTATTTTTTTTGTTCAAACAACCCCCGCTCTATTATTTTTGGTTATATGTTGGAACTCCTCCCAGCAATGGATGCCATAATACACACGTCAGCCAGCATCGGCATGGCGGCAACCTTTTTTTTTCTTCTCTTTACATCGTCCCTTACTTTTACAAAGGACATCAACAAATCCTTTTTGTGCCTGTTGGTTGAGAAGAGTCGCTTTGAGATTATTGTGTCCATCCCATGGTGTGACAAGAAAACCCCCGAAATTCCTTTCACCCTTTGCCCTGGCGAATTGCGCAGAAGAGACAAGGGGTGAAGGGAATTTGATAGTCCATGGGCATCACAGTTTTCAGGTGCGAGGAAAGTTCTCTGTCCGGCCTGCATCGTCCATCCTCCTTTTTTTCTTTTCCTCCGACCACATCTCTTCCCTTCAAGAAAAGTTGTTCTTCGATCCTTCATCCATTCATCCATGCGAGTAAGAGTCCCAGGCAAAAATGAATCTGTGATTGAGGTGACACCTGTCCCTATTCCTTCCTCCCTGTCCTTGCCAAAAATACACCCACCCTATCCCGCTAGGGTTCCCTTTCCTTACTCTTGGGGACATTTCTCTCCCTCGTTTGTTTTTAGCCCCTGGCTTTGGCCCTGAAAAAAAATTGAGAATGCCATCCCCCTTCTGTTACTTTCTCGCCATCCGTCCATCACAAAAAAAATATAGATTGCTACCGAGACTGACAGTTTGCATTGAAGGGAAGGAGAAGAGGAAGAACTCATGTTTTCATCGTCATACCTTGCATGCAACCTAAAATGGCACTCCCTGCTTGTCATCCCCAATCTCTAAAATGTGCGAATGGCTGCAGGGTAGGTAACCATTTATCAATGGAAGATGGGATGGAGTAGAAAAAAGGAACATGACATGGCATGGCATGAACATGAGTAGAAGAGACCTCTTCCTCCCTCGATCACCTTGACCAAGGCGAACCGACTTTGACATATTTCGCGATACTGGCATGAAGGATGGCTTCCTCCTCTTTTCTCATGCCCATTCGCCGATGATAACGACCTAGGGGAACAATAGGCAAGGTGCTGCCATGTTGGATTGCGCAATTACCAATGCCCATGTCCCCCCTCCTTTTCCCACTGCACTAGTCTCGCTGCACCAAAGAAAAAACACTAAAATAACTTTACCCGCGGAACTCAATTTTTTTTTGCGCTTCCTTTCTGCCCTTTTGATAGGACCCGTACCTTTGATCGACAGGCTGCACTGTAGTTGCTTTTGCGTATGTGTCCGACATGCCCAGGAGCATTTTTTTCGACAGTATTGCTTCCCTGTCTGTCTATCTGGTCGGGCAAAACACGAATCCAAGATCTGCACTTGTAAATTTAGACCATGGGTAATTGAGTGCACCGTCCGTCTCAGCTTGGGCCTTCTTCCTCTTCGTCTTCTCTTTTCTCGTCTTTCTGTCCTGTGTGGGTCCGCCATGCAGCTTCATCAAGATGATATGTGGTCTCCCTTTTCTTCCCTGGGGTTGATCCTATTTCTGGCTCACATACACTGCATAAGAGAAAAAGTTGTTGTTTTTTTTTTTTTTTTTTTTTTTTTGGTGGGCCCTGCCAAACAACAACTGGTATTTTTTATTTTTGCCTCCCCGCCACCCATTTGCTCCAGACCTTGGAGAGAAGATTGCATACGCACAAAAAAAAAGCAAAAGCTTGAACGGACCCACGAATCCTCCCGCGAGCATGAGCAAAGCTTTTTTTTTTTTTTTTTTTGGCTTTTTTTTGGCTTTTTTTGTAACCGTCAGCGAAATTTTATCCGAGTTTCTTTTACTACTGTACTTCCTCTTCTTTATTTGCTTTGCTTTGCTTGTCTTTGTTGTTGTGTTGGGTGTTGCGTTGTTTGTTTTGGCGTGTCAAAGTCTAGATTTCGCTCATAGCCACCCACTGTGAAGAAAAACAAATGAAGAGTCGAATCGACAACTTGTTAGAGTGGCATGGCAAGGGGCGCGACACGCTCATGATGATAAAACAATAAAAAAAAAAGGTCCTCTTTCTTCGCCTCGCTCTTGACAAAGAAAAGGAGATAACAACAAAAGTTACCGCTGTTCGTAACCCCTTCTTTTTTTTTCGTCCTTGTTGTCACCTTTTTCCCCGCGCAGAAAATGCAGGGCGAGGCTTAGCCATCAACGACTTCCCTCCAAAAGGCAAGGCAGGCGTCTCTAGAAAAGTGTCAATAAAAGAAAAGAAAAGAAAAGAAAAAGGTAGCACTAACGAATGGCGACATGATAGCCATCAAAAGCTCGTCTACTCTTTTTTTTTATTACTTCCTCCTTCTTCTTACAAGTTTACACCCCTCCTACACCTCCACCACCTCCTGCACCACCACTAAAGTACTGAACAAGCCACTTCTGCTGCTCAACCAACTGCTCCCGAAACAGTTCCTGTTGTCGTGTCATTTGCAACTGTAACCGCTGCTCCAACTGTATCTGAGACTCTTGAAACTCGCGCCGGACTTCTTCTCTCATTTCTTTCTTTAGTCGCTCTAACAGAATCTCTCTCTGTTTCTTCCCTCCTTCATCCTCTCCACCTTTCTTCTCGGCAAAATTATGTGTCAGCTTTTGTGATAGGGTCGAGTCGCTCCTGCTGACGACTTGGCTCTGCTGCTGTTGTTGGGTTTGGAGTGTGGTGGTGGCAGTAGTAGAAGGCGAGTCTTCGCCTTGAAGGTCGCGTTCATAGTCCTTGACCTGCCGTGGTGTTGCCGAGTAATAAATCTCTCTCGGGAACCAATCGTGTGTCTCCCGGAACCCTATTTGTATCACAAAAAAACGGGGGGGGGAGGCTGTTAGAACACTTTCCAAACAGCTTTGTGTGAAAAATGTATAAGAGAGAGAGGGGGGCTTTACCTGGAATCTGATAGGACATGTTCTCGGCACTCTCGATGTACCGCAATCGGTTCTCGAGCCAAGTCAAATGCCACGTTCCATCACTCTCATTGAACGCCAGATTGATCAGCGCTATTGGTTGCATAACAATTGGTGCCAAATATAGTAGAGGGCGGAAGGAAACAAGTGATCAGTCAGGCACCATCACAAAGCGTAAACAATAGCTGCTGCTACCAAAGGTTCACAAAAGGATTCCAAAAACTTACCAATAAGCACATTCAACATGAGGATGACAGTGAAAAAGAAATAAACAATCATCATCGTATGGAACGGCCAATTATCCATATTCAACTGGTTATCGATCGAATCGTACCGTCCACCCATAAAGAAGTACGTCGACGAGATTGCGCTGTAAAAGTTCCGAGGAAACATCACTGCCTGGTTTTCTGGTAGCATCGCATTCAGTTCGTCGTCAGAAGGACAGGATTCGTAGATACATGCTCGAAGGAGATGGAGGATCGCGATGGTAAAGCCGAGGATTCCGCCGGCAAAGATGAAGAAGAAGACGCGGATCTCGGAGACGACTCGGATGATGATTGTTACAAAGTGACATACACTCTTGATCACCCTCAGTTCAAATAGCTAGTTGATTTGAATACAAAACAAAGTTAACTACGCGAGACGCACAAAATGTTCGAATCTGCAGAACAACGAGAGACTTACAAAGTGGAGAAAGATGAAAAGGACGGAGAAGCTGATAAGGCCAGGATTGGCGCCTCCATTCGACTTGCCCCAGATAATAAGCAACTGGTTCACACTGCCCGCCAGTGGGAGTCCAAACGTCGCCATATCCACCACATTGTACACCGACCTAAGTAAGTAACACACATATTCGTTAATAACATTATGGGAGTAGCATAGTGCGACGCAACAAACCAAGGTTTGGTTATGGGAATGGAAGGAGAGACTTACGAGATGTATTTTTTCTTTTCGTTGATGAGTTGAAGCAACTCGAGCCAGACAAAGATACTGGCGACCGAGATGATCACAATGTAGACGGGCGTCAGGAGCGGATGGCTACTGCTGTAGATCTGGATAAACACGGTCGTCAACACCAGCATGTAAAAACAGCATTGACACAAGAACCGCACCAGCCAATACTTGAACCCAATCGTATTCCTAATGGTATGCCGTTGCAAGAAAAATGAAGGCATTGGTAACCTGTCAAACATTGCAAAAGCGAGAAGAGGGTGAAAAGCGAGAACAAAACGAGAAAAGGTTACCACTTGTAACGGATGAGGGCGGCTATGGCGGGGTTATCGAACGCCTGGAGCGTGAATGGGTGGCATTCAACCTTAGCATTCCCATTCAACTTTAACTTCTGCCAGATCTGGAATGCCAAATTATACAGCCACGAGGCGCTTCTCTGGGCGCGCATCTCTCGCGCCAATACAGTCACCGAAGACACTGGGCTGCCATCCTTTTTCCGCCATAGCAAGTCGAACGATGTAACAAACAGGCTCCGTGTGAAGTTGTCGTTGATCGAGTTGGTATGTTTGATGGTCGTCAGTTGGAGGACAGGGTCCTTGCACTCGTGGAGGGGCTGTCCTTGGGTGTGCCACCAGAATTTGGGACGGAGCCGGAGTTCGGGCTGGAAGGCGATCGAGTGGTGGTCGAGGATGAAGGATCGGCTCTTGACAGGGATGTATGCCAGTCTCTGGAGTGTCTTCCGAGCGAGTTCTTGGCGTGGGCGTTCTTGGTCAATCAGCTCGGGGAGACACTGCATGATGGGTGACAGGAAGTGAGGGTCCTTTTCGGTCTTTGCCTGCTGGATACAATAGTCGATGAAGACTTTTGCAAGTCCGATGGCTCTAGGCTGGGTAGCCGTCTTGTCGAGGAGGATACAGAGTGGATTGGAACGCTTGTCAAAGTCATTCCGGGGAGCCCATGATCCATGAGGCGAAGCCAACAACTCGATCACAAACTCCTTGAACGAGTCATACACCTCTGGCCGCCAATCGATACAGATCTTGGCGAGCACGCTCTCTGTTGGGTCATCCGGGTTCGGGTAGCTGTTAATATGTCGACCAACGTATCGAAGGACCTCATTCCTGCAGGCCCCCGTGGTGCCTCCAAAGATATCGATCAGTGTAATAACACCGTCCAGAAACCGGATCGAGTTCCTGCGGGAGAAGGGTCGCTCGACAGGCATACACCAGACCATCTCCTCTGCCATGTAGTTCTGCGCATAGACCTGCTGGTGCCGACATACTCTCCAATGAATCCTCTCTGCCTTGTACGCAAGCAACAAGGTCAAGTCGCCCTCCAGTGTTGTCGGTAGCCCCCATATCATCAGAAACTGGTGTGACCGAATGACCAGTCGAGAACACGAATCCAGAAAGACGGCGTTGATGTGTCGCATATCGTACCCCCTCACAGGGATCGCCGGCTTTTGGACCGACAACACCCCATTCCTGTCGGTCACCGTCACCACCACAGTCGTCAACCCTCTATCCTCTTCATCTTGTGTTGTTACTGTACCAGCCCCGACAGCTGCCTGACAGATCTCGGCCTTAAACTGCAACCCTGTCGGGGAGGTATAGTCCGACTTCAGAGTCCAGGGTCTGACCAGATCAGTGCACCGCCCACACTTGGGATCCGACTTCGAGAACGGCCGGACAATCCTATCGTCCAAACGAAGCAGATCCAAGTTGGAGTTGTGAGCCGCGACCAAATACTGCCCAGACCCAACTACAGGCGAATGTTGCGCAAAATAATCCCCCGGAATCGAGAACCTATCCAAGACCGACATATTGACCGAATCCAGGATCAGCCCAAACTCTCCACGACCATATTCGGCATCCTGAAAGGACATGTTGACAATGATCTGGCTGCCTCCTCGGATGAACTGCAGATCTCGAATGAACTGGTAATACTCTTGGTCCGGCACCACAAACGAGTTCAACAACGTCCCCGATGCTGTCCAGTTGGTCGTTATGTAACCCTTCTGACACATCAACAAGATTGACCCATCATCCGAGAAAGTAATCGGCGTCCTGCCCTCAAACCGCCGATGCCCCAGATGTTCCGGCCAAGTGAAAAACGACACCAACGACCCATCCTCGACATCCCAGACCGACACCTCATTCGACTCATTACTCCACGCAAAATACCGGAACCGGAGGCCCGAAAACAACCTGGACGAATAAAGATCCTTCTCCTGCGGCAGGTCCAGCAAGATGGTATGTCGATGAGTCCAGGACTGATGAACGCCAAATACATGAACCGCCTGTCCATCACACGCAATAAACAGCTCCTTCTTGACCTTGGGACTCTTGCGCGAACTGATATGAAACTTGCCACGGCCCAGGAAGTTCCGAAGCTGTGGGTTATGCTGATACGTCGTCGCGGGGACCAAGTTCCCTCGTCCTGGAGGCGCCGTCCCAGGAGTCAACGATCGATCCGTGAAATGCTGAAACACTCGAAAGATACTCCTGTAGGTCGCCCGTTCATCCGCCGACAAGTGCACCGCTGAAGAATCAACCAACGTTACCTGTGAAGCATCCCAAGAGATCGAAACATCAATCGCACCCTTGGTGACTTTGCGAAACGGGACATGAATCCCTGCACAAGATTTCGGGGTGTAAGGGCCAGCCTGAACAGCATGTTGAGAAGGGTCGACTCCAGATTGTCCCGAGATGATACTGTGCTCGGCGGGGTCCCTGATATCCCAAAGGTCCAGAAGTAAATACCGGTCCGCACAAGAGAGTGTTGCTGCGTGAGATCCACTGCCAGATATGGCAAAGTGGAGGATCTCTTTTCCCTTCTTGACTTTCTTGTCGTCCTCTGGGTAGTGCCCCTGGTTCACATTGAGCGACCACAAAAACGGTCTATGCTGCCTCGTTGAAGGGTCTAGAAAGACAAGAGCACGGAGTTGAGCTGTAAGGATCGTTACACATAATAGGCTGTTCAATGTTGCACTAATGGCATAAAGAAGCACGTTACCATCGAGGTTGAGGCCGTAGAGGTTCCTGCGGATATCCATAAAGTGCAGCATGATCGTTCCTGCGTTCGATGGCACCTCAGCAGATGTCCGGATCTCCAGTTCAAATGTGACCGAATGTAGAGGTCTGTCTCGAGTCCTGGTCAATTGCTGGTGCAGCTTCCATCTCGACAATCCTCCTGTCCCTGCTCCTGCTCCGGATGCATCTGCCCCGCACATTCTTTTGAACTCTCTTTGCGTAATAATCTACATCATCAAGTAGACAAAAAATATGTCCTGGTTAATCCCAGTTATCGATTCTCACAGTCAGATCCAAAACAGCAAACCTTTGTGGCAAGCATTTCATACTTCGCTGGGCTCGATCTTCCAATCATTATAGATATCTCGCTTGAAGAGCGCAAAGGTAATGGACTCGATCCAGTCGATAGGTTGTTGTCCTGCTGTGGTCGAGATCCCGAGCACAATGTCATACAGTCCTTCATCAAAGTCGCTCGCTTTAAGTCGCCACTATGTCAGAGCAAGCAAGGCATGGGGGATAGAGAAAAGAGATGTGGAAGTTTGTGTCAGTTAAAATTTTCTTTGTGCTCTCAAGATCAGGTACACACACCTCGTTAACACAGACGCCGAGAGTAAAACACAAACAAAGAGACATTGGAGTAGAGAAGGATGAAGGGGGTGGAAAAAAGAGAGTGAAAGGAAAGCAGAGGTGCAACCTACTCACTCGAATGCTCCTTGTTGATGCCGTGATGACCACTGGGGGGTGAGGTCTAGTTTCGTTATCAAGGTATATTTGAGGTCAGTCCTTCTTCCTCATTCCCCATATATCTTTTCCTCCATGCTGCCAACTTGTTGGATGACGACAATGCTTACTTGAAACAGCATTGGAACTCGGATTCGTTCTTGGGTGGGCCTCCCGAAGTATCAACCTCAAACTCCTCAAAGTACCACCTCAACGCTAGCAATACGTCCATGCACAAATACAAAAATCAATGTGTTAGTTTCCTCCTGCACTTTTGCTGCGGCCTCTTCCATCCTACCCCTCCTCTCTCCCTCTCTCTCTCACACACACACAAACACAAAACAACCAGCAACAACCCAACGAGTAATGCACCTTACCAGCGTTAGAAGAAGGCAACTCGTCTATAATATCCTCACGATCATACAACACAACCTTCCGCGGAGACTCGGACTCTTCCTGAGCATGACCCAACAACGCCGCTGCATCATCATATCCTCCTGTCCCTCTTATTGTTGCTGCTGCATCATCCTGATCCTGCACTGGTCCCCTCTGTGCGTGTCCTTCTAGTTGGTGCCACTGTTGGTGGTGTTGACCCTGACCGATAGGATGAATATCCCCTGTGGAGTCTAAGATGTTCATTGAGAAGTGATCCATTCTGCCGTCGGATATGGAGGCGTATCCGGCGCCGTTATAGGTTTGGTAAAGTCTCCTTCCATCCATTCGTTTTTCGGCAGGGGTGGTGAAGAAGAAGGGAGAGAGGGAGGTGAACGTGGAAGGGAAGTGAAACGTGGAGAAAGAAAGAGAAAAGATAGAGAGAGAAAGAAAGAAGTGATAGTAGAAAAACAGAATGAACTTGATCGACTCCAAACGAAAATAGAAGGGCGCAACCAATTGGTTCGTCGTTGTTAGTGTTGGATGTCGCACAGATTCAGCAAGGCATCGCCTTTTTTTTTCTTCTCTTGGCTGGGTAAGAGGAAAAGGGATTGCAATTCATTCTGCATTCAAGAGTCTAGGCTCTTCTTTCTTTCCTTCTTTCCTACTAAAAATGAGGAATAAAGTCAAAGAGCGGCGTCCATGTAGAAGTCAGCCTTTGACTCTCTTTTCAACGCTAGAAAACCTTACCAATTGAAGAACCATAAGAGGGTGAAACTAAGAAGCTACTTTCACAAGAGCCACGTTTATCCTTCAGTCTAACTTATTTTCACATCCAAGTGTTGATAAAAGTTTAATACAAAACAAAAAATGCAAGCCTATGCACCATAACGGTTCTCGAGGTCAGAATATAAAGTCGCTTCAAACTTCGACCCAAACGTCGACTCGTCATTCTTACCACCAGCACCAACACCAGGAACCATCAACGTCCCATCCGTCCCCGTAACTCCTCCTGCGCCGCCAACACCAGTATTACCACCATTGGCAACAACAACCCCACCAGGATACAGGCCGGAATAGTTCATCGTCAGTCCAACGCCCATCTCGGCGAACCGTGTCATCTCACACTGACGGATCCTCTCCAATTGACACTTAAGCAGCTTGATCCCATCCTCGGCAGCCGTCAGGCTCAGGTGGTGGTGCTTCTTGGTGCCCGCTGCGACGCCAGGGTTCAGATGGTTTGTTGACGAGCATCCTGTCAATCCACCATTGTTGTTGCTGCTTGGAGGTGCAACGTAGCTCTCGCCCATCGAGACGGCCCCCACAGTGTTCGAGCTACCACCGCCGCTGTACGCAGGCTGAGCGACCAAAGTAGAAGCCCCGTTCGTCAACTGGTTATGACTGTTGTGTCCTCCACCATGCTGTCCAACAATCGCACTAATGACTTCATCCTGGCCATCCGAAGTCCACAGGCGAACCCTCTCACGATCCAACAGTGTTGCAACCAGCTTCAGGTTGCGATCCTTGACCACGGTGATCTGCTTCTTGTACTCTGTAATTGTCGACAGAAGGTGCAAATGGACCGAACGCAACTTGTCCATCTCGGCCGAGATCAGCGCATGCCGATCCAGCTCAGAGCCACCGGCCATCGATCCGCGGTCAGAGTACTCGTAGCTGGCCCGAGAGGGTGGTATCGAGAAGTTGTCCTCGTCGTTTTCGGACAATGTTGGTGGAGAAGAGACTCGACGAAGCACAGAGGCTCGCTCAGCACGAGAGATCGATAGAGACCGCGAGACAGAGTCTCGGTCACCACCGGCCTTGGATCCTCCTCCATTACCGACACCAACGTTTACATCATTAACGCTGTTGACAAGGGTGCCAGTGCTCTCTCCGGTGCTCTCTCCCTGACCAAGCCCTGATCCAACCAACGCAGTCGAATACCGGGAAGATGTTGCCAGGGCACGACTCTGGATTGAGCTCTTGCGGGCGGTATCGGCGCTCGAGATTGAGCCCTCATCGTCATCATCCAAGATCTTGTTCAACCCACCTCCGGTAATCTTGACCTCCCCGACAATCTCCCACACCTTCTCAACCTCGGCCTTGCGGTGCTGGATCAATCGATCGAGTTCTTGTTGGAGACCCCGGAGCTGGTTCCTGAGGGTGCCGACCTCATCATAAAGACCCGCGATCTGATCGTTCAAGTTCGACAGTTCCTGATCAGCCAACACCAACGAGGCCCTCGACTCTGCAAGCGACGTCTTGAGGCTGACGATCTGGTGCGTCGTCGTCATCTGGAGGGCATAGAGGGTCGAGCACAAAGACTGAATAAACAGCTTGTGGTCGCTAATGGAACACGACTGGGTGTAATGGTCGATAGACGCCGTCGACAGTCTCGAGTCGATCGCCTCCTGGTCATCACCCTCATCCACAACACTGCAAGAGTTCCTCCACAACTGCGAGCTCGCCCTCTCAGCATTCGAATTATCCTCCTCCGCCGCCATCTCGGCCGCCAGCTCCATCCCCTGAGCAACCGCAGCCGCTATAGCTTCCCTTCGTTTCTCTGTCGCCGCATCCTCTGGTTGTGATCCCTCGAGTTTGACCAGCAAACCCCTCAGCAGCTCCTGGGGCCCAATCTTGCGCATCAACTCCCTGACACGGTCCAGGTCCTTGAGCTTCGACTGCTTCTCTTCCCTGTAGTCCTGCAGATCAGTCTTGAGCTTGTTATAGTAGGTTGTCACAGACTCGGCCTGATCCATGAGCTCATTGAGCTGGCTCTGGAGTTTGAGCTGCTCCTTCATGAAGTTGGGCTGCGTATCGGCCTTGAACGGCTGCGAGACAATCTTCTCGACATTCTCGTCGAGTGTCTTTTGGAGGCCGTCGAGGAAGAGACACTTGCGGTAGATCTGTTCCTTGGCCCGGGTGCATTCCTGAAGGCGTGCATCGGCTTCTTCGGCATCCTGCGAGATCTCGGCCAGATTCGCCATGAGGATCTCAAAGACCAGCTCGATTTCCTCAAGGCTTGGGAACTCTTCTTGTGGATTGCCGTTATCGTCGATCGTGATGAAGAGGGGCTCGTCCTGTGGGTTGTGGGGTGCCTTTGAGACAAAGACCTTGGTGGTGCGAGGACGGATAATCAGAGAAGACGATGTGGTTGACGAGTTGTTGCCATCTGTGCCTGCTCCACCAGCACCGCCTGTACCAGTACCGCTGGCACCACTACCGTTCTGTGAGTCCGAGTTGGCAGCTTCCGATTGTCGAACACCCTCGAGCTCATGCATGGCCTGCTGCCACCTTTCCTTGAGACTATCGTTCGCCAGCTCCAACCTCGCTGTCTGGGCTCTAGACATTTCCAACTCGTGCTTGAGAGTCGCTACCATGTCTTGCTCTCCCTGGTCAGCCAATGGCTTGGAAGCGGACGCCTTGAGGACAAAGGACCAGTCAGCCGTCATCGGTGAAGAAGACGAGTCGCCATGAACCGTAACACTAGGGGTGACAATGCCACTCGCCAGACGTTGTCGCTTGATCTGCTCATCCTCCTGGACCATAATCTTGACCGCCAGCTCATCAACCAACGTTTGGACCTGTTCTCCTTCTTCGGCACGACCCAAGATCACCATCAAACTGTCGATCCGCTCCTCGCGGGACTTGATCTCGCCATCAAAGGCCTTGGACTGTTCCTCGATCAAATCTGACAGCTCGCTCACCAACAGATCGCGCTCCTTGATATCGCATGTCTTGGATGACAACTCCTGCTCGAGCAGGGATACCTTCTGCGAGAGGACTGCGATTGTGTGCATGGTAGGCTCTTCCTCCGTGGACGAGAGAATAGTGTGTGCTGTGTGTGTTGGAGAGGTCGGTCTTGGGATGGTATGCTCCTTCTCCTCATGTCCGACATGGCTGTCCTGGCCCGCCTTGACGGTATCGATTGACATCGCAACAGGAGAGGCAAATACCATATTTGGCCGAGGGAGTCCATCGAGCTTGCCATCAGTATCGTCGATAAGGTGCTCCTCGTCCAAGGCGGTGGTCGCAAGAGACGACTTTTCGTTGTCCTTCTTGATCAAGGCCGCCTTTGACTTGGCCAACGTGATGGTGCTTCCGTTCCGAGTGCCCGACCAGGAACCGCCCATCGCACCATTGACCAACCGACCCAAGCTGACAAGTCCTCGACGCTTCTTCTCCTCCAACTCTGTCTTGAGTCCCTCATTCTCAGCCTCGAGTTCCTCCAGTTGCTCAATCAGCCGGGTATAGATGCCATACAAACCAGACACCTTGGACTTTTCAGAATCATACGACGTCAATACAGTCAAGTTCTGTCGCGTCATCTCGTCCAGTTCCGTCTCGTAAAACGTAATCACGTCCTTGTACTGCTCCTCCGTGATCATAAGCAACTCGTAGGTGCTCTCCAGTTCGAACTTGAGGTTCTCCAGACTCGACACCAGATCTGCATTGTATTCCTCCTGCGACTGGACCTGACCGTTGGCGCCCTGGTTGTCGGGCGACCAGCCGAGGAGGATCTGGTCAGTGATGTACTGGAGGGAGGTCTCGATTGAGACCGAGGTGTGGTTCTGGTAGTGTTCCAGGTTCTGTAGGACCTGGTTGAACTGGAAGTCGACCTCGTGGAGTGTCTCGGGTAGGTTAAGGGGCTTCAAGATACTGTCGCGAGCCTGGTACGCTGGGACCACCGCCTTCGTTGTTGATGACCCAGACTCTGTCGATTCACCAGGCGCTTGCTGCCTTCCGCTCTCTATGAAAAAAAAAAAAAAAAAAAACATCATCGACAAGAAAAGTAAGCGCGTGTTAGTATACCATAATAGATAAACGAAGCACCATCTAATTGACAAAGAGAAAAAAGAAAGGCGTAACTTACCGAGGATGCGCCTCATTTCTTCTGACTGCTCACCACGGACGACATCGAGAGGCTTCAGTCCTTTGGTGTTGCGTTGCTCGATATCAGCGCCCTCCTTTACAAGGACACTAACAACCTCCAACACCCCACCATACTCGACAGCAAAGTGCAAAGGCGTATTTCCATGTCTGTCAGCAATGTTGACCAGGGACCCCAAACGCAACAACAGCCGGCAGCAGTCTGCCAAGTGCTTGGACGCCCTCTGAATCTCCTCGGGGGATGCAGTCTTGACGGCGCCCGTATCGATGAGAGTTCCATGTGGGTGACGAGGACCTGTCGACAGATCGTTCGAAGAAGTGGTCGATGCCGCAGAGGAACCCGGCTGGTCCTTTCCGTTGGGAGTCAAATGGTTGGACGATGCCGACCCATTGGTGTCTGTACGGTAACGGTTCTTCCTGCGATGCGCTCTCGACTCTTCAATGTTCGTCGCTATATTTGCGCCGTTGGTGGAGGCAACTACCATCGCCTGAGTATTGTGGGCTGCGGTTTGGGTATCATCCATGACGGGCGACAAGGCGTGTTCAAGAGAGAAGCGGCAGAGATGGTGAAGTGCAGTACGTCCATAATGACTCTGAGCATTCATATCTGCTCCTGCCTGATACAAAATCTTGACTGTTTCCATCGATGGCAAGGGTCGAGTCCTGAGGGCGTGGTGCAGTGGAGTCAGTCCTGTTTGGGGATCATGATGGTTGACAAGTGCCACATTCGGTGTTCCTCCACTTCCCCCACCAGCAGCAGCCGACCTCCCATTTTCGTTCAGAGTTGGCGGGGACATCAAAAGCGACTGTAACGACATAAAGTCGCCCAACTTGATCGCCTCCAAGAGCGCAGTGTGGGTTGTCTTTTGGATCTGCTGAGCGAGGGCGACTTCTGAGGATGACTTTGGGCCTGCATTTGCTGTTGATGGAGTCGATTGTTGAAGGGTGAGGGTGCCGTCCTTGGAGGTGATAGTCTGTGCAGCGGGCAGGGAGGAGAGGAGCGAGGACAGTTTGGAGTAGTAGAGGGGGTATCGGACCAGACTCTGCGAAAGTGCGTATGGCAAAGCGGTGTTGTTAGATCCATCGGCGGAGCGGTCGAGGGCTGAAATAGTGGTGCTTACGGGTTGAGGGGATTCGGGAGGAGTCAACAGATGCTATTGTGACATGGCGCCATGTAGAAACAGGCAAAAAAAAAGAGCAAAAACATAATTAGGGAATGGGATACGAAAGGCTTAATGCATAATGGCGCTTGGATCTCAGCTCAGCGAAAAGCAGGGTTATGCGACAAAGTCGTTAACACCCTTTCCCTTTGTTTTACGTTGCTTGCATCTTGCATTGTTTGCATAAAAACCATTGTATGTGGCCCTTCTCCTCATGACCTGTCGTATTCAATTCTCCCACGTCTCTCTTGGGCCTGGCTTTTTTTGCGACAAACTACAAAGAGGACTTACAAGAACTTCTGGTCGTTTGCACCGGAGGGTCTCCTCGAACATTTGGACGATTTCGGGATACATCTGGCCGTACTGGATCGAGGACCATCCGTTATTGTCTGTCTGATCGGGCGAAGCTCCATGCCTCAACAGTGTCGTCACCACCGCCATATGTCTATCTCTCGCTTTTATTTTGTTGGGAGAGGAGAATGAGGTGTTAGGGTGAGGAATAGGAGTGCGAATTGGTGTAAAGATATCAAGAGAGCGAGGTACGATAAAGCAAGGGACAAAGGGAATAACTTACCGGCATACATCAAGGCAGTGGCTCCCTTTCTATCGGTGGCATCGACATCGACTTTTCCAGCCTCGAGGAGACACCTGACAACGACTTCCTTTCCCAAGTAACTGGCGAGACAGAGTGGGGTGATGCCCTTGATCTCGTCCTGGGGTGCGTTGAGGGTCGAGAGGGTGATGGAGGGGTGGGGGAGGATGCAGTTGCGGAGGATGGAGAGGTGTGCGGGCGATGTCTGTGAGATGAGGGCCAGGTTGGCTGGGGTAATCGTTAATGTGTCCAGTCCATATACAGCACACAACAGCGGCGTCCTATTGTCCGTTCATTCATTCAGTGTTGTTGTAAGTTAGTAAGTAACTCAATGCTTGCTTGCTTGTAAAAGCATCCAAGTACCAAAAAGTAAAGAAGGGTGCCTGCTTTCCCTTCCTTTGTGCTTTTCTATCTCGCTGCTTTGTTTATCGCCGAATGCCTAACTCTGTTCAAGGTTCAAGACACTGTGCCTTTTTTTGCCTCCCTTTTTTCAACTCTCTCTTCACTTGCACACTCTCCTTTTTCTTATGTTTCGAGTGCACGCACACGCACACGCCTACGAAGACACAAGTACCAGTCTAGTACAAATCTTCGTGTTCCTGTGTTCCTGTTTGCTTGTCGCCTCCTTGATAGCTCTCACATCAATGCTCTCCCTCTATTTGTTCGTTCGTTTAACGACCATCTCGCTTTATTTTCCTGCCTTCCTCCCCCTCCTCCTTGTGTGTCCTTGTCGTTACACTTGCGTGTTCTTTGCCGTAATTGCATTGTACCCCATAGCACACGCCAACAAACAAAGCAAAGTCATCAGCAGCAGCAACCTTAACCAAAAAAGCAAAGCAAAGCAAAAAAAAAAGAACAATACATACCGTCCACGTCCATCCTTCTTATTCAAATCAGCCCCCGTATCAATTAAACACCGCACAATATCCTCATTGCCATTCAACACTGCCAGATTCAACGGTGTAGCGCCATAGAGAATATCATCGGGTTCAAAGTTTTCGGCCTGACGACCCATGATGGGTTGGATGGCATAGGCAGATTGACGAGGGGAACAGGCAAAGGTCTGGTTGGGGTCTTGGCCGGCTCGACAGAGTTCTTGGACGAGTGCGAGATCGTTGGATGCTACTGCTGTTGCGAGGTTCATCATCATTCCCTTGGTTTCTTTTTTTTTTGTTTTTGTTGGAGCTGGTGTATTTTTGGTCCGTGTTGAGAAAAATAAAATAGATTGGGTGTTGATTTTTTGCGGTTTTCAAATAGACTTCGTTTGTTGCGGGGATGGTTCAGACACAAGGTATTAAGGTAGTGAGACGAAAGGTCATTCAGAAAAAAAAAAAGGGCAATGAAGAGAAAAAGTAAATGCAAGTGGCACTCAAGGGTAATGGCCAAAGCTTGGGTATGGGTATGGAGAATAGGTAAAGGAGAACAAAGAGAAATAAGGAAGAGTGCAAAGGGAGAGGAGGACAGAGAGTAAAGAAGAAAGAAATGAAAAAAAGAAAAGAAAGAAGAGACAGAGAGAGAGAGAAAGGCGGCAAAATAAGACGAAGAAAAGCGCTCCCTTTACTTCTTTTCGTTTTTGCTTGTTTGCTGCACCCTCGGACCATGTCTCTCTCTCTCTCTCGCTCAGGAAGAGCAAACTTGCTTCTCGCTTGTTCAATGCATTGTTGTTGAACAGCAAAAGAAAGACAGAGAGAAATGTGCCCCGTCCGTTGCATTGGCTGATTCACTTTAACCATTTTACTCTTTTTTTTTTCAGGGATGGACGAAGAGCCAACATCGCACAACTAACAACACGTTTGAGCAAGGGGTCCTTTGTTTAGGAACATACTCTACACAGAAGGGAAAAGGTCCCATACCTCTCAATGCCATCCTCAGTTCAATGCCATCCTCCCTCGGTTCAGTTTGACCACTCGTACTGAGAACGAGGGTTCTATCCCTCTTACTGGCAGGTAGCCTCAGAAACCAACGTCAACAACCAATTAAGCAAAAAAAAAAATGCATGCTAAGTTGAGCATCCACAACCCGCAGCCGCCATGCGCCCATCCATGGCTTTGTACGATCGATCACATCCCATGGTCCTCCCCCCCAACCCTGCCTTGCCTTTTTTCTTTGTTTTGCGTTGTTTATTTTCAGGGGTTAATGCATCTTGTCCGATAGGAAAGGGACTGAATGTATGAAACCCCCTTGTTTACGTCTTTTGTCTCTCATCTCTAATCCCTCTTCTTTTTCTCTCTCTTCACCTCCCTTCTTTTTTCTCTTCACCCCCTGGCCCAGTTCATGTCATTTCCCTCCGTCCTAGTTCCAATAATAAAACGTTTACTTCTCTATATCTCTAATTTCATTAGCTTCCCCTACTCCCCTAGTTTACTTGATCATGGAGGTCAAGAAAATCGACTTGATGATCTGGGGCAAGTCCTTGGTATCCAGACACACATGGGCATGCGAGCCCAACGCGTCCTTCAGCTTGTCCGCCTGGTCCGCCAACGACCCAATGAAAATCATTGACGATGTCACCCTATCGTCTGAGCGAAGGACTACGTTGAAAGAAAATGTAAAAACGAAATTGTCAGTTTGACGTGGGTTCTCATTCTTCAGCAAGATACATGAACAAAAATAAATAAATAAAAGAAACAGAAAAACTTACTGCGACCAAGGTCCTCAGGCTTGATGTTATACTGTCCAATATTAGCATCCGACAGCACAACAACGATATAATCATCCGCATCATCCTTGACAATTTCCCTCATTGCCATCGAGGTTGCAGAAAGAGTGTTATCACCCGAGAGACAGTACTGCGAATGGGCACTCATTTGTGAAATGACCTTGAAGACATCCTTTTCGGTCTTTGGGTATTTCCCTTCCTTGACGAACTCGAGGTTGGGAGAGTCGCCCGAGTGGCCGATGATCGAGTATGCGAACTTGTGCTCAAAGTTCCTGAATGACTCCATAATCACTGAAAGAGGGGAACGAAGGGAAAGGTAAGAGTTAGCCAAAAAATAATAATTAATATAATCCCCCCCCCCCCCGCGTTTTTTTTTACAATGCACCTTCAAAGAACAGCAAATAAAAAACTCACTGAGTGCGACTTCCATGGATCGCTCAAGGCGTCTGTCATGGTTATTGAACCGGAACATGGACGCAGAGAGATCAAACACAAAGTACATCTTCTTGGGCTTCTGCTGGAATCCCATCTCCGGATCCTGGTCCCCTCTCAGCTTGTAAATGTTATGATCTCCTGTCAAACCCTCAATCAACTTGGTATCATCCAAATCCCCCGAGCTTTGGTTCTTGAGCCAAACGCGTTCCTTGTTCTTGGCCTCAATACCCTCCAAAATCACACGGAGCTCACGGATCTCGCGCTGGACGTTCTCCATATAGGCCATGTAGATCTTGGCATCTGCGGCCGTCATGTCCATCGTTGCCAGGTGCTTGCGCATCGTCATGTTGTGCATCTCTATCTGGGCGTCCGAGACCAGTTTTGGTGGAGGCGCGCTCGTGCGAATGTCGAGCTTGGAGACGTCGTCAAAGTTGGGCTTGCGACCGTCCTTAGGGGCGCCGTCACGGGTTCCAGATCCAGATCCGGATCCGTTACCGTCACCATCGCCACTGCCATCGCCTTCACCGCTTCCGCCTCCGCTGCCACCACTTCCTCCTCCACCGCCGCCGCCGCCACCGCTACCTGATTCGCCACTGGAAACATCTTCCATGCCAGGAGGCAAATCACCATCTCCACCCTCGCCAATGACATTGCCATCGGGGCCGACCAACTCGCCGTCAGCATTGACATAACGACCCTGCTCATCCTTGTAGAGGATAGACAAAGTACGCGAGTCAAGTGTACCAACCAGCTTCTTCCAAGTGCTGGCAGACTGGAACAGATCAGCAGCGTCTACCTGCCAGACACGGACAAATCCAGAGTTGTCCATCGTCAACAGGGAGCCATCCTCGAGTTCGGTCATTGAGGCAACGATGCGATCCTGCTGGAGACCCTTGAATCCTGTGATGGGGGCGTCAGCACGGAGAGTGCTGGTCACTGGAATCGACAGGGGGATCAAAAGACGCCAGATACTGCGTTCAGAGGGCGAGAACAGCTCCAAATGGCCCTCACTCTTTCCGCTCTATTTTTTACCATATATCAATTCATAGCTCATATTGTTAGCGTAACTGTGTGTTACATAATACAACCGACAATTATGTTGACGAAAAAAAAAGTTGTATAACTTACGGGAGAAGGAATGATCTTGGCCATCTGCTGGGTCTTTCTCATGTACAAGCTGGAGCTCTGGAGGTTAGAGTACATGTTTCTGATGTTATCATCCGAGATAGGACGCATGTACGAGAACACATCCATGGCGGCCTGGGGATCCTCCGCCAAAATATGCTCCATGTTCTTGGCCAACGCCATCACCACGCTGTCGTTCGTTGTGTGCATCATACGGAGGTTCTCGCTAAACATTATAGGGAAAGAAATAACATGTCAGCATAACTATTTGATGAAGACGTATTCTTGTCAGAAGCAGGTTTTAACCATAGCAAAAAAATAATAATATGCAAACTTACGTGTTGTTGGTGCCGGGCTCGACGACGGCCTCGGAGACATAAGTCAAGCGGTGCTTAGCCTTGGCGCCAAGCCCAGTGATAGAAACACGCTGGAGACGATCAGGCATGGGCACATCTGCAGTCGAGGCATACACCAAGTGATAATCACCCTGCTGAGTGTCCTTGACCAACCACAGTCTGGGCTCAATCATATGGAAAGCCGCAATCTGAACAGGCAGCTCAACAATGTACTGGGTGCCTGTGTTGAAATCGACTACAACAATGTTGGCACGGCTCTCCTGGAAGAAGGCAATATATCCGAGATGAGCCTGAGACTTGTCCATCAACGAAGCAACGGGGGCCAAGCCGTTCAGCATCACAGAGACGATAGAGTCCTTGTTAGTGTCGAGTGAGAGGAACGAATTGTCCGAAGGGTTGTGCATGCACAAGAAGCGACCTCCAGCACGAGTATTGACCAGAGCCAGCTTCAGCCTTGGGGGCGCCTTCTGGAGAGGGAAGTACTCGTACATGTCAGCGCTGCGGACGGTGCGGTGAGCGGCATCGATATAGTGAAGCGTCACAGGGTTGGTCGAGATAGCGTAGAGGGTACCCTTCTCGGTCGAGATAATATCCAAAGCCTCGCCGCGGGTAGGGATCTTAAAGTGGTACAGCTGCTCCGAGAAGACAACCGAGCGACCCTCAGATCGCTCCAAGTCGCGAGGGGTACCGGCAGTGACATTCCAGCCGCCACGGAAGACGATAGGCTGGGACTTGACGTTACACTCGACAGGGCGTTCATGCTCGGCCTTCTTCCACGTCTCGGTCAGGATGGGCTCGCTGACCTCGATCTGACGACCCAGCTGGATGGTGAACTCAGACTCGAGTCCAACAGGGATACCGTGCTTCTGGAAGGTCTCGATCAACATCTCCTTCGAATCGGCATCGTACTGGTCAAAGTCAAAGACGTTCTGGAGAATACGCGAGATACCTTCCTCAGGATAGATCTGCATATGTTTGACAACATTGACCAACTCACGAGTCGAGTAAGGGTACGAGAGCAAGCCCTCATCCACAAGAACACGGAGATCCTCAAAGGCGGCAGTCAACTTCAGCAGCAGCTCCTCAGGGACATCAGGTCCGTACTTGCGGAGCAAGTACATCTCCGATTCAGCATCGGGATTGTCAACAGCGTGACAACTGAAGACATCTCCGACCTCTCTGAAAAAGTCATTTCCGAGGAAAGGGAAGCCAGGTCGGTTGGCCAGGACCATCATGCGGAAGTCGGGGTGGATCACAATCTCCTCCTCGTCAGAACCCTCGGTGGGCTTGGAGACAATGCGACGACCATCGCTGAGAACCATTTGTCCATCCTCAAGCAAGTTACGAATGACACTGGTGACATAAGTGGGGGCCTTGTCAGCCTCGTCAATCACTAGGATGTATCCATCGCGAACAGACTTGACAAGAGGCGAATCGTCGTACTGGAGAACGCCATCGACGATCGAGGGGGTGGCGGTCAAACTCGTGACAGTGGTATCACGATGCAACTGGATGTACTCGCGAGGGAGTTTGAGAAGCTGGAGGAAGTAGTCTGCCAGCTTGTTCTTTCCGACACCCTGGTTACCAATGAGGAGCAAGTGCTCGCCCAGTTGGAAGTCCTTGAGCATCTCCATCAAGATCTCGGTCTGCTTGGGGTTCTCGTGGAAGACAATGTTGGGGATGAGGACCGGGTTGGAATCCTGACGAACGGGTTCCTCAATCGCGCCGATGCGGAGGGCCTGAGGATTCTCTCTGCTTGGAAGCACTTGAATCAAAAGCTAGTAATCAAATAAATTTTGGTGGCGTTAGTTAGTCTGGATTCATCTTTGGGTTTGCATCAATTTGCATATCGCAAAAGATAGGCAAGGTTGTCATACCTCGTTGGCCTTGTAGGGCTTGGCCTTGGGGTTGATGCCATTGTGGGCAAGGAGCTGGTTCAGGGCATCCTTGGCAATCGATGGCAAGAAGCGTGAGAGTGAAACCTTGTGAACAGCCTCATGAAGACTCTCGTCAGGAAACACAGCCAAACGACGACAAATACGGATCAATTGACTATAATATACAAAGCAACGGTGTCAGTCAGAGTTTGGACTTGCGATCGGTTGAGGAGGAGCATGCGGAAGAAAATATTTCGGATCTCTTACCGAGTCGACATGGCCGAAGAAAGGGTCTTGATGGTCTCGTCAGGCGAGTTGCGGAGGTGGTTTGCAAACTTGAGCAACATATCCAAACTCTCTGGCTGCACACCGGGCGAAACTGTCTGAAGCAACAAAGTCTCCTCCTGGAGAGAAAGAGGACGGACGGTGACAAACTGGAACATGCTGACAATCTCGGGTGCCAACCAGGATCCAGGCTTGCCACCCTCAGTACCGTTCGAGACGGGTCTGGCCAAAGCAACAATCCGGAAGGAAGGCGAGATACGCAGCAGTCCCTTCTTCTCCATCTGCTTCTGGCTCCATCCATGCTCAGCCTGGAGTCGATCATAGTGGGTAGGTCTCAACAGCTTGCGACCATCGGGCATAGCAGTCTCGCGCTCATGGATCAACCTCTGGAGCGAAACCATGGTGCCAAAAGAAAGTGTGTCGATACCATCCATCACAGCCAAAGCACCCGACATGGCAGCCTTGACCAAGGCAGAGTTCTCCCAGGTGGTATCTCCCGAGAAAGTGGTGCTGCGACGCTGAAGCAAATCACGAGACGACATGTCCTTATACAGAGGAATGAACTCGACCTTGTAACCCAGGTTCTTTCCAAAGTGGCGCATCAGAGCACTTTTGCCGACACCCTTGGATCCCATCATGCAGAAATCGCCCACGGCATGGGCCAAGAGCATACTGACCAGAGTTGACACGTGGTAAGGGGTCTCAACAAAGTACTCGGCGGGCTCAAAGGGATAAGGTCCGCAGTGAAGGTCGACAGTTGTTTGCTTGCCGGAAGTATGCTCAAAGGTTGCACGGGCAGTCGTGGGTCCAGCACGCTCGATCCTGGCAATCTTGTACATCGAGTCACATTGACGGATAATGCTGCCCTCGTCCTGATCGAAGCCCTCCTCCTCGCGCCCAAGTCCCAAAACCCCGAATCGCTGGTAGGTCGACTCGATCAAACTGCGCTGCTCTGCCTCACAGGTAGGGAGCAAAGACCAGGGATAAACCAAATCCAACAGGAAGCGAGGCTGGGTATCGGGGAAGATGTTCAAAAGCTTGATGGCGTTCTCGATCGAGACTGGGAACTCGGGGATGGTGACGTTGCTGACCATCGAAGCAGAAGTCGAGGAGTCAGTTCCAACGTTCATGAAGTGCTGAGAACCCAAGACCATGGCAACCGAGATCAGACGCTCCATCATATCCTGAGGCACGTTGGGTCCAAGAGCGCGAAGTTGTTGCATCTGCGACTCGAATCCTGGCGCCTTGACATCACGCGACTGGAAACGAGAACGAAGTGGGGGATCCAGAGGGTGTCCAACATATTGAGGGACAGGCAAGCCGAGAGCGATAACTGTGAAGGTTTCGCTGACCTTGACCAACTTGTGCTTCTCCATCGTCTCCAGAGCAGTCTGACCGCCCTCCTTGACGAGCATGTCGAAGCGCTTAGGGTGGACAAGGAAGCGACCGTCCTCAAGAGCCATTTCTCTGTTCTCCAGCAAGTTGTTGAGGACAGGCAAGACGTTACGCTCGGCCTTTTCGATACCATCCAGGATCAAGATCCTGCCTTCGGTTGCAGCGCGGACACAGGCCTGGTCGACATAGTAGGCTGTTCCACCAACAATCTCTCGGCGCTGCTTCAAATCGCTCTCCGTGACATCCTTGGACAATGGCACATACTCCACTTCGCGGTTCGTCCTATAAGGTCGATAGATTGTTTGTTAGATGTTAGTTTTGGAATGGTGTGTTGCTCAGGCGAAAAGTCACTCTTGCTGACATGGAGGGCATTGCTTACAACTCTGCAAACTTGAGTGCGATAGAACGACGAAGATGGCCGGGAGGTCTATGAGAACGGTCAAAAGGATATTGGAAAAACTCGTGGTTAAGATCTGTAAGAGCATAGTGTGGGCAGTACAAATGGCTCAATGAAAGCATGCGGCGATGGAGGACATACCCGATCAAGAACATATCTTGGCCCAGCTTATCCTTTTGCATCATCCTAAATAATGTGTTAACAAAAACACAGTTACACATGTTAGTTCTTTTCAGTCCGGTGATGACAATCCCTACGCAAATTCTTCGCGTTGTCGTTGTGTTGCCCAGTGTGTCTACTTTGATCCCTTACCATCGAAGGTGACGAAGAACTTCCTACAAGACGCATGAGAGTATGCAAAGACGAGGTGTTAGAAACAAGATTGATGATTAATTTGATTGACAAAAAATACATATCCGGGTCGGCTCCTTTCCAATTGATAAAGTGTCATACCTGTGAATCCTCAAAGAGGGGTTGATCGTAGCTGGGGACAAACTCTGGGTTCAAGGCAGGGCTGACAGCGACAGTAACATCGCCGATCCGAACCTCGCCATAGTCTATATCATGCGCAATGCAATGTGCAAATGTCAACCAACGCCAAGGCAAGCAAAAAAAAAAGGTTACCCGTTAATAATTTCGAACAAAAAAAAAAAAAAAAAAAAGTCCCCATGGGAGTAAGACTCACGTGAAATGCACGAAGGGCGCTCCTCTACAGCATCGAAAATCATTTCCTTCAGGTTACCGATCGGAAATAAAAAATGAGGGGATCAAACCCAAGCAAGCCGAGGTAGAGTAACAGAAACAACAATGTTGGACAACTGCAATCCTCACTCAAGGCACACCCACAAGGTAAGAGCCGAAAAAGTGTTGTACAATTGGGGTTACTCGTCCAATCCCTCACGATCCATCCGATCGGTTCACCCCAAGGCTACCCGTTTTAACTCATCTTTCCTGCCCTCTTCAACAATTGACAAATCATAATCGTCAGCTCAAATCCATGCGCACCATCACCACGTTTCAATTGCATCAGAAGGGTCATACCTGAGCTGGAAGCGTTTTTGGCTGCAGAAATGATCAATCCGCCAGATCGCTTAGGATTCTCGGCAATGACATAGTCTGCGCTGTGTGACAGGGCCCTGTTGAGCTGCTCCAGACGCAGACGGGCTGTTTCGGTCTTTGAGTCCATTTGTTGGAAAAGGAAAGTGGTGTCTAAAAGTTGGGTGTTTTACAATTGAAAAAAAGAAAAGAAGGAAGGTATGTATGTATGTATGGTACAATAGAGGTGTGAGGGGCGCTTGACTCTTGAGGAAGAGTTGAAGCGTGGAGGAAGAAGGGAATGAAGGGAGGGTCAGGAACGGAGGGGAGAATGTTGGCTCCTTGAGTGAAGGGCGAAAGTGGGGAGAGAGATGGGCGGGGAATAAAAAACGAATGAAGGGAGAAGGAGGAACAGAATGAAAGAAGGAATGTAAAGAAGAAGAAGAAGAAAAAGAATGAGGAGAAGCCAAGCGAGAGACAGAAAAATAGGAAGAAGGGGGGCAACGGACGCCGGATAAAGTGAATGCGAAGAACCGAGAATTAAGGTAGACAAGGTCAGAGGAAGCAACAAAGCTCAATACTTGTTCACCGGTTCCCGACGCAACAGCAGTTGTTGTCGGCGTATGTCAAACCGTTCTTTGTTCACTTCAGCACAAAAGTTTTGAGTTGGTGCAAAGTGTGAAAAAAATGTGATCGGAGTCACGTGCGGGTGACATCCAATCGAATCAAATTCCCGGCCGACATCTCTCATCTCTCAGGCACATAGACAGGGCTGCGCTGAATCATACCTTGCTAGGTTTCGATTGACTAGAAGAACTATGCATGATATCCTACCTTGGAGTTTCGTCCGCAAGGCGTTGTATTCTTTGTGTGTTCTGAATGCAATTTTATTATTTTATTCTTTGATTTTCGTACGGTTATTCACAATCAACAAGCTCATAGTCGCTTACAAAAAAAAGCAAGAAAACTAGTGATGGTAAACGGCCTGGCCACGGACATTGAGGCTGATCTCGGGGTACTGCACAGCAATGGCGTGGTAAAGCTCAGGCTTGGTGTCGAGGAGAGTCTGGGGATCCTCTGCAAGAGCGACAAACGTGGTCGTCACTCCAGAGTCAATCACGTTGTTGGGGACTGACATCATCGCAACTCCGAGGATCATCTCCACAAAGATGACAACAAACATCACAAGGCCCTTATCCTGGTCCTCATAGAACGAAGGCTGAAAAACGCTAAGATAGACGTATCCAAAGAATCCGCTCAACAGGGCCACGGCAAAAGTACCCATGCTCAAGACATTGCCGACCAAGCTGTCGTTGACAAGCGCGTCGATACCACGGTCCTTGATCAACTCCCAGGTGTCCTTGGCGGCACGGACAAAAGGCTTGCCGTACATCGCAACCTGGGTGAACGCAAACTTGTTGAAAATCTCAAATAAGCCCTCAAGCATTGACAGGATGCAGGAAGCGCACATGGCCAAGAACGCCTGGATGCCATCGTCAGAATCCGAACGGAGCGAGTTGAGGATGTAGCGAAGGGTCTGCAAGAGAGCAATCAAGAGCGAACCAAAGCAGATAGATCCAAAGGAGGTCGTAAGAGCGCGCTTGGCCGATGCAAGAGTGGGAGAAGCAGGGGCGCCGGCAGCAGATCCCTCAAAGAAGTAGTAGACGCCAAAGACTCCCGAGATGGTGACGTGGATCACGTTCTTGATGACCTCAGTGTTCCAGAACATGACAAAGTTGAGGTAGACCATGGCGATGTAAAGGGCATTGTTGTCGCACACCATCTTGTTGTCGACTGGGCGGCAGTTCGAAACTGTCTGGAAGTACTGATAGTTGAGGGTCAAGCCAAAGATCCAGATCGCGCACCAAATGATTTGAAGCACCAGTCCTGAAAATGCGACCTAAACAAAGCAACGAGATACGAGAGAAAGGAGAACGTGTGCATGAGCGTCGGGGGTTACATTTTACGCATGAAAAGAAAACGTTGAATGTCTGTTTAGGAGACAAGGGTCATCATACATCACGCATGAAAATAACAACGAACGAACAAAAAAATGCCTCTTTCCCCGTGGAAGGAATTCTGCATGAATGATGAAAAAGAAAGATAAGAGTGCACTTACTGCGAGGGTTGCGGGGTACTTGCGGGTGACAGAGGTGACGGTCTCGAGGACAAGAACGGAGAAGGCCATTCTGGAGGCCCAGTACTTGTAGAGGAACAAGCAGAGGACACCAACACCGATCGAGAGTGCTCCCCAGAGACTGCCGCTGAGGATCTGGAGGACACCCACGGCGATAGTGAAGAAGACGGTGAAGAACCAGGAAATCTTGACGAGGGCGGCAGTGTAGCGCTGGATGAGGACAAAGTATCCGTAGGAGAGCGAGAAAGTGAAGGCGAGGGAGGTGAGGGCAAGCACGACAAAGGCGTGGTCGGCGAGGAAGGCGTTTGAGGGGACGGATGTGCCATCCTCAAGAACGGTGAATGGGTTGGAGACAAAGTGCTTGGCAGAGTAGTAAGTCAGGCCAAAGTAGCCAAAGAGGTTGCCGATGAAGAGGACAGTGGCCCAGACGTCCTTGTAGCTTGCGTCGGGGGTGAACTTTCCGTCCGTGTTTGCCTTTGGAATGAGGGGTGCATGTTCTTCCTGGTGGGTGTATGTTGGGGGCTGGTTGTAGGAGGAAGGAGCGCCATTGTCGTGGCCATAGTTGGGGGCGTCCATGGCGAATGGTTCTTTGTTGTTTGTTGAGGTTGGTGGGAGGGGGAAGAGGGGATTTTCGGTGTGGGAAGAACAAGAACAAAAACAAAAAACAAAAGAAGTGAAAAGAAGAAAAAGGACAAAGAATGAGGGCGATGGGGAAAATAAAGAAAGAAGGGCTAGGGTGGGGCTGAGTGTGTTTGGTTTGACCTTTTATATATTTCTTTCAACGCTGTGCCAGCTGGACAAAAACACGCCAAGGCCAGACCTTGTGACGGTGGCCTGTCTGCCTGTTTGTCATCGTCGACTTTTGGGGAAAGGAGGAAAGGATGAGTGCAAAGATGTCACACGGTGTGGAACTACGACTCCGTGGATGGACAAGTAACAGCGGACAAGAGGGACAGAGCAGAACAACAGAGCAGAACAGAACAAAACAGAACAGAAAATGACGGAAGAGAAAAGGAATACGAAGGAGGAGGGATGTTCCGTTCATTGAAACCGATGGGAGAGCAGAGCCGCCTTCCTGGAGGCAACAGTCGCAAGTATCTCGGTCGGGGCGTAGAAATAAACATCCCAGTTGGTATTCCCCTTCCCTTCCTCTTCTTCTTCCCGTTCTGTCTCACCAACAGCGGAAACTATCCTTGCCACCATGTCCTCCTCTACGGATCCAAACCTGCTCTTCTCCTCTCCGTGACCTTCTGTGGAAAGAGTAAGACCAAGTCCGTCCTGCAATAAACGTGCAATCCTACTGCGAGAAAGATTACCGAGGCAACAGACAGCGCTTGCAGGAAGAATCAAATCATCTATCAAGGGCAATGTTCAAGGTTTTTAAGGTTGTGTTAGACATTTCCTTCCTTACCAAATCATGCCTCTCATAGTTTACAGGAGAGCATATTTAAACAGTTACCAAGAGAACGCCTCCATGCATCTGGTGGCATATCTTGTCTTGTGAACCTTGGGACCAAAAGTGTTGACGAGTTCAAAGACTCAGAGTTGTCCTGTCCCTCTTGCAGACTGTAGTGGAGCTGCACCGCATCCGTCAGTATCCGAACAAAAGCCTTTGATCTGTCCAGCAGCTCAAAGTCATCCAGCCACCTCTTGTCGACTTGAACCATCCCCAATAACACATCAGTCCCTTGGCTCTCCAGTCGAGGAATACAACGGCCACGTGAGTTTTGTTGCGCCACTGACAATCGAAGATGAAATAAAGCTTGGTCTGACGTGTTCTTGACCTTGACTCCCAACCATATCAAGTCTCTTGACGCAGAAGCGACCCAGCCAGCTGTGCACTCCAAAATATCCAATGACTCAATTTTGACCTTCTCAGCTCCACGATCATCAAATTCGCTCTGAAAGGACGTAGCGACTGTACTGCCGACAATTGGCACCAATCTCTCCAAAAGTCGCTTCTGTCTCTGGCCTCTCCTCCGCTGCGACAACATAGAGTCCTGCTGCATTCTCGGCCCCAGTCCTGAGAAAAGTGAGAATCTAAGAGAGTCCGACATCATTTCCTGACAACCCTGAATAATCTCTCTCTTGCTGACAAGCGATGCCTGCAATCGCTCAATCCTCATTTGCTTGAGCGCCAGTTGTTCTTCCAGCGTTCCGAGTGCCAAGTTCAGGTTCGACTTTGCACGTGCCTTGCTCTCTTCTGTTGTTTCCATTGCGGTTTTTGGGCGCAAGAGTCCAACGGCTGGGTAAAGATTGCACTCCACGGGCTTCTTTCGCGTGTGCCGTGGTAAGATGACAGCAGTGACAAGTCCTGATTCGCGAACATCTGCCAGAAGGACATCCTGAGACCATTCTATGGAACGACAAACGATCTCGTTAGTTTGCCGCCTGGCGACAAGTGGTACATCAACACCACGGGAATTGACAATAATTACCTTGTAATAACGTTCCGAAGAGCGCGTCGTACAAGCGGGATCCTACTTCCGTGTAGACACACAAGCAGAGCCTGGACGTATCCTGCGTAGACTGACATTCTCCTAATACACTGAAAGAGCGAGGCCGCTTTCGTTCATCAGCGGATGTGCGTGCGTAAAATACTACAACGACGTCGCCTGCATTGCGGGAGCACACTTACATCTTGTGAACTATCGCTGCGAATGGTACACTCCACTGCAGAGCCCTATCTTCTATAAACACCAGTTCATTCGATCGAGTGTGCGCCCATATCCGCCTGCAGTCGCCGACATCGTCCAATGATCCTGAAATTCCGGATTGAATGTAACACATCCGAAGGTTGTTCCTGTACTCTGTGGGAATGGCGTTGATCTGGTGGATTGGCGGAGAACTATCGCGAGAAAGCGTGCTCTTCATGATTGCAGAACCCAGCATTGCAGAGACGCCGTGAAGACCGTCCGGATGGGTGAACAACATGCACCATGGTTGACCAGGTGCACTGTCTGAAAAGCCAACAATAGTTTCCGCGTCAAGGTGTCCCAGCAGTAGTCTTTGTTCCGCTGGTGTCCATTCGAACAGATTGAACCCGCTGGATCGACTGGGTCGATCGCTCTTGGATGCGATCAATATTCCTGTTCCTGATCCAATACTACAGCCTATGGTCAAACGTTGGGAAGGACAGAGGGCTGGTTAGGCAAATGTTTATATTGTCGCCATTAAAGATACCATTACGACTGCACAACATGCAAACTCCACTTACGGACGATATGACCAAGTTTAATGCCAATCCTAACGACAGTTGCTTGTGAATCCAGGTCGAACCGATGACACTCCAGCTGCTCTAGCTCAGAGTCGTAGACAATGACATGAGGTTGCATCCTAAGTCCGTAAGATAGATGGCCGTTTATGTGTGAGTCAACTTGCCTTCGCGACTCTGCTCCAAATGTGCTCCTTGATACATGCGACATGGACCACCTACATGGCACAGTCATTGGAGAACAGTCGTTGGAAGCAAAGGATCCTGGGTTCCTGGGAGCAGAGGGTAGTCATGGCTATTTGCCGTTGGTGCTGAAGTGTCGCCTTGCCGTCATTGTTCTCAGACTCGATCAGGTTGTAACAATCGATGGTGACTTTGCGTGGTCCTTGGATGACTGCAGGAATGGAGGCGTGCAGTAGTTGGGGTCCATGGTAGAGCCACATTCGAACACACACACACTCCTGCCTTCTTTGATTTTGTCAGAGTCGGTGTTGTTGGTGTTCGTCGACTTTGCGCCTTGATTCTTGATCACAGGCTGTTGAAGGTGCTTGGGTGAGAGAAGTCAAACGCCTATTTCGTGGCAAAAAAGTGAGGGAAATAAAAAATCATTTGGAGACGCGACTGCGCTGTGTGCCCTGAATTGACAACTTTTTTTTTTTCTTTTTCTGTTCACTTGCTTTTTCAACCCGACCATTCCCCTTCCTTCACTTCTCAACTAATTTTCAACATAAACATCAACATGAACTCATTCCGTCAGTTCAGGACAGTAGAGCCACTCATGGCCTTCTGTCGCTCCACAAGAGTCTCTTCTCTCAACCACCACCGCCAGCAACCCATGGCTGTGCGGATCACCAACTCCCTCATGACAAGATCAAGATTTATGTCCACCCAAACTACAGCTTCAGGTGGATCATACATTCACCTCCCAACCCGAGGACTGTTGCAGATTCACGGCAAGGACGCCTCCAAATTCCTGCAGGGACTTATCACCAACCATATGCCCCGTATCGAGGGTGGTGGCGGTGGCTTCCTTGCTGCCTTCCTCAGCCCCAAGGTAAATACCAGCTTCACTCGACAGATCGAAAGCCAAGTAACAGGGAGCGCAGCGCCCACATGGAGACCCTTATCGACCAATTGAATACAACCCGATCTAACAAGGAACGCACTCACGTCTTCGAATTCGATATCAACATAGGGCAGAGTCATGTACGACGTGTTCATCCACCCTACCAACGAAACAAAGGAAGGCAGTGAACCCGCCTACTTGATCGAGTGCGATGCCAGAGCCCTGCCCGAACTTCACAAGCACATTGCCCGCTTTGTGCTTCGATCCAAGGTCAAGATGGTTGGTGTCACAGAGTCCTTTGACGTTTACTCTGTTCTGGACGATCAGCCAGCCGCTTCCAGCAATGAGGACGAAAAGTCCCCACCTAGCAACGAAGCCGTCGTGGAGCGCTTGGGAAAGATGAATGCTACCATTGGCATGTATGACAACAGAGCCGTCAACCATATGGGATACCGTGTCATCGTCCCCAAGGGACAGTCCTGTAAGTTTATAAATTTTGTTCTTGAGATTGCTCTGACTTTTGATTGATCTGGGCAATGGACAAACTGTCCTGACATATATTTGCCCTTTTAATTGACGTGAGATAGTGTCTCTTCCTGAGAGTTACAGACAGGGAACACTGGAAGAGTACCATGTGCGGAGGATCGTGAACGGTGTGCCAGAAGGAATCGACGACTTTATTGCAGGAACCAGCTTGCCATTGGAGTGCAACTTGGACTACATGAACGGCGTTGACTTTAGAAAGGGTTGCTATGTTGGACAGGAACTGACGATCCGCACCTACCACAAGGGTATCACCCGAAAGCGTATCATGCCCGTCCAGTACTTTACCCCCCAGGATCCGTAAGTCTCTTTTGTATTTTAAAAACATGAGTGATGTACCTGATCCCTTCGGAGTCGCCTTGTTGCTAACTAAGTGAAAAATTGCACCCCCTTCCACGTGTTGACGCGTTTTTTGATTCTCTAGTGAACCCGAGTCGATTCAGTTTATCAAAGGCGTGTCTCATGTAATCCCACCACAGTCCGAGCTCTTCCCTACAAAGAAGACCACCCCTGCCGCCCCAGCAGCAGCAGCTTCCACATCATCTGCAAGGCCTGTCAGGGCCTCGGGCAAGACTGGATCCAACGTGGGCAACATTGGACTGGCGTTGGTCAAGTTGGATCATGTGAAGGAGGGGAACACATTTGATGTGATGGACCGTGAGGGGTCCACTGTTCGGGTCAAGGCCTTCTTCCCTGCATGGTGGCCTAAGCAGCCTGAGTCTGAGGAGAGTAGCAAGGACGAGTAATCTATCATACTGGAATACTAAAAATAACAATTCATCGCATCATCATCTTCGCTGGTCAAAGTTTTTTTTTCTCAGGGTATTAGTTTGAGTGCTGGTCCGGCAGTAAAGCAGTCCTGCAAGCGACGAGAATATAGCTAAGGGCAATTTTTTTACCTCTTTTCCCCCTTCCTTTTCTGCCTTCAATGTATTTCTCGTCTTTCCTTCTTCTTCCCACACTCGCACTAATATTCGTCTCCGCAGACACTCCTCCTCAACAACCTATTACCGAGGTAACACGATCGACATAACAATAATGTTCGATTTCAATGTAAAATCCACTTTCATAAACGAGAACAAAAACTATTTCCAAGTAACAGTACTAGACACAATGCATTCATTTTCAATTGAGGATAGGTACAACCAAACATCATGTCAAAGACAATCCAGAACGGGCGCTACAAGATCTGGCGCTCCCCGGAACAACGCCAACTAATCGTCACCATGAACGGCGCAAACTCCATGGCCGTCCTCCGTCACCCCGAAGAACTTGAAGACCCCTCTCATCACGAGACCGGGATCTGGGTCCTCACCATCACCCCCTCCGACCCTTCCTCGGCCTCCATCGCCTCCGAGGGTGCAGTAAGTGCCACATTGCAGCACGAAGGCACAAAGAGCTACTTGGCCCTCCACGACCCCACCAATCCAGGCCAAGGGGCGAACATTTACGTCAAGTCAGATGACAAGCAAGTGTGGACTATTAACCCGGCGAGCACGACTGGGGATGGAGGGGAGGACATGAACGAGTACCATATCGGATACCCTGATCTGGTTGACGGGCAGGTCTTGGTGGTAGACAATTCGTTTTCGAGGGCGTTTCCGCCTAGGTTGGCGTTGCAGCCTTTGGGGGATACGCTTGCCCAGATTGGGCTTCCTTGGCGATTTGAGCCTATTGGTTGAATGGAGACGAAAGGGGTGGATGTCCACACGACAATTGATCGACAGATAATAAAAAAATAGGCGAAGAAGAAAGGGGTGAGATTTGAAATGTGCATGGCCTTTTTATTTTTTTACACATTGAACCCAGGAACATTTGTTGGTGAGAAGATGCTCGGTTCTAGGTAAACTCAAAAGTTGTTGTTCAAAAATGGTCCGCGTTCCCACATTGGGCCTGCTTGCTGACTTGGTCTTGGAGGGATGGGCAACTCCGCTGTTCTCGCTCGAGTGGACGGCATAGCTCGTCCTTTTTTTCTTGGTCTCAATGTCAAAAGGGTAACCCAAGCCCTCCCTTCCTGCTTCCTACGACCTCTTTGCATTAGCAAATGGTCGAGGCGCATGGCCATTGGCAAGGTGAAAATAGGGGTGTTGGTTGTGGTTGCTGCGATTCTCCCTCGTGGGAGTATTGCGTGTATTTGGTTGGCCATATAGCGAGCAGCACAAACGCGTTCTTATGGCCGCATGGTGTCCGCACACAAAATAGCATTGATATGATCCAGACATCAGAAACAACGTCACAATCAATCAACAAGGTGAGACTTGTCAGTGTCACTGATGTGGCCTGGATGCTCCTATTAAGATTAAGGGTAATGGGTCGTGTAGGGTAGATAGACAGCGAGAAGGTCGGTCAGTCAGTGGGCCGGATGGGATGGGATGGAGTTGTCTATGAGGAAGAAGAAAGTGAAAGACAAGAAAGGGTTGGGGTGAAGAGGTGGTAGGGTAGAGTGAGAGCGTGTGCACCATCGAACCCTGTCTTTGCTTCCAACATACAACTATGTGTTCATTTGCATGCGCGCTTGCCTTTTTTTGATTTCTTCCCACACACGTCAGTGCCCCTTTTTCTTGCCTCTCACTTTCGATTTCGCTTCTTTTCTTCTTTTTTCTTTGTACTCCACACTCAACTGCTCGTTCGTGACTTTTGAACCCCTTCATCCTTCCACTCTTCTTCTTCCTCCCTCTTCCTCTTCCTCCCTCTTCCTCCTTCTCTACCATCCCTCTTTCCACCATTATTTCCACACCAGCAGCTCAACAACAACACGGCGCAAAAATGTCTGACGGAAAATCCCCCGAGAACAGCATTGTGCCAAAGAGCATTTTGCCAAAGAGACCCATGCATCATCGCCGCAACTTCACTGGTATACTTCTTTCTTCTTGGCAACAACGCGCTTTCTAAGATTGGAGGAGGACGTGGACGATATCGCGCCCTTCCTGTCCACAACATACTCATACGCTCATTAACTCATACTCATACATACATTTATCTTTCTTGAATTGCCATCGATGTTATAATCTCCAACAGGCTTGACCACGAAGGAGCTCGATGCTGAAAAGGCCAAGTGGCCCAAGGAGACCGTCGATCTCTGGGCTAAGCTCAGCAAGAAGGAGGCCAATGGTAATCAATAATAACAACTACTCATGATCATGGTTATCCTTTTTCACTACTTGTGAATGTCCTGCTTCCTAACATTAATGGTCGCTTTCTGCTCATATTTTTGTTACGTTGTTATTGTGAAAAAACAGACATCGAAGCGATCCAGAAGAGCATCGTCCACCATGTCACCACGACCCTGGCCCGTGCTGCTTACAACATGGATAACTTTTCCGCCTACCAAGCCGTTGCTCTCAGGTATGCCTATCTATTTCACCTTTTTGTTTTATCCCGAAATGTTCTCTATCTGTGCCCTTCCTCCCCATTTCGTTTTCTTTTGCTTCCTTCCCGTTTCTATATCTCTCCCCACCAAACTTTTTTTTTTTGCACATCGATCATTGTCCAATGAGTTGATTCATGTGTGCTGCAAAGGCTGAAGAGTGGAACTGTTAGAAGAAGAAAGGAAGGTGCGCGGATACGGTGCATCCAATTACTAACCTTGTTTCCTTGATTGCGCCCGTGTCTTTTGTTTCCTCTGCTTGATATAGTACCCGAGACCGCCTTATCAGCCGCTGGAACGAGACCCAGGGAGTAAGTTTGCTCTTGCTTTTTCATATCTTGAAAATGATAACGATGATGCAAACATGAGGCATGCGCGCGTTATTTCTCGTGGAAGAAGGAAGGCGTGTCTGCGTGGGCAGAGTGTGGGAAATATTAATGCAGTCGTGCGGAGGGATATGATGAGATCGATGAGGAAGAGGGCTATGAACATGAAGAATGAGGGGGGAAGGAAAAAAAAAGGAAGAGTGAGAAAGGAGAGACATGGTCATCATGCCCATCCACCTCATCCATCAATCACTATCGTCATACCCGCCCTCCGCCTTGACCCTCTCACTTTTTTCTTTCTAAATGCGGCCAATGCTCCGCATTCAACGACAAAAAAAGTGTTGACTTTTCAAATGTAGAAACGAGAGGGGTCTAATGTATCAACAACAAAATCATACCTTCGACTGACAAGTTCCCTTTGCGTTTCTCCATTGATCCTTCCTATTTCTCAGCAATTATCCAAGGTTGATCCCAAGCGTGTCTACTACCTCTCGCTCGAGTTCTTGCTCGGTCGCTCCATGGACAATGCCCTCCTCAACATGGGCCTCAAGGACACCTATGACAGTAAGTATCTTTCTTCATTATTTGGAGAAGAAAGAGAGTTGGTATCGTGTCGGGACTTTAATATGCGCAATGCGAATAATGAGACACCGTTTTGGGCGCTTATGAGAGATAACCAACCAACTGTCTCCTTTCTTCTTGATGACATCCTTTGGTAGAGAGTATCAAGAAGCTTGGCTTCAACATGGAGGACGTGATCGGGTCCGAGGTCGATGCTGCCCTTGGTAACGGAGGTCTTGGTCGTCTCGCTGCCTGTTACATGGACTCCCTCGCCACCCTCGACTACCCCGCCTGGGGATACGGTCTCCGTTACAACTATGGTATCTTCCAACAGAGGTAATCTTCATTTGCTTGTTCTCTCGAAAATGCGGCATGACATGTGGATGCATTCTTTGTTTGTTTTGTTTGTTGAGAGAGAGACAGCTGGAAACTCAGTCAGTCCTTTCGATCCATGTCTGTTATCTAACATTTCCACTTTACTCATTTCCCATCCTTCCCTCTCCTATCATACCCCTTCCAACCCCATAGAATTGTCGATGGTTATCAGACAGAGTTTCCTGACTACTGGCTGAACTTTGATAACCCCTGGGAGTTGCCTCGTCTTGATATCTCAATCCAGATCGGATTCGGGGGTCATGTCCAGACCATCCAGGACGAGTACGGAGTTACGCGCCACAGCTGGGTCCCTAACCAGAGTGTTCAGGCCATTGCCTACGATGTCCCCATCCCCGGATACGACACCGAGAACTGCAACAACATCCGTCTCTGGCGCAGTAAGCCCACTCGTGTCTTTGATCTCACCAGCTTCAACGAGGGCAACTATGAAAAGTCGGTCGAGGACGCGACGAACGCCGAGAAGATCACCAGTGTCTTGTACCCCAACGACAATACCATGGCCGGCAAGGAGCTCCGTCTCAAGCAGCAGTACTTCTGGACCGCGGCCTCTCTCCACGACATGTAAGTGATCAACAGAGTGGGGTGTGGTAACGTTGCGGCAATTCAAATTGCGTCTTGGACGAAGCACTGACCTGATCTGTTGTGTGTTTGTGTCGATAGTGTTCGTCGATTCAAGAAGTCGATGCGCGAGTGGTCGGACTTCCCCAACCAGGTCGCCATTCAACTCAACGGTATGCTGCTCCTTCTTTGTCGCGTTTATTTATTACCGTGACTTTTACCACACTATGTGGACCAGTGCTGCATAAGCTAACTCGTGATACAATGTCCGAAATAGATACTCACCCTACGTTGGCTATTGTCGAGCTCCAGCGTCTGTTGGTCGATGAGGAAATGTTGAGCTGGGATGACGCCTGGGAGATTGTAACCAAGACCTTCGCCTTCACCAATCACACCGTCCTTCCCGAGGCTATGGAGAAGTGGTCCGTCCCTATGTTCGAGTACCTCCTGCCCAGACATTTGCAAATCATCTTTGACATCAACCTCGTAAGTGTCTTTCATTGTCGAGTTAGGTGCATCTACTATTCTAGGGGAAAGAAGTCTTAACATACTAACATTCCTCATTTGTTTTGATATCGAACAACAGTTCTTCTTGCAAAAGGTGGAGTTGAAGTCTCCCAACGACCGTGGTCTGTTGAATCGCCTGTCGATCATTGAGGAGGCTCAGCCCCAGCAAATCCGCATGGCTCACTTGGCTGTTGTCGGCTCGCACAAGGTCAACGGAGTCGCCGCCCTGCACTCGAACCTGATCAAGACCACAATCTTCAAGGACTTTGTCGACTACTATGGTGAAGAGAAATTCATCAACAAGACCAACGGAGTTACTCCTCGTCGTTGGTTGCATCAATCCAATCCTCAGCTGAGCAAGTTGATCACCGAGACTCTTGGAAGCGACAAGTGGCTCAAGGATCTCTCGCTCCTCAAGGGTCTTGCGGCCAAGACGGGCGATGCTGCGTTTAGGAAGAAGTGGATGGCTATCAAGCGTGCTAACAAGGTCCGCCTGGCCGAGTTGATCAAGGAGCGTTGCGATGTCGAGGTCAGCCCCGATGCCTTGTTTGATGTCCAAGTCAAGCGTATCCACGAGTACAAGCGTCAGTTCATGAACATCTTGTCGTAAGAACCCCCTTCCTCATATCGGTGCGTGAACAGGAATGCGCTTTATCAGTAAGAAGCTGATGCTAATCTAATTTACCCTTTCATGTTAGTGTGATCCACCGTTACCGCACGATCAAGTCGATGACTGCAGCCCAAAAAGCCAGTGTCCAGCCCCGCGTGGTCATCTTTGGAGGCAAGGCCGCTCCCGGCTACTACATTGCCAAGTTGGTCATCAAGCTGATCAACAGTGTCGCAGCCGTCGTCAACCAGGATCCCGCCGTCGGCGATCTGTTGAAGGTTGTCTTTGTCCCCGACTACAACGTCTCGGTCGCCGAGATCATTTGCCCCGCCAGCGACATCTCGCAGCACATCTCGACTGCTGGAACGGAGGCATCAGGTACTTCCAACATGAAGTTTGTCCTTAACGGAGGACTCATTATTGGAACCCTTGACGGCGCTAATGTTGAGATCTTGGAGGAGGTTGGAGAGGATAACATCTTTATCTTTGGATGCATGGCCCATGAAGTCGAGGACCTCCGTCACGCCCAGAGGTACTTTTTTTCATTTTCATTCATTTGGCACTGGTATGGATCGTCCTGTAAGCCTGTATTCATAACTAAATTTACTAATCCTTATTTCCTTTCCTTCCTTCTCCGTCGCTTCAACTATCATTTTAGATACCGCGGTGTCCCCATGGACCCAGCTCTGCAGGGCGTCATCTCGGCGATCGAAAAGGGTACGTTCGAGGACCCCAAGATCTTCCAACCTCTGATCAGCACCTTGACTGTCGGCAAGGATTTCTACCTTATCTCTGCGGATTTCGCGTCGTATATCGCCGCCAACCAGCAGGTCGATGCTGCTTACAAGAAGCAGGAGGAGTGGTCCAAGAAGTCGATCCTCTGCACCGCCCACATGGGCAAGTTCTCCTCGTAAGTTCCTTTGTCCCCCTTGTTTTTAATGATGGATATGTGCTCTTGTTGGTATTCTTGCTTCCAACACTAATAATACCCTTCTCACCATTTGTATATGAATAGCGATCGCTCGGTCAAGGAGTACGCGGAGGAGATCTGGAACATCAAGCCTTACTCCGTCAAGGACGAGGGATACCTGTAAATAACTACCAACCATCCCCCTGTTCTCCCTCTCTCTCCATCACTTCTCCAGTCCGACCTCACTTGTATCAATGAAGAGAAATGATAAGAAACGTAAAGTTGTAAGTAAAGAATCATTGCTTTAAATAAATAAGAAAACCAAAAAAAAAAAAATCTCTATTTCGTTGGCTTCGTTTTTCATTGCCTCTCTCTCTCTCTCTCTTAAGCGGGCGGTACCACTGCTTTCGAAAGGAAGGAATACAGGAAACTGATATCTTTCAACTCTAGGGGCCTGAAAGACAAGTTCGATCCAATTCAACCGATAAAACAAATGAAAAAGAGTAGGGAGGATAGATTGTCCTTGGGTACTATTATTTATTAGATTCTTTTTCGCTCAGAAAATGGGCTTTCCATCCCACAGTCCTCCCACTAAAGACCCTTCAAAGCTTCGAGACGGATGTAAGTCCAGTATAGGGTAGTCCCAAGGTGGCAGCAATCATCTCAATCCGGTCTGATCCAAAGAACAACAGCTCCTCGTCCGAACCAGCCTTGCGAACAATGAACGTAGGCGCGCCAAAGACCCCCTTTGCGACCGCCTCATCCGTGTACTGCTTGAAAATCTTTTTGATCTCCTGGTCCTGTGCGGCGCGTTGGAGGTAGGATTCGACCTTGGCAGTGTTCGAGTTGAAGATGGGGCTGAGGGCTTGTTGGATCACGTCTGCTTGCGAGATGTCGCGGCCGTGGATGAAGTATTCGTCCTATTGGGGAGTTCATTGTATTTTTTGAGGAGAAAGGAAGGCCGTTAGGTATTGGGGCTCTCGTGATACGAAATAGACTGCATGGGATTGAAAAGGGCGAGCGAAAGTGGACGTCACTTACAAAGAGCTACATGTATGTCCCGAGCATGGCGTTTGAAAGAAGACACGAATCAATCGTTTGCGTTAGTTATCGAGGCTTTATAATATCGCACTTGATAATCTCGACCAATTGCTATCACTCGTCGCAGACTTTGTACCTTATCGATGCACTGCTCATACTTTTCGGCCTCGTGGATCTGGAGGGCGGTGAGGACACGCATGGGGAGGACGGTGTTGATGGGGAACTTTTGTGGGAACTTGAATGGTATCCCTGTCACTCCACTGATCCTATCCAAATCCGCAACCTATTCAAGGCAAAGTAGAAGAGAGAGAACAAAAGTTTGTTAGTAATCCCTTGAAGGTACTGTTTTTTCTCACGGCATTGTGATCGGGGTGTGTGTGGGGAAGTAAGCCCAAAGGAGAACAGGGCGCACAAGGCCGAGCGGGGAAACAGTGAGCATCAAAATGAGGGGTTGTTGTGCCGAAGCGAAGAAAATATTATCGACAGCGCAGCAAAGGTGAAAAAAAAAGGTAAAAAGCAATTGAAGTAAACATGTCAAATGGCATCATAATAACACTTCTACTCTGGAAGAAACAAAGGGCTTGTTTACCATATGGCTCCTCTTGGAAGGGAAAGCGAACAGAGGTTGATTCTTGACCTCCTGTTGGAGGAACAACAGTTGTCCGAAGGGAAAAATAAATTCGTCGTTAGCCAGCAAAAAACACTCTCACGACTCAGGAACAGCTCAGGAACAACAGGAGAAATAGAAGACGCAAATGACATACGTTCATGACGCCGCCGAGGAGCATGGGGTGGAAGGTAACATCGACGTTGGGCCACTGCTTGCGGAAGCGGTTGAAGACCTTGAAACCCATGTAGGTGTAGGGCGAGATAAGGTCGTAGTAGCAGGTAATGCTTGCGCGTGTTGCCGCCATATTGTCGTAGGTTGTAGCTTGAGGGCAGAGGTAGGATGAGAGTGGGATCGGATGGTGAATGGCAAAAGTGGAGGAGTGAGAAAAGAAAGAAAGAGATGTTTGAATGTGAAGGAATGGAGGGAAGAAGGAATGAGTGAATGATGGAAGAAGAGAGAGAGAGAGAGAGAGAGAGAGAGAGAGAGAGCGTGAAAGGCTTGAGCCCTTTGCTCTTATTCTCACATTCAGGCACTCGCATATGCCCCTCAACTCACGGCTATGGCTACGACCGAAACGCCATCCACAACGCCCTTCACTTGGCCGTCGACACCATTCGGTTCCCATACACTGACCATGTACTTGTCTTCCCTTCATTGACACGCTCGTATCAATCGCAATACACCTGTACCAAGGTTCTTTACGCTGATTCTTTAGTAATGTTTACATAGCACTTAAGATGGTGGTCGATTGCTTGTGTGATTCTGGTATGTCAGTCTCCATGGGACTCTCATAGGTATGTGGCTAGGAGGAGATGAACTTTAGGGCTTCATCCATCGATTTAGTTTACACTCACGATGTCCTCCATGCGGTCAGAACTGCGGACAGTTTCAGCTTAAGCCATAGCAAAGAAAAAGAAGTTCATCCATTTGCCGTTTGACTATTTGTATTTGACATGGGAGGAGAACGAAGGAGGCGAGGCTTTGTCCAAACGATGAAGCGCAAAGTAAACTAGAACATATTCTTTCGTTTGCTTGGAGTAACTTTGGATGGCCTTCCTCGATCTTCCTGCAGCTCCTCGTCGTCATATTCTATTCGCGGAGGGGTGCAAGGCAGAACAGTGGTGTCGATTTGGTCTAGGTAAGCCTGAGAGGGGAGAGGGTGGAGAAGGGAGTTAAAAAAGTTAAGATGCATTAGTGCCTAGAGCATCATCTCCAGTGTCGTGCCCCAATTGCACACCCGCCAACAAGCACTTACCTCCAAGGTACGAATGAGTCTGATGCAACCTGCCATGCCGGAATCGGACTGATCACAGGGGGCATAGGCCGTACAAATCTTGTTCCAGTGGTACAGCCCGTGGGCATATTCCATGGTGTACAGACAGAGTTGGTGCCCTATGTCGACAGAACAGAAAGAGCTGTTTAGAGTGGAGACACAGTCAAAAAATAGTTGAGGTCGATCATACATTTGTTCTTTTCGTTCGCTTACTGAAGAGTTGGACAGCAGCCGCTTTCACAATAGGGTACCCTTCTTGTAACGACATGTCGATCGCATCCTTGGTGTAGTTCGCCAAGTTCCAGTAGTCCCACAGATACTCCTTGGCAGTGTGGCTGTCACCAGGTGGTTTGACTTCCAGAAACGCAATTTGTCGCCCATGCTTCTTGATACAGGCATCGGGGCGGTATCCATGACCACGTCGTTTCCTTGATCCGCGGGCCTCGCCATTAGCCCAATCGACAGAATACGTAGTGGATCGCGCCGGGAACTGGGAGGAAACCAGCGCGTCAATCACCTGGTGACAGAATGTGTCCTCCAAGCCGTTGGAAAACATGTTGTGTTGAACAGGCAGCTTGAGTTCCCTAGACAGTGAGATGGAGAGGGGATACGACCGATAAGGGTTAATAATACTTAGTCTCCGCCTATCCTTGTCGCTCTTTTATACCCCACGACTATCAATTTCCACATACAACATCTGATACAGCATAATGATCTTTCGCTGATCTGAGGAACCAGCATTTGCTTGGATCTGTTCCCCCATGGCCAGTTGGATCGAGCTCTGCGCAAAGATGTAAAGCGTCGCGGTCAAGCGGCGCAACCGGCCAAGCATGTGTCTGTTGAACGACCTGAAGCACGTTTTGCGGCAGACCCTGCAGCCCTTCAAAGACGGTGAATATGTAATTCATTGCCCTAAACAGATGAAAAGAGAGTAGGAGTCAAGTCAGTATTGTATAAAATCTTCAACCCCGGTGAAGACAATTTAAGCCTCAGTCGTGCACATACAAAAACTGGGAGATGTTGCTTAAGGACACGGTAATGTCGAAGTCGTTGACAATGGTGGACGAGTTTTCCTGAAACTTCTTGAAGAGCTGCCCGACATTGCAGTTCCCAATCTGATACTTGTGCACCTTGAGCGACGAAACGTCAACGTATGGCTTGCACACAAAGTCATCTCCGCCAGTGGACAAGCTTGAGCTTCGACCCCTATCATGCGTTGGCTTTGAGGAAGCAGTTGAGGTAGACATGGACGATGATGGTGCGCCTGGGACAGAGGAATGAGCGAACAACAATGCAGGTGAGGTGAGTATGTACATTTCGAGTCGCAGTCCTCTGCTGCATACTGCAATATACATACCGACACGGCTTTTCTTCTTTCGCTTTTCGTTCATCGAGTCATCTTGCTGCTCTAGCTTGTCGACAGTTGCCGACTCTTGGCCCTCTCCAATGTTCTCTCTTGTGCGAGCGGACCCTAGTGATTAACGAGCATGAAAAGGTAAGGTTATGGTCGCATAAAAGCTTGCATTGCGCTTATCCTTTTGCTTTAGAATCACCCGTGCCAATCTTACTCTTCGACTTTCCCGCTGACCTCGCTTCCGATCGTGTGGCGGATCCACAGTCAGTGTGGGTCTCTGTTTCCAGCTCTGATTCGATGCTCCGTACTTCGGAGGCTGTCAAAAAAAAGAAAAAAAGAAAAAAAGAAAGAGACCATGTTCATCAGCAATAACGTAAGCGACAGCCTTCTGCTTTCATATTCGACAAGACAAAGAGTAATAGCAACAGCGTACCCGCAAACTCTTTCGTGAGAGCCGTATTCAGTTCGCCTAAAGCTTGCTGCTGTTTTGCGACCTGGGGCAGCATGACCCTGGAGTGCTCGCGCTATGTCATAATATGATAGCAAACGCAAGAAGGTTATTACTATGTCCTGTTTAGCAGGCTGTCAAAACAACAGCTCCCATCTCCCAACTGATGAACATACGATTTGAAGTTCGCGGTCAATGATGATTTCCAGATCAGTCCGTCCAATCTTGCTAAAGCATTTTCCAATGTCACGTCTGTCTTTGATGGTATGCGAAAGGAGGTAAGGCACGACGCCTCCTGTCCATAGGCCAAGAATCCTATGTTTGTCATTGACGAAACTGAAGCGCCTCATGAACCCCTCCAAACTGATGTGTTCGCCATTGGTGTTGTCGCAGTAGCTCTTGTAGTTGACCTCCATTTTGTGTTTTATAGTCTATCTGTGGATTGTTCTCAGTGGTATGCCCAAAAGTCAGGGATGAAGGAAAGAAATGGTAAAAGAGAACGTTAGCGCATTGAATATACATCGTTTGCAGCTTACTCCACACATTTATAGAGGAAGATTTGATTAAGAGAACGACACGCTCTTATTATACAGGAAGAAGCTCTACCTGTACCCACCGATCATCACTGTCGCCCCTTCTTGTCATATGAAAAGGCACTGACAGCTACACTCCCAACAAGGGCGCGACCAGTGGACCAGCTTCACACATCCTCGTTGCTATCGAAGATGCGTATAGTCATTCCCTGAGCAATCCCCAAACGCTTGACCAGAACATGTGGGGGCCCAGTCCAATCAAATGCATGAGCAATCGTGTGGCTAGTGAAAGAGAATGGAACGCTCCATTACACAAGAAGAAGCACTACTTGATTCCGTACCCCATACCAGACCCTCCTGCTTGCCATTAGGGTCAGTGAGAATCGGCTGACCGGAGATGCAAGACAAATCCACTACATCGCCGCGACCATGGGTTGGACCAGCTTCACACACCGCGTTTTCCGCTATCGCGCATGTGCATATCCATTCACAGAGTTTTCCCCGGCCGCCTGGCCAGACAGATGGGGGCCCCGTCGACCACATTGCTTGCCACCGATGCTCGTTCCCACAATAGTAATTTAGTAATTAAGCAAAGTACCTACAGCCGAGTGACATAGGAAAGATGCCGGATGAAGTGCGAGACGCTTTTGGGAGTGAATAATCGACGACGCTAAACAGTACAGAGGAGGGTGAAGCAGAACGATGCAGAACTGGACGTGTGAGTGGTAATGAAAAAGAGAACGGCGATACAAGCTAAATGCTCACAAAAGAACGGAGAGTGACACCGCGTAGACAATAGTAATGGAAGGCGAACACTGGGCTGAAGGCGCGTGTAGGTCACAAAACTGACAGTGGCCATAGCAGGAAAGTGAGTAATGTTGACAGTATTAAGAGGGAAAAGCTGATGCAGGCTGCACATTCTCTGAAACGAGCGAAGACACGTACCAAAAGGCCTGCCAGCGGGAAGGAGAAAGTGCGTGAAGTGAAGGGATGAAGAGACAAAGGCAGCCGTGGTAGGGTAATGGGTGTAAGGGAAGTGTAGAGTCAAGAAACGAAACTCTGAACCATTCCTCTTCCGCTCAATTTTTAGAGGGCTGGGAAAGATTTGAAGAGGATGGGCGGATAAATAACGTCACCGTAGATTCAATCCACGCACCTGCTGCCCACAATCTGCAAAGCTAGCAACCACGCGAAAAGAAACTGGCCTAGAGTGTCTTGTCATCGACTATGGGTCACAAACATAATCAGAAGCTTGACTTGATTCAAACCCACCAGCTGGATAAAGTACGCCAGAAAGGAACCAGGGAGGGGTGTAACGCCAGAGCTTGACTTGAACTGACCTAACCCGATTCCTATCACCACCATGCTGTCTTCCTTCCTCTTGGCGCCCACCAATCCCCCAACAGCATTCCGACAGCGAAACGAAGTATTTTATGTCCAGATAGGGAGCCCTCCTACCGCAACTTTGAAATGCGTTGCGTGTGTTGACAAAGCATCCATTCTCAATAACGCCGGTCTGTGTGCACTTTTACTACAGTCTGCTCGGCCCGGGGACGTGGGCGGTAAATGGGCTCGCAAGGGCCTGGTTTCTTGGGATGGGGCTCGTTCGTGGGGTAGAGGATTGAGCCCCTAGACTTACGACCTCACCATCGCTATTCGTATCTGTCGATTATGGAACCACATCTTCGACTCCGCTCTTTGGAATCTCATCGCCAGTTGGTCATGCCAGAGATAGCATGGCAGGACTGTTTCAATATATCGATACTTTCTTTGCTCGCTCGACTGACCGCCAACCCGTTTCGGCTCAAGATGTTTCTGGAACGTTGTCCTGGATCCACACTTTTCCCGCGTTTGGAGGTGGCGTCGTTGAAGTGTATTGAGAACGAAGAAGATGTGGCAGAGTTTATTGGGCGTTGCGGTGGTGGTGTTTGGTGAGTGGAGTGGGTTGTCGAGTATTGACCTCATGTTCACATTTCGGGACTCTATTGAGATCTAGTGGAAGGATGTAGACTCGCCTTTTTTTTGTGCGATATCGGTAGGTTATAACAGCATCGACACAGTCAACAAAGAATAAAAACTAGCGCCTACTTACAGAAAGCCATCAAGTCTTTGGCGCGTACCTATTTGCTTCTGCGGAGTAGGCTCTACTGCGGAGAATTGGTGGCGGGTATTTGTTCCTACAGTTTCGTCACCGTTGACGCCTAAACCATTAAAGCTTTTTTTACAAAGGAGATCCCTCAAAAAAGGCGCCCGGCCCAATCGTTGACAGAACGCGTGTTTCTGACAAAGCAGCTTTTCGATGCGCAGTTTGATTTTTCCTAGTGGTGTTTTGTTCGAGGGAGAGAAAGGTAGTTCTTCCAGATTGGATCGTTCACCCCTATTTGAGCGGGGATTAAATGTCGCAGAGAAAAGGGACAGTGCGGAAATTATGCAGGAAAGCACAAACACTTTGGTCGTATAAAAGAAACAAAAAAAAACTCCCGCAGAACCTCTATTTCGCTCGCATCTTTATTTCCTTCTTTCCCCTTCACTACCAACAACCAACTCTCCTCTCTCTCACACACTCTCCAACAAAACAAAACAAAACAAAACAACAAACAATGTCTTCAACCCGTCGTGTCGCAATCGTCACAGGATCCTCCCGGGGTATCGGCCGCGCCATTGCCCTCCGCCTCGCTAAGGACGGCCACGACATCGTCGTCAACTACCAATCCAACGCCGCCAAGGCCCAAGAAGCCGTCAACGACATCCTCGCCCTCAACCAACCCGGACTCCGCGCTATCGCCATCCAGGGCGACGTCGGGATCCTGGCCGACGGAAAACGTATCGTCGATGAAACCCTCCAGCATTTTGGCCGGATTGATACCGTCGTCTTTAACGCAGCCTGGATCGTCTACCAGTCCATCGAAGATCTTACAGAGGAGTCGTACGAGGAAGCCTTTAGGACCAACGTCAAGGCGCCCATGTTCTTTACGAAACAGGTTATCCCCCACTTGAAGGCTGGAAGCAAGTTGATTTACTTGTCGACCAGTTTGACGACTGCGACGACGGTGCCTCCGAATTACTTTCTGTACACGGCGACCAAGGGGGCGATTGAGCAGATGGTCAGAACGTTGTCGAAGGATTTGGGGAGGAGAGGGATTAATGTGAATGCGGTTAGTCCAGGACCGACAGATACGGATGGGTTCCGGTCTGGAAAGACGGAGGAGCAGATCAAGTTGTTTACACAGAGCAACCCATTTGGACGTCTGGGCCAGCCGGAGGATATTGCGGGAGCGGTGTCGTTTATTGCGAGTGAGAGCGCCGGGTGGGTTAATGGACAGGTCTTGCGTGTCAATGGAGGATTCGCTGTCTGAACGGGAGCAACGGCGCTCAGTTTAACAAGCATAACAAAAAATAACGACCTCAGCGAACAATAAATGGAATATTGACTCTATTTTTTCTATGTGTTAAGGACAATGCGTTTAAAATTTACAGTGGTTGTTGTAGCGAGGGAAGGGAATGATATCGCGGACATTGTCCATGCCGGTGACCATGAGGAGATACCGCTCAAAGCCAATACCCCACCCACCATGAGGGACCGTACCGTACTTTCTCAGATCCATGTACCATTGGTATTCTTCTTCTCCCAACCCAAAGTCCTTCAGCTGCTGCTTCAACACCTCGGGTCTCTCTTCTCTCAAAGACCCGCCCATCAACTCACCAACACCGGGGACCAACAGATCGACACACCCGACTGTCGTCCGATCCTCAGATCCTGCAGATGAAGCAACAGTGGAATCGTTCTTCCGCATATAAAAGGGTTTCAATCCAGCAGGGTAGTCCGTGACAAAGACAGGTCCTTTACAATACGATCCGGCCAACCATTTCTCGTGCTCGCTCTGCAGACCCTGACCCCACTTGGGCTCAAATTCAAACTTTTCGCCAGACTTTTGCAAAATCTCGACGGCCTCGGTATAGGTCATCCGCTTGAAGGGCTCTTCCACCAGCTGGACCAATCTCTGCTTAAGCGACTTGTCGATCCAAGTGTTCAAAAACTCGATATCATCACTGCAGGTCTCCAACAGGTACCTCGTGGTCTCCCTCAAACATGCCTCAGAGAAGTCCAAGAGGTGGTCTAGTTTGTCCAAGAATGCAACCTCGGCTTCCAGCATCCAGAACTCGGACAAGTGGCGAGGGGTCATGGAGGGTTCTGCTCGGAAGACGGGTCCCATTGTATAGACTCTCGAAAGTGCACTGGCGATGATCTCCAGGTGCAGTTGTCCTGAAACAGTCAAGTAAACGGGTGATCCAAAGAACTCTGACGGTGCTGGTCCTAATGGTGGCGTTAGTGATTGTTGGTTGGTGCTGCCCTTCTTTTCTTCGTGTTGTTGTTGAGCGCGGGCTGATATCCGGGGTGCAATCTTGAACACCTCTCCGCCACCCTCACAGTCGTGCGATGTTAGCAATGGTGTATGAACCTGGACAAACTCTTGCGACTAGGTCATATATAATTATTTGACGCGTTAATAATCCTATTTCAATGGGGCGAGTTTAACTGCAAAATGACAATCAAGTCAAGCTTTACCTCAAAGAATTTCTGGAAGCCCCAGGTAGAGGCACTGCGGAGACGGAGGATGGCGCTTGCAGTCTTGGCTCTTGAACGCAAGTGTGAGATCTCTCTGAGGAACTCGAATGAGTGGCGCTTCTTCTGGAGTGGGTATGTCTATTGTCGAGTATGCGTAAAGAAAAGTTTCCCGATCTGCGTGTTAGACCTGATCTTCAATCGCCAATAGTTGAGGCAGCCAACTCAAATGTCAATGCTAGCTCTGCTGCTAGACTTTACCTCAGCATCGCAGGATCCAAGAACTTTCATGTTGGAGACTTGTAACTCCAATGCTTGCTCCTTTCCGAGACTCTTGACCAATGTTCCTTCCAGCTCGACACTTGTGCCTGCAACCAATCTGGTTCCACAAATGGAAATATTTTGCGTTAGTTACTCGCGCATATGTATCAATTGACCAGTTGATCACTGCTCAAAAGGCGAGACTGATATAACTATTACCCTTTGCCTTGGCCTCCGCTGAGAATAGCTTGCACACCTTTGAGACTCGATCCGTCGTTAACCTCCACAAAGGTAACATGCTTTTGTTGGCGCGTCGATCGGATCCAGCCCTGGACCTTGACCACCGTGTCGGGTTCGGTTGTTGTCAAGATGGTTTTGATGGTTTTGTTGGGTAATGCTGGAGGGATGGATCGTGCCGCCGTGCTGGGCTTGAGGATTGGTACCTGGCTTATTGTTGTAGTAGCCTGAGCCCGACTGAAACTAGTGGCGAAGAGGCGGTGTTGTTGTTGGGCGAGAGTTGACGAGGAAGAGGAGAAAGTGGTGATTTTGAGAGAGTTGACTGTCTGGCGTCTTGCTTGGCCGAGCAAGGCCATGTTAGTCCTGCTGCTGACGAGTGGTCGCGCTGCGGTCAACATTGTCTTGTCCTGTTGTTCCTGTGGGTGGCAACGGCCAAAATGGAATGGCGTGGAGGTAAATGGAGTTGAAGGGAATCTCGGAGACGAGAAATTAAGGACAGGTTAAAGGAACAAGTCGAATCGAATCTGTGACTGTGTTTACAATTTTTGAACTGCAGCAACGGGCTTCTCCATGAGAGCTGCGCGTGGATACGTTTTTTTTTCTTCTTTTTTTTGGTACAAAAGGCCAGACGAGCACATCTCTTTCTCTCACTCTTCACCCTACTATCACCTACTACATAACAATACTACTGCCGCCATGAGGACATGTCACTACGTCGTTCTCGACATCGACAAGAGCGCATCTGAATCAGACATCAAAAAGGCTTACCGTCGCAAAGCACTCGAATGGCACCCAGGTGAAACACAGCGGCCCGCCCTTACTTTGTCGTAGAAAAGTTTTCTTCTCTGCTCTATACATACTTGCTTGCACAAGAATATCAATTAACCTCTCACTGCCCCTTTTCTTTTCCTTTCAACTAGACAAGAACAATCACAGAGTAGAAGAGGCAACGAAACAGTTTGCGTTTATTGCTGAAGCATACGAAGTGCTGTCTGATCCACAGGAGCGCGCTTGGTACGATTCGCATCGGGACGCTATTCTTCGAGGAGGTACGAACTCCAGTCGTCAACTGTAGAATCGTCACGGGAGAATTACAATTGCATGGAAAAGGATATTTACAGAGGGATCGGACCACTTTTTTGCTCACCATTACTGCGGTTCTTTCATTTTTCAATTACTAGATGACAAATCCGACCAGACTGAGGGAGTGGCTGGAACGACCGCAGCAGAGTTGATGAAGTATTTCAGCACTTCAGTATACAAGGGCTTCCAGGACAACAATGCTGTGAGTGTACACATTCGATGCACCTCCGTTATGTCATTGCAGGATTGAAAACTGTATAACCGGACTAGATCGAGAGACATGGCGCTAACGTCATCTATGATGTCATTTTTTGAACCTTAGGGTTTCTACACTGTGTACCGCACCGTGTTTGAGAAACTAGCAGAGGAGGAAGCCGAGGCACTCGCCAACGACAGGAGCGAGGACTCTGGCAATGTCAAGCTTCATTTCCCTTCATTTGGGTGCTCTACGACAGATTATGACGACAGCTCAGACTCGGATGTAAAACAGTTCTACAATGCCTGGTTGACCTTTTCGTCCCAAAAGTCGTTCTCTTGGTGCGATAAGTACCGTCTCTCGGAAGCACCTGATCGCAGGATTCGCAGGGCTATGGAGAAAGAGAACAAGAAGTTCAGGGATGCCGCACGCAAAGAGTTCAATGATACCGTCTTGGTAAATTGTCACAGGCTGTTGAAAAGTGAATGGGAGGACATGAGGAGATGCTTTGAACGCGACTCTAATATCATGCATCGTCCTTCTTATATCTTTCTAAAAATAGTCGTTGGCATCGTATGTTCGGAAGCGTGATCCACGGTACTTGGCATATCAGGAGCAACAAAAGCAAAAGCAGAAGCAGGTTCAAGCAGATCTGAAGGCAAGGATAGAGAAGGAGAAGGAAGCCCTTCGCGCCAAGGCAGGACAGTTTCAGGAACAAGCATGGGCCAAGGTTCAGGATGATGACGAAGAGTCTGGCGAGGGATCCGACAATGGTGAGGATGAATACGATCAGGAGTTCGAGTGCATTATTTGCGACAAATTTTTCAAATCTGAGAGACAATGGAAGAACCACGAGCGGAGTAAGCGGCACTTGAAGGCTGTGGAGGACATTCGATTGGAGATGATGCACGAGGAGAATGAGCTCATGGGTAACTCGCCTGCTGCTGAAGGTGCTGGGTTTGATGCAGAGGAGCTGGAGGATTATGAGGATGAGGAAGAGCTTGATATGCCGGTGCCAAAAGCCATGACGACCGAGGAGATGCTCGAGGACGACTTTTCAGGAAGCGAGTTGGAGGAAGAGCCAGTGGAAGTGGCAACACCTATCTACTCGGACTTGTTAAAGTCAAAGAAGAAGAACAAGAAGAAGAAGGTCATGACTGCCGAGCACGACCTGGGCCTGGATCAGGAACAAATTGACGAACTGGATCAGGGTGGACTCGCCGATCTGTTAGGCTCTGTTCGCCTTTCTTCCATGTCTTCGCCAATGAATCGATCAAGAGCCTCGACGCCTGGCGGTGGACGCAAGTCTAAGGGACGAAAGGACTTGTGGAACGGTGATAGCGACGTTGAACGGGACTTGGATGATCCTACGCCCTCCTCGACAGCACCTGCGTCTAGGGCCGAGTCACCTGACGGCACGGGAAAGAAGAAGCTGAGCGGTAAAGAGAAGAAGAAGGCGCGTGCTGCGCAAAAGGTATAGGCAATTGACTGCGCACTTTTCACTATGGACACGTTTTGTGTAGTTTGAACCCCACAATCCTATCTGGTCTCGCCATATTGACGCCATTGTCTAATAACGCATACTTACTATACATTTAGTTGTCAGCTGAAGGCGCGGGATTGACTTGTCGGGTGTGCAAGACCGACTTTGATACCAAGAACCAGCTGTTCAATCACATCAAGGAGACAGGCCATGCAACTGCAACCGCACCAACAGCAGCTTATGGCTCCGCAGCAGATGTAACAGCGTCGACACCATCAGCCAAGGACGATTTTTACTCGTCAGAAGATGAAAGGGGTCGGGGCAAAGGAAAGAAGGGCCGGGGGAAGCGCAAGTAGATTAGAGATTTTCCCATACTCTGTTTGACGGGCAAATTTGCCCGCCTTTTTTTACATGCATTTAGTGCGCTCGCCATATATTTCAGCGTCCACCCTTTCATCTCGTATTCTCATGATTCGCATTATGCTCAAGTTTATTGAAATGAGACCAGCCCTTTTTCATTGTTCGATTCTTTTTTGGTCCATTTATGCGGTATAGAATTTCAAAATGTCCTTACAGTGTAAGCGTGTTTGTCACCTCACAACACAAACAAACTTCATCGCTCAATGAAAACAGAAATATCAGAAATATTCTTTTATTGGCCCAGGCTCGCGTGTCTGTTGGACGTGGGGCGCAGCCGTTTTGGAAACGGATAAAAGAATCTCTCAAATTCTTCTTCACCCTCAGTTACATACATACCTACAACTTTTCCATCATGACTCGCGCCAAGCTTGATTTCGTTTCAAACTCGTCCTTCACGTCGTCGCAGAAGACTGAACTCTTGAAGGTCGACAACAAGGACCTTTCCTTCAATCTCATGTACTGGGAGCTCTGCGCTGGTGGTTCGACTAGCAGAGAGATCCTCGTCTACGGCAAGGCCCATCACGAGTTCACCTATCCCGACGTAACGAAACCCTCAAAGCTGTCTTTTTCGTCTTTCTTGAGGTCTCTTTTACTCTGAACCAAACTTTCTAACCAACAGTTCATCATGTACATCATCTCGCATCCATACTAGAATGAAGGATGGCACAAGGGCACAGTGCCAACAGTATTCTCAGTCCTGCCAGTTCTCAGAATCAAGGACCGTCGCCCCTCTTCACCCTTCCAAGACAAAGAACTAGTCCTCGCAGAGGCAATTATCATCGACACTTTCCTGGCCGGCCGATTCGGTCTCCTCGGCGACAACGAATGGGAATCGATTGCGATCAAAACTTTCCACTCCAGCATCCATTATCTCCGTGAGCGTTGCTTCTCGTTCGTGTTGATGGTCCCCGTGGAGTTGAGGAAGAAGGCGCGTGAAGATTTTTTGGATGGGTTTATGAAAAAGTTTTGTGAGGACCATGAGTACCATTTGAAGGCGAATGGGTCTAATGGCCACTATGTTGGCAACAAGGTACGTCTTTGCTTTTTTTTTTTTTTTTTTTTTTTTTTGCGTCGGTGCTAGATCTGTAGGCATGCAAATATGCGACTAAAATGCAAGCATTTGTGCTGACTTTATTTTCATCATTTATGCATCATTGTAGCTGTCGCTGGCGGATATCCATCTGTCGAACGTGATCCACTTCTTCTCGATGGCGCCCTGGGGCAAGATGGCATTGGATCGATTCAAGCAGTACGAGTCGCTTTGGAAGGTCAACGAGACTGTGGAGAAGGTGCCCGAGATTGCCGAGTGGAGACAGTCTGCGTTGTTCAAGGGTCTTGAGGAGTGCACTGTTGGATTTTACTCCGCCAATGGTGCCCCCGAGGACCAGCCAGAGTCCTAAAATGCTGCTGGAGGATCAGGTGTTAGCGAACGAGGGGATGATATGCAAGTTGTTATATTGCTTCTAGTCTTCCTTTTATACGTTTTGCGATTAAAATTATCACTTGCCTTAGCAGAGCTGTGAGCAAAAAAAAACTAAAAAAAAACGAGCCAGCCACACGAATTTTACTCTGTCGCTCATTCGGATGATCTTCCAGTTTGTGATCACTTCAAGGAGAACGCGTGGTTGGTGTTTTACTCTTCCCTTTCCAACATCGTTGGCATGGGCAAATGCTTCTGCTGTGGACTCGAATGGATGCAAGGATTTGTCCTCATCGTATTCCTTTAGCCAAACTTGCATCGGATGCGCTCCTCAAGTAAAGGAACTCGCATGCAGTGAATTCTCTTTAAGCGATTTCGAATTCATCAAATCTGGAAAACAACCGTGGCGATGTACCTCCTTCCTTTCCGACAATTGTTGGCTATGGGAAGAGCTTCCGTTGTGGATTCGGATGAATGAGAGACGCTATTTCTTCCTTGTCAATCAGGCCGGGTGTACCGTTATTGCTAAGTGTAGCGCTGGTGAAACCTACAGTGGCCGGATCACACGCGTCAAAGTACACTCCCTTCAGCACAGGAACCGTGCTTGACAACTGTCTGACTATTTTGTCTCGACCAACCCTTCCAAATACAGTGTCATCGATTACATTACAGCGTGTGGCTTGACCGTATCACAAGAAACTGGAGAGCCTAAATTGAAGGAGAATACGATCGACCTTTTTACGACAGACAGGGTCAAGACTGGAAAAGGAGTGGGCAAAGTCAAAGGAGAACAGGAAAAATCGGCGGTTGGAGAGGGGGGGAGGGGGGTAATGAAAAGATGGGCAAGTTGCTTAAGGATACCGCGTATGTTCATTTGACTGGTGCTTTGGAGTACTCTGAATGAACTATTAGGCATGGCTTTGCCACTCTTGGTGCGTCTTTGATTTTTTGACATTTTCTGAGGAATTGAGCTTGATAGCGGTGAAAGTAGGCCACTTACTCGTGATATGTCTGTTCTCAAGAACCTTTATTGCCTTCATCGACTTGCCGGACACCGCCCTAACGTCCGGGGTCAAACTCGCCTAAACAGTCAATATTCCCCACCTGCCCACTGAAGTTTACCCCAACCAAAGAACACAAAGTGCACGAGGATCAGGAGAATATATTTTTTTAACGCCAGGATTAACCCTTCAAGAATCGCACTTCAAAATTCTTCGAAAAGGCGACAGCATCCCTTCATGGGCGAGAGATCGGCTCACGTACACCATTCATTTGAAATTGAAAGAGGATTGGGGTTCGCATGTCATGCAGCTGTATGAGGCTGCAAAGACAAAGGGAAGTCTTGATTATTCCAATGTTGATGAGATCGCGTAAGTATCTTTTGCACCGACTATGGTTGTTGCTTTGGAAAAATGACGCGTATGTTTCCACACGCTATTTTTCTTGTCATATTGTTCTCGACTTTGGGGGGGGGGGAGCTCCTGAGCGCAAGACGGCCATGAGGAGTCCTCGTGTTCAGACAACTCAGCCTCCGTAAAAAAAAAAAAAAGAAAAAAAAAAGAGTAAATAAATAAATCAGACATGTTATTTACTGACGCACTTGTGGTTTTATTACAATTATCTACGGTGGCGGTGGTTGTGCGAGCGGCGAGGGTGACGGTGTCTGGTCAATGTTGATTTCGCCAATCATGGCCTTGTCTGGCGTAGTAGGGCCAGGTTGCATATCCGCTATACTATTATCTCCTCCCGTAGAGTCATCGTCGACTGGAGTAGGTTGAGGTGTTGATGTGGTGGTGGTGCTGGCAGACGGTGTGGTAGGTCGTAGTGGTGGTCCCGCATGTGTTGCCGACGATGAGGGTGTAGAAGTCGAGGTAGAGGCAGTGGCATCCGCGCTTGCAATACTAGGGGCCGTAGTGCTGAGAGGCAAATCCAACTGGAACCCTCGGATCACCAACTCACGGACTTTGCTCAGGAACGCCTTCGCATTAGTCTCATCCACAAAGATATGGTGACTAATCGATTTCAGCAACTTGTCCAACCTCGTCGTTGTAGTAGCCTCACCCTTCCTCAGCGGTAACGAGAGGTCCACACGATGCTCATACGTCCGATAATACCGCACCAAATCCGACAGCTGTTGAAAGACCGAGACCGAAAGTTCGTTTGTCCGTGTGATCTCCCGGTCATATCCAAAAGGTAGCCGACAGTTCAGCCGCTCATCAACCTGCTCGGAGACGGACAAGAACTGGAACTTTGAGAGGAAGGACAAGTTACGTGGGTCGAAAGGTGAGACAATGACACCGACAAAGGGTTCGACGTTGAGCTCGTGGCGACGGAACATTGTCTGGTGCTCGGACTGGTTCTCAATGTCGCGGATACTCGGGTTAGGTTCAAAGGTCGGGTGGGAGTGATACCAGCCCACGACTACGAAGCCCTTGGATGAGAAAAAGAACCGTGCCTCGACGTCTGATTCTGGGTCCATCTCGCACTGGAGACCTGTGCTGATACTCCGACAAGGGAAGACGCCAAGGATGAACAGGATCTTTTCGTCCTCGTCGTAGAGGCCACCGAGTAGTCCAATCACCTCCGTCTCGGCCAAATGAGAATGAAAATCCATAATGAGCTACACCAGGACAAAACGTATTAAAAATTAGTGGCGTTCTTTGTTTGTGCGAAAGTCAAGATAACGTGTAGCAATGAGAGCATACCATGGCATCAGAGGAGACTTTGACTCGGAAGGGCGCCTGATTCTGTGCATTGTACTTTCGAAGGGGCACAAGCCGGAAGGGATCATACTGGTTTCCTCCCGACAGAGATCCGCTTGCTCCATCCTCATCAATGTACGCCTCCATATCTCCATCATCATCGTCTTCGACACCATGGAAATAAGAACGGTTCGACTGTCGGATCAAATGTCCCGCCCGTAGATTCCTTGGGACTTTGTTGTTGATAGGATGAAGCTCAGACGCTGCGAAGTATTTGGCGTTCTGTGCAGCGAGTCGTTCCTGATCCAGTTCTTCCTCCATTTCCTCCTTGGTCATCCCGTGGCGTTCGAAAAAGGCTTCGTCGTCTAGCTGGAAGATATCGGTGCTCTGGCGATCTGATCTTCGTGACGAGCTGGAGCGCTTCTCGTCCTTGGTGTTATGTACATTGTGCTCGATGACGTGCCCTTCCAAATCGCTCTCATTCACCCTAACACATTGATAACAATATTGTCAGACATCGCAGTTGTGCCAACGCGTAAAAACTAAGAAACAATGGCATAGCGCATGTAAACTTACCATTCCCCGCGCTCGTTCCGAACCCTGCGCCGCCTTAGAGGAGGCGTGACCCACACAGAGTCCATATCATCCAAATCGTTTAATATCGCAGGATTACTCCTTCGACGAGGAGCAGACGAAGAAGAAGACGACGACCAGCCCCGATCTTCAGATTGTCCGCGCTTTTTGGACGGATTGCTCCCTCCATTCCTGGGTCTCGCTAACGACGCTCCTGGAGAAGAGGCCGTCATGCCCACATTGATGACCCCGATCGACTCTAGCCATGAGTGAACTCGACCGATTGCATTCACGTCGCCACAGTCCTTTAACGCAGAGCGCACGCTCGTTTTTGTCAAGTATGTCGACGGTGACTTCTCCCAGGCCTGGATGATCGTATTCCTGATCCGCTGGTATCTCTCTGGCGTCTTGCTGGCCTTGTTGCAAAAGAACTCGGAATGCACGCGCGTTTCCTCCTCGGTGATGATGGTCTTGTCCAAGATCCGTGGGGTCACGTTTGGAGGTGTTGTTGGTAACACCATGGCAGTCGTGTTCATCGTCATGGCTGGGGTGATGGATAGTTGTCCGTGAGAGAAGTGTGGAAGCGAGATCGAGTTGCTCGGATTGCCACCTTGCGCCTGCGACGACGATGCCGAGTGCGATTTCTGCTTGGGTACGCTCTTTTGACCTTTGCGGGATAGACTGAGGATACCGGCAGGGTGAGGGAGCTTCTTGTGTCCAGTCCCGAGTGACCCTTCCTCCTCTTCGTAATTATCCTCCTCGCTCTCCTGATTCAAATGGGCCCGCTTGACAATAATCCTGTGACCCTGCCCGTTGCGGAGACTGGAAGGCAAGACCATGCTTCCTGTCAGAGTAGGGTCAATTCCAGCCAGGTTGACTGGAGGTGAAAGTCTTGTCGGAAGAGTTGTCGTGGAGCCGTGTAGGTAAGATGATGTCTCCGAAAGCGGCGCTAGCCCTCGCTTCCTAGCAGATCCATTGTCCTCTGAAGAATGCATCTCGTCCTCATCGTACGAGTTGATGTCCGGCTGAAGTTCGGCCACATGCACAGCGCCAAACGACACTGTCCGCCTCTCCTTGGGGGAGTTGACCATCTTGTCCATCGAGGTATGGCTCAAAGTTCCGCCCTTTTGGAGCAGTTGAAGATGTTGCTGGTGTTGCTGCTGCAAATGAAACTGTGTGTCCTTTAGTAATGGCTTGAAGCTGCCCGCAGCCCCAATGCTGTTGATACTGCTGCCGCTAGTGTTGAATGTCGGGTTCGAGTAGATGTCACTAGACGAGCCCAAGGTATCGGATAGGGCAGGAGAAGCTGCCGAGACGCGCTTGCGTGCGCTCCCCGACTCAACAACCTCGTCCATATCATCGTCCTCCAAATCCCGATCCGATTGACTATCAAACTCGCTGGACAACCGAGATCGCGTAGACGAGTTTGAAAAAGGGGAGATCGACCGAGATTTAGCGTTGCTGGCATAGGGTCGAAGGCCCCTTGCCAGGTTCAAGCGACTGGCTGCATCCTCGTCCGTGCTCTCAATGTCTACATCTACTTCCTCGTCCTCGTCCTCATCCATGCTGGATATGCCAGTCCGTTGTGAAGTTAGGGTATAGGGAGATGACAGCGATGACGATGAAAATAGCGGTCGTAATCCAGGACTGGGAGTTCCTAAACCGATAGATCCTGAACGCGAGCCACCTTTTCCTGACAGAGAAGGCGACTTTGTCGTCGACCTAGCATCGTCGTCGTTGTCAGTATCGTAGCCACTCTAGCAATGTTTTGTACTGAATGTTAGGTTGTATGTTGACAATGTTACATACCCGAAAAGCTATGTGCGGACAAAATTACTCCCACGTGTCCCGCATTTTTGTTCCTTACCGTGGCACCGAATTCAGACCCAGTGAAATCATCATTCCCTGACTCTGACGTAATGCTCCTTGCGCGTCGGATTCGCCCTCCATATCGATCAGAGTCGGCCTCAGACTTTCCGCTGGCATCGATCCGTTTCACGCGTTTACTCCGTGAGTGCCTCTTTTTGACAGCAGAGTGATCAGCCATTTCCTCATCCGCCGAATTCGCCGCAGATGATCGCCTGTCTAATCCTTCTCCGTCGCTAGTATTCGTCGAAACATCATGAGGTACCTATTTCATGTGTAGACATCGATTAGCAACTCCGTCAACGCTGGCTGTCACTGTGTAGAGTAGCATCATCGACAAGCCTTACCCTATCAGAGACAGACAAATGTCGTGCATGGTTCTTGACTTGCAATGGGTTCCTCGTTGCAACCACAGCGGCGATCACCTTCCAGTTTCCATATCCATGAAGACGCTATAGAATGAACAGGCGTTAGTCAAGATTCGAGTAGTCTTGCCATGATCTCCAATTGCAATGAATCACCCTGAAATGAAGACTTACAAGTCCTTCACGGAGTCGGTCATCTTCTTCGCTTGTCCAGCGGGTGTTGTGCGAAGGAAGGTCCACGGACGAGATAGCGTTCAATCTAGCGTCTGAGGTAATCATGAACTTAGTTTACAGCCCACAGGAAAAAGTAAAGAGTCTATGATTGCTTGAACGGCAAATAGACTTGCCTTCACTTGCAGTCCTTTTGCTCTGTCCTGATCGCTCTGCTGAACTCTTGCGCTTTTTGGAGTCGTGGGCGCTGCTCTTTGACGTCGGCTTGTGTCCATTCCTACTCCATGATGGGTCTGTTGGCTCTCTTGAATGCGATCCAGGGTTTCCTTTGGGACGTGATGTTGTCGCAGCTTTCGAACCGCCGATAGAAGGTGTCGCTTGTTTGCTACTTGTGCCAGAGAGCGTCTTGGACGGTCTTCCTGAGTAGAACTCCTCCTCAGCCAACATGCTCTCGATCATCTGCCTAGACTTCTCATCCATGTCGCCTGCATCGAATCCTGCTTGCGCGTGATACTATTCCCATATGTAGAGGCGGTGTAAGTCGCGTGTCACAGGTCAACATTGCTGGCGAAACGAAATATATGAACACAATGCACTATCCTTACATCTTGTGTGACCCAGTCTGGGATTTGAAATTCATCTGCTATTGACGATTCTGTCCTAAAGAGAAGGAGATTCGCAGTCAGTATCCACACGAAGAACAAACGAATCCTGAGCCATCGCAGAAGTTTTCCGTGATTCTCGGTCCTTGCCACTTACTCTATGCCAACAGCGTTCCTGATCGCAGCGCCAGAGCCAGACGGCATCGAGCCCCCAGCGGTATCGTCCTTCTGCCGTCGATCGCTACTGTTGACCCTTGAAGTTGATGATGTATCGTCGATAAACTGCTTTCCGCGGGTAGTTTTGGCGCTACTGGTAGTTTTCACTCGATCGTCGGGTTCGTCACCATCGATGTCAATGTCGATATCTATATCTTCTTCTGCCATTCTGTCGTCCACGCTGGCGCGTTTTCTTGAATAGGCCTAGAGTCTCCGTGAGTGGCTTCCGAGTCGTATCCTTGTTAAAGAATCCAGTTTTGATCGTGAATGTGAGGTTACGCCGTGTATGGATTTCTAGACGAAGGATAAATAGAGTTGAAAAATTGTTAAAAAATCGACCTTGAGAGGAACTCGGGCACCGCCAGGGAAGAGGAAGCCCCTTCGCCTGTATGTATGTATGTATGTATGCATTATGAAGCGTCAAACCTGATATCTATCCAGGTATGATCTTTGTTGTATCCCCATATGTCGCGTTGAAGATGGACTTGTTCATGGGCGTTTACAAACACCTACAAGTTCCATGACATGTCTCAACAGAATGGTGGTGGCGATCAAACCATCCAGCAACTCATAGGGCGTCCTGAATGAGCCTGGTATCCAAACTTCCTGTCGGTGATCCTTAGTAGTGACTTACGGTGGTGCTACTTCAAGTAGACAGGTCAATGGAAGACAGAGGGAGAGTGTCTACGTCTTGATCTCCATTTGACACTCTCAGCATGCGTTACCCAAGTGGCTCAATGCCGGAAATCACGTGATGAAAATCTAAATGTCTGTCACGACAGGGTCAATTTGGCAGGATGAACTCATCTTCAGTGACAGCTGCAAGAGAAGCTAAGTTGAACCGTTGTGCAGGTTAAACTGAATGGTCGTGGATAACCATGCAACACCATGCGAGTCACTGAGAGGCAAAAGCGTTACTAAGCATTGATGGTTTTTTTTGGTTACCCCCTTCCACTGATCCTCAACCACATTTGGCGTGTCCCTGAAAGAAAGCACCCCCTTATGTTTTCCTGACTTGCTTGGACATAGAACATGCATATGGTCATGCAAGAGCGGACTTTAAGCATGATTTTTTCTTCCCAGTTTGTGTCTTCGATATTTAGCGATGAGAAAAAACAGCAACAGCAAGAGTTGATCATTTTTGTTCCGGATCCTCAACAAAAAAAACTACTTTCAGCAACCATATTTTTTTGGTATTCCCGCTTGTCGTTAAAGCGATCCTCCGTTCTCGACGTTCAAGGGCACACTGCATCAAGACTTAGAAAAGGAGCAAGGGGGCGGTGCAGGGGAGAAAAAACGCTAGGTCAGATGGACATCTCGAGAAATGGGTTAGGGATTTTGGAGTATGAGCCCCAAGCTGCAAAAGTAGTGGTCGTTTAAATATGGACTTACGCAAATAGCATTGCGTTAGAACAATGGTTGTTAACGCAATGATCGAGCACTCATTTTCTTGGAGGTCCGCGGACACCCAAGCAGGTCTAACTAAACTTTTTAGAGTTATTCTTTTAGGACCCAGCAGGCTGAGGGTGCGAGACCCAGACCTGTTGGAGACTTGGCAGTGGTAGCGGAAAAAAAAATGGCCGCGACATGGTTTGGAGAGGAGAGAGAGGATGGTGCTCATATGTAGGTTAACGCTTGTACTCATTGGTGTATGTTGTTGTGTTGTGTTGACAGACAAAATGAATTTTTTTTTCTTTGGCTTCATCTCAAGATGCCTGGCAGAGAGCAATTGAAATAACGAATGAGAGCAAGAAAACGCAGGGGGTGCCAAAGGCAAAAAACAACAACCAAGCAAAACTGCACAAGGGGAGAGGGACACCTGGGCAAAGGGGTCTGAGCAAAGTCAACTGTCAACAAACTTGTCTCTTTGGTCTCTTTTATTCTTTCTTCTCTTCCTCTCCTTTCTTCGTCCTCGCACTTACCCTCGCACTTACCCTCGCCCTCCTTCCTTCCTTCTCCTCTCTGTCCCTTCCTTTGCTTTTTCGGACCTTCACTCTTGCGAACTCAAGCAGACCACTTTGCTTGATGACCAAAGCAGCACGCTGATTCCCTTCTCCTCTTCCTCTCCCTTCTCCTCTCCCTCGCCCTTCTTCATCAGCCTCTCTCATCTTCAACCATTGCATCTCTCACTTCCTTATTCATCTCCTTTGCATCTTTCGTCTCCATCTTTTAACTTTTCTCCTGTCATCCCAGCCCTTCTGAGACCTGACCTCTCAGAGCGCGTGCCTGAGTCTTATTTCTTTTTCCATATCCTCTCTTTATCACCCTTGCAATCCTAACAGACCAAATACCATTCCATGTTCTGGAAGAAGCCGCGTGCTAGCGACTCCACCTTGCAGCTCCAGAACATGACTGAAAGTCCAACTTCCTCCCCCCAGTCAAACCACACCACCATTATGGCTACAAGCCTGGCAGAGATCGACCCCACACCTAGTAGTCCTCCAAAATCATCCTCCTCCAAAAAATCGACTCTTGTCCTACCCGCCGCAGCCTCACCCATCGATCCATGCAGCCTTGGTAAATAATCCGATCGGGTGGTAGATTCTCGACACTTCGCCCATACACAACGCCATGTGGTCCTCTTTGTTCTATTTTGTTTGTATGAACTTTCACTGTCGGAGGCTTAACAGCTTGATATCATTGGCTTACATCCCTTTTTTTTTTTTTGCGATTAACCATATCGATGTAGCCCAGCGCCGTTACTTCACAGGATCCGATGCTGTGTTGAGTAGAGCCAAGACACTGTCCATTGCTGGAAAAATAGAGTATGTCTACTTTTGATATGATGCTTACTACAACAGAATTGAATTGTTCAGGGCGAAGGTGAACTCAACTAACTACGCCTGCCTCCCTTTCTCACGTGTGCACATAGAGGTCCACGCTTCCAACCCCAGTAAGTAATCTATCACCCGCCGCATATATAGGGCCTCAGAAGGCATTTTCTGTTGTCCTTCATAATTTCTCACCTTCTTTTCTCTTCAACGTCTCTACTTCTTCAAAGGCCTGGCATGAGTGCCCATCTTCCAGAAAACACTGCTACCTTCAAGGTATGATGTCTGAACAATAGTCTAAGCAGAGCAACGCCCACTTTTCACATCTGCAAGTGTTCCACTGACATGCAGTTTCTATTTTCAACACTACTTTCTTCATTCGACAGTTTTTTGGCAGCTTCAAGAACTACAGTACAGGACACTACACCATTCATTGGCGTGTAAAGGCGTTGCCGGACTTTCACATCCCGAACGGCCTTCACTTTGTGGTCAAAATCTCGTATGATGTAAGTTGCGTCCCGTGCCGTTTCAAGAACCATTTCGACCGCCGCTTGTAAATCCTTAGCCCAACTTTTAACCCTCTTGGTATGGTTTTTTTTTACCCTTTAGACTGAACCGGATATCAGTGGTACCCTGGATGTGATCCTGCCGCCACACAAACTGAACACCATAGGTATGTTTAGCCTCATACCTTGCTGTTGAGTTTTAACTGCACCAAAACTGGCAAAACTAAGACAAATCCTCTTGTTGTCTTTACCGAGACTAGGTCGGGATCAATGGCACAACTTGACGCTTGAGGAAAAGGTAGTGATACAGCCCCATGAAGGATGGGCCAACATCCAGGTCATTCTTCGCAACAACGAGAACGAAAACCGCGATGAGTACTCTGGATTCCATGTCGAGCATGTAGAGATCAGACCAGTCGGCCTCAGGACAGAAAACCAACGTAAGAATGCATACCTTTTCTGCTTGTCATTCTGGGGAGTGTGTTCATTGTTAACTAAACGGACAACGCGACGTTCTCTATTTTATCATTTTCAAAATAGCTGGTGTACGTAACATGGTGGTGCAGAGGGCGAGCATACCGGTCATGGTGCTCGATACCACAAGGGCCTATCCAAAATCAAAGGACATGCCGTACTTTCCTGCGGATGTGCCCATTACACGAATTGCGATCTCGAAAAAGAGTCGCTTCATGGCGTCGCTGGGACATTCCAAGGACGACGTCTTCATCACCGTCTGGGATATGTCGTTTATCAAGAACCCTTCCAACCCTTACAGGAACATTGCGGCACTCTACAAGGGCACTGCTACTGCAAGGATCCATCACCCCGGCGTCGGAGATCTCGCCATCGGTCTTGCTATCTCTCCATATGGTGAGCAAATCACAATCTTCCAAGAGCCCAAGATCGGACAGTGGCTGGAGGGTTCAGTGGCACCCAAACCCGACTTCAAGTTCAGACTGTTCAACAACCCTATGGTACCTCAGGTCTCTGTTACCGTGAACATGGATGCACCCTCTACATCCAATGTCGACGAAAAGGCACAGGAAGCCGCTGCAGACGAGACGCCTGGCAAGCAACGACTCACGAGCTCAACATCTGTCAGCTCAGCCGGGTCATCAACAACGGGCGGTCTTTTGCTGGAGAGCGTTGATTGGGAGCACGAGATCTTGCAGTCGCTAGTCGGTTTTGGAGAGTTCGTCCCTGGTGCCAAGAAGCCTGATTGGGAGAGTAATGACCTCGGAACTCTGGCGAGCAATATTGATGACACTGAGGAGTCAGGAAAGGACGGCAAGGACAGCAAGGACGGAAAGAATGGATATACTCAACCCAACAGCTTGTTCGTCACCTGTAACGGCATCTACATCGACGTCTACGAAATCTCACAGGAGAGACGTTGGAAGCGCCTTCACACCATTACCATCACCGACCTTATCCCAACCCTCTCGAGCCGCATCACCTGCAAGATGATGATGGACTCGATCAGCAGCAACAACTTTATGTGGCTCGAGGACAGTGGACGTAGCTGCACGATCTGGGACTTGCGGACAGGGTCCAATATTGCCCATATCTCAAGCCTTGATAATGCGCTATTCAAAGGACCGACTTTCCGCGGACACAGCAAGATGGCGATCTCGCCCCACGAGTCCATTGTTGCTCTGGCCAGTGTGGACGGAAGTTTGACGACCTACTTTGCTAACACAGGAATGGCGATCGACGATAGAAAGTTCCCGGGCTACAAGATCGAGTACGTCGGATTCAGCGCACAGGACGACAAGCTGATTGTGGTTCTGCGCGACAGCGTCACATTTGAGCTCATCGGCAAGCAGTTGGACACCCTTCAGCTCAAGTCGGAGACCATCATCAACCAAACCCCCATCCCAACCATCGGAACCACACTGCAGGCCTACTTCAACATCAAAGGGTACTTCAACCGCGGGCTTGTCATCGAGGCGGACGGGCCCAATATCAACTGCTATGTCTCCAACCAGCCAAGCAGCTCCAAGGTTAACAAAATGAGCGACACGGTCCTCCAATCTCACCCCGCGGATGTCCTGTACGAGTCTCAGTACGACGACCATATCCAGTACCGTCTGCAGACAGCCTTCCACAGGGAGCTTTTACCCGAGGGCGACGGAGTCTTTTACTGGGTCCATCGTGTCGAAGTCATTCGGGAGGACCTGAAGGACAGGACACAGCGACTCATCTTTTCGTTTATTCCTGAACCTTGGATGCGCGCCACAACTGCCGAGGTTTCCCACCCCGAGAACTTGCTCACCGCGTTCTTTGTTCCTTGCGGAACGCGTTTTGCGGTCAACGGCACCCAGACGCTTCAAATCTGGAACCTCCCTACTCACGAGAACTCCAAGTGTAGTCTTCAATACATCTGGAGTCAACCCAGAGGCGACGAGGATCTCGCACCCGGAGGTATTGCCTATAAGTCAGGACGAGTTCGGGACTATTATCTGGAGACCATGGACGCGACCATCTTCCTGGACAGAGTCACAGGAAACACCGTAGCCGAGATCAAGGTCAATGACAAGTCCAAGAAGAGAGTTATCTCGATCCCTGGGCCAGGAACCATCGGTGCTCACTTTGCTATTCTCTACTGTTTCCGCAGTATTCATCTTCTCGCCGCCGCTTATGGCTATTCGTCTCGAGAGAGTAAGAAGGCTTCCAGGGACGCTCAGCAGTCGTTCACTTTTGAGGACCATGCTGAGGCCATTCTTCGGTTTACGCGTGAACACATAAACCGCATGATGTCCATCGGTGTCTACCTCCCAGGCAAAGGCGGTAACGGCGGTAACTTCCAGGCTAACAAGCAGCGCAACCGCCCTCCAAGGAACGAGAAGCCCAGCGTCTCAAATGATGCTGCCATCGTGCTTCTACCTGGTGCCGTTGGTCTTGGTGCTACCACTGAAGCAGGCCCCGAGGTCGCTGCTGGACCAAGACTCATAGACGAAGGGGTGACCATTCACGGAAACTCCAACCGTCGCCAGGCTGAGAGCTTCGACGACCGACCAGCTCCCCTCCACATTCAGGAAACCATCACAGCCCGCGATATGGGTCCAACAATGGACTTTGTCCAGAGAAAAAATGTTGTGCAAGCCAGAGGATTTGACTTTACTCCTGAACCCCCCAGGAAGCAAACAACCCCCAACCACCCTCAGGTCATCACAGTCCTCACTCTCCTCCTGGATCAAAAGTACCTTCAAAAGGCCAACCACCACTTTGTTCAGGGCTTGCTGAATACGAGTAACGGCGATTGGATTCCTCGCGACAACTCAGCCCTCAACCCTATCCGACGTGCCATCGAGTCCAGAAATGCGACCTTGGTCGAAGCGTTCATTGACTATTGCATTCTGAATGCCAAGAAGTACCATCCAGCCTACCTCATGCCCGCCGTCCAGTGTCTGAACGAGCTTTCTGAGAGGTATCCCGCCATCCTGGCAGACATGTTCCGCAAGGCCTCCTACGTCCCAGCCCACAATTACGCCTACGTCTCGTCCCATGCCCTGGTCGCAAACGCCCAGTACACAGAGTGGTTCAAGTCCAAGATGATGTTCTGGAACTTTATTACAGGAAGATCCTGGGAAAAATCCAACAACATCAACGACTACGACAAGCCCGTCTTCTCTCTGAGGTCCCAGCTTCCCTTCCGCTCGACCAGCTTCCTGAACATCCTCAACATTGAGACATCCATTCGAGAGAAGCGCCAGGGAAAGTTCCCTGCCAAACGAGAAACCAACGAGGAAGAGGTCAAGAAGAGGTCCAACAAGGACTACAAGATCTACGTCACGCCGTTCCCCAAGCTGTCGATGTATGGTCCTTACAAGCCTTGGTACGAGGGTTTGGACACGGCCCAGTCCGCTTTCACAGACATTGCTGGAGAGGACTACTTCGACAGTCCCGCCATGGTTGCCACCCTGGAGTTCAAATGGTAAATGCACAACTCACCTGGGCTATATTTCAGCTCCACGACATGATAGCATTCAGAACTGACACGTCCTTTCGTTACTATTTTATCCGCCTGATTTAGGTATAAATTTGGCTTTAGATACTGGATGGTTCGGTTCCTGATCGTTTTCATCTTCTTCCTCATGATTGTCATCATCACTGCACTGCAAATCACGTACTCGACGCGTGGCTCAGATGCAGAAGATATTACCGACCGATACATGGACAACTGGCGGCCCTTCATCATGGTGGCAATCGGATTTGGAGCTGGTCTGTGCGGATACGAAGCGATGCAGTTCATCTATGCACCCAGGAAGTATATCAAGTAAGTCTCCCTTGAAGACGTGAATAGGCAACTCCTATCTCCCAAGGACGGTTCATCATGGCTAACAATGTCTGTTTGTAACTCTGACTAGGTCGCCTTACAACTACCTAGATCTAACAGCGTATACGTGGACCATTATTGGTTGTATTCTGCTTGTAAACTCCGAGGTCGGCACGATCGATAAGGATCAGGGCATAGATATTGGGCCTCACCAGATCTGGGTCATGAGTTTTGGCATCTTGTTCCTTTACTTCAACATTGTAAGTGTCTCTTTCCTGGGTTTCCATTTTATATGTACACAATCCTCGGCAACCGTTCCTATTTACAATCTACTGACCACACTCTCCTCCTTTGTTTTCATCCTTTCAGCTGTTCGAACTGCGTGTTGTCCGACAATTGGGAATCGTGGTCAACATTATCCTAAACATCACCCGAAGTATCGTCTGGTTCTTCTTAATTTTCGCTCTGATCCTCGTCAGTTTCACACACGCCTTAATGCACTTGCTGCATACCCAACAGTACCACCCACTCTGTGATCCCACTGCTGATGTCAAAGGATGCGAAGAACCGGGAGGATTCCCGACGAATGTCTTTGCCGCTCTGTCTGTTACCTACTTCTTCTTGGTAAGTCTTTTTTTTTATTTATTCCTGGTTCATTTACGTCCCGTTCGATTCCCTATTCTGACGTACTTTTTTTCTTTCCTTTTTTTTCTCGATTGGATGTAGTCTGGAAGATACGATCCGGTCGATACGTCGCTCGATGGCGCTTCTGTCAGTTTCCATATCATGATGATCCTTTTCTTCTTCATCTCCGCCATCCTGTTCCTGAACATTCTCATCGGTAAGTTTCTAGCTCTTGCACCTGTTATGTGTCCAAGCACCGACTATATAATGCATATCATAACAGGGACTAACACAATATATTCTCGTTCGTTGTTGTTTTTTTTGCGGCCATAGCTTTGATGAACGACGCGTTTAATGAGAGTAAGGACCAAGGTCAACTGGCCTGGCTCAAGCAGTGGTCCGAAGTCATTGCCGGTAAGTTTTTTTCTTCTACTCTTGTCATCTATAATTCCCTCTGCCCCTCTATCCCTGTATATCTCAAACGTCATGTCCACATCTTCTAACGTACAATCCCACTCCTTTAATTTCATGCATCATCCTAATAGAGGTGGAAGTCTTCCTAATGACCCAAAACACCCGCCAAAATCGCAACTACTTCCCGGACTACATCTACTACGGCGCCAATGAACAAGAAGCAGAGCTCTACGAATCCAGATTCTTCATCGCCTCCAAATCCAACCTCTCCATCGAGAACCGGTTCCTTGTAGACACCGTCACTGTTGAACAAAACGCCGCCCAGTTGACTCAAAGACAGGTTCTGAGGGATGTCCAGACGTTGAGTAAGGAGTTGGAGAAGTTGAAGTCGAATCAGGATGAATTTAATCAGGATGTTATTCGGTTGACGGAGGTTGTAGCGGCTTACCTTGCCACGACTGCGCCACAGGAGGGGCCTGACAGTGATAATGAGTCCTTTACCTCATCATCGCACTCTGACACCAGTGTCTCGCCTGTGGAGAACGATCCCCCAACAAGCGGGGCATCGATGGGTCGTGAGACTCAGAGCGCACCGCTTGGTGGTGCAGGCCGTGCAAGTGGACCTCATTCGCCTCCGGTTCCGTCGCCTCCACCGCCAACGGCCGTTCCAGGTGGAGCTACCATCAGTCTGCCGAGCCCCGTCCGTCCTGGTGCAAGTCCACCTCCACCGTCCAGAGCGTCGAGTGCCCCCGCGGCTCCCTCATTGCCTATTTCTACTATTGGCCATGTCAGCTCCGGTGGCCCTCCCCCACCGCCTCCACCTTCACTTCCCACAGAAGGTACCAGTGCCTACCCTACAAGACCCAGTATGTCTCGCCCAATCGCAGCTGGAAGTACTCCTTACTCTGCTCCAGGCAGTGCGCCTGGTGCTCCTCGCCCTATTCCAAGTAGCAGTGCGCCAAGCAACCCAGGAAGTGCTCCCTTTATTCCTACGCCTCCTCCAATGCCCATTCAGACGTCTATGCCCATGCCCTCACCACCTCCACCCATGGCTCAGGAAGAGGCTCTGGAGCTCGACACCGGTATGGAGGAAAGAAAGTCTTCACAACCTCTAGTGGTAGACGAGCGGAACGACGAAGATGAGATCACGTTGGACATTGACTTTGACACAAAGGTGCCCAGCTTGGGCGACGTTGTGGAAGACATGAAGGACAAGATGAGCAAGAGTAAGAAGTCATCGTCGCCAATCTCGGAAGACAAGGACGAAGAGGAAGGAGACTCTAATGTTCCCGGCGGTGGCGAAGACGAGGACGATATGCCATCACCCCCACCTCCACCTCCACAGCCCATCGTCGCGCCTATCATCGTCCGTCCCTCAACCCGCCCTCTACCCATGTCCAAAGTGCCTCAACCACCCTCATCAGCACCTGCAGTCGTCACCGTCCCCGCTCCAACCCAGCAACAACAGCAGGCTGGTCGCCGGTTCAAGAAGATCAGCCCAGGCGCAGAGACAACCGACTCGCCCACAACCTATACTCCAACCACCGGAGCAGAGGGCCGACACAACCCTCCCCCAATCACAACCCTCCCCGTGGCCCCCTCCAAAAAACGCCAACAACAACAACAGCAACAACAACAACAGTCTCAGCAACCAGTCCCTCCCGTGCTGAACCAGCTCCCCGCAGGTGGTCCAACAATCTACCACCCAGATATTGGCTCCTCCAAGACTACGTCCGCATCCAAGGTCCCACGGTATAAGGTCATTGAACTCCAAGACCCCGAACGTGAACGCTCCGACACCGCCCCCGTCATCGGCAGCAGCTCTGGAGCCGGAACCACTGGAACAAGAACGACGACTACCCATAACAACACAGCATTCCGCCAACGCGTCCAAAGGGTCGTCGCTGTCCAAACCGTCGACGACGCCCTCAGAGCCCACAGAAGAATCGAGGACAACAACGTCAGTCACCCTGTCTACGTCGTCCATCAACCCGCCCCCGCAGACGCGCGCAACCAACGCCAACAACAGCGGTTCCGCCGCGACAGTGATGATGATGGACTCTATGACGATGACGAGGATGAGGACGAGGGCCACGATGGCCGTGAGGATGAAGGACTGTACGGCCATAGAAACAAGGGCAAGAAGAGTGTTCGTTCCTCAACTGCCCCTGCTGCGCGCCTCCTGGACGAGATCCAAACTACTCACACTCCTCCTCAGAGCCAACCACAAGGTCAGCAGCATGGTGGGCGTCCTCAACGCCCACAGTTGCCTCAAATACACCCTCGCCGCCAACAACAGCCTTAGGACGTCACTGTTCTACATAATACGCTCTTATATATCTTATAAAATTTCTTTGCTTTCTTTCGCTTTGATTCTGCTGCTGCCACTGCTGCTACAACCACCACCATCACCACCACTTCTGCTGCTGTTACCACTGCCACTGCCACTTTGCAGTCAAGATATATTTCCAAAGATCACCCTTGAATTTTTCCGCATCGCCGACTGTATATATGTTTCATTTTCCTTTTTTAGTGTATCGTCAATCGTTTTTTCTTATGTGATTCCGATCTATGCTAGCAGAAAAAAAAGAAGCGACGAAATCTCCATGCAAGTATCGCAAACTGTCTGCAAAAGATCTAAGAAAAAAACACGCCTGTGCTCTCACTACTGCTCAAGAGACAACAGTCTTTTCCAGGTCAACAAGTTGTACTACCATCCCCATCTCTCCCCAATCCAACCGCGGCAATGGCTTTCCTTAGTGAGTGGTGTTGAAATGGTCGTCATCCTCCGTGAGGTAAAGATGCCCATCTTCCTCCATCGTCTTGAGCATTTCGCTATAATGATGCACATTTGAATATAGGGGAAGAGCCGTTAGTACACGCCCATATATGCCCGCCGACCCAACAAGGATCTGCGTTCAATCCATCCCTGTCGAGTTGCTTCCACTGTATCCTAGAAGAACCATTGACATCACATCTTTGAACGCAACATCATCCTCTTTTCTCCTGTGTAGTCTTCTCTCGCCCCTTCTCCGTCATTACACATACTTCCATGAGTTGTCTTTTTTTTTTTTTTTTTTTTTTTTTTTTCCCTTTCGCTGCCCCTTTTTTTGCTCTCTCAAAAAACCACATCTAACAACGACAAAAAAAGACAGCAAACACTTACTTGACTTTGTGCTCGCCCCCGAGACGCTGTGCGAAAGCAGCAGTGATATCCCGACGATGCGCTCCAACACCAGACGCCTTTCCTGGATGGTTGTCGATAAAGTCAGAAATGCTGTTGGCGACATCGTCATTTCCTCCTCTCATGTGCGTATCCGTTGAAGTCACTCCATGCATGCTGTTGAGATTTTGTCCATAAGCGCTCGACGACTGTGATGCACCAGGTCCTCCCATCTAATCCCAGTAAACAACAAAACAATGGCGAAATTGGTGTTAGAAAACCACGTTTCTTTCCATGGGTTCATTTCAGAAGTAAATACCAAAGCAGTATGTGTTACCTTGTTGCGGGTGGCGATGACGTGGACGGTCAGGACTTCCAAGTTGTGGTAGGTGACCTCGTTCATGTTGGTGATGGGGCGAATCGAGTGGACCTGAATATACTGCTTCTGATTGAAGATCTTGACAGTTCCGACAATACGAGCGTATGTGTTCAACCTAACAATAATTACATGTCCAATTAATAACAACAAACAAGTTAATAGCCATTTCCGACATCCACACAGTAAAAAAATAAGTACAACAATCCAATCTCATCTCCATTCCCCTTTGAGAAGGAAACAAAAACTTACAGGATGGAGTTGACCTCCTCAGGATCGTCATGGTCCGAAGGATACTTCTTGGCATCAATGACCCCGGTTCCATCCTCAACCATATAGATGTTCTGGGTCGATGCTTGGTTGATGTTTCGGACCGCCGCAATCAACGTGACCTGTCCAATATCCTGTCCGTCAATCTTGAAGTCTCCGTCTGCCTGCGCCGGCGTCGCTCCCAAGATCTGCTTGATTGTGACAGGGCGAAGTGTATGGTTGTATGTCCTCTAGGAAACGTTTAAAAAGACAAAACAAAAGGACGAAACGTTAGCAAGGTGAGGTTCGAGGATGATGTACGTATGTTCACAAATAAACGGCCGTTATTGCACGTTCCTGCAATGGGGGAATCTCGCTTTTCTTCTTCAGAAGTACAATGTGCTTCTGATGTTCTGTCCTGCCGTTGATGAAATGAGTTTCGTACCTTCGGGGCTGTTCCATCGTTTCCAAAACTGTCCTGAACGTATCCCTGACCCTGACCCTGGCTCGAGCTGTAACCTCCTCTGTTATAGTCTGTCATAACCAAAACCAAAAACAAGGCAAACAGTGAATTGTTATTAGAAGGGCTTTAAGGTAATGCATTATGGGTCATTCGTTTCTCTTGCTCTGATAGTTGCATTCCAAAGCCTGAGTTTGGTGAGAAGAGTGCCGACTTACTGGACATGGTGATTTGAGATGTGTGTGTGTAAGCGGGGTTGAGAGGTTTGCTTGAGAGGTGTGAAAAGCAAAAAATAAAGATGAGTGAAGAAAGGCACAGTAAGTTTGGTGGCGAAAGACGGTCAACAAACAACCCAAAGTAAAGGTCGCGTTCGAGTCGCGATGATATGTGACAATAAACAGCCAAGCCACAAATGCCTCTTCCAGCAAATTAAATAATTTTTTAACGGGATAATCATCCTGCTAGTTTTAATAAGAAAGGCAAAAAGAACAAAAGAAAAATACTATTCTACAAGATTACAATACGAATAAAAAAAAAGGTTTGCCACAGTTTTTTTGGTTGGGATTTTTGTCGTCAGTCCAAGTGAGAGTGAGGAATTAAAAGAGAAGAGAAAAGGCCTTGGGCGAACCAGCGCTTGAGCTAATCCACTCCTCCTCCTGATGGGTATGTACAATGAGAGCCACTTTCACAAAAAGGAAAAACGAGAAGGCTGAACAAGTGCACTTAAGCGTTGTTCATCTCGTGACTGCCATTGCCCTGGTGGGAGGAGGCAGAGCCGGTCGAGTCTCTCTCCTGACGAGCGTTCGACGATGCAGTTCCGTTCACCGAGGCGGTAGCGGCTGTGGTGGCGCGGGGCGCGACGACAACGGGCATACCTCCCAAGAACAACACCGATTCAGATTCGACGTCGTAACGGCTGCTCTGAACTACAGCCTGCTCGGCGGCATCAATTGATCCGCCAACGTCGTTGCTGTTACGGCGAACCACAACGACCTGGGTCCCCTCCCCACGGGTGACCCAATGGAAGTCCTGGCCGAGGCTGGTTACTTCCAACTGAGTCTCAACGGGCAGGAGAACCCTTTCGTGGTCCCGAACGACTACGTCAATTGCGTTCATCCTGCCGGTGTCGATGATGTCCGTGGGCGAAGGAGGCAGGACACGGGTGATAACCCGGGGCAATCCAGGGGTCTGGATGGGAGCAGCCTGCTCGACGCCGTCGTCCCGCAAAAGGGGAATGCCGACCGAGGGGATGGCGGACATCATCATGGTGCTCTTAGCCGCGGCAACTGGGGGAGAGCCGCTCCATTCGAAATCCATCCCGGGGTCGCTGTGCTGGACACCAAGGGTAGGAGGTGGCAGCACATTGGCAGCCACGTCGGGTGCGACGCCGCTATGACCGTTGTGCTCATAGACTGCTGCTACGTGAGGGAGGTCCCGGATCGTTACCGGGGCAAGGCTCTGAAGCGGAGAGGAGTCTATGATCTTGCCCGGCAGCGAGCTCAGGCCGCTGTAGCCGTTCCCCTCATACAAGTTGGCGTGGCTACGATTTTCCATCGATCCCAACGACTGGGCAGCCTCCATGTGGTGGTCGCGGTAGTGGACGGCCTTATCGTTACCAACTGCCTGGTGGGCAATCATGGCAACATCTTTCTTATTAGACTGGAAGGGAGCAGGGGCCTCGAATCTGGCAGCCTCGGCAATAAGATCAATCATGGCCTGGTCACCGAAACGCTGCGCCCAGTTAAGAGCCGTCAATCCGTTCTTGTCTTGGATCGTCAAGTCGATACCTCTGTCGATAAGGTCCTTGGCCAAGTCCTGGTACTGCAAAGGAACTGACAGATGTAGCATGGTGTGACCGGTCATGTTCGTGATCGAGAGACCATCAACGTTCTTGGCAACCGGGGTATCCAAATGTTTGAACGAGTCCATGACCATGTTCTCGAGGTTCTCGTAGGCCGAAGTCGAATCGTCAGACGACGACGACGTCGAGCCGCCCAAGAGGTCGTTCCAGAGGGTAAAGTCATTGGCGCGGGTCAAGACAGAGTCGACGGGTCCATCCATGTCGGCAGCAATGTTCAACATGCGCTGGAGAGCGAGCTTCATGAGCTCCTTCTCGTTGTCGTCAACGTATGTGAAGGTGGCTTGAGCAGGGATGTTGGAGGGGGTGGTGTTCTGCAGAGCAAACACGGCGACGGTTTCGGCCTTGGTCGCTGCGGGAGTAAAGCACTCGATCATGTGGTGGTACTGGGGGATGACGGGTACCAAGGTCTCGCCAAAGCAGACGTAGATCATCTCCCCGACAGTGAACCCGGACCCGTGAATGGTGACCAAGGTACCACCGCGAGTGGGACCAGTGCTAGGGGTCATACGGCTGATGACAGCGACCTGCTGCTGTTGCTGTGGCTGCGACTGCTGCTGTGACTGAGGGGTGGTTTCGTTGGTGAGCTCGGGGAACAAGGATATCATAGCCAATGGGTCAGGGGGAGGCGGAGCGTCGGCTTTGTAACCCATATCGGCGCTATCCATAAAGTCACCGAGATCGGGACTCAACGAGTAGTCCATAGGAGAACTTGAAGACGAAGAAGGTGGGGACGGGATATGGTGGTGCTGAGGATTAGCTTTACTCCGTGGTACTCGTTTGGCTTTAGCGGCGGATTTACCGGCCATGCGAGCCTGGGCCTTCAAGAGCTGCTGCTCGGCTTTGGCCTTGGCCTTGGCTTCGGCGGCGAGGGCTCGAGAGATGATGCGGTTCTTGTTCTGGTGGTAGAACATGAGGGGCAAGGTCAAATGGGACGCGATCGAGTCGTCGGACATGGAATCGAAGCGGATCACGAAACCCTCCTTCTCCTTCTTGTGGCCGCAGTAGCAATTAACTTTGAACTGGAGGTTGGCCACCCCACTTCTGAAACTGACCAGCGCATCGCCATTCTCGGCACGATACAGCTCGGGGATCATATGGATGATCTGAGTTGGATGATATAGAAAGGGTATTATTGGGATTAGGACAATGCACTAAAAAAAAAAAGCTGAGCACTTGCATTAGCCAAGGAAACATTGAAAAAATAAACACTTACACGACTTTCGTTCTGCTCCAACTTGGCAGACATGCGACGAGCACATCGGACACAGGCCTCAGTCTCGACCTGCCAGTTGTTGGAGGGACACTGCAGAGAAGCCTCGACGTTCAAAATGCGCTTGGACGCCATCTCCTCGGCATTCATCTCCTTGTCCGGCTGGGCGAAGAACAACTCCTTGGGGAGACGCACATAGTCGTAATTTCTCACCAAGGAACCGTCCATCTGATCAACGATCGATAACTCGACATAGATGATTGTCTCAATGCGAAGACGATCATCCAGCTGGGTGGGGACGTACTCCTGCAACTCCTTCTTGAAGACGTGGGTCTTGACGTTCAAGCGATAGGGTTCGGTGGACTTGTTCGAGCTGTGATTTATGTCGAAGGTTTGTTAGGATGGCTGTGCAGTTGTGATCAAGAGGTGTGCGGAAGAAAAAGAGGCGTTGAGAAAGAAAAAAAAGGTGTGTGCGGTGTGTACCTTTCTGTCAACTCCTTGGTCGAGGCGAGTTCGGAGGGGGACCATTCGGGGGAGGCCAGTTGCTGAGGTTTAGGTTCGTCGAAAGTGGACTGTTTAAAAAGGTAGGGAAATGAAAAGTCCTGTCAGTTACCTGTCGCATGGAGGATAGCATAGCCCGGCTAGGCATAGCTACTTTTGGTGGGAAAGTCGTTCGTCGGAGATGAGTGGATCTGGTTAGGGTCGAGAGTTGTCGAGTGAATGAGTGTGTACCTGGTGCTGCTGCAAGAAGGAGGATTCAAAGGAACCGAAGGCCATATGCGGCGCGACAGAAGCGGTGGTAGTGGAGTGTGGAGGCATGCTTGCAGTTGGTTGAGATTAAGATAGGGTTATTCCTTTGAAGGTGTCGTAGTGTTGAGGAGAGTGTTGTTCAAGTTGAGTTGCTGTTGTGCGTGTGAGAGAGAGTGAATGAGAGAGAGAGTTGTATCCTGTCAGAGATGCATTCAGCAGGTGAGTGAGTGAGAAAGAGAGTGAGTGGGTGGGAAAGAAAGAAAGGGAGTTGTAAAGGAAGGAAAAAAGGAAGAAAAGAGAGTGAAGGAGTGAGTCCCTGTTTTTCATACCCGATCAGTCAGTCAAAGCCCACTCGGACAGATAGACAGACATAGAATACCCACCGACGCAGTTGGAGCTCATTTTTGTCGAAACAATTTTTGCACCAATCAAACCGTACAAGAGAAACTGATTTTGTACGTAGAAATAAGGTTGCTCCCTTCCCGCCGTCGTTTTTGCTCCTCTCCCTCTTCATGTGTGCCTGGTGCCCTGGTGGGCATGGCAGACAGGCAGACAGACAGACAGCAGGCTTTGTCAGGTAAGCAATTGACCAAAACCAAAACCAATCAATGATCGACAACCACACGGGTTGCTTTCCGCCTTCCGGTCAACTCAACCCTGATGACCCAGCAGTGGATGAACATCACGTGACTCTTCTCCTTCCAGACGTGATTCTTCACGTGTAGGTAGCAATTTAATCGCTGATACTACAAATACTACAAGTACTTTTTTTTTCTTTTTCTCAAACTCGATGCATGCTTGCATGCTCTCACCATGTCTGCTTGCCTTGTGGCGTAACAACAACAAATTGCAAAAAAAAGTTTTTCGGCCATTACCGCCATTGCCTGCCTTGGATATGGTTCAACCAAACATGCATGTCTTTAACCCACGTTTTTTCGAATCCGTAGAACCCACCCCCTTCCCCATTTTTGAACCCCCATTTCCTCGAACTTCCCTCGTCCGTTAACGGACCACATCCGGAAAGGCTTTGACTTATGTAAGAATGAGGGGAGTGACAACAGTCTACGCAACCCCAACACCGCAGAAACCTAAAGGATGAAAAAGGTGGGGAACCGGGCTCAGGACTTCTCTGCCTGTATCTCAGTCCGTTCACCAGTCTCTTTTTGTGCGTTCGTTTGTCTGTCCCTATGTTGTGTGCCGTTAGTGTCTGGAAACAATGCCTCAGACGGTAGCGGTTGGGTGAAAAAGGGGAAAAGGTTGAAGGAGATATGTACAGAGGTCGCCAACGGGGCTGATACGCGAGGGATGAAAAATGTCGTAGCGCAGAGTTGGTCCTCGTCTCTCCTTTTGCCTATCGTTCAATTGCTTCTGATAGCTTATGCAGAAACGGTGTTGTCTTCTTCCTTGTTATCTTCGCTTCATTTTTTTGTTTGTTATCCTGACCTCTTGTGTGAGCTGTCTGAATAAGGACATGGCGATCCCATTTCTCCTTTTCTCTCGTTCTCGTTCTCCCTCGTTTTCTCTTTCGCTCTCACCCTCCTGTCTTTCTCGTTCTATGTGTGCATGTATTCGTACGAAGTTAGGATATCCTAACTCCCCGAAAATTTGGCGGAGAAGGGAGCAAAGGGATGCATGGAGAACAAAAGAAAAGACAGGAGACATACATGGTCCTTCCTTCAGGAAAGGAATGGAGAATTTTCGTCGAAACATAAAAACCTAATTGATAACGGACGCGTCAAGTTTCACCTTTGCCACGCTACAAACTACAGCGACACCATAGCCGGCGGGTCTTCTGTCATCTGACGCCAAGAATACGAAAGAGAACGCAACGAACGCGGTAGCTATACGTTTCTGTAGAATTCGCATTCCACTCTCCTCTCCTCCTCCTCTCCTTGCATGTCGGCCAAACCGCCAAAAAACCTCCCCCCAAAAAACCCCGCCAAAAAAACCCCCCGAACCACCTAAACCATAAAAACTTGCCTGTTTGTTTTGTCAACCACAGGCCACTCACTGACCACATCTCAACTCCTTGGAGCAAAAAAAAGGAAAGGGAGAGCAGAAGGGAAATCTTTGAGCGCGAAAAAAACGTTTTACCATCGAGAAAAAAACTTTTACTTGCAATAAAGTACTGCACTGTACAGCCGTTTTGACCGAAAAGAAAGATGAGTCGAATAAGACCAAAAAGAGAACATCGATCGCTCTCATTCCACTCACTACCCACCTACCCACCCCCCAACTCCCTCGCTTATTTTCTTCCTCCCCTGTCTCCTTTTTCGCCTCTCCCTCGCTTTTTTGCTCTTGTCTTTGTCTTGACTAATGTGCTCTCTTCACATGTATCCGTCCGTCATGTCGGCGATTTTCATGGTAACACACAAATTGGAACATGCCATCGATTCTAAACATTCTGCAGTGAAAGTGTACAGTCAGCGCCTCACTCCTCCCTTCCCTCCCTTCCCCCCCTGCTCACATACCTCTCCCATCTACTTCCCCCAGGCTCTCGTTACTTCTTACTATTTCGCCGAATGCAGTGTCTCACCATTCCTTTTCTCAGCTTGCATAAATCGTTGAACTTTTTTTTTGGGCCGCTGCTTGTTTGTTTGTGTTGTATGTGAGCGTGGCTGTTTGTTTGTTTGACAGTCGAACATGTTGTCACCCAGCATAAAACATGGCATGTCCTGTCCGCACTCTCTCACATTGCAACATCTCATCATTGAGCTTGTACATGCCACTAAACATGCAGAGTACCCACCAAACTCAGCCAAGGTATACCCGCCACTCAGCTCAGGTCCCTTCCCAAGTTCAAGTAAAACTCAGTCAAGCCGAGTCAGTCAATTAGAAATAGTCGAAATCACGGACATGCAAGTCGATGGATGGGCGGATGGCGGTGTTTCCCCAGTTCAACGGGATAGATGACAATGCAACCATGTTTGCATGCAAGTTGCAAGAAAGAAAGAAAGAAAAAAAAGAATAATGCGCATGCCCACGCCCATGCCATGGCCGCACCCCCTTTCAGCATCAAAGGTCGATCCCTGCTCAACTTTTTTCACTCACCCTCCTTTTCTGTCTCTATCTGTTTTTCTCATCTTTATGCGTGCATGTTCTCACTTACAAACACATCTTGTACTCCCTCTTGTTCCCTCCCACGTTCTCTCTGTCTGTCTGTCTGTCTGTCTGTCTGTATGTATGTATGTATGTATGTATGTCTCGCTCACGCCATGCCCACCTCCTCTCTTTCAAAACTCAATCTCGCATTATTATTATTATTATTATTTGCTATCTCAACCGGTCTCTCCGTCTTGCCCCATCCCATCCACTCGGCCAGTCTCTTTCGCTATCTTCTTCCTCTCCTACTCTTCCTCGTCTTCCTCCTCCTCCTCCTCCTCCTCCTCCTCCTCCTGGACCTTCTTCTTCTCTCCCCGTACAAGATAATTGAAACAAATCCTCAATAAAAGCAATTTCTAGTTGCCAAGATAGATATAGAACGGGCGAGCCACGGCATGTTTTCCGACACTGGGATGCACGAACCCCTCATTGAAACTCTTTCGGAGCCCAGACACATAACACACACGTCTATTCGATGTGCTTATCCTGAAACCCACTCTCTTTCGCTTGAACGACGAGACTGGGAGAAAGAGAGTGTGTGTGAGAGAGGAGGAGGAGGAGGAACGGGGTGCAGCTCAGCCATGATGTTGCTATCGACAGACAGTACACAATTGCTGCTTGTTGCTGCTGCTCCGTTCGCCGCTGGTTGTTTCTGCTGCGACCATTATTTTTTCTATAGCCAACCGCCGTATTGAAAAGGGTTTTTTGCTATGTCGCTTTATCTCGCACCTTCTCCAACTCAAACAACCGAACGAAAACATCGAAAGGCCTCACTCACTTGACTGACTAAGGGTGGGCTCATTGCACAGGGATGATTGGCCCAGCAAAAGACACAAAAAACGAAAGAGGGATTCGGTGCATGACTCGTGTTTCTTGTTATTGTCCATGTCCTCCTTCAACGCCCGCTCGCCCACTTTCTCTATCTCTCTTTCAACTCAGGTCCCTTTGAGTCCCCAAGGTTCAACTAGTAGAAAGCACAAGAGAAAAAACTAATGGGCGGTCAGTACAGGTCGGAACCCTCGGAAACCCGTTGGACGTCTGCTCCACCTAACCCCATCAACTACCAATAGCAAGAAACCTTCATCCATGTTTTTTTTCAGTTGCCCCTTTTTTTTCAATCCCTTATGTAGCCCATCCGCCACTCCTTTTTTGGATTCTTTGCTGTTTGTTGATCGTTGTTGAGGCCGTCGTCGACCTCGTCTCTGACTCGTTCCCTTGAACCCCACTGTTTGTTAGAATGAACTCTCCTCGTTCACTCTCCTTCCTCACTCTGTTCATTCCCTCCCCTGGTGTTTATTTTTAATCGCTCCCTTTCCATTTTCCCTCTCCTTCGTACATCTTCTCCAACCATCAAAGAATATCCAGACAGATAAAACTTCTCTTTTTCTTTCATTCCGGACATATACCATTCTCATATATCCCTCCCCCCTCCCCCCATTTTTTCTTACAAGACGTCCAGGACCCTCCATTCAAGTTCCCTTTTTTGTCTTCATGCGTGTGTGAGTGTCAATCCTGCATGCGTCTACTCGGTGTACAAGGCCATGTTATGCCGGCTATTTTTTTTCAATGTGCATTAGTGCTCTTCCTCTAAACAACCCTTTTTTGGATATAAAGCAAAAAGAGTACTGTACAAAAGAGAGGGAAAAGAGAGATATGTACCTCAGATAGGGCCTAATCAACTCCGCATTAGAAAAAAGAGACAATTGAGAATTTGAAAAGGGACACGAAACGGCGACAAAGGTGTCGATTTTATGCTTTGTGTACGTGTTTGTGTGCGTGTTCTGCAAAGAATGCTGGCAAAACGACCCGTCCCCCCCCCCCCCCCCTCCAATCCATCCAGGGGCAAACAAACAACAATCAACGAAAGTAAGACAAAGGGACGCTCCAGGGTCAATTTCGAGAATTCCCCTTATTGCGTTGAAAGC